AAATTTACCTTAAGGATAGAACTATAATTAAGTTCTATAAACTCTATAACCTTAATAAGAAGTAACTTAAAATACTATATAAATATATTAATAATATACTATATAAAGGCTCTATTTAAACGTTTAAATTAGAAGTAGGTTACCTTATTATATTTATTTTAAAGAAGAATAGAAAACTATAGCTAGTTATAGATTATAGATAGCTTAACGAAATTACTATTAAAGATCGTATACTATTACTACTTATTATAGAACTATAAGATCGACTCTATAGTAAGAGGTTCTTTATAGCTCTTAACCTAAAGGGAGTATATAATCTTATCTAAATTAAAAAAGGAGATAAATAGAAAACTACTTTTTATATAAAGTTTAGACTATTTAAGTATTTAATAATACCCTTTAAACTTATTAATACTTTAGCTACTTTTTAAAGAATAATTAATAATATACTATAAGAGTACCTTAATATCTTTATTATAGCTTATCTAGATAATTTCCTAATCTTCTTAAATACCCTTAAAGAATATTAAGAATATATCTATAAGGTACTTTAAATACTATAAGATATAAAACTACTTATTAAACTAGAAAAATATTATTTCTATATCTAAGAAGTTAAGTTCTTAAGATATATTATTATATATAACGAAATTAGAATAGACCTTAAGAAAATCGAGTTAGTACGCGACTAGCTAATACTTAAGAACGTTAAGGATATTTAATCCTTTACTAGATTCGCTAACTATTACTAATAATTTATTAAAAACTTTAAGAAAATCGTAATACCCTTTATAAATATTATTAAAAGAATATAAGAGTTTAAGTAAATAAACGATTACTAAAAGGCTTAACTAACTTAAAGAAATTATTATTTCTAATATTATATTTATAATATTTAACCTTAAATAGTAAATTAAACTAGAAATAGATACTTTAAACTTTACCTTAAGAGTATAAATCGTATAAAGAGATAAAGAAAGATAGTTATAATTAATTACCTTCTATTTAAAGAAACTTTATAGCGCTAAACTTAACTACCTAATATATAATAAAGAATTCCTTACTATTATTAATTTATTTAAAGAATTTAAGCACTACTTAATTAGAAGTAAGTATAAGGTTAAGGTATATATAGATTATAAAAATACTACCTACTTTATAACTATATAAGAACTTAATAAACGATAACTATAATACGCTAAGTATCTAGTTAACTTTAACTTTAAGATTATCTATAGGAAAGGATTAGAAAATAGAAGAGCTAACGCTTTTAGTAAAAGACCTAACTATAACACTAAAGAACTAAGGGCATTAGGATAACTCCTATATACTAACGATAATAGAAATCTTAAATATTATATATTAAATATATTAATATTTATTATTAAGCCTAATAATATAATTACTAAAGAAATCTATAATATTATAAAAGAATAGAAGCTAGATAATTATCTAAAGGATATTAAACTAAAATAACTACTAATCTAGAATAAATAAATATAGCTACTACTAGAATTATAAAAGAAAACTATTAGTAATATATATAGCTACTAGATATTAAGACACTAAGGAATATAGAAAACCCTTAATTAAATATAACGAACTTTTAACTATCTTAAGATTAAGAAGGATATAGAAAAAATTATTAAGAATTATAAAATATATATATAAAGTAAGTTAATATAATATAAACTATATAGAGAATTAAGACTATTACTAATACTACTATAGCTATAGGAATCTATTATATTCGATTATATTATAAAGTTACTAGCTTTAAAAGAATTAATAATAAATATAGTATATAATAGTATTTTTATTATTACTAATAGACTTATAAAGTATAGGTACTTTATACTATATAAGGAGGCGTTAGATATAGAGGAACTTATATATACCTTCTTTAAGATTATTATTAGTAACTATAGATTGCCTAAAGAAATTATAACTAATAGAGGAATAATATTTACTTTAAAATTTTAATAAGCCCTTATAGTATAACTTAGATTAAAATATAAACTTAATATAGGATATTACCTTTAAACGAATAGTTAGATAGAATAACTTAACTAAACTCTAGAATAATATCTATAGTATTATATTAACTATAAATAAGACGACTAGGTATTAAAGTTACCTACTATATAACTTATATATAATAGCTTAATTATAGAATTAACCTAGATTATATTAATATACATTAACTATAGATTTAACCTAGAAGTATATTAAATAATACTATTAGGACTACTTATAGAAAAGGCAATACTTAATACTAACTAATTATAATTATTATATTCCTAGATATAGAAAGAACTTTCCTTTATTCGCTAAAGAATAGTAAAATACTATAACTAAAAAAGATTAAAGGGACTAATCTTTAAGAAAGGGGATATAGTCTACTTACTTTAATAAAATTTTTAAATAACTTAATTAAGTATAAAACTTAACTTTAAGAAAATTAAACCTTTTAAGATTAAAGAAGTAATTTTAAATACTAACTATAAATTATTACTACCCTCTATAATAAGGATATACCCTATTTTTTATATTTTACTATTATAATCTATATTATAAAACGTAAAATAATAGTTATATATCGAGGTATATAAAGAAGAATATAAAGCTAAATAAATTATTAATAAACGAGAAATATAAAGAGAAATATAATATTTAGTTAAATATAAAGGATATAATAACGCTAAAAATATATAAGAACCTATAAAATACCTTAAGAACTACCTTTACCTTATACGATAGTTTTATTAGAACTATTTAGACCCCTAGTAGATAAAGATAACTCCTTAGTAATACCTATACTAATAAAAAATAATAGAGTTAACGCTACGTTATTAGGTAGTAAGAGCGGATTAATTTTAATATTTAAAAATAAACCCCTACTTAATAGAGGACGCTCTTTAATAATATACTATACTATACGCTCTATCTCCTCCTTTTCTATACGTTCTAACTCCTTTACTAAATTAATACTATAAGATACTACTTATATTATCTTCTTAAACTATAACTTCTTTTATTTTTAAAGACGCTTAACTTTCGCGTTTATTTACTAATAAGCCTTAATTATCTCCTCCTCTATATAACGACGCTCCTCCTCGGCCTCTTTAAGGTCTAACTCGAGCTTAGAGTAGTTTTTTATAAGCTTCTATAGTTATAAGAGGGACGGACTAGAAACGTTATAGGACGCCTTATTAAAACGTACGCACTTAGCGTATTAAGAAGAGTTCAACTAAGAAACCTAATAGGAGGATAGACTACGATCTTAATAGAATGAATACAAAGGCATTTCGATAGAATTTCTAAGTATTATCTTAAGAAGATAAACCTTTCGATTTTTAGCGTCTATAGACGATTTTTAAGAACGTTTAGTAATACGGCTAGATATAGTAATATAAAGAAAGAAACTTATAGAATAACCAATAGGTAAGATAAGAACGTTTATATATAATCTTAAGATAAGATCTTTAGAAGAGGGGCATTATATTACGGCCCGTTATATAACCTTTACGTATACCCTATATCTTCTTCCTTATTTATTATTACTATACCTACTTATATATAACACTACGATCGCCTATTTCTAAATAACGATTATTACGATCGTTCTTAAGATCGTAGCGATTATAGAAGTAATTATTATAATTGCCTTAAGGACCTCGGCGATTACCTAGTATATAGTTAACCTTATTTCTATAGTCTAGTTACTCTTTACCTAGCTATTAATAATATAGTTAACGCTTCTCCTAAAACCCTAGTTCCTTTTAGTAGTAGCACCTACGACTATAACTGCCTATTGCTTAGTACGACATCCTAACTATCTCGCTAATATAAAACGACATTATCTCTATCTACCCTATAGCTTAGAGTTGACCCTAACGTTACAATACTACTAATACACTTACATTAAAGGTAGGTAAGGTATTATATAGTATTAGGTTCTTATCTCAAATTACAGTAATAGACTTAACTATTTTATAGTTAAGTCTCGCTTACTTAAGCTATATATTGGTTTTCTATAATAATTGCTCTTTACTAAAAATAAACTAATTAGCCCTGCTTAATAATTTATTAATCTTAGCCTTTTATATATTATAAAATATAAAAATATAAAAGTAAATAATATATTTTAGTAAATCTTCCATTTATATAGTAACTAGTTTAGAGGTGTTTTAGGAGTGGGTGCGTCGGCCAACTAACTAATTGTTAAAGTCGATCGATAGACTGGTTTACCGGGACCTTCGTTTTGTAGATAAGTGACGAGCATGGAAGGGCTGTACGTCGTAGTTTGATGCACAACTACCACCCTCCCAGAACGAACCATCCACCTTAAAGTCTCTGGCTATCTCGATCTAACCTTGCTAAGTACGAAGTCGAATTTCTTGTTGCCGCAGGAAATAAGCAAACATTAGCAATAGTAGCGTATGGTCGCCTCAATTTCAACAGTGCGAAGGAAAAGGAGCAGGGGGACCAATAATGGTTAAAAAAAAGAAAAAAGACAAATTCTTTGTAATTCTGTAGCGTCCCTCTTCTCCAGTCATCGTCTATGGACGCCCCTCCCCCCCCCCCCCCCCCCCCCCCCCCCCCCCCCCCCTCTCGCTCTGTACGCGTACATAAGTCTGTTCCTATGCGTCTGGCCATTTTGCGACGACAACGACAACATAAACTGTCTTCAATGCCACGCAGGTAACACCATCTAACATTGTCCACCAGGGCTCCACTGTCTTCGAATTCGGCAGCCTTGTTCGCCCAGACTACAGCATGCGCTGTTATTCGTGACAAGCCAATGTGCTACCTCTAGATTGCAATCATAAAGACGTTTCGTCTTGTTCAACTTTGCGAGACCATCCATCTCTCTCAGCTCTACGGGCTGCACACAACGCGCGCCTACACCATATCAAGGCCGATAATAGCACAGCAAACCTGTACAAGTATTTCCATACTGCCGTCCTCCAACGATAATCTACGCTATCATTAACAACATGGACGACGATAGCGGCCAGACTCCCTCTGTCCACAACCCCTCCAGTGGCACCACTCCCCAAGGAGCTTCCACCAACTCGGGTACGCCTTCGCAGAGCCACCTTACCCCTTCTGCTACGGGAGCTTCATCGACGGCCTCACAGCCATCTGGTCAGGGGGGCTCGTCTGCTAGCCAAAGTTCCAAGCGTAAGCGCGGACTTGGCATCGTTACCCCCAACGCTTGCACTGAATGTCGCAAGAAACGAGCCAAGGTGTGTTATTTCCTTTTCGTGATTTGCTTCAGCGTGACATTGCCGATGTGCACCGCTTTTTGCCAAAGGAGCACGCTGACATATACACTGCTGCAGTGCGACGGACGAAAGCCTTGCGGACGGTGTCAGGCTCAAAGAGAGGCCGACTGCGTTTACGAAACCCCTATCCGACAGTCCAAAGAGCACCTTCGAACGGAAATTGAATCGCTGCGCCATAGACAGCGATCTAGTGATACAGTGATTTCCGCCCTCGTGCGACCGCAGTTATGGGAAGAGGTCCTGAACCGCTTGCGCGGCGGCGAGTCAGTCGAAAGCATATCGGAATGGCTCGGAGGACCAGTATCCCCCCAGGCTGTTGGTAGCGGCAGCAGTAGCGGTCCTCTCCCTGTTCCGATCCGACAGATGACCGGAGTAAGGCCCGAATCCTGCACGACGCCTCTGCCCGACTTCACCCGCCCCACCACGATTACCCTCACTGCCAACAATCTCGGTGTCGGCGGGCTCCCTGGTGTGGTTGCCACTGAACGTCAGTTGCAGCAACCACCATCCATACGTGGTAGCCCCTGGGCTACGTCCAACCATAACGGCTCGTACACGGAGCCCATGAGCTGGACCCTGGACGTGCCCGGCGGTGGCGCCGCGCCACCTGAGGTTGTGCACTGGGGCGACCATGATCGGCGGCAGTCTCTGCCCGCCACGATGCCGCGCTTTCACGGGCTAAAACAGATCTTGTCGCCCTGGGACGAACCAGATATTATGTCTACCCAGACTACATGGACCAACCTCACCAACGACATCAACCTGGTTCAGCACCTGCTCGCCCTCTACTTCTGCTGGGAGTACCCAACTTTCGCGTCGTTGAGCAAGGAGCACTTCCTGCGTGACTTCCAGGATGGCCGCCCTCGCTTCTGCTCAACCATCCTGGTCAATGCCCTTTTGGCTCTGGGCTGCCGGTTCTCCACTAAACCCATGACGCGGGCCAACCCCAACGACCCTTACTCGTCGGGCGATCACTTCTTCAAAGAGTGCCAGCGCCTCTTCTACCAGGAGACGGATCATCATTCCCTGACCACGATCCAGGCCCTCGGTATTATGTCTATCAGGGAGGCTAGCTGCGGCCGAGACTCGGAGAGTTGGTATTATGCTGGACAGAGTATCCGGCTAGCCATTGAGATGGGACTACATCGCATCTCGGACGAAGGCGATGAGGATGAGCTCGCCGTTCAATCGGCCACATTTTGGGGTGCTTTTGCTTTAGATCAGTGCGTATCCCCGTTCTTCTTTTGTCTTGTTCTTTTGAGCGCCACTAACACAATCGCCATGTAGTGCGTGGTCTTTGGCTACGGGATCTCTTCCCCAGTGCTCGTGCTTCCCACACTTGCCTCCTAAGTCTGCCATCATTGACGACATTGAAGCGTCGTTGTGGGTGCCATATACTGATGATGGTGAGACCTCTTTTCGACAACCCCTCAAGGCACTTCTGGCTAACAATTCTTCCGCTGGTACAGGTGCCTCTTTACTTGAAAGGTGTGAGCAGCCGTCCAACGTACGATCTGTGTACAAATGTTTCTGTGAACTCAGTGAACTTGTTCACCAGTCACTTTACATTTTGCATTCTCCCGGGAGACCCCTGACAGCGAGGGATATGTTGGGTATTTATACCCAGTACCTCAACTGGTACGATCGTATCCCAGAAGTGTTACGGCTAGGTCACAATTTCACCCCTGCCGTCCTGTTTGCCCAGTAAGTCACCAATTATACTCCTTTGAAACAACATCTCCCACTGACGATTGGTGCACAGCATGTACTATCACTTCGCCATCCTCCTTCTCTTTCGACCCCTGATCAAGTTACGGATTTCCGGGTCCACGGTGACGCCGCGCGATGTGTGCTGTCAAGCAGCCGATGCCATCCAAGGTTTACTCCGTTCGTACTCACAACTGTATACTTTACGTCGAACCCCGTCATTCGTTCCTTATTTCGTCTTGACATCAGCCATTATGCACCTTGCCATTGGCGCAGTGTCGGATCCCGACACGGTCCCTGGGTCCTCAACAACCGAAAAGATGGAGTCAGCAGCCAAGATGGACCCGAAGGTGTCTGCATCACTGAGACAAGGAATATCGGATCTGACTGAAATGGCCCCCTGCCACCAGTTTGCCGAGCAGGCCCTTAACATCTTGCGGTACATTGCCAAGAAGTGGAACATTGACGTCAAGATTTATGAGAGCGACCCCCCGACTGACTACGACCGGCTCGTCAAACCTTACACTAGCAGTCTCAACTTCTTTGCCCCCGACGTACGCGAGGAGGATTTTTTGCGCGACTGGGGTAACAGGCCGCCGCCCACTGAAGATTCAGTGGGTGACGGCACGTCGACGTCGCTTCCCAAAGCCGCTGATAACCTCGGGAATCCGCTGTGTTGGCCTTTTCCCATGCAGGGTAGACCCATCCTTCCCATCGGGAAGGAACTGGAGCAGGCGGGATTTGCGCCGTTGTAATGGCGGATCATTTGTACTTATATACGACTACATTGGATCGACATGTGCGACACTACACTTAGTCTAGTTGTTTAGCGAGGGAATAGCTGTGTGCCACTATCATTGGGTCGCGGCTTTGTTCTATGATTATGCTTTTTAAGGGTAAATGTACCACGGACTGACCTATACACTGTTCATCTCTTTTGTCCCTTATGCTTGGATATTGACCATCATGCCCTGATGCCGTGTGTGTTCAAATGTGCATACTGGTGATAGTTATGATTACAGGTCAATCCCACCCTAATGTACTGGTATAGTGAGCCGCACATGCTAGACGATTATATAAGAGCTACATGAGAGAATCAGTCAATTATCGAGAAAAAGTATTCCGTTCAAATAACGGTGCATACAGCGATTCACTCAACGTCAAAGAACGCCCGAATGACCTGGTAGTTACACAGTACAGGGTAGTCAAGCTTCATATGGAAGCTGCGCCCCGTGCCTCGGCACATGATAGGGAGGATGCGCTAGCAAAAAGCAAGAGCGTCATCCGTTTTGGGCCGACAGTCCACCAGGTGTGGCGCCACTACCTCTTCATCTCAATACCTTGGTATCCTCCATCTCATCGGGCCTTCTTAACAAGAAATCGTGTTTCCATCGGACTGCCGTTGTGACGGCGTGACTGCTTCTGAAACAAAGAGGCAGCCTCGCTTTACGCCGTAACGATGGCGTCGCCCGTCGCCGCCGCCGTCGCACACACTCAGGCCACGACCAAGTCGTCACGCAAGACACTGGGCCTCGTCATGGCGCTCCCGCCTCAGTGGTTGGAGATGTACGAGGAGTTTATCACGAAGAATGCGGGCCAGGTCTCGCAGATTGAAAGTGCTCTGCGCAGCCTGACGTACATTATTCCTGGTATGTACTTGCAACTCTAACAGCGCTTGCCTGTACGCGCTCGGCTCAACTGACTCACGATACAGGTCGTTTTAGGGATGCTGAAATCGCATCAGAGTCGATTCACTCGGGCGTTCAGCTCCTCTCGATGTATCACGACAACCTTTTATCCCGGGCCGTGTCCCGGCTGCCCACCATGTCAATGCCGTCGGCGCACGCGCGATACACACGGGCTTGGAGCCAAAAGAGTCCACTCTACCGCCGCATAGCCATGCTCCTGCAGATGGTGATATATACCGAGATGCTATGTGAGATGACAGCCAAGCGACGTGGTGGGGAACATTCGAGGTGGAGGGTGGTGGTTTTCCTTGAGGCCATTAAGGCCGTCTGCCGTCTACTTCTCCTGCGAGTTACGCGGTTTCGCCCCCTAGTAACACCGTCCCTTCCCGAGAGGGAGCCAATCCCCGAGGACCTCAACGCCAATTTTGATGAGGAGGAGCCCCCCCGGAGCGAGAGCGAGCTGATGGATGAGGTCGACTCGGGCCATCCGCTGCTGGGCAGGGGCCCCGAGAAGTCGCCTCACGAACAAGAGTGGAAGATGCCCCGGACTGGCATGAAGCTGCCATCTCTGCCAAACCCGGGCGACATAAGCGGTTATTTGCTGGGCCGCGTGCTGACGGCCGACGACATTAAGCCGGCCAAGAAGCTGCTGAACCAACTTCAAGGTAGCGGGCAGGCCGCCGAGATCCTCCACATCCTCGCTCCGCTCATCTACGCGATGGCACTAGCGCGCAGTTCCAGCCGCAAGTCGTGGACGCCATGGCTGCTTGGCCTGTCAATTGAGTACGCAGCGCGACAGCTGAGGGACCGCAGCCTGCGCACCACGTCATTAGAGCGTGACGAATGGAACAAGCGAGGTTGGGGCATGGCTTGGTGGATGATGCGCGGCGCTTTCTATGAGAACCTGACCAAGAACGTGGTTGGTGGTGTCACCAACCGCATGCCCGGTTTCATTGCCGGAATCCTCGAGGATTACGAATATCTCTGGGACAACTACTACTTTAGCACCAGCCACTAGAGTGGTCAGCCTGTGCAAAATACAAGGAGAGAGAGAGATGCAGAGAGAGAACCTGAATCTTCATAATATGAGCATACACCACAGGGCATATCATCCATTTCTCTCGTCTCCTGCGACGAACCCCCACCCCCCGCGGGTACAGCGGACATGCACAAGTTGAAAGGCTTTGGCACAGTTGTTTTAGCTTGCGGCTGAAATATTAAAGCCGTATTTTCCAGCTCAAAGACCCATGTCCATTCTAGCACCCTTCACAAAACCACAAGAGAAAAAGCAACGGGTCCTTTTACCGAAACACATACGATACACGAGGAGAAACAATAAAGTAAAGAAGGGTGTGTGGAAAACCTTGTCATTGCTCCTACAAGTCATCTGAGGGAGTGCACAACGCAGAGTATCAAAGTACTAATCAACAATATGAGTCGAAGATGACGTGTGTTTGCCTGACTGCCAGTGACTTTGACTGCAATTTCTTACAATGTGTCACGTTGTGGGACGAAAAGAAGGGCCACTAGATTAGAGGGATAACGCAGCGTCTGTTCCTGGCGTCTTGGCACGTATACGGAATATATGCAGTATTATGCCAACGGGGTGAGACTACAAAGGAGGAAACTATGAAGGTATGAGAAGAACAGAAAGGAGGTGCTGTGCAAATAACTGTTCGTAAGTGATAGAGAAGGGCAGAGTTATGGAAAGTAGGTATATGAGCACCTGATGTATGCAACGAGGGGGGATGGATCTCAACTTACCCATGCGAGTTCTCCTTTATCAACACAACTCCTTTCGCATTTTTGTTTTGTATTTCGATTTCAATCTATTATTAGAACGCAATGATGATATACCTGTAATAGTTGATAACATTAAACCCGTATTATCAAATCAATATGGCTATACATACTAGACAGAATCAGGCACGTAAAGCCGTCAAGAGTGGGCCAACACAACACAACACAACACAACACACACACACACATACACACACACACATGCAATGGCATGGGGCCTTTGCCTTTCGGATGTCCTTCCCTCGGACCTTTCGGTCAATGCCGTGCCCCAGCCACGTTGCATGAAAATGCCCGGCTCCTACATCTCTACCATGGGCTCGTTTCTGCGTGTAATTGCGGTTAGACAGTAAACCAAAGGCACAGGGCAGTCGGACTACACTCTCGGTGTGGGCTTCTCTTTCAGACTTGCCCACCAGGGCCTTTTTCCTCAAAGACGTAAGCGGAGCCTTTGGGTGAACAGATGACTATAATGCCACAACGTATGCCCTCTTGGCAGGGCGGCACAATGATGGCACTCTCGAGTGGTTGCGGGATAGGGTTACGGAATTTTTATTGTAAAATGATATCCTCTCCTTCTAATACGTTGTCTTTTATGACATAAGACCTATGGCACATTAAATAGTTGGAAGGTGCTGATTGACGATGACAAAGTTGGCAAGTCGAAGAACTGGGACACTCCGACTTAAACCTGTCATGTGTTGTTGCATGGCCCAGCTTATAGTCTCACTAACAAGAACAAGAGTGAGAGAAACTACGACTTTTAAAATAAATGGATTTGCATGGCCGTTGGCAGCCATCCGAGTTGAAACACTCTAGCGCCCGGTTGGGATCAACAAGCGAAGGGTTGCTGGCTAGGGTCGTTTCAGGTATACCGGCGTTTTGAAACTTTGTCTGCAGGAGTATATGATAATACTTCGTTCACACGCGTCGTAATGTATGCGGAGAGAGTTGGAAGAAACAAACGCTATAGTTGTAGAGATTCTCTAGGTTGGGCGCTCGCTGATGGAGAGGAAGGTGGTGATAGCTTCGACTCGTATATCGAGTACGAGTACCTGTACACGTACACATTACATGCAGAGAAGAGGAAAATACACCAATGTACCAACGATAACGGCATCCATGTTTAGAAATAATAGTAGAGCAGTATTATAGCTTCACGTGTTGATAAAATGCATCATCTTCGTCGTAATACTACACTCTGCATAGGCGAAGAACAACTACGTCGCATCGTTACGGAGTAATAATACTTCTACATCTTACACATCTTACTCGTACACCAACATATACTTGTACAAGCACCAGCATTCCCCTCAGAGTAGCACGGCTAGCAAAAAGACGACAAGGATGGAGACAAGGGGAGGGGGAGGGGGGGACCGTCCCCCACATCAGAGTCACAGAGTATGCTGCTTTCTGATGCACGTAATGCTCGTGCCCCGATCAATATCCCACTTGATGACTTAGCAATATTATCCGTCCGTAATGAATCCGATATCACTGAAAACAACATTTTCTCTTCTCCTCTTCTTGAATACGACGGCAAAGCTTATTCTTTTACGTCCCAAGGCCTCGTGCCGAATATTGCCCTCGATGATAGAGTAGGGTGTTAATGGATGTATTAATAGCGGAGATTTCGCCCCAAGACGGGTTGAATGAGATATTACTCCGTCTATTGTGTAATATATAGTAATATCCGCGGTTATGCCCAGAGCTAGAAGACAGCAAAAGAGCAGAACAAGAGGACAAGGATGGGATATAATAGGCGCATTACCTGGCCCATTTCGTGATAATCGTTATTCATACGAGGAAGCGATCCTCCACTCAACTTTTTCCATGATGCGTACTCCATATTACTACGAAGAAATTCTCTCGAGTTTCGAGGTCTAGGGGAGACAGGGGAAATTACGCGCGTTGAACAGGGCTTACGGAGCATCTCGTAGATTGTTGGATAGGGGATCGAGGAACAGCTGATGTACTATGTCGTACTCTGCAGGGCACGGTATTGCAATCTTTGATATTACTAGTGCTACTAGTATTAACTAGTATTACAACTAACACATAGTAGAGATTGTAGTAGTCAAAGTAGTACTCGTAGTTTTCCGGATACTACGACGTGCAAGCACTAGTTGATGTTCAAGACCCATCCCCCCTGTACCAGCTAACTGGGTCGATTTCACTTGTCGAGTGACAATGATGGGAAAGATTAGACCCGTGATCCTCGTACTTGTAGTATTGATCTGTATTTTTGCCCGTACTGAGTAAGAAAAAGAAGGGGGCGGGAGGGGAAAGCGCAACAAGGGTTCAAATATTACCCACATCGGCATGTAGATGGTTGGCCGGGATCAGGTAAATTACGGAGCATATTACACTAATCGTACGAGCATTATTATACTCAACTCGGCAGTGCGTAACTTGTGACAGTCACTTGTTGTTGTATTGTATAACGCCGGTGCATTCCTCGTGGGTCAAAGGGCGCAGACACTTGTTACTTGGCTTAGAGACTAATACGGCTACTATCACGTAGTCTTATGGGCAGTATCAAGGAGGATTAGTACCAGCACAATAAGGTCCTGGAAGAGTATGAGTACGCATTTAGGGGGCAAGAACCAGTGCCGGGCGGGAAGGAGCAGCCGAGGCACAGGTACGAACTTAATAATCCACAATTAAGGAAGTGTCAAAGACAAAGGGACAGCGCGATAGCTCGTGTGGCAAAGGTCGAGGCAACTACGGAGTATGACAACACGGGTCATGATAAGGGCTTAATAGGAGAGTCTTGGTATTGGCATATGTGTATTTTGAAATTGTAAATACTGGCAGAATGAGCACCGACCGAGGTACTCTAGTCGCGTTAATTCGGAACCACTTTTTGTCATCACTCCATACTCAGACACAGCCACAAGAAGGAGAAAAGAAGGGGAGAAGGAAGGATAAGTAATCTGTAGAGTTAGGGAATGATGTATTACTATCATATCGGTTACGTGGTATTAATAGCACCCAGACTACAAAGCGTAATACTTATATAATACTATTGTAATACTCTGTATTACAGCGTTATTCTGTAATGATTTTACTAAATAGAGGAGCGCCATATTGTGATAATATGACCTTGGTATTGCACTTGGCTAATTTGGCTTTAGTTCGTTGCAGAAAACGTATTAGCGCCGGTGACAACAATGTTACGCTGTACAATTAAGGGGAAGTTGAGGGGTTCCATCTCCATCCGCGGGCGTACCGGGGCATGATCCGATGCCTTCATCATCGTACAAGTTGTACATGTAGTACCCAATTAACGCATACTTGGATAGAACAAGAGTATACGAGCGGCGTAGCGCACTTGAACTCTGCAGGCTCTTCTTACATCGTACGTCTTATAATACGAGTACTTGTATGGATGGGAAGTGTTGGGTGCCCTGGAGTGTAAAAAAGATTGTGGAGAGGACTCGTCGGTCCTACAGGCTATCATTCACCATGAATGGGTGTTATTATTGGATATGCGGAGTTAATACCCGTTGATATCTGCTCTTTGAACTCTCGTACTGGCTTGAGAGAGTTGGGTATCGTGCTGTTAATTCAGCAAGATAGATGAACATGTGATGTGATCTAGATCGGGAAAGACCAACATACATATTTCTCCCAATGTCTCTCTTTTCCTTGTTTCGCAGTGAGATGGTAAAACAGATACACCACTGCTCTGTACGAGTAATTATAGAAAGATTGAACCCTTCACATCTGTGCAGGTATACAAGTAGTAGGACTATGGTGTACTCCGGTATGAGAAGGACAAGAGAAGAACACAGGGTCCTACGGATACAACCTCGTTTGCTAGATGACGCCATAAAAAAAGGTGGCAGCAGCTAAATACTCCGTAGTAAGTTACGGATTTAGAGTACTTGTACTCGTACGGAGCAGGAGTAACATAGGTATATGTAGATAAAGATGGAAGCTCTCTCTCGGAGAACAATACCAGCTAAAAATATATGTTCACGCCACCATAATAAGAAGAGCCGGAAGGGCTGTCAGTATAAGTATCACGTCTACATATTGTACGCGTTGTGGTGACAATGATTACAAAATAATACATTTGGATATACTACTGCTCTTTATATATGTAATACATGCCTTAACACTTCTATTCGCAAGTTGGGGTTGGGGTTGGCGCTGGTGCTAAAATAACGTAGCCCATGGCTGCACTGAACTACAATGGATTGCGCTACTGCAGCAAAGCACTGCAGCACACTGCAGGAGCATACATGTACTGCACTGTCATATTATCCGTACCTTCCGCCAGGCACACATGTCAGGGGAGGTGGCGAATATTCAAAAGGTACCTACAGATGGAAAGAAGGAAAGAAGGAAGGACCGAGGAGATGACGAGACGAGGGACAGAGGAACATGGCTCCTTCGTCCAGTGCTCACATGCTACTGCGTAATACTCGTACTTGTGATCCTCTAGTCGTAATGTTGTGATCGTAGTAATTGTAGTTTCGTTACCACTGTGAGTATTACCACTAGTAATACTCCGTATTAGTAGCTGTACTTCTAAGTATTAAGTCGCATTGCCTTTCTGCAGCCAGCCGGCATACAGAACACGGTGCATTAGTAGTAGTAGTAGTAGTAGTACATGTAGTATTATCATTACTCTGTACAGGATGCGTCTCATAGAAAGGCAATCTGCAGTGTCTGTCTATGGCCCCCGCGGGTGTTCCTTCCTTTCCCGTGGCTCCGTACCTTTTCTCCGTATTGTATTTTTTTTTCTCTCTCTCTTCCAGGCTCCTCCACCTTCCACTTCCACTTCCCCTGGCCCCTGACATCCCTGTCTCCTTGTCTGCCCCCAATCCCTGTGAATCCACATCGTCACCAAGGCGGCAAGGCCCCAAGACTTCTCTCAAAGCCCACACACACTTTCTCTCATACATACAGGTACTCGTACTCCGTAATACTCGTACACACACGCACACGCGCACACACCATTCCGCGTCTCTCGCACCAAAGTCGGTTATACTACAGATTACACCACCACACGTACCCCGACCTCCCGTGCTACTGTGACTGGGGGAAAAAGACGCCAGGGGACAAAGCCGACAAAGACTCTGTCAGGGGTGCTCGATGGGGCCCGCTGCAAAGCACAGAGACCCCCGACAAGAAAGCCATCTCGTTTGATGAGCTTGAGCAATACGGGCCGGGGGTTTCCTCTTTTGGTTCCTATGGTGCCCAGGTACCACCATAACCATCAGTCAACTGCCCACGGGCCGCCACTACCAAAACACTCCTAAACTACTGTCCTCCTCCCTTTCTTCTTCCTGGCTTGCTCTCACCGTCCATCACCGTTCGGCCCGCCCGTCGCCAAACCTTCACCTGAACTGCCTGGGCGTCGCCATCAACACTATCGTTGCCAGCTTCGCTACGTTCGTCCACTCGTTCAATCCATTTTCTTCATTATTCTTTGACAGGATTTCTTATTGGCCCTTTTTTCCCGCCTTTTTCCCTATTTTTGTAGCCTTTGCTACACCACTGTCGCTACCATCAATTCGCCCCCCTCCCCCCTAACCGCCTCTCGCGCCGCGCGCTCAATGTGAGAGCCATGGATTCGAACCCAAGTCAATCACCGCACATGCCGCCGCCGGCGCAGCAGCAGCTACAACAGCAACCGCAAGATGTTCTTGCCGAGGCCAGAAAAAACTTGCAGGTCTTGATAGACTCAGGCATGTCTCGGGACCTTCTACACCAGCTCGTCGACGGCAGCCCAACGCTACAGTTTAACTTTCCCGTCCAATCGTCGCTCCCTCAACTGCCCTCTCAGTCTCATCAAGGACAGGTCCAGCCGCCGCCGCCGCCGCCGCCATCGCTTGCCCCCCCTCCGCCTCCGCCGCAATGTCCTCCACCTCCAATTCCCACAGCTCAACAGCAGCAGCAACAGTCATCGTCACCACAGGCTGCCCAGAGCCCGCAACATGTCTTGTCTCCTTCCGCGACGCCGACTCCAACCCTTCCATCCTCGCATGCTGCCCCTGAGGTCAAACCCGACATGCAACTTCCCAGCGATGTTCCCCGTACTTGCTCGACGACTTACAATAACACCGCCGCGACCTCGCCTTCGTTTGCGCCTACGCCCAACGATGGGAGCCATTTTGCAGCCATGATGGCCTTCCCAGGTGCAGCTGCTCCCTTTGCTCACCGCCCACGGATCTCCGTTTCGTCGACTAGCTCCGGCTCTTCTGGCCACGCCTCGGTCTTTTCCAACTTGTCGTCGCACTCGGCCATGTCATGGGCTTCGACCGGGTCGAACTGCACGCCTCGCATGCAGGCGCCCCTGCCCATGCCGCCCAGTATCAACCCTGGAACGGGCACACCTCTTATGAATGGCGGCCAGGTCGGTGCCAGCGGCTCCACCAGCAAGCACAACATCTACTGGTGCACCTCATGCGAGACAAGTTTCAAGCGTAAGTACGACTGGAAGCGCCACGAGGACGAGTTCCATGAGCGGTGGAGGAAGTATCCTTGCCCCGAGCCTGGCTGCAACCGCAGCTTCTGGGGTTCCAACTCGTTTAATCAGCACCACAAGCAGTGCCACGGCTGCACCACCTGCCCCCACGCCGAGAAGGTGGTTAAGTTCCTGAGGAAGCGCAAGTACTGGGCCTGCGGTTTTTGCTCTGCCCTTCACCCCGCCCGCGAACGTCATGTCGAGCACGTTGCCCGTCACTTCGAGTCGGGAATGACAAAGGGGGAGTGGATGCACTCGCGTGTTGTCTATGGCCTCCTCCACCAACCCCTCATTCACGAGGCCTGGGATGCCCTCATAACCAGCAAGCATTCCGAATATGGCCCTCGCCGCCCACGCTTTAGCTGGCACCCCACCAAGACGGGTCGCGCCCAAGGTTTTCTAGAAAAGGAGAACCCTGGCCAGCTGCAAGATCTACTCGAGTTCTTCTCGGGTGATGAGGGCGAGGCCCAGTGGATCGCCAGCGTTGCCTATGACCTAGCCGATATAGTCATGGATAACAGTGGCCAGCTCACGCCTACCCCGTTCCCGACTCACAACCCCATGGCTGCTCCTCCTTCCTACCAGGATCCTCGCATGTCGTTTGCCTCGATGCCGCCTCCGCCGCCGCCTCAGCAGCAGCAACAGCCTATGCTGGCGTCGGAACCCAACGCCCACAATCCATACGCCGCAGCCACCTTCCAGCCTCCACCCATGCTCATGGCCTCGCAACCCTTTGCTGGCCCATCGCCTCCGTCATCGGCATCCCACTCCCCGCTGACATCAAACCACTCGCCCATCACTCCCTCACATGCTTCAATAATCAAACAAGAGTCTCAGCAGCCGCAGTCCTTGGCACACGCCGGCGATGGTGGAGACAGCAGCAACATTATGGATTTCGAATATTCCCCTGTACCTCCTGTCTTTGATGAATGGGATAGCATTCACAACCAAGGGATGGACGACCACACCCAGACCCAGGCCCAACATGCTCCTTCTGCTGCCCCCTCTCATTCTCAGTCCGACTGGGGCAACATGATGATGGGATACTTTGGTGATTCACAAATCAGAAGCTCATGAACCATCTCACAGGAAACCATGCCCCAAAACCCCTCTTCTTCGATGCATTGTTTATTCTTGTTCTTTTCATGCCTATTTGATTACCCCTCACTCGAGTCACACCTTACATCATTTCCTTGATTCATGCCAAATATTGACACTTGATATTCGCTCTTCTTTTTTTGTCATATACTCATCGACTTCCCCTCCTTTCCTTTTTCTCATCTCTACCTGTCGATAATGTCTATATACTACCCGACCACGCCACGACGCGCACTTTTGACATTGCGCCAAACGAAATGTCTCTTCCTATTCAGGGGAAAAAAAACCCCTGGATCGCGGCGACAATGATTACCAATGGACTCTGGCCCAACCCTTGTCGTCGTGTATTCTATCAACTGAACTAGCGAAACGGCCAGCGTTTTTTTTCCACATATATTTATTCCTTTTCCTTATTAATATCAAACTTGGGATGGGGTTCCCATTATGCGGAACACACGGAGTTGAGGGCCATGTTTGTTGGATACGGCCACTGCGGACGCTGTACGGAAAAAAAGGTGTAAAGGGCGATAGAGTTAAAGCTTTCTTCCTAATTCCTTGTCAGCCTCTGTCCCGTATTGTTTATAGGTCGTTTAATACGATGCTTTAGAACCTTTTTGCAGAGGGTGAGCCGATTGCTACCGCTATGTAAAGCATTAGGATGGGATTTTTAATAGAAGCACCTTGAATTCATCAGTCTCTCGTATTTAGCCTTCTGTGTGTCGGTCTCATGTGGTGTAGGTAGTCATTATATCATGTCTTGTATCTTATGATTGCAGTTCATGCCATAGGATCTATAACAAGAAGGAGGGAAGAAGGAGAGAAGTGGTGTACTTACTGACTAGTACGGAATAGTTAGTAGTATATACTCAAACAATAGGCTGTGTAAGTCGAACTTCCCCAACAACAAAGAGCCTCTAGCAAAGGATAGTGACATGGCGATCTAACAAAAATTTCATTTCTAAATATTTTGTTTTTAACACCCCTTAGTCAACTACGAATTCTTATAAAAGCCTCGTTTCGTTTCTCCGAAAGCACGGTCGTTTCACAACTATCACGAAGTGCATTGTTGAAAACTTTTCTTTCATTGATACCCCCTTTTTCTTTGATGCTCGTTTATAAATTCCTTCTTCGTAGCCCATTATTTGTGGTTTATTCTTTCATAACACACACATCCTTTATCTTCTACGTTCCTAGTAGTTTCATGAAGTAAACAATGTCAAGGAAGAGCCTCTAAAAAGTATGATACTGTTTTTTTCTTCTAAACCTCCCTTTACCAAGGCAAACATTCTTTGTCCACAAACTGGATAATGCCAACTAGGAGGCTCTATTTACGGCAATGCCATCGACATGGCAGAGAACATGAGACTCCTTTTTGTAAGCTTCAATCCAACACAACCATTTTTTGCCTGCAGCGCTAAGCAAGACTACCATCATGAGCATTGTAAAGAATGCCTAGAGCACTATATGTGTATGTAAAAGATGTATATGAAGAGATCCCATCTCCTCTCTCCCATACTCTTGCCTCATCATCAACAACCTCTTCTTTACTGCCATATATAATCCCCTTGACTACTACAGCCTTTCTGCTGTGATTACTGCATCATCCTTTACCACTACGTCTCCCTCTTTACTATCTAAACAAATTCTCATACTCAACAGCTTCTTTACTGCGACATCATACCGCCTGATCTCTTCTTCTAACATATACATCTACCCTATTTCTACCACACACACACACGTCACATACCGCACGGCATGCCTCGCAAACACAAAGCCGGCTTCCTTGACGCCTGTGCCGAAGCATTTTTCACCACTTCACAACAGTGGGCACAGCGCCGGAAACTCAGGGCCTTCCCAAACAGAGATCAGGGTAGGGACTATCACTGGAGTCAAATGCACACCGATGACCCCAGACCCAAATACCGTGGATGGGAGTCCTTTAGTCGGCCACCCCACGTGCCGTCGTCTCCTACATTGCCGTTGGATCCTTCGACATTCACAGTGACGGAGGAGCTTGAGGATAGCGCCTCTGAATACCAAAGTAGATCTTTCTATATGAGAACCTCTGAACATCCTGGCCACAGATATGCCGATCAGCAGCAACAGGAGAAGGTGCAGCGAGTATATCCCTCGGCGTCTACGGATACCAACGTTGTATATTCGCCTTTGAATATGTCAGGGGTATTATTTAGCTCACTGCCAAGGATTACAGATAAGACTACATGGATGTATAACACCTCAGGTCCAAGGCGAGCAGAGGAAGACGGTGAGGGAGAGGAGAAAGACAGTGACGAGGATGACGTCACAAGGAGAGGCGACAATGAAGACGACGAGGAAGAGCAGGTAGGTGAATATGAGCAGCGCCCGGACACACCGTCAGCCAGATTGCCACACTTAGGCCACGATCGATGCGTGGACGCCTGGCTTGAGAATGTGGCCAGCTCAGAGGACGACTCGGACAGTCCGAACGAAGACAAGTCTTCGTCCTCTGACAGCGTCACCTCCGATCGAGGCAGCTCAATCCATCCTAACGATAGCATAAGTTTTGTCTCTGTGAAGCCGACGCAGTTGCCTGCGCTTTGTCCGGGTGGTGCTCGTGATCGATAGGTGATCAGTCACTATATCTCCGAGACCAGGGAATGGGGGCTCAGCTTTACTAGTTATCTACCCAAGCAGGTCATATGACCAAAAACATTCAGAAAAAGAGACTTACAACCTCAAATATAAAAAGACAATAATAAGCAAAGGGTATTTTATTGCTTCTTCTATACCGTGTGTGGATAAATGGATCAATACTGGTATTTTAAATAAAACCAATATTCCCAACCCTCTTGACCATCTCCAAGAAATAAGATTTGATATGGTAAATAATAGGAGGTGGAATAGGAAAATGACCGGTTAACCGTTGATCACATTTATCTCGTACCCAATCAACGCTTCGGTGCTGGTGCCTTCCCATCCCCTCGTACCAGCTGCGCTGAGCATAAACCTACTCGTAGGATCGATGTAGAGGCTCGAAATAACTCCCGCTCTAGGGGGGCCTGGAATGATGAGAAACGGCACCGTCGAGTGCTTGGTAGACCCAGTGTCGTGCAAATCGTACAAACGGAGAATATCGTGGGATGCGCTGTTCGCCTGTTGTTAGAATCATGCGTGTCGATAACAAAAGGGGTTATGTTGTCTTTCACTCACCAAACAAGATGTCGCCCGTTGACCATAGGCTTGACGGCCGAGACGGCACCACTGCCAGCCGGAAATTTGAGCACCCTCTCGGGTCCCCATCCCCTCTTCGCGTGGCGCACGTCAAACTCCTCGACCGTCCCGTTGCGTCGTCCCGCATAAATCATGTTGCCGTCTGGGCCCCAACACGCGCTCATGCACCACGGCGGCACACCCGGTCGGTTCCCGATGCGTGCCACAGGCTTCTGCACGCGCCGGTCCCATATTCGAATGTTTCCATCGATTGCAGCCGAAAGGAAAGTATGCGGGCACGTCTGGGACGGGTCGAAGTTGGCGTTTGCTCTTCCTGCCCCCTCTTGATCGTTGCCTAGTGACAAGACCGCCTTGGGCGAGAGTGTCGATTGCTGGCCCTCTCCAAGCATTTGGCCACCTTCACATTCAAGTTTGACCTCCTGTGAGACGGAGGCAGTACTTTCTTGCTGTTCTTGTAAAGTGAGATCCGTTTGTTGTATCGCATTGGGTCTCTGAGAGTCGGCAGTCGGAGTCGGCGAGGGTCTACCGTTGGAGTTCTGCGCCTGTGTAGCTGCTTCTCCTTGTCCGCCACCAGAATCCACATGCAAAGCGTCATCTCCCGCTGACAGTGGACCCGAGCCGAGGTCCTCCTCCTTCTCAGGCGGCTTGATCACGTCCATTGCTGCCATTGCCATGTCGGCCGAGTGGTCCATGCCCCCCTCGTTCTCATGGCCTTGCATCATGCCCATGGAACCATTGAAGTCATCCTCATCCTGCCCAAACGTCGGGCCGCCAGTGCTTTCCCCAAAGAGACTTCCAGCGTCGCTGCCACCAAATAGGCTTGCATGCTCAGGACTCCCCGAACTATGCCCATTGCCATCTCCAAACAAGTTACCGCTTGCATCGCCTTCGTTAGCCGTCGTCGGCCGGTTGCCCGAGGACGCCATGACTCCGTTAGCTGGAGGAACGCCGTTGTTTGTCGAGATTGTGCTTGATAAAAGTGGTTCGTCTTCAATCGTGGGCATCGGAAGTCCGCCCATCGGGCGCAGCTCGATAGCGGAGATCTGACCACCGCTGCCATCGAAGCTCCTCTTGATCTGGCCGTTGTTTAGATCCCAGTCGAAAATGTTCTTGTCCCAGCTGCCGCTTAACACGCTCTTCTCATCTTGGGCCAGAACCAGAACGCTGACAGCGTTAGTGTGTTGCTGCAAGCAGTGGATCTTCTTCCCCTCATCGTGACGCACGCTCTGTAGGTTGATGCCTCCAGATTCCAAGCCCGAAAGAAGCCACAGGGCTTCTGAGTGCACAGCCAGAGAATAGACGTGTGACAGGTTATGATCTTGATCGCTGCGGCCCGGGATAGAGGGCTCTTCATTCTCCCAGTACGACATGAGGATACCGGCTTTGGTAACGCTGTCCACAAACGGGTGCTTCTGCGCCACCGTTAGAGGCAGCTTGCCGTTGATGGTCCCTGGGCCATCGTACTTGCGAATGTACCCATCTGACCCGCCCGTAAACCAGTACCGCAGATCCGGCGTTATAGCCATAGCATTAATGCTCGTCGCCTGAGGTGCTGCCATAGTCGGCACGATATCGTACAGTCGAGCTGTCACAGCCTCCGGACGCACACGCGGCCGTCGAGATTCTGTAAACAGCTTGGGCGTGGTCGCTGGTTGCTTTTCGCGTTGACGGTCAGTCACATGGGGGCTAGTTTCGTCCACATCTTCGTTTTGACCGCTGGCGTCCAGCCGTTCGCCGTCATCACCCTCAGCTGCTGTGTTATGGATATCGCCGTCGCCTTCAGTACTAATGATCTTATCATTGGACTCGTCATTATCGTTATCCGCCTCATTTTCGTCATTGTCGCCATCGTCTTCGTCGTCTTCGTTATTGTTGTCGTCTCCCTCGTCTCCTTCGTCTCCCTCGTCTGCGTCCTCCATGACCTCATCCGCGTCGTTATCATTGTCGTTATCATTATCGCGGTCCGAGTCGCCAGAGCTGGCGGAGTAGCGGCCTTCTTCGAACATGGTTCCTCGGCTTTCTTATATACCTACTAGCTGCTCTCTCGTAGTCCAGTGCGGGACGATGCAGCTCCCATGTTCGGAGGGGCAGCAGGCACAGTGAAGGGAGGGCGCAGTGTCGCTCTGGAGTGCTGCGTTGCTGTGAAAATTCGCTCCAGCTCTCAGGGAAGTTGCTAGAGCACCCGTGTCTTCGTAATCGGTAGGCGACAGCTTGCAGAGCAGTAATGCGGCTGTGTTAATGGCTGTGGTGAACAGGTCAAGAACTGGCTACAGCCTACAAGTGGCTGGATGTCATGGGGCATTGAAGCACGAGCTAAAGATTACAATCGATGTACCTGCCTTTCCTCAAACAAGCCGCCGCAACTTAACCTGTACTCATGCTTGCTGAGGATTGGCATCGTGCTCGCAGACGTATGAACCTTATTTTTGAATTGAAGCCTCGATGGATGCATTGAGGGGGAGGGGTCTGCGAAATATTTAATGTATTCGGTATTTGCGCCCCTAGTTTCATGCGTAGCCCTTCTTTAGAGGTTGGTGACAATCTTTCTTCATTCTTTCATCAAAGATCCAGTATGTCTTCACTAGTAGATTAGCAGAGGCAGAGAGAAGTACATTAACTTCTCATACGTTTTGCTATATCTTGCTATAATTGGCCTACATAATTATGTAATAGTAAACATTAGCTTTTTCAATATTCAGAGCGTTATAGCTCCTGTCAGTATAACAACTGTTATATACTAAGTCGATGATATCGCCCTCGAGCCAAAAGACGTTGGCGGTGGGTGGCTCAACTTTAGTGAGAGGGATCAACATTCAAGATATGCCTTAAGGTTTTACCCGCAGTTTTATCACTTATGACTATGCAGCTAGAAAAAACTCATCAATTTGATATTTAAGACACAATATAGATAAAGTATAGTGAGCATGGACGGGGTAAGTACGGAGTAAGTCTAGGATACCGGATATTACCGGTATAAGCTATATAGTGCAGCATTTGCAGCTATGGTAGAACTTGCTCAAACGTTTTATCTGCAACATACTGGGTGTATTCAACGTGATAGCACTTGCCTTTTGTTTGGCTCCCTTGGTCCCGAAAGACAACGAAAAGTTATAGCCGAGGTTATTACACTAAAAGACCCGCCAGCCATACCTTGGTACTCGTATGACTAACTTGCAAGTAGAAACCGTAAGGTTATTATTGCTTTAGAAAAAAAGGTTATTAGTATGATCCCTTCGGCTGAACGTCAATTGACAACAAAACTGACACCACTTCGATTCTCCAGTCCATGTATCGGCGTTGAATATTGAGTTCAATTTTACGGCCGGGCGCCGCTCTTCAAGCCTTTCACTTCTACTTAATGTGCACGGGAAACGCAGCACGTGGGTGCATGCTATTAGTACCAGCAGTTTTTCGTGAGTTTACAACAAGCATATGAGCGCCCTAATATACAGGAATGAGACGCACGAATAACCCCCGTACGTGTACTCATATCTGTACATTGTAACCAACGAAAAGTGCCGCAAAGTGTAAAGCGGGCGTTAGAGTGGGTAATGAAGCAAGTCCATCTCGTCGAACCCGGCAAAGTTAGTCGGATTGAGGTTAGCTTCGAGGGCGTATTACCTAGCCTAGGTGATATTTATCATCGAGTAATAATCATATTCAAACTCTGCGGCGGTCTCGGAGCCATTATCAGGAGCCTTGTTCGAAGATTTTACTTTACACGCTCATCAGGGGTTCGTTGCACGGTCCTTCGGAGCACAATAAAGGGGGATGATGCAAGTCCCCAGAGACACTATTAGAACCGTCGGCCGCTCGAGAGACTGGGTCTGACGACAAGTTCAGACTGAAAATGCTCCTCATCATTACCGCGGACATTGTATTCCGCGGACAGGAGATCCCACAGCGGAAGGTCACCGCAACCCCATGTCCAGGGGACGAGACCCAGAACGAGCTAGAGTGAAGAAAGGCTTCTACTACAAGCCGCTATTATCCCGATTCCTAGATACATATCGTTTGCATACTGTACTTTTACAACATATGTGCACACCATATGAGTCTAGCACATATTATTACATTTGGTGTAATCGCATGTACTCATAATCGAAGGAATCCCAACTCCGCATGCTACACCACCAGCCTGCATAGATCTTCCTCGTCGTTAGCCTCATCCATTCTTCCAATCTTGGCCCCCTTGTTGTACTGATGTATATGGAGATAACGGGCTTTAAAGGTGTTGGCTCGGCGTTACTAAAACCTGCATGCATGGGAAAGGATCGGAGGATTTCTGGGGGAAGTGCGGATCGGGCAGGAGGAAGTTTCGACTGCCTTCAGGGCTGTTCCCCTATTATCGGGACAGAGGAGTCGTACATACAATGGGCGCAATGATACTAATGATAATACGCTGCATGCAGTGACAACAGAGAAGGGGTGATTGCCATGCGTACGATACTATACTTATCACACGCACCTAAAAGGAACCGAACTCGCGAACAAGGGGCCGAGCTTTGGACTAAGGAACTCAGCAAGCGAAGCAGGTAAGGAAGGCACTAAATAATAAGATATGGGTATACGAGACTTGCGACAGGCATACGAGTATGAGGCGTGCCGGCGTTTGCAGACGATGAATCGCCAGTCCCAGTGTGGGTTCCGGTGTCGCGGCAAAGCCCACTCTATTGTTGTCGACTTTTTAATCTCTCTACGATGTACGCATTTTCTTCTCGCCGAATTTTTTACCGCCGCTGATCTCTTTAATCCCGCCGCTCTTACGAGCAAGTCCGCCCCAAGGTCCAAAATGCATAGTTGAGGGAGCAGAATGCTATTGCTATTGCGCAAGCAGGGCAGTATGATGCACATATATTCATACTTGCGATATTGTAACTATGGGGGAACGCAGAAGAGTATTGTGGATGATCCGTAGTACCGCTCCTTTTCTTTTCGACATCAAGGAGCCTTGACCTGAGTTGAAGGGGGGACCGGTTCTTAGTCGGGCAATGTGGATCGATACAGCTTTTGTGTCCCGCCATCTCTCCCAGGCGTATTTCCTCCACCCGGAATGGGGCTCTAGTCATTTCTTTACTTATCTCGACTGGCTGGATCCCTCCGATTACTATTACTAGTGTGTTCACGTCACCCACTTGATGACATTGGTGGCGGCCGCCTTTGGGGCTGGGGACTCATGTATTTCCATACTACTCGTACAGAGCGGCACTAAGAACAGTGCTAGCCCTGTCCTGACTCTGAGTGCGAGCAGTGCCATAGTATCCCTTCCCTGGGACTTCCCGTATTGGAAGTATATCGGTATTCAAATTTCTCGTACATCAGTCTATTGGCATTGATGATTGTGGAAGGTCCCTGGAACCTCTGGCTTGCTATTTACTCAGCCAATACAGGTTGAGGTTTCGTGTTTTGTTGGTCAGATACTTGGTGGCTGGTGCCCACTGACGGAAATCGATTAATAAATACTCGGGTATTATTTATTCATTAATATATTTCTTCGCGCTAGGAATTATATGTACTAGACTGCCAAAAATTATCGATATATGCGTTTCTTCTTTAGAAGCCTCAGCCCCTCCTCCATTACATTCAATCAACGCTCACCGACACAACACCATCCAAACATTACCGGCATGGAGATTCAGTTCTCTATCTCTGTCAGATCTGGCCCCAGCCGAGATACCAGAAAGCCAAGGCGAGTTTATACTTGTACATCTCTACATCCACTCACCCTTTCCGTTTAATGTCGTCGTGCCTGTCCCCTCCTTGTTTCGTGGCTCAACCTCTGCCGCTACAGACAGAAACCAGAAGTCGCAGGGACACACAGTGGAAAAACTAGCTTCAAGATTTTATCCTGTACATGTGCTTCTGTGACTACGACTTCTTTTCAAATGCACAACTTCGGGTCTGCCTAGCAGCCGGAGCTGACTTCGAGTTTGCCATAGTCCTAGCCCTCTGCTCGCATTACCACCATCGCCATCGGATCCGGAGCTAGAACCGCCATCAAAATCGTCTGGGACTGCGGGAGCTGCAACTAGCCGTGGAGGAGTCCATAGATTCGCACTTGACACGCGGACAAGACACACTCGTCGCAGCTCGACGCGTGCCCGCACAGGCTGTGCAACATGTAAGTGTATCCTACAAGGCCATGTTTCGTTGATAGATTGACCAAGGAATCCGTTTCTCAACAGGCAAGTGAGTTCAACTTCTAATCCAATATGCCGTGTCTCGACTATGAAGAGGAAAAGGATTGGCTTGCTAACCTTACCACCGTAGAAAGCGGCATGTAAAGTGTGACGAGACGAAGCCATCATGCCTCAATTGCGTCAGATGGCGAGGTTATTGCGACGGGTATACTCAGCCTGACAACACCCCTCGCTCATCAGGGGCCTCACCGTCTTCGAAGCTCATTCACACCAAAAAAGCACCACTCGTCCTTAATGAGCCGTCCATCAACACGATACGGTTCAAGAATGGCGAGCAGAGAGCATATTTTGACGAGTGGACTTCGCTTTCTGTCTATTTCCTCAGCGGTGGTTTGAGCCAGACATCATTGTGGACGACCACATTGCCTCAGCTTAGTCTAGAGGAGCCGACGTTACGGACTGCGGCAATGGCTATCGGAGCCCTGAGAAAGGCCTACTCATATGAAGGCCTTCCTATCGGCTCTGTCCTAAGCGACGATAACAGACACTACATCAACGCAATCACCTACTACTGTAAGGCGTTACGCCTTCAAACCAAAGCCATGCCGACGAATGAGGGTATGCGGACCGCACTTCTCTCCTCGCTACTCTTCATATGCTTTGAGGCGCAACGATCGAACATACCGGCCGCCCTCAAGCACGTCACGCATGGTTTTACCATGCTTAACGAGCTAGCTACCTGCACTGAAAATGGCCCGAGCCTGGTCAGCATCGCCCCAGCACCTCCATCGTTGGTTCAGGAGATCCTAGAATGTTATAAGCCCTTGGAGCAACAGTCGAGATCTTTCACCGGCTCATATAGAAAAGTGTTTTTTTTTTCGGAAACAGGCGCACCCAATCAGCCAAACCAGCCCTTCTACACAAATTCAACTATGTACACAGCGAATAACTCGACAACACTAGCCGGGCAGATGTTCAACGATACCCCACCCGGTGGCGGCTCAAACCCGACGGGACTGGGCCTCAACGAGTCGTCTGCCGGCTCGAGCCCCCAAACTTCAAGCCCTCCGAGTCTCCCGGGAACTCCGTGGAGTATGAATGAAGCGGTCACAGTTCTAGGACAGGGACAAAGGAACTCACATGAAGGCTTTCCCAGTCCACAAAGCCAAACTGGCCCCAAATCAAAAAGCAGTCAGACGCCGTTTCGGCTCCAACGACCTACGAGAATTCTGCCGTTTAGCAAGCACTGCCCTTACTTCCGACCTAAGCATTCAAATATCACTTCCCTCGGAACACTTCCAATAACCTTCTCCTCCATCGAAGAGGCCTGGAGTTATTGGGGCTTGTTGCAAAAGCATTTGATGCAACACCAACCGCTCTTCATAGCAGCGACCAGTCAGATCGACCTAGCTCAGGTAACCGATGATGCTGACCTGGAGAGAAGGTTTGCCAGGGCCAGGGAAATGCCGGAGTTTTCTGAGCTTATAACTGAGACTCGATATTGGCTTCAGAGGTGGTGCGAGGCCTTCGATCCTCTATATGAGAATAAGCTACGCGAAAGAGATCAAGACAGGCAGGGGTATCTTGAGGCGGCCAGCCTGCGGATAGAATACCTGGTTGCGTTTATTTACGGCAAGCTTACGCGCTACTCGAAATTAGAAATAGCCATGGCTCTGACTCCGCAATATCGCGAGCTGAACATGCTCTCCGAGACTCTTCTACAGGCACGACCAAGCTGCGGGTTCTCCATGGATCGTGGATGGACCTGGCCTTTATATGTAACGACATATAACTGCAGAGACCCTGCGGTACGTGCTGATGCCATACGGATCCTGGAGCAGTATCCCATTTGCAATGCACTTCGAGACAGCCGAGTGATCAGAGCCATTGCTCTGCGTAACGATGAGGCGGAGCGGGAGAGCGCTGAAGGAGCCGATGGCGACGAGGCACACTGGCTACGCATGCGGCGAAGGGAGATTGTGTTTGATGACCTTGGGAGAAGCGTCATCTTCCGATCAGTGCGACGAGATCACACCGACAATCGCTGGGTGCTGATCGAGGAGGCAGCAGACTTCACGATACAAAAGGATGGGCTACTTCCTTGGAAGCAACAACCTATCTCGGAAGCCAAGTCGATTTTGTATTATTAGTAGTAATCACGTACTGAGTGATACTAAGTGATATATGACTGGCTGTTCGTGCTCCCCAACATATTGGCCGCGAAATCGATACGGCCATTATTATAAAGTACAAGTACGAGCATCGTGCCCAAATTCCAACCAAGTGATATACATGTACTGACTTGTATTATATGTCAGTTTTTAGTATTTGACGAGCTTTTGGATGAAGGCACGTGCGAGCGGGTATAGGACGGACGTAATGATTATGTATTCTGTAAGAGTAAGGGAAGGGTGCGGGTACTCAGTAGAACATGCGGAGTATTACTCCGTAATAATACTACTCCGTATAGTAAGCGGTGATAATTCGCTGTCACGGAATATTACCGGTTCTGTACATCATAATACGAATACGCCATAGGAATTAATATTACTTGCAGAATGCCTTCCTTTTGACTAGCCCACAAATGTCATCAAATCCAGTTCTTGTTGATGTGCCAACCAGATACGAGCTTGCGGAATTCATTGTGTGGGCCTCGCCGGGGGTGGGATCTGTTGATATGAGATTTGCCCCTGTCGCACCAGCAACCGAAGTGGCTGCTCAGGTGGGTCAAGCCAGCGGAAGCGCATAGTTGCTTGGATAAAGGTGGCAATCAAATAAGACGAGAAACCAGAGGAAGAAGAAGGATGAGGATATTAAATAAAAGGAAAGGGGGGACAAGGAAACTGGTATATGAATAACAGAGTGCCAGTTTGACAAAGAAGAAGGAAGTAAGGGTGAGGAGAAAGAAGCAAGATGAGCATACCTGTATAGAGTATCCGTACATGTATGGCAAGAGGAAAGAGGCATTATTGATAAAATACGAACAAAGGAAGGAACGGCCCCATAAATCGGGATGATCAGCCTGGCCTGAGGCCCCGCCGTCACCGCTGAGATCTCGGTAAAACTCAATTGTCTACATAAGAACCACAGTTGGGAAGTCCACTTCAACAATGATGCCGTCAGAGGAAAGTTAGCGATATATTTCTTGCTGATAACCGCTTGCTTTTTAGTCAACAAAAAAAGTAAAGAATAAATAAAGAGAGAAACAAATGCAGTCAAAACTGCACCAGACATTTATCTGAGTATAATACCATTACGGTCAATATTATATTTAGATCAAACTATACGGTTGAAATATTGACACGAGGCTGAGCATAGCGAAGCAGTGCACTGCAGTAAGAGGCTTGTAAAGTAAAGCCCATAACCAAGCTATTTTTGGGCCTAGCGCCGTCAGGACAAGTCTTGGCTGTCGTAACTGAATAGCACTATGGAGTAAGCACATACGAGCATTATTATTATTATAGCATGTGCCTGTGTTGCACCCTCCACCCCGGGGTGAAACAACCTCCTCTACTACTCCACAGTAGTAAGAACACCAAGTGTCTACGGACGTCGTTATCCCAAAAGCACCCTTCCCTCCTTCCTTCCTCCACCCTCTTTTTCTTTCCTTCGGCCCTTTATGTTTCTCGCCTCATTTCTGGGATCTAAATATCCAAATTCTAACCGCTATTGAGACATTTAGCCATACTCTAGAACCCAGCGCCTTTTGGGTCAAACTGCGCCTTTGTTGTCTCACTGTTGCAAGAGTGAGCGAGGAGAAAAGGCACTCTTTCAAAACGTACAGTCGCAAGTCCGACGCATTATTGTCATGTTTGTCGCATCACAACCAAGCCAATATTACTGCTATTTCACATGAGCCGCCTGCTGATTTAACTTAGTCGTCTTTACCGTGCAGCCCACAGCAAAGCTTTACCTACTCGTACTGTCCGAACCCGCACTTTAGCTGTGTGCTCGGCAAGCATCCTGGCAAGCCTGGTCCCTCATCCATCTTCGCTCTACTCTCTTTTTTCGACAACACCATTTTCGTTTTCTCGACAGTCGTCTGCTCTCCCTGTAGCAGCATTTGACTGATTCTGCCGATCTTCCCGCGATTGTTTTGCCAGCTCCCTCGAGAACATATGTCATCATAATTCTCTCCCTCCAACCGCCGCCTTCCGGGACGATTAAATATCGAGAGCAGACACGGCTTGGGAACCCCCCCCCCCACCCCACACACACCTCGACTGTCCGTTTGCGAGTGCACTATCCGCCAACTCGGGTTGCCTCTGTTGATCAATCAAGCCTCTGAGACACAGGCTTTGCTGTCAGCGTCCCTGGGGTCCCAGATCCCTACTCCTGGGGCGTAATACACCGCTTCTCATTCCTGGATTCTCACTCCCTACCAGAAGTTATCCTATTCCCTCTACTCGGAAAGGGAAGTGGTTATTCAAAACGTCCATTTTCAGCGATGTCACGCTCCCACGCTCGCCAAGGCTCTTACCGGAGGGAGTTCAACGAGTCAACTTACGACTCCCCCTCCCGCCAACCGCTTGCTTCCAACTCGGACTACGTACAACCAAGTCCCCCTCCAGCCTACGCTGACGCATCACCCTCTCGTCACAGCCCAACCAGGGCTTCTTCCTCAAGCCGAACTTACGCACCAATTCCACACGATTCAAACAGCTACAAATCTGCCTCGATCGACGAGGCTCCGCCGCTGCCGCCGCATGCCGACGGCACCTATTTAAGAGGAGGTGCGGCTTATTATGACGAGATAATGACCAAGTAAGCCACCATCAGCCTGGGGACTTGACTCTTCTCTCCCTCTATATCGCTACAGCCTTTGACAGTGATATTTCTAGTGAAAGTGCTTCCGTGTCTGGCGCGATGGACGCCAACGACCGCGTAGCATCCAATCGCAGCCCCCGCGAAACTGGTCAGGTTCCCCCACCGCCTTCGCGTGCAGCCCAGCCAAATGCTTCGCAGTATGCTGGTGGCGGCTATGTGTACGATAGTCAAGGGGCAAGAGGCACTACAGAGCCCATTCCCTCGCACCAGAATAGCCTACATAATCTGGGCTACCCCAGCAATCCTTATGGAGACGATGTGTACCAGAGTTATTATTCAAATTCATCCCGGAGCGTTGACCGCCGCTTGGGCGAGGTCAACCCGAACGAGATCGAGGACGATGGCGATGACGGTCTGAATTACCATCCGCGGTACAGTCAGAGAAATTCAATGCTTAGTTCGTTGCATAACTCAGACCGCGGAGCTCGGTCTGGTGCTGCCGCGGCCGGTACCGCTGGTGGAGTTACAATGGGTGGACTAATGGGCCGCCGTCACGAGGGTACGGATACAAATGAGACGGGCTGAACGATGGAGGATTGAACTCTACTAACAAATATGAACCTGTCTAGGTGATCCCGAATACAACCTTGCAGAGGGTGTCGAAAAGAAGCGTGGGAAGAAAGACGGCTTGAGCAAGAGGGGCAGGTGGATCATCATTATTGGTGTTGCACTTCTCATCATTGGTGTCGTCGTCGCCGGTGTGGTCGGCGGCATGGTTGCCAACAACAAGAAACAGGGCGACGACCATTCCACCGCAGAATCGGCTAAGGAGGACGCCAAGTCCAATGGCGACCTGGACGCTGACAGCAACGAAATCAAGGAACTACTCAACAACCCAGATCTACACAAGGTCTTCCGCGGTATGGATTACACACCCCTGAACGCGCAGTACCCAGATTGCGTCGAGAACCCTCCGTCACAGAACAACATTACTCGGGACATAGCGGTGCTGAGTCAGTTGACCAACAAGGTCCGACTCTATGGCACTGACTGTAACCAGACTGAGATGGTCCTTCACTCCATCAAGAAGCTGAAACTGGAGGACGACGTCAAGGTCTGGTTGGGCGTCTGGCAAGACGGCAATGCGACAACAAGCAAGCGCCAACTTCAACAGATGTGGAATATTCTCGACGAGTATGGTCAGGATCAGTTTGAGGGTCTCATTGTTGCTAATGAGATTCTCTTCCGTGAGGAGATGACGATTACCGAGCTCGGCAACGTGCTCGATGACGTCCGTTCCAACCTGACGAAACGCAATATGGACTTGCCGGTCGCCACATCGGATTTGGGCGACGACTGGACAAAGGCGCTGGCTGCCAAGAGCGACTACATCATGTCCAACATCCATCCCTTTTTTGCAGGAACGCCCTCCGATAATGCTGCGGCTTGGACCATGAGCTTCTGGGAGAATAACAACGGTCCTATGTTCAAGAGTGACAAGCAAAAGAACATCATCTCCGAGACTGGGTGGCCCACGGGTGGCGGCACTAACTGCGGCACTGATGCGGTCACGAAGTGTGCCAAAGGTTCCGTAGCCAGCGTTGACGGTCTCAACCAGTTTCTGGAGGACTTCGTCTGCCAGGCCCTCAAAAACGGAACAAATTACTTCTGGTTCTCAGCCTTTGACGAACCTTGGAAGATTCGCTACAACGAAAAAGGAAAGAACTGGGAGGACAAGTGGGGACTTATGGACGTCAACCGCAACATCAAAGATGGCGTTAAGATCCCCGATTGCGACGGCAAGGAAGTCCCAGCATGAACAATGTCAACGGCTATGATAACATTAACCTTTCGCCCCGTCTTTCTCCCACACGAACCCCACCCCCTCGTCTTTATTCACTTCTTTTTTCCCCTATTTGCTTTCTTTTCGCGGGTAGGAGTTTCGGTGTTATTATGGAATTGGGGAACTAAAAAGGTTGCTAGTTCTTGTATATCTCTTGTGTTCTTTGCTGACATCCTATGTCATCCATTTCGATTATGGCCACGTAGAGGGGAGGACTACATCAAGGGGTTGGGACATGATGGATTTACAGGCTAGTAACTTATTTCATATTATGCTGAACAGGACTGTATTTAATTGCGTGCACACCTTTCTTTTCGAGATGGGGAATATTTTCACTACGATATTTGCAGCTTGGATAGATAAGAGAATATTATATCAAGGAGATGGTAACCATGATTCATACGTAGGGATATATAGTGAGACAGACAGGATCGAACACGCAGCGATTCTCACTCTCAGCATTTTCAAACATCCAACATTGAATATCTTTGAGTGAAGGGATAGGCAGTCTCAAGACGTCTAGTGTGATGTAATGACCGGCGATAGTGTGTATCAATGTTGGCGCCGGCGCTAATATAATACACCCGTCACATGTGATGACAGCCTTTCAGTTGATTATGAACGGAGTCAAAGACATAACCCCGCAGCGGTTTTGTAAAACTAAAGAGTCTTGATGTGTCGATCAAGTTTCCAAATTCTATGTACACACGCCGACCACGCAGGCGTTTGATATATGCTGTAGATGCTCCATTTATGACCGCATCGATGGCCGTAACGTCTTTTATGAAAGATGCTACACAACGGGTCCACCACACCTATGGACAATGGTAGAACCTTGGTGTATTTGAGCCTGGGTGGCTCTGCGATAAAACCGAAGGTAGGAGATCTTATTGGACCTTCGAAGATGGAGTTTCTGGGAAACTCGTGGTTTCCACTGACTTATGCGATTCGCTCAGGTACTGCTTGGGCTTGGACAGTTGTTGCTTGTCATCGTCTGGCCGATCTTTGAGTGTTTCCACAGGGGTTGAGTCCTTTTCCCAGTCTAACGATGGCTCCCCTTTCGATTTCTGGCCTTGTGGCATCACTTCCTTTGATGAACGCCAGTAGAAGGACGTGCTTGTGAAAGCCGTTGTTGAAGCGTCTTGGGGAAACTTTCGCTTACTATAAGTATTTTCCATTATCTTGACATTGCTAGTGCAGACAATGTCGTTTTCTGTTTTGCCAAAGGTCACCCTTCAAGCCTAGTCAGCATCATAGCTCTTGGAGGGAAATAGAGAGGACTCACCAGTCCCACACATCCAGGTCGGTCCCAACGAATATTGCTGGAAGGTCACCCTCCAAGGCTTTTGCGTAGATGGGCCGGTAGAGATGTACGCCAAAGAGAGCCGTGCAGGTATTGATATGTTCAAATCCACCCGGCGTTTCGACGACCTTGTGACCAAGCGATTCAATAAACTTCTTGTCGGATGCCGTAAATATGGGCTCTTGGAATGTACATTCAATCTTCGATCCATTCTTCTTCTCTGTCGGAAAAATCAGCATCTTCTGTATCGTGGAATTTCAGCAGATTCACTGATATATCAATACTTACCCAGGCACTCGACCATAGTCAAAAAAGCCATCAACTGAACAAAGGTCCGCCTCTTCGTTTCCCATCCTCCATCTGGAGGGTCGAATGTGCCGATGCCGAGACACACTGCGCGAGACACGGGGAAAACATCAATATTGGTTACGTGTCGCTTCAGTTCCCTGCAAGCCGCCTCCTTCTCCCACTGAGATCGCACATGGCGGTATTCAGCAGCAATCTCCTCCAGCGACCGGATGTTCTCGGTTTGGGGCTTTAATGAAAATGCCTCGAATTGTTCCTGCATATATTTTACACCACTGCGTATCTTGGTGCCATGCCGTCGTGACTTAAGTTTGACGTGGACCCATTCATTATGAACATCATCAGGGTTTGATGATGGAGGTGTTGAATGGAACGACATGATGTATGTATAGTTGCACAAGCGCCCACTAGAGCTTGGAACAGATCAGCAGTCTGCACCAGTGATGCTAGGTCGTATGATAATGTAATAGGATGCAACAGGGATCGTGGGCCGGATTCCGAGAGTTGGTTCATACTCATTAGGGTCAAGATTTCATCACGAAATTGGGTCTGTCCAGGTTAGTCAATTGTGTGCATAATTTTTTTCCTTTTTTCCCTTCTTTCCCGGTGGGAGCTTCAGCAAGCGCTTGGAGGGGTGGGGCGCCACAACTCTTGACTTGGCAGTCCGAGGTCTGCGCAGTAATACTGTACGGCATTATTAATACTGAGGAAGATTGGGAGGGAGGTTTTGATGTAGCTGTTTTGCAGGCCTGCTAGTTCGCAAATGCACCAACTGACAACTCAAGACGTATATTAGTATCTGTGTTTCCCCTCTTTGAACTCTACCGTTTATCTATCCATCAATCTGTTCAATCATTGCATACTACCACATCCTCGTACGACGGTAATATCAGCATTCCGTGTGCCCACTGCCCACACACAGCACGCTTCGTGTGCATATTGCTCGGACCGCCAATTGGGTCGCCGTTGGTAAAGCTCCACCCATAGAGCAGGAAGATGACCAGGACCCGGGCGCTTAGCTGCCAGCTCTTCCAACCATGTTGCAGGATCGCCATAGCGAGTCGCCCGCCCTCTATCATCCCATTGGCCATCACATATTGATTGAGAGTACGCTGAGGGATGCAAGTCCTTTTGACTGCTGCTGGATGTGCACCTTTGCCGCCCGTGATTTGACCATGCCAGCCACGCCGTGCGGCATCACAGCGGGGAGCGACAAATGGCATGCCGGGAACCATGGCCTCCTGGGCGGTTGCGCATCTCCCGGGTCCTTGCGTAGGCCTTCTCCATAAGAGTCGTCCGGCTCGCTGCCATGCATGTCTGCGTTGACTTCTTTGCTCTCATTTCAAACCATTAAACCTACGAATATAGAGTGTTGCAAAGCTCATTCAACTCACGTCGCTTTTTACCGTTGCTCGCCAGAAAAAAACTAGTAGTACTAACAGGAGCTCGACACCGTCGACTCCCATCTCTTTTATTCTTTGTTTCTTGTCGTTGTCTCCTGGTCGCCTGCCCTCTCTACCTTGCCTAGAGGTATACGAGATTTTAATTCTCTGTCGCCCATGGTTGTCTAACTTGACTGAGGAGATTAGATTCAACTCCGGCACAAGGCCTTGATACCTTTTTGTCAGCGTATTGACGCATATTTGGCGACGCAAAGACATCCAACACCTACTACATAAAACACACTTCCGCAATGTACTCACCAATATTCCTGGCTGCCTTCATGACGGCACTGGCCTCGGCGCACTCAGTTATCACTTATCCAGGCTGGCGAGGGAACAACCTCGTCACTAACGAGACCTTTCCCTATGGCATGCAGTGGATGTATCCTTGTAAGTCGTCGGCTCTTCTATACCGCATGTTGATCTAATCAAGTTTCCTAATATCACACAACAGGCGGCGGCATTGGTACCACGACGAACCGTACATACTGGCCTACCACTGGTGGTGCTGTTGCTTTCCAGCCTGGCTGGTTTCGTGGCCACGCCACCGTTGACGTCTACATCAATCTCGGATTTGGCACTGACGGCCCCGACAATGGTCCCGTTGACATGTCCAACCCCATGCTTCCTGCTGTTCAGGTTCTTGGCCCTACGAATGGTCCTTACCCCGGAACCATCTGTTTCCCGCAGGTTCCTCTGCCGAAAGGCGTCGACGTCAAGGCTGGCGACAAGGCCACTATTCAAGTCGTCGAATTGGCCGTTCACGGAGCAGCTCTGTTCTCAGTAAGGTCTCCTTTCCATCTTTATAGATTCCCATAGTCCTCGAAAACTAACCGGACGGACTCAGTGTGTTGATATCGAGTTTGCCGAGCCGGGAGACCCCAAGATCGCTGAGGTCAACGAGACGAACTGCTTCAACTCCACCAGCCTGGGCTTTGCCGACATCTACACCATTGCTACCACCAACCCCGCCACGGGCAAGCGTTACGATGAAAACGAGTCGGCCGCCGACCACACAACCCCGCGACAGTTTGGCTGGGTCGCCATGCTGATTGTCGCCGGCCTCTGGGCTTCACTTTAGAAGTCTGGCAGACCAGAACCTGGTCTGTTCGTCAATGCGTGTATGATTCAGGTCATGATGGCGTTTTGGGAGTTCTGGAGCTAGACAAGGGTTTTCTTGATTATGAATATTGTGTGGGTGCGGATTTTTCTATTTCATTTCACTACTTTTCTTATTACTCCCACTCGACACCAAATAGTACGTAGATGCTCGTTGCGGTATGCATGACTATTCTATCCATATAATATGGGAACACAAAAGAACATATCTCTATCTCCCAACCATAACTCGTGTGGCTATATATATGTATCTGCGAACTACACCATAGGGCGTTCTATGAAGTGATGACGGAATTATTACGGAGCAGATGGCTAGAGCTCACTAGTACTATACATAGATTCACTCCGAATCTACAGAGTGTGCTACGGTAGGCATTTGAGTCAAGTCGTTCATGTGATGAACGCACACTGGGGGGTAATCATACCTATTTACTGAACCATTCAACCCGACTGTACTACCTACTACTCAGGTAAAGCAAAGGGGTATGCCTCATCGTTATTTCAACGCAAGCTGCAAGCATTCCCGCGATACAGCCTTGATCCTCTCCTCGGTACCCTTGTCGGACGCCGCCTGCACCCAGGCTTTGATGCCTAGACCAGTAGCGATCTCTGGTGCGACGGAGAGTATGGTGCCCAGTGCCACAAGTGAGCGGTATAGGACCTCGGTGTCGGACTGTCTCGTCAAGATTTCCCCGAGTATGACAAGAAGACGACGACGATGGGCCGGTGTCAATAGCCTCTCTCTTGCCACTAAGACGGCCAGGTTTAGAGAGACAGTAGAGATAGCAATGAGCACATTGCGGTTGATCTTTCCGACGCCCTCATGCCCCTCGACTCCGACAATTCGCTCAAGAAACGAGATAATGACATCAGATCTGGTGCTGGCAAGACTCCGTCCGTCGGCCGTTGCAAAAACATTGGCAATGGCCCGGGCACCCATCATTGCGGCATTTTCGTTAGGTTTCGCGTTTTTAGGGAGTGACGAAGCAATGGCTAGGTCAATGAAGGATCCGTGAGTCTCGCTCGAATACTTGGCAACGATGGAGTACCTGGCTATGCATCGTAGTATATCAAGACCGGCCAGCCTGTCTGAGTACGGCCACAGAGTGACAATGCGCACAACAAGATCCAGTGATTTTGCAGGGATGGCCTTAGAAAATTCCAAGGATGACCGTAGTTCCTCCAAGACAAAAACCTCGTCGGGGTTCAAGGCAGCGTCCTTCCGACCGGAAGAGACCATGTTCTTATTAATAGATAAGACTTTGTTAAAGATAGCTACCGCCCAATGTCAGTACGATTGTGTAAGTAACAAATACAGTGCTCAGTACTGTACCTTCATACTTTGCCGCCGATATACTCAGGTATTCTTTTTGGGGAACCACCTTTGGCTGCTGCAATTTTCCAGCTTCGCCTGGACGGTATCGTGACTCGGTTCCGTAGGGATCGGGACCACTGGACTGCTCCTGTGGGCCCAGAGTCGCACCTTGAGTGTTTTGTATTATGAAGTTAGCGACATTGTCGAGGTATGTCATTGGAAGCTCATTATCGCCCAGAAACTTTGTGGCTCGTTCGTAGGGGTTCTCAGAGAGATTGTATGGAAGCTTCAGAGGAGGCTTCTCGTCTTCGATATCGACGTCAAAAACGTAGTCGTAGGATGCGCCCTTATATTCGACCTTCTTGCCCGAACTTCCTACTGCGTCGACAACTGTCCCAACGTTCACCCATTGCTGCTGACTCATAGACCATTGGTGAGCTGTAACGGAACCGTTGGGCTCACTGATCATCTGGACTTGGCCTTCCTTGGTTCCCGATTTTGAAGTAAGGAAATCGGGGCCGGGAAGTTTCTCCCTGTTGATACCTCCGAGTTGTTGTTGAGGGATAGCCGAGCCTTTGACCGAGTCCTCGAACTCCCGCAAACTCTCGGCATCTGCTACCCGGTCTTGGCTGCGGGTGAATATACGAGCGACACCGTCGCTCGCTCCAGTGGCAATGTCCCCAGATTCTGGGCATACTGCAACACTCCAGACCGAGATGGCGGGGTGTGTAATAGTCTGGATACATTCAGAGCCCCTCCAAACCCTGACGGTTCGGTCCTCGCCCGAGCTGACTAGCTCCCCTGTGGATGTGCTAGCTAGAGAGTAAATAAAGCTATCGTGGCCATGAAGCTCAGATACTTGCTGCCCGTCAATCTTCCACAGACGCAAAATCCCATCATTGCTCGCGCTCGCAATGTCAGCTCCGCTGGGGTGGTTTTTGGGAACTTTGCAGAGTGCACGAACGACATCAGGTGTATAGATGGTTGACCGGGGAAGAACCTCGCCAGCCGTGGATTGTTTGAGATCAAATATGCGGATGCCTTTGTCAGCACAGCCTGTGGCTACGGTCGTCTCATCCAAGGCAACGACACTCCACACCGCTTTGCCGTCATGGCCTCCGAGAGTGAGCTTAGTCTCCCACGTCTCGAGATGCCACACGCGGACCTGGCCATCCCAGCCGCCAGATACGAAGTATGTACCATCTGGGGAAACATCGAGTGTGCAGACGTTGTGCGAGTGGCCCACTAGGAGACGATCAGCGTTGTCTGTGCTCGAGCGGGTCGGTGACTTGACTTCGATAATCGTATCCTTCCCGCCCGACACCACCAGTCCATCTGGGTGCTGCTGGTTTGGCGGAAAGAAGGTTAAGGAGTTAATGTACTCGGACCCACGACTCAAAAGCTGTCCTTCGAAAGAGTACGGGGGACTCTGGCTGCGTCGCCATACCCTAACACTGGTGTCTCGAGATGCCGACATGACAAGGCTGGGGGAGGGAAATGTGACGGCTCGCACCTGAAATAAATATAGTTAGAATATATGTGCACCATAGCCAAGCATATGTAAATAGCCCTTACATCGGATTCATGTCCGACAAGCTGTGCCGACAGCTTGAAGTCACCGTCAGCCATGGTTGCGGCAACAATGGATGAACGTCCAAAGCAGTAGCAAGCGGGGATCCTCTGTTCAGTTGCGGAGAAGGTGAGGGAAGTGTGAAGCAAGTGGATATGTGCACGTAGTCAAATGAGGAATTCTGAAAAGAACGAAAGCAAGGGAGCTAATATGTAAAGAGTCGCTTCGCAGAAGATTCCGATGATGGAACCACGTCAACTCAGTGTCTATCGGTACGATGGATGGTAATGGAACATCAGAGAGCTGCTGCTGCTGATGATGTAACACATATGGACCAGATGTGGCTGGTGACAACGGAGGTAACGCCACACTGCCCCTCCATTTGTGGCAGCGAAATTGGGTAGCGGCTGGAGGAAGGAGCCCCTCCGGTTGGTTGCTCCGTTGCCCTGTGCGCTCAGTGAGCTTGATTGAGGCTCCCCGCGTTTGGGACTTTTCGCGTCGCCGGTTTATCTTTACTTTCCCTTAAGCAAGGTCGTTTGACCACCTCAGCTAGGGCCCCAAACAATCACACACTCTCTTCGCCACGCAGCCCTCATCGTCTTTTTTTTTTTTTAGTCATTATCTTGTCGACGAAATCGCATCCATCAGGTTCCAATTACGTGCTCTCTCACCGGCTCTTTCTAGCTGCTGTCTCCTTCGAACCCTTCATCGGGATACCCACGAGCAGTTCAGTGCATCAAAGCCTCGCTTAGAGGAGCAGACGAAGAAATCTCTCATTTATTGACGACGAATACGACCGTAACGAATCTCCTTTGTTCGCTATACCGGCTCTTCCTGCCATCCTTTTTGCGACACTATAGAACTTGTTCTACCTGCAACGTGGACATACGGAAAACCCCCTTTTTTGCAACTCGCACACATCGACATTCGTACAGGCCCGATCGAATTCAAAAGAGGCAATGGCTACTGAAAGCTCGAGGCAGTATGTGCCTCTTACCTGTCATGGCCACTCGAGACCTGTTCCTCACATTAGCTTCTCCCATCTTGAGAAGGAGGAGACTTACTATATTATTTCTGCTTGCAAAGGTTGTATTGCCCAGTTTGATGTTGCTACTTGACGCTGACAGGCGGTTAGATGGGAACCCTATGCTTCGAGACGGAGTTACTGGCGACTGGTAGGCAAGCGTGTAATTAAACATATTCCCATTTCTCGGCCTGCTAAGTGTTCTTCCTAGGATCGGAACCTTCATCGGGCACAAGGGTGCCGTCTGGCAAGCCAGATTGAGTCCGGATGCCTCCAATGCCGCCACCGCCTCGGCTGATTTTACTGCGTGCGTTCCTAGGTCTCGTTTGATTTCTCCGGCTATCATACTAACCTTATTATAGCAAGATTTGGGACACCCACACTGGCGAGCTCCTCTATACTCTTCAACATGACCACATTGTCCGTGCGATTGCCTACCCTCCCGACAACTCCGACCTCATTGCTACCGGCGGCATGGAGAAAAAACTTCGCGTGTTTGATCTGACAGACCTTCCCCGAACTGGCACCGGCGATCCGATCACAATTCCCGCATCGACCGGCTTCGAGATCGGTGAAGGTGTCCACGGTGGCAGCATCAAATTTATCTGCTGGACCCACGACCCCAACATTGTCGTCACTGCTTCAGACAAAACCCTGCGCTGGCTTGATCTCCCTAGCCGCGCTTGCGTGCACCACGAGATTCTTGATGGTGAAATCAAATCTTGCGAGATTGTTAGCCTGTCGCCTGAACATGCGTCACCAAGTGACATTGGAGGCGGGAAGCCCGTCTTGTCAGTCGCGGCGGGGAAGACTGTATACTTTTGGGGGGGGCTCAGGGCCATGGATGAACTGAAGCGTATCACGCTTCCATACTCCATTGCTAGTGTCGCACTTGACCTCAAGGGGCGCAAGTTCGTGGTGGGCGAGGAGCCTGGGACGTGGGCCAGGGTCATTAATTATGACGATGAAACTGAGCTGGACGTTCACAAGGGCCATCATGGGCCCATCTGGTCTATCGGGTTTTCTCCAGATGGTAAGCTCTACGCTACAGGTTCCGAAGATGGAACAATAAAGCTCTGGAAAAATTGCGAAGGCTTCTATGGACTCTGGAGAGGAGGAGCAGAGCGTTCCGCAGAATAGAGAAATATGGCACGCAGCTCAAACTCTCCTATTTCTGAAGATAGCGAGATTGCGGATGGCCGACGGCTATTCACACCATTAACTGCGGAGTATTCAGACCAGGAATACACCCGCTGTTAGGGAGGACCTACGAGAGAATCTCACTGAACCCTGTCAGCAAGGCGTGGCCAGCTGTTCTAACAGACTCCCGAGTCAGACATGGATACAAGTAATCAGGCTCTCATTATGGTCGATGGATTGTATCGACCCATGGAATCGTGACTCATGTTCCAGTCAGTGCCTTCCCCCGCACATGCTAGATCAGCAGGTGAGGATTAGACAATTCGTGCATTGCCATATTCTCGAGTCGGAACTGTGAGGCACACAACATTTGTCTATTATTGGCATACCATCCATCATCCAGTGAAACACTACTATATAACTCCATGTCGACAGGCATCTATCCTCATCATCGATACACCTTATCACCCACATTGAATGTTCACTCCACGATCCCGTCGCTAAGGGGTAAATATTGCTTCCCTTGCCTCTACGCTGTCTCTTTCATCCCATGACTATGGAAGGGCCTCCTTCTACACTAGAAAGGAGTTCCTCCTGCCATTATTGCGCCTCAATAAAAGCTCCGTGGATAAACATGTTATTATTAATCATATTTCGTCCTTAAAACCACTCACTGAACTATGTTTCCCTGTCTCCGGAGCACAATCTCGACAGATATAGCGACTATCCATCTATGGGCATTTTCACAAGATCAGAGTTCAATTCCTATCATCAACAGCTCAACTATTTTCAGAAGGGTCGTGTTATAAGCCAATTGCTTTTTAACCATGGCTCCTTCACCCTCCAAATCGTCTTAAACACCGCCAATGCATGGCTATATGTTGGAACACATCCAATGTGGAGGAATGTACAGGAAGAACTGTCAGAACAACGCAGAAGAACTTATAACGACGACTAAGCAATTCCTAAATCTCTACAGATTGTTCTTTACCCATTGAAAAAGTTTCCAACACAGGCGTACCATCATTAGGCTAATTGAGAACAAAGAGAATATAAATACTTATTAATTCCAAAGGCCTTCTTCCCTGGTAAGGTGCTAACACCTTCTCATTATCAAAATCAAATGCAAAAACACACAAACAGATATTAGAATATATATTGCAACGTGCTAAATAATCTTCCTTAACGATATCGAGGATTTAGCAACCTTCCATACTAGTAGGTCAATGTCTCTTGTCATTTTCTAGGAATCTCCTTTGAATATAACAATTAATAGATAATATCGTGTAGAATAGTCCAAATTTCAAAAATTATTCATAACACTCTTCTTTGTCGAATGCAGAATGCCCGCGCTAAATTCACTGCTTTTCATAATTCTAAGATTGGACAAATGTTTTCATTTCATCCCTCCCTCTCTATTCCATTCCATTTTATAGTAGAAGCTAGTAACCTTTTTGTTTTTGATTTAGATAGACATTAAATATTCAAAGTAAAGAGGGAAAAAAGCATATAAGAATCTTTATGATTTCTATATGCTTGGCTGGAATAGAATGGAACGCATTTGAATATTATATATATCACAAACACATCTTTAATCATTGAAAAACAAGCGCACAAAAACTCCACTATATTTGATTGTAAGAGTACACCGATTATTTAAAACTACGGCAAGCATTTCTCTAAGTGTTTATACTGTTTACCTCCACGCTTCAAAGGCTTTTATGAGATAATCTTTAATACAATATCCGTTCTTCAGCATCTGAGGCTACTTTTTGACTAATTACGGGACCCCTTGAAAAATTATTGTTGATCATACGATTCAAAGATATATATCTATGTATACTTATATAAAAGAAACAGTTTCTAAGCTACTTTCACTTTTATGTTTAATTGTTTGGTACCTGGCTATTACTATTTTTCAATCATTTGCCAGGTTTCCCATATTGTTCAAAATCATCGCCATGCAACCCTAGCATTCTTTCCTATAATTTTCGTTTTCGAGTAATCTGGGGCTGCACATGTGCGCTTGATAAGCTTTGCCATATTTCCACTGTAGTGAGTGGTATAGAGAATCATACATTTTGGTTTAGCATTGTTTATTGTGAATGAAAGATTTGAAATAAGTAATCAAACTCTTCGTGGGCGATATTTTAGCCTCTGTTGTTGTGGCCCAAGGTTTTTTTTTAAAAAAATACAGTAGCGGGATCCACCTAGCGGCTGTTTTAGTAGATCTTCCCTTATCCGATCGTTCAGTTATTTATTTCTCTTCTTTATTGCTGTTCTTCTGTAGGTAGGATTACTAATAGTTGGGCGTGAAAACTTTTATTATATTCTCTTTTTATCCTAGCCCAACTTCTCGCTCCCCCAAGCTATCTTCTTCATCATCTCTCACCCATCATGACCAAACTCTCCACCAAGTCTGATCAAAATGAGCAACAGCGCCACGACCAAAGCTACAATATACTTTCCTATGGTTTCGGTAGTCGATGATGCTAAATTCGTCTCGACTCTAGCCGATACTGTCAATGCAGTCTACGCCGAAGCAGAAAATGGCATATTCATTACAGGCTACAAGAGAACTAGCCCTTCGGAAATAATCGACCTTATCCGGCATGGCCAACTCGCTGTGATGTCTCTAGATACTTCTCAGAAAATAGCAGGTTGTATCTTCGTGAAGAGATTGTCTCTCACGCACGGCGAGTTTGGTATGATGGCGATAGATTCCATCTATCGTGGTCGTGGATTTGGGAAACAACTGGTTACATTTGCAGAAGCACATTGTCGCGGTCAGGGCTGCACAACAATGCGGGCAGAGTTGTTAGTCCCCACAACGTTTGTCCATCCGTTTAAAGAAAGATTGGAGGCATGGTATCTTAGAATGGGGTATATGATTGTAAAGCTGGGTCAGTTTGATCAGGAATATCCTGCCTTGGCTCCCCTGCTGACCGGCCCAGCCGAGTATAGAATCCTGGAGAAGGTGCTTTGACTTATCCAGTGTCATATCCATTGGGATATTTAGCGAGGGATACGGGTAATCTAACACAGTTATTACGAGTCAATGACAATATAGAAGTCTTTGCGCGTTAGAAGTTGTTCATATTCGTTGTACCCTGTGTGTTCCTCGGTTTGTATGCACAGGCCTTCCCACCTTTCAAGTTTCAGTTGTGGATGCACCCACCCCCTCCAGGGGAGGCCTCAAGGGCCGATCCAAGGGGCGTGTCGGGTGGAAAATATGAGGCCTGAAAGCCACACTCTCCGTTCTGCCCTCTCGCACTGTATGAATAAAAAGTTGTGTATCCAAGACCCGAAGGTACAATTTTCTAGGTTCCGCATGCACTCCACAACGCGCTTATCATCGCGGGAAGAAAACCTTAAGTTCTATCATGTTGTGATCTAATAAAGACTAATGTCGAGTTTAACTATACGGGCGTTAAAGACGACACACAAGCAAGACCGTGTGTAGGAAATCAAAGATTGCGGTAGTGTGACGTTGGGTTCAACTCTCAGTTATAGTCGTAGGTGCTTATATTAAGAACTAGTTTTAATAGAAGCGTTAACTTTATTAATAGCTAGGTAGAGAGTGAGTAGACTAGGGAAACGAGGTTAACTATATACTAGGCGATTATAAGGGGACTATAGTAATTAGTTATAGGCCAATTACTACGATTTAGTAGTAATCGTAGTAATCGCTCTTAAGGCGATTTATAGTGATTCTTAATAAAGTGGCATAATCGCGTGTAAGTAAGTGTAATAATAAGTAAGAGGAAAGAAAATTTAGGGTGCACGTGAAGGTCGCATAACGGGTCGTAATACCTAGCGATCATTCATTTTTCTAAAGATTATAGCGCGATTACCTTATTGCTTAGTTTAACGCCCTAACGGCCTCGCTAATATAAAACCGACACTTCTCTAACTACCCTATAGCATAGAGTCGTACCAACCGTCACACTTCTATAGGAAGGTATTTTTAAATAGGGTAGTAGTCTGATTTTTAAACCTCTTATAATCTATAACGTCTGGTCAGCTCTAAACTACAGGGTAGATAGAGATGATATCGTTTTATATTAGCGAGGTGTTACGGCCCGTTATGCGACCTTCACGTGTACCCCACATTTTCCTTACTTATCACTATTGCGCCCACTTATACACGATCGCTTAGTTCTAAGTAACGATTATTACGATCGCTCCTAGGATCGTAGCGACTACTAGGATAATTACTATAATCGCCTTACGAATCCTAGCGATCGCCTAGTATATAGTTAACCTTATTTCTATAGCCTAGTCACTCTTTACCTAGCTATTAATATAATAGTTAACGCTTCTTTTAGAACCCTAGTTCCTTCTATAATTAGCACCTATAACTATAACTGCCTTATTGCTTAGTTAGACGCCCTAACGGCCTCGCTAACATAAAACCGACACTTCTCTGACTACCCTGTAGCCCAGAGTCGTACCAACCGTCACACGAGGCCGTTAGGGCGTTAAACTAAGCAATAAGGCAGTTATAGTCGTAAGTGCTTGTTCTTAGGGAACTAGTTCTAATAGAAGCGTTGACTATTGTATTAATAGCTAGGTAAAGAGTAACTAGGCTATAGAAATGAGGTTAACTATATACTAGGCGATCATTAGAGTGCCCGGGGCGATCGTAATGATCAGGGGTTGTGCGGTTATGATCGCAATGATGATCATTGTGATCATTTTAAAGAATAAGTGATCGTGATGATCGCTTTATTGGTGTAAGTGAACGTCGTGATAAGTAAGGTAGAAAAGAAAAATATGGGGTACACGTGAAGGTCGCATGACGGGTCGTGATATAATCGCCTTCAAGTTGTTAATATTCTTTAAGCTTATAGGTTTTAAAGAAAGTATTATACTTCTATTAAGCCTTAATTATAGTTTTATCTCTGTCTATAGTATAGTTAATAGGGTTATATTTAAACGCTTAGTAGAGATCTATAAGCCAATTTGTTATCAGTAGTAGAGTAGCATCTGCCCATGACCAGCATCACCTTTAGTAGAGCGAGGCTAATGCACACATAGAAAGGTTCTATCGGTTCAAGACATCAATGGCCGTCTTACTCACTCATGTCTGCTCGGGAGAACACTCATTGCACTCATTAAAGCCATTAACACACAAGACCCACATGAGGGAACCCGTCGTGACGAAGTAGAATCGTGAATAGTCCCTATAGACACATGAAGCTAGAAATTGGGTACTCGGTCGTTTTTGTTCAACCGAAATAGCTGTGGATCTGTTATGCCAAATACAGGCCCAGGGAGTCGACAGCTACCGATATTATTGAACTTGCTATTGTCACTCGAGGCCCTGGTCTTTGGGATACAGTAAAACACGTAGAGTTTCTGGGACGGAGGATTCCATGTTCGCCTGTGCCTCGAAGTGCTATTCCGTATCACTGGTGTAACTAGAAGCAATCAAGTCATGATAGATTTTGGGACCCAATATGTCTCGCGATGCTCGCTGTTTTATTTCATGGGGACCCCAACCATAAGACGCATTGTCAGGTCTGGTAGCATGTTGACAGTGCGCCCTAAATAGCACATTTTGTTTCGTGCCTAGTAAACACAGATAGGGTTCTTTCGTATAAAGCTAGAGATATGGTACAAGCACAATAATCACCCTAACTTTGATCCCGCGATATATCTTTTCACTTTCCTCTATATATAACGTTTCCTGCCACCAATCCTGCTATGAGCTATACGTCATTGACGCAATATCGCGGTTCTACATTATAGCCACCCCCCTCTCCAGTGCCATCGACTTGGTCCTATCTCGTTAGAGCCCTGATGTGGCGGCGAGATGATGGGTAGGCCCTAGTTCCGTTGACGAGAGAAGCCCTGGCTCTCCGACTCATGGCAAATGCATTCTTCTGTGCAGGACTCAGCTATTGCCGCACTAAAATGACATCACTCAATCCCACTCGTATTCAATACTACTAGTGTATCCTACAGTGTCATGATAATACATAATGCCGTAAGGCCGCACGGAAGGGAAGACGGGAAGATTTACATTTGTTGGTTTCTTGAGAAACGGGCCCCCGTGCAGTTATGAGCCTTCTATCTCAGCTCGGAAGCTAGACAATGACGCCCAGGATGGGACTGGGGACGTGGTACTAGTAGACGACGCAGTCTGGACTCACAAAGGGACCCGCAGAGGCGCTTCCTCGAAAAGTATGCTGTCAACTTTATTACCCGGGTATATTGTGCCTTAGAATATATGCTGAGGACATGCGTCACAAAGCCGCAACCCGCCTCTTTTCAGAATGAGGGAACTGAACACTACGATTACAATGTCATCTAAGATTCATCGTCTATCTAACAAAATGATGCTCTCCCACAACAGAAGCAGCAGCAAAATCATGAGTCTCTGGAGCTAAGAAAAACGTACTCTAAATTTCCCAATTTATGCCATAGGAAACAGATACTGATGGTGTAAGTACTGGTGTGGATACCTTCCTCTCGCATCCAGCGATGAGACCCTCCGTGCCAGCAGCGGCGGAGGCGACTTTCAGTCTGCCCCTCTAGCAGCTTCCGCCAAGGTGTGTGTATTTCATGCTCCTTCCTTATTGAGTCGTTAGACATGGTCTTAAATTGGACGTAGCTCGCACGAGATTGAAATAAAGACAAGAAGGGAAACTTGACCGTCCGTTTCCACCTCTAGACATTCGTGGCTGTGGTGGCCATGGTAATTCGGTTTTAGCTAGGGGTGCTCCTGTGGCTCCGGCCCTTGGACCGGGCCAAACTGGTCCGCTTCCTCTTATAGTGAACCTGACGGGTTACTTATTCCCTAGTGGTGTCAGTCTCTGATTCCCAGCTCTTTTCTATGCTGTTATACTGCTTGCTGTTAAGTCAAGATATATCGATTGAAGCAAAGAACACTGGTTTCCGTATCATTCATTAGTTCCTGAGCAATGGTGTGCCTCGAAAAGCTATAATATGTGCACATCCTAAGAAATCATGCCGCGATACAGACGGTGTGCTCGGGCCTGGTGATCTCTTTGTCAGAAAATGGTTGTCTGGGGAAAGAAGCGCTCCACCTTCATAAGGAAGGATGAGTTGAGATCGATCCATATGACGATCATTCGTAGAAGGCCGTACAAACCTAAGCTATCCAAGCATCCGAAGCACGTCGGCTCTGACTGTACCATGGGGAACCAGCTGGTGCAAATGAGACTATTGACTCCCGGTTGATCAATTCTCTGGGATATCAACAGCCATGTGGACAATATCAGCCGTCAGTATTGTTTCCCACATTATGATAAGGAGGGTATGGCTCCGAGTGGTGTATTACAATGATCAATCAGTGCTGGGACGTAAGCTCGGTGTTGGCCGGCATGCGCTTGGAACGGATCTATGCGTCCCCCGCCAAGTTGAAACTCGATCGGTGACAGTACTTTGGGCCCATAACAAATGGAAAGTTCAGTATTTAGAGACCGCTAGATCCCGAGAGGTTCATATTAGGGCTATATGTCAGCTCAAAGTGACAGCTGTGTCTTTATCTGGATGCCGTGGCCTCCGGGTGTGTCAGTCTTCGCGGTAAGATGTGGTCCGGATCTACCTCAAGACGGGAATTGCCACGTGAGTCTTCTTTAAAGATTCATGATACGTCTAATAAAAAAAACCATCTAGTAATATGAGGAGATATTATGAACTTCCTTGTGGCTGATGGTTAAACCTTCCGCCGCTTGTTTAGAGAACCTCACATTGCGTTACAGTTGAAATGTCTGACATGTTAAGTCATAACAAGGCGTTACTACCTCATAGACGACGTAGTGACAACAAAGAAGCCAGGAAGACATAGGATTGTATTCAGTCAAATGTAAAATATTCAAACGTGTAATATAATAACATAAGTTCGAAATTTTTCTGTAAAAGTATTCTGTCGTGTCAGGTAACAAAGTAAAAGCTATTGCGCTGCAAAACTGATCATGGATGTCAGAAATGAGCCGCTTCAACCGACAACCGGATCGAAATTGAGCACCTTCTTATTCTCCACCGCACCAATTCTGTCAAAGTATGTTCGAGCCCTGACATATGGGTCGAGAGACCAGTAGTTGTCCCGCAACTTGGTCGCAATCTCCATCCTCCTAGTGTTACAGTTCTTGCCTTGTTTGCTGTCAGGGTCGAACGCCATCCATTGAATGGTCTCCTTCTCATATTGGATTGCGAGGGCTTCTCGCTCGGCTTGGATCTCGTCCCTCTTTACGGTGTCTTCCATCAGTGCATTCTCCCCTTTCACAGGCTCTACGTACTTGTATTCCCAAGTGTCATCACCCCCGTAGGACTTTTGCCGCCTATCATTTGCAATGAAGCGCTCGATATCTCCATTCCCCCTGGTAAAATGTATCTTGGAGGCAATGACAGGATCTAACCACCCCTTGATGACGCTCCAGATTCCTAAATTCGTTCAGTCAGAGTCGCTTCACAATAAATCGAATGAAGGTAAGAGGTAACAGGGTCAGGCAATACGTACCCCAGAAAATGAATGGAGCGTTGTGAACAAGGACAAGCCCCAGTGTCTCGGGGTACCTAGACTCGAACACCTGAATCATGAATTTGACGAGGTGGAAGTCCATGTTGCGCAGGCCAAAGCCAGTCAAGTCGAATATCAGGCAGGCCTTATCATTTGGCTCGCGCACGAGGAGTCGGATGCTCTCGATGTTGTGTAGCACGTAGGACTCCATGGTCTGGGATGATTGTGCATGCGGGTCATGGAGTTTGACCTTGATGACATATACGGGATGGAGATCTTTGTCGGTTCCTCTCACGTAGCTCTTCCCGGACTTGTATTGAGCCACAAAGTCCTTTACGCACTGGGTGTGCGATGTTTCGAACATCACGCTCTCTCCACGGTTAATGATGGTCTCCTCGATGCGTATTTCATCTCGCCAGTTGATGGCAGAAACAAGCATCGTAGTCGCATTCCCAACGTCCCATTTCCTGGCTCTGAGGAAACGGAGAATAATGGAGTCAGGGTTGTACGCCTTGATGCTCTCCCAAAAGCGCTTCTTGAAAACTTGGGGGGATTTACTGGTCATTATCTTCCGGTACTCCTCGATCCTGTCTGGGGCTGTATCTATCAGGGACAGCTGCCCAGACTTTGGAGAGGTACCAGTCATTTTTAAATCTCCGTTTCCCCGACAGTCTGGTTTTCCCTGGGATATGTTCTGGTCACCGAAAAGTCGGATGATATTGGCCCAAACTTGCTGCAGTTTCCGTTCTTCCTCGACAGTGAGGTGGCCAAGATGGCCGGAAGTCTCAGAAGGGCTCATTGTGCCTTGTGCTAGAAGAGTGAAAAGAGAATTCTGTAAAGAACCGAGCGCTTCTGCGTCTAGATAGTAATGTGTATGAAGGAGAGGGACGATGATGGTGGAAGTTGAGGTAAACTATCGTTTCTGAAGTCTCCTGCCGATGGGCAGCCGTTTGGAGATAAACGGGAAATGATGCCTAGAGATGGAACGAAGAGATTGTCCTCGGACGATCAAGCCGGGGTTTGTGGGCTCTCTTTAAATAGAATAAACTAGATTGAATGGAAGCCAAGCGAGCCGTGCATAACATCTACAGTGGGTGGTGTAGAGGGTGGGGATGAGTAGGCCGGAGAGGGCTTCGCAATGGGGACTACTACTACTGCTTTCCCCACTGATGACACTTGTAGGGGCTGGGCTCAACATCAGAGGTGCAGGCTGTCAACAGCGGAGTCGAAAAAAAGCGGCGGGGGAGATCTCACCCATTGCGGGCGATCCGCGCACTAGAGAGACACGAGTTACAAGCCCTCCCAAGAACTTCTTGGTCTCTCACCTACAACGGCGCTGATATGTCGAAGGGGCGGGAAGCGAGGGCGTGGCCGCGAACGTCTCTCCGCCCACCCACGCTTACCAAAGATAATTGAGCTTCACAGCTCAGGAATAGCACATGCAATGCACATGTAGGCGATTTTACTGCCTATACAATACATCTTTGGTGACCCACGCTATGGAGAACTATGTCCGGCGTATTGATTTCAGGTTGCACCAACCGGACATAGTTCTTCTCTCCATTGTTACAAAACAACAGAATCAAAGCGTCAATGTCCACCTCGCAAACCAGAGCTCTTTTTGGAGTCAGAGAAGAACTGATATCGCAGCGTATGCACCGCGTGAGGCGCTTGATGTGGTGATCAGATGTGAAATTGTATTACAGATAACTATGCATCGTTACCCACTACATCAGCATGTTTGGACTCTATTTGGGGAGAGGGCGTTCCGGATCGATAAAACGTCGCCACTCTCTTCCGCATAAGCGTGTGTGTGTATGGGTCACCGGCGTCTTTCCACAGCCCACTTGCCAGGGCCAAAGTATGGGAGACAATGTCATTGAGTACCACTTTGGCGCGACTCTAGATGCCGAGGAAAACAACGGCATGCCTGTATGAGTTTGACCGCGGCTTTGATTCAATCATGTGTCTTTTTGAGTCTCGGTACCTAGACAACCATCATCCAGGGGTTTCCCCTTCATGTGTTGCTCGTCCTCACTCTGATGGCGTCATTCAAGAGAAACGAGAGTAATGGCATTACCCCGCAGATGCTCCCCCTCTTTGCCTCGCGCGGCGCATAAATCGCAGTTAAGAAAGCAGATTACCCCAGACTCTGATTTTCTTATTTCATTGAGACAAAGTAGTAAAAAAGGCCAATTGAAAGAACGACTACGTCTAGAAATTAAAATAAAGAGAGCGAAACTAGTACGAGTAATTGCGTTGTGGAATGCACGACGGCTAATTGGATGGGATAAACTCAAATCTGAGATGTTCCTGTTTGGATGCCTGTTTCCTCACTACTGGATGGACAAGAAAACCTCGCTTGATGCAATTGCTATAGGCGTTCGCAAGCTAAGCTAATCGCGGCAAATGTAACGGCTGACCGCCCACCCGTCGACTGGATTACTGTTGTTACTATGCAGTGGCTGCCGTCCCTTTTGCAGTCGGGACCCCCTTGAATTCAACCGGGCAGTGAACGTCCCCCTCCGGAATCACCCCCCTGACTTCTTTTCCTTCTCCGCGTTCTCAGTTCCACCAACTTCTACATGTACTAGTGCCAAGTGGAGGCCATCTTCCTATAGTGCTTGAAGTTATCTGAGGCTCTACCATACCAGGACTAGACTATCCTTTTTTTGCATACTAAAGTCTGGAGTACTGCAATTTGCGGGGGCGGGACCCTGCTTTCCGTCCTGGGATCTTTCTGCGTATCCGCAGCTCAAGATTACACATCTCAACGGCTCTGGCTTTTGCCTTAGCGATTCCACCACTCCTAAACACGGTGCTTCGTCCACAGCCAGCATCCTGCAGCTCATCGCCATCATCCTATCTGCGCCTCCATCGCTATGGTATTCCCCGGTCACTTCAGTACAGGCTGTTCTCGCTGCCGTCAACGGAAAGTCAAGGTCAGTCAACTTGTTTGAAACCGCCCCATGGTAAGGGGGACCGGTCATCTGCGGTCCATACCCCTTAACTCCCCCCCCCCCCCCCCTTCAGCCTCTTACGTGACCCGCTGTTCTGCGTCACCTCACAAAACTCCCTGCCATATTGTACTTGTGCTGACCGTGACTATGGTCTCAGTGTGACGAACGAAAACCCTCGTGTCGGCGATGCTATATATACGGCGAGCCCTGTCCCGGATATTCCGACCAGTTTCAATTCCGATACCGAAAGAATGGGAAACAAAAGGCAAACCCCAAGCCAGAGAAATCTGGGCCCAGCAACTCCAGTGTAGATTCGCAAGTACCGCCTTCAGCGCAGTGCACCAAATTCATCATCGATCAATCAACGTGGCAGTCGCGGCGGCGCACAAACACCAATAATGCTTCCCGGCTGTCCGTGCCAGCTGCGTTACCCGTGTCGTTGGAGCACATGTCCTTGTGTTATTTTGTCCGTCGATTCGTATCCCCAGGCTGCTCCGATTCCTATCCGGGGCATCTCACTTTTCTACCCGATATCCTGGACACAGACAACCATGGCCTGTTGGAATTGGCGACATTAAGCGTTGCCCAGATTGCCGCTTTCAATCAGTATGGGGGAGATCAACTTTTACGGAACGCCCACAAGAACCACGGGCGTGCCATACGGCAGTTGCGTGACGCGATCAACGCGAACACTCTTTATCCCGATGACAAGAGCACGACAGCTGTCTTGATGCTCAGCGCGTTCATTGTTCGTAAAGCCCCTTAGAACCTTCCTACCACAGTCTCTAACCAGCTGCGCAGGATGTGAGCGGCGAGAACTCGGGAGATCCGAAAAGCCATGCATCAGGGCTGTACTATCTTCTTGAGAGGAGAGGTCCCGAACAGCTGTCCACCAGGGTAGGATTTGAGCTCTATGTCCTGGCTCTGATCAGACTGGTATGTCACTTCTCCAATACCCACGGGTATCTCTGTCTTCTGGTGGGACCGACTGATTGACTTGCAACGCCATGTAGCAAGTTTATTGCTTTATTTACAATGATATTTCGTACATAGACCCCTGCGGAATAAGCGAGGTTTTGGGATTCTTGAATCCCATCATGCAAGCCTTTTACATGGTCTCCAGGACACTAAAACTCCGCCATTCTTTACTGTTTGCGGACAGAACTGCCTACAATTCACCTCACAATGTTGACGGATCCGAATTCGATGGCGCCGAAAGCATCAAAACGGACGAGGCAGCGATTTTGCAGGAATGCTTCGACGCACTCGAGAAGTTTCATAGATGGGATTCCGAAGCCGGCGACTATTGGAAGAGCACCTTTGGGGATCGCACCGAGCCATCGACGCTTAATGATCCTGCCGCCGCTACGCGCCACTTCGACTTAGAAACGGCCTGCACCATGATCCTGGTACGCTCGGGAAAGCTTATGCTCCTGGACAGCCTTCTCCACTACCACCAGAACAAGCAACAACTCGACCCTCACGCTGACACAACACCATTGTTTGGCGAAAATATGCTGTCTTTGATTGAGCAGGGTGTATGGAACACGATTGACGACATGCTCTCATGTGTACCGTACGCCCTTGGCGATCTGGACCCTAATGGGAGACGCAGAGTACTCGACCACGATGGTGCCGGAGCACTCGTCATATTCCAGCCATTAAGACTTATCACGTTCTGTCTTTACTCCAAGCCAGAACAGGTGGCGGCTTGTGAGGAAGTCTTGAAGCGTCTCAACACCAGCATGGGACTGCGGTCAGCCATTTCTTGGACAAACGACCCGCTCAATGACGGACAACTGATGCGCCCCAATTCCTCCCTAGGAGACGGCCCATTTAACATTGTGAACAGCGAGAACCAGAAAATGCAGGATCTTGAACGGGACATGTTTGACGTATCACTGAAGTAAATTGAGAATATTTTTTATTGGAGGATGAGGTGCCTTACTGCTTGGTGCCCTGTGGATCTATGCGCAATCGGTATGTGCAAGGTTAGCGCTAATATCCGACCGTTAAACTAGCAGGATTCGATTGGTAGCAATTATCTACATTAATTAACTGTGTGCATTTCTTGTGATACTCAGTGATAAGTCGTGAGGAGTGATCTTGTCAAGCAGTCACATTGCGTTCGATTTGGTTGCCAAGGGCCATACCAAGCGTGTATCTGTGGGGACACACAATGATCGCCCCATGGGGGAAGGCGCATTGATCCTTGACTCCCTCCAATGCCGAAACAGTGCAGGAGTAGAAGCACATGAAATAGCAGCGTGCCATGTGAAAGAAAATAGGAACGCGAAGATTTGCAGAGGCCTTGTCTCCTAGTTTCAAAGAACGTTAATTGTGAGACGTTGTGAGGTACGCATGTTAGTATACCTGCAAGGTCGATGCTGGCAGAGCACCGACGAACATATGCTTACATTCCCTTTCCTAGCACGTTTGCAGGGTGTTGGACCTGGGACTTAAAAAAAGGAAGAACAAGAACAGAGCACATACACAATGTGATTACTACTGTTGCTATTGCTACTGCCTAATGTGGTTCTGCCACACACGAGGCAGTATGTGGCGTATGCCGTCATCGTCGTCGTGGCATGGCCCATTCTAGGAAACCGCCGATTATGGCCGGACACCTTGTTGCACCTACCACTATCACGCTAAGTGCATCATTCATCTACGACGCATGACAACTTTGAATGTTGGCCAATCGATCACGTCCTCTAAACAATATGACGTCCGTTTCCTCTTGCTCCTTTGGATTCAAAAAGCAAGCATGGTCAGTCAGTTGACCGGCTAGCTGGCACACCTCGATCTGAGACTCAAAAACCACCATTGGGCAAGGCAGAAAAAAAGCAGTTCTCATTTCCTCAAAGTCGCCCTCAACTGAGACGGATGCTAAGATTCCTCACAACATCCCAGAAAATGGCGATCGCGGCAAGCGATCTGTTGACTTTACGGAGCGTCATGCTCACGGCGATCGTTGAGTCGATACTGGCCAAGAAGCTACTCCCAGGTCACCTTGTTGAAGAAGAGAGCTACTTCTCTACCGCCTTGATGATACTTTCTATCAACTATTTTATCTATGTGGTCTTCTGGACAGTCGCTTATCCATACCTTCTTAATCCTCTGCGGAGTCTACCTGGCCCAAAGGTGCATGCTCCATACTTCCTAGCCACCAGAAATTACATATACATGATGTCTAATGATATTCCTTAGTCATTCATCAGCATCAATCACCGGTACCTTCTTGAAACAAGGCGCGCTCCTGGTGACTTGTATATCGAACTCGCAGACCAGTATCCAGGAGAAGATATGATACTATTGACAAGATTCCGCTGTCAAGTTCTTCTCACTACACCTCGGCTTCTCCCCGACCTTCTCGTCCATCAGGCGTACGAGTTTATCAAGCCCCAGAGGGTGACTACCTTTATGCGACATATTATGGGCGCCGGACTCGTTACTGTTGAGGGGAACGAACACAAATTCCTCCGAAAGAATATGATGCCTGCATTCAGTTTCCGTCACATAAAGAATCTTTACCCCATGATGTGGAAGAAAGCCATTTCTCTCGCTGAAGTCATGAAGGAAGAGGTTAATATCTTAAATGCGGCTGACAACAACGGTACCATCGAGCTCCTCAAGTGGACAAACCGGGCCACGCTCGACATGATAGGGATTGCAGGCCTTGGACGAAATTTCCAGACGCTACAACTGACAGAGGACCCTATAATCAAGGTTTACGAGGAACTTCTCAATCCTAGTAGGGAGCAGCTGATATTCTCTCTCCTGACTATCCTTCTGGGCTACAGGGTGACCCGGTGCCTTCCACTGAGGACGACCAATGTGTTCCAAAAGTCGATTGAAATACTAAACAGCGAGTGCATTGGAATGGTACAGGATAAGAAGAAGGCAATAGCGGAAAAGGACGATGGGAACTTTGATGTGCTGTCGCTTCTAATCAAGTCGGGTAACTTTTCAGACAGACAACTGGTCGATCAACTGTTGACATTTCTAGCTGCTGGGTGAGTACTACCCAATACTTGCCCACACACACATATGAGAGATCAATTAACGATAGGTAGGCATGAAACCACGTCCTCTTCCCTTGTTTGGACTTGCTACCTGCTAGCAAAGCACATTGATATTCAGGAGCGCCTGCGCGAGGAGGTTCAGAGGGTGACACGGACGGATGATTATACGTATGAAGATGCAGACCTTGCGGGGGTTATGGAGCAGTTACCGCTACTGAATGGGGTCATAAGCGAGACTCTAAGACTGTTTCCCACGGTCCCTACTACAATGCGCGAGGCGACAGCCGACACTCATATTGGAGGACAGCTAATTCCGAAAGGAGCCATCATCGTAGTGTCGATGTGGCTGATGAACCGCTCACAGCACATTTGGGGTCCAGACTCGACCGAGTTTAAGCCTAAGCGGTGGATCAACAAGTCTGACGGCCGTCCGAACCAAACAGGCGGTGCTGACAGCAATTATCAGTTCCTTACTTTCCTCCATGGGCCCCGAAGCTGCATCGGCCAGTCATTCGCCAGAGCTGAGCTCCGTTGTCTCTTAGCTGTCTTGGTCGGCACCTTTCGATGGGAGTTGGGGATGGACGATAATCTTGTGAAGCCTCGAGGGGTTATCACTATCAAGCCCGCCAACGGCTTACACCTTCGAATGTCGTTGGTCGAAAATCTGGCGGAATAGGCAATGGCTCAACACGGCTTCGAGCTGTTTCTTCTTTCTTCTTTATTTTTTATTGTTTGTTCGTGAGCAGTGGGTTATCGCTATTACGCTCGATCAAAGGAACAAGCTCGCAGACCCGGCTAACTGCTCTGAATACGTGCACGTGTCGCACAGTATTGAAATGTACAAAGGCAGACGGGCGTTGTTTTCAACGGAAGGCAGGGAATGAAGAAGATATTATTATAACTTGAAGTTCAGACTATGGTTATACATAGCCAATAGCAACATCCAAAAATGATATCTCATAATATCGAAAGCTATTGCATGCGTGTATACGGAATACTTGTACACATCGTGAAACGTCCCCGCTATTGACCAGAACCATACCGGATGCCACCACAGGGTATGGCGATCAATAACCTGAAAATAATACGAGATATTATGGCATATTAACAATACTACCTAGCAGCTAGGTTACCTGAATGCACGAGTTGCGAGTGCGAATGATCAACCGGCCTTGTGTCCAAGATTCTAAGACACCCAGCAGTCGCATATCATAAAGGGTAATTTTCTTTTAATAACTGGCGGTAAGCCGGCCAATTTGCAACAGAAAAAAGTCGGTGGCTAACCTATTTTAACAATCGACATGGCCGTTATATGTCGTACGAGTCCTCTCTCATCATCTTGAGTATGAACCAGCGGCATTGGAGGATAGCGCCTTGTGGCAAGCGAATGGCAACAAGACATTTAATGAGATCTAACGACGATAATCTAAGAAAAGGAGGGCCGGGGGGGGGGGGAGAAGATGAGCGTTGACGTGAAATCTATGTATGCCAGCAAGTGATTATGTGTTTTTAAATTATAATGGCTTGCTCTAGGCTGATTACAGAGTATTAAATCGAGCGTTGTGCGAACCATTCATTACAACGTATCGTAATGATACTCCGCAACTCTGGCCATTCGTCCTTAATCACGGTGCCCTTAGAACTCTGTTACTGGAAAAATGGTTTACTGCACGCCATAGGATCATGGAAATATCACGTACCGTATGTATGTATGTACTCCTTGAAAGGGGACGCGGCAGGGTTTCTTGATGTAACCAAGGGTGCAAACGAGCATCAGCAATCAGGATGGCAAGGAAAGCGATACTGTTCGGATTCGGATTCATTTCCTTGATTTGGACTGCAAGACGACTTCTCAGTGGCAATACATGTATTATTACATGTATTCCACAGTACAAGTATGAGTACTAGGAAAGTGTGAGGCTAATATTAGAGAAAAAAGACCGTTGATTCCGGACACGAGAAATATCATCAGCAGTCCGTATCAACGTTACGACGACCCTCATTTGAACCTCGTAAATGCGCTGCAAGAAAACAGGGCCAGAACATCTACGATTGCGTGACTGCTTTGCGTGCTGATAATTGCGAGTTCTTATGGAAGAACCATCATGACCGGGAGCTAAGACATTGTCACTTGCATCAAAAGAAACGTGAATGAAATCAGAGAGCAGAGAACAAGGAGAGAGGGCGGTCCTCATGGAGGCACACTTGTTGGTCCCAATTCAATCCGACGTGGGTAACCAACGGTCGATCAGTTAATAACCCCTTTTTTTGCTGCCTACCAACCTACCTCGGACGCAATACGGAGTACACTTTCTATCCCGTTACGCGAGCCGGCAACAGGGCCCCCTAGAACGTCTAATGGGTCCCGTGGGGCGGAGCAGTCGAGAGTGGACTAAGAGAGCATGGGCTAAGGTCGAGCAACGACGACTTATAGTTGCGAGAAGAGATTATGATCACCAACAGACCCCCGCAATCAACTTACGTACTCCGTAGTATTACTTGTATATTTGCCGAGCCCTGGTCATCCCAGGACGGTACGGCCCCGGGAAGTAACCAGCATTGGCATGGTAGTAAATTACGGAGTGATAATGTCACTTGGTGCAGGCGGTGCATCCCTAAGTACGAATCAAATGGCGGCGAACCTCGAGAGCTAAGGGTTGTCTTTTCTCTTGGCGCTGTGACACAAGGCTATTGTCGTTGTGTCCGTGCTTGCAAGTGTTGGCGACGAGGAGAGTACGACGATGGATAGGATAACGGGAGAACAAGAAATGTTTCGATACGAGTAGAAGAGGGCGGTCGTCTAGAGAGGTTGCGCTGTCTTAAGAAAGGTATGAATGTGTTGCAACGTAAATAATACTACGTACAAATACAGGAAGAACCAGAAAATGGATGTGTAAATTTCATTGCGGTTTGTGCCATTGGCGACATGGGACTGATATTGCATTCTACTACTATTATTGAGTACAGGATGTACAACATGATGAGTTCGCTCAACATCTCGGCGCCAAGCACGCTTGTGCTCCATGGACCATACAGGTACGCAATGAATCTGTCTGTCATATCCACTCTTGGCGCTCGAGAAGTAGCGATGGCAGGGGTAGAGGACAGAAGAGCGGCCCCGCTGACCGTTGAGCCTAGATTCTTGTTATTACTCGGTTGAGTACTTTGAACACTCTGGGCACACTCTCCCGCACTTGGAGTACTTGAGTTCCGTACAGATTACTGGGAGAAAGGCGGCGGCCTCGTGTGCAAGGTTGACGATGTTTATCCACTTACCCCTGACGAAAAGGGACATCATCCCTTCCAACCCCTAGCAAGGGGATGGACGAGCGCAAAATCATGTGGCGACAGTGGTGATCATAAAACACCAAGACCGACCAGTATTTCCTGTCTTCCTTTCTCTCTCGTCCTCATCACCACAGTCGTTCTTTTGGTACCGTTGCCTTGCAACTCACTTTCATTTTTGCTCTTTTTCCGGAGATCTATTGTCTCTAGCCGTTCTTTACGTGTGACTTTATAATAGCCATAATGCACTTCACCCGCTACGTGCCGGCCATGGCTGGCCTCCTGGGCGCTGCCCAGGCCACGCTGGTTCCCAGCCAGGAGATGGGCATGTCCCGCCGCTCCCCTACGCCTTTCGACCTCGCCTCAAGCTGGGATAACGAGAATCTCTTTTCCGGTGTAGTCAGCATCGCCACCGACACTGAGGCCGCCATCACTCTGGACCTGACCCTCAAGGAGGCCCAGGTTGAGGGTAAGATCGACCTCGGCTCCGTTACCGACTTCCTCAAGGACCCCACGCTTCGCCTGGACCTTGCCAGCATCAAGGCCTACGTTGAGGTTGACCTCTCCGCCTCGGCCGCCGTCTTCCAGACAGTTGAGCTCGTGGCCTCGCCCGAGCTCCACGTCGACCTCGGCATCCTGGACGTCGACCTGGCCGCTGCCCTTGCTCTTGACCTTATCGTCGGTGTCAACGCTGCGGTTGACCTGACTGCCGGTTTCTACCTGTCCTTTGGCGAGGGTGACTACCTCGAGATCTCGACCATTACCAAGGGCATTGTTGACTCCAAGATCGACGGTCTTGTCACCAAGGCCCTCCCCGTTGCTGTCGGCGCCGAGGTTGACCTGTCTGCTGAGATTGAGATCCAGCTCGGTCTCCGTCTCCGTACCCACGTTCTCGTTGGGGCCGATGTCGAGCTCCTTAGCCTCGACATCCTGTCTGCCGGTACTGAGATCGCAATCTGGGTCGACCTTCTTACCCAGACCCTGACTATTGTCGAGACTGATAGCTGCGCCCTCTCCGTCAAGAGCGACTTCGCCCTTGCCCTGGGTGTTGCCGTCGAGGCCAACGTCGACGTCCTCAACATTCTCGACATCAACCTGGCTCCTGAGGTCACTGTCACCATTGGTGCCACTGAGGGTGTCGCTATCTGCCTGCCCAGCCGTGGTAGTGTCTCCCACCTTAACGGCGGTAGTGGCAGCAACGGCGGAAGCGGCAGCAACGGCGGAAGCATCGACAGCAACAGCGGTAAGCCCTCTGGCTCGGTCTCGACCCCTGCTGCCCACACCACCACCGCCACCCTGACCCCCGTCAGCGGCGGTGCCGCCACCACTGCTGCCCCCAACGCCAGCTTCCCTGACAACGGCCTGGTCACCAGCACCTACTTGACCACCAAGCACTTCACCGTCACCCGCTGCCTTGCTTCGGTTGCCAACTGCCCTGCCTCGCACACCCAGAAGGTTGTTACCTCGACTGTCCTGGAGACCACCTATGTCTGCCCTGCCACCCAGACCGGCGCCCCCACACCGACTCCTACTTCTTCCACCAAGAAGCCTGTCAAGACCATCACCGAGACCGCCACCACCATTGTGCCCTGCAAGCCCACCTCCAGCACCTTTACCCCTCCCCCTCAGACGGGCGCTCCCCCTCCCGCCACCATCACCATCAGCGAATCCACCACGGTCTGCCCCGTGACTGAGTCTCAGACGTTTGCTCCCTCTGGCCCCGTCTACACCTCGGCTGATGTCCCCGTCTTCACCCCCACATCCGGTGCCCCTGGCTCTCCCTCCGCCCCGGCCGGTGTCCCTACCCCTATCACCGCCCCCCCCAAGACCACCGGCCCTGCCGTCCCCACCTGGGTCCAGCCCAGCAACGGTACTTGGACTAGCATTGCTACTCCCGTCGTGCCTGTTGTCCCAGTTGTCCCCGCTGTTCCTGGTGTCCCTGCTGTTCCTGGCGTTCCCGGAAACCCCGGTTCCCCGGGAACCACGTACGTGCCTGCCCCCACTGGCACTCCCGGTGTTGACTCTCCCGTCCCCGTTGCCGCTGCTGGCTCCATCAAGGTCGGTATGGCCCTTGCCATGCCCTTTGTTGCTGCTATGCTTCTGTAAGGGAATGGTTTTTGGTTTTTTTCAAGAGGAGGAAATGTGTCCGTCACATGTTTGACCCGCAATTCGGTAGCAGCTGCTATGGCTAAGATAAGGCTACTGAGATACCATGTTGTATAATTCTTGGTTCTATATATTTGAGCTGTTTTGTTGAGTAGCCTTGACAATATAGTTCATTGAACCTATACATTGCTTCTAATTTTATATAATGAACCCTTGATATGTTAAACCGTCCTCCTTTTAGTGACGTTTTCAACTGTAATTGAGCGCAATAGTGGGCTCTTGTAAGCGGTATCCAAGCCTCATATGGCATGTAATCTGAATGTTACACTGCCTTACGCTGTTATAACTTGTCGAGTAGCTTGTTAACTTGTTGGTCTTGTAGGTATTGAATTATATTTATTTACATGTAGGAATTCGTATTGGACTAGTTCTAGATGTAGGCCCAATGGTGTCAAAAGAAGAAGTATTGATGCTTGTAAGTATTTCCGCTGTTCATATATAAAACAAGCAATGGTAACAAAATACATGAAAACAATAGGACAAGATATGCCTCCGCCCCTTCGTACATAATTCTATATCTATTTGGCCGTCTTTGACTCTTCGGTATTGTTCGCTTCCGCAACATCCTGGAGGCCCGTCAAAACCTCGTTGCCAGTCACAGGAGGACCGGTGAAGTTCTTGCGCGCATAGGCAAAGTACCAGACAGTAGCAATGGCAGCGAAACCGGCAAATACGACGGAGGCGTAGTTCATGGTACTAGCATCAACTGGAAGAGAGACGGGGAAGCAGAAGATGACGACAGAAAAGGAGATCCAGATGATGCAGATCACGTTAATGAGGTAGCCAAACCTACCCAGAGGGTAGGGAGAGTTCTTGACGGCTCGGCGTTTCTGAATGAGATTGACGAGAACAGGAACACCGTACGACGTGGAGAGGCAGATGGTGGCAACACCGGTAAAGGAGCTGAAAGCGGCCGACGAGCCAAAGTAAATGCAGCCCAGAAGGCAGTCGATGACAGTGGAGAGGGCAAGCGCCAGCAGGGGCACACCCAGGGTGGGGTTGACCTTCCTCCAGATATTGTGTCCGGGGATAGCACCATCTCGGGCAAAGGAGTAGGTGCAGCGGGACGCGGCCGTGAGAGCACCGATGCCGGCGAACATCAGTATGCCGAGAATCAGGAACAGGAGACCGAAGCCGCCCGAGGCAGAGCCCGTCACAGTCTTGAACAAGAGACCAATAGGCTGAGAGTTGGCAACGTTCAGAAGCATGGTGACATCAGGCAGGACGAAGAGAACGGGGATCAGGTAGATTACACCGGTGACACCCGCTGCGAAAACGGAGAGTACCATGGCCCTAGGGACCTCCCTCTCGGGACTCTGGACCTCTTCGCACATGACGGCGACCATTCCGTATCCGGTGAGTGTATAGGCAGCTGTTTGTGTAAAGTCTTGTCAGCATACAGGAAGATGAAGAAGAGCAAAACGTAGGGGAAAGGGACCAGCAAAAAAAATACCTTGAAGAAGACCGACGAAGAAGGACCACGCAGAGGGCCAGCCACTAGCCGATGAATCGTAGTGGGAAAAGACGAACTCGGCAGAGCGACGGTGCTCCGCGGTAGCGAGAAGGGTGACAAGAATGATGACAACACTGGCACCGGTCCAGTAGATGCACAACTTGTTGATAAAGTCGAGGTATCGGGCGCCGAAGGCGTTGACGAGGGCGCAGACGAGCATGACGGCCCAGAAGCAGAGGACCGTCTGCCACTCGTTTGCGACAAAGTCCTCGTTGAAGATGGTGATGGCGCTGAGGATAAGCTGGGCGCCCGAGAAGTTTATGGACAGGGCCAGAGTCCAGTTGCCGACGAGGGTGAGCCAACCGTCGACAAAGCTGACCAAGGGGGCCCATTCGGGGCTGCTGAGCATAGCACTCCAGTAGTAGACGCCGCCGGCAGTAGGGAAGACGGCGCAGATCTCGGCCAGCGAGGCGGCGATACAGAGGGAGATTAGCGACACAATGATCCAACCATAGAGAATGGTGACGGCTTGGCCGTTGGTCAGAGTAATGTACATTGTCGTCGACAGGCCAAAGGGAACGGCCATGATGGCAAAAGAAAGACCGAGGATGCTCAGCATGCTGAGATGGCGAGGCAGTTCGGCCTTATAACCCATGTTAGCCAACGCCTGGTCGGCGTTGTCGCCTGGCCTCACAGCCTTGAGATCTTCCATGATGAGAATGATGGAGGGCGATGTCTGAGTGTTGTTGTTTGTTGGCTTGACGACCGAGCCTCCCTTCCCTTTCCTCTTTCTGCCCTCCTCTTCTTCTTACTCTAACCCTCGAAATTTAAAAGGTGTATGCCCCTTTGTATGGAGAATAGCCAAGTGGGGGAGAGAGAGAGGAGAAGGACGTGTGTGTTGTAACTGAATCGGCAGATGAACGAAGGAAAAGGACGCGAGAATTAGAGAGTGCCGGTGACGTTTAGTACATGTACACGTATATACTACGAGTAATTTGTCTAAAATCGGGTGGGAGCGAACCAGGAGAGGGACTTGGCGCTATCTGGTAGAGAGAGAGAAACCCTCTTTTTCTCTCCAAGAAGGACGCAAAGAGCATAGCCGGCACCTGCGGTCAAACGCTGCAGACTTGCAAAAGACCGCGGGGCTATCTCAAAGACCTGGAAGGGTACGTAATTACCTTGCTATCTCTTAGTCGATCCTCTGAAAAAAAAAAAAATTGCAGGCCTCCGAAGCGCCCCTATCTAATTGCCACTAAGCCCCATACGCATATAATAGGTACTTGCATCCTTGAGGATAACAGATAAGTAGCCATCCATGAAACCAAATAAAATAGAATAAAACGTGGACAAGATAGAGATACTCCGCAATTAAATCATACTCGGCAAGCTGTCTCCGAATCTCATGCCCACCCGGGTTTACCGAGCAAAAGACATTGGTCACATTGTATCAATACTCCATAGACAGCCGGAAAGAAATGCCATGAGGAGTAAGTCGTCGCGCGTTATGGAGTATTCTAGCTATTTCATACTCTTCATATAGGGAAGAGAATGGCCCCTGCCTATGCCTTATCAATGACGGGGGTTTGGGGGCCAAAGCCAAACTTTTTACATAAGAAAATACAACCTTAATCGGGTGGCCTTCTAGAAACTTTTTTTCCATGTAGTTTCTCGCCCCAAACAAACCTACATCTTAACAACAAATTGCAAGCTATTGCTTCGCTTGACGTTGCTGTCAAGAGACATCCCGGGTTGGTAAATTTGGTCTTGGGTCGGGAGAAACACAAAAGGAAGATGAAAAGGAAGATGACCAAGTGGCCCGTTAACATGTGGCTTGTGCGACTAACAGGGGTGGCGCATACCAGGAAAATAATTACGCCGTAGCTCAAAGGACTCAAGATGAACAGCCTGTGCGTTGGCCTTGAATCTTGCTTCAATCCCATCAACCCCATTGCCGTCTCTCATTTGTGGCATCCGCTCGTTTAATAGAGGCGCCTTGCCCCATCCTCTTTTCTTATTGTCTTAGCCTTCTCTTTTGCGTTGCGATTGGGGTAAAGACAACATGAGCCACGGACCCGAGACGCTGTCAGCAGACTGATAGAGCAGCAGAGGGCAATTATGACGTACGTGCTTCACCACAGTGGCGGAGCAGCGGCCTCGCCAGGCCTGTGGACGCATGGGGTCGACCTCCTCCGCCAAACATTCTCGCAGTGGTCGCACCTGGACATCACGCAAGCCGGGTCGATTATCGCGTTGGCGGGCACGGTACCAGCCACGACGCGCTTCCTGAGACGCGTGTGGAACGACGTATACGGATGGGTTCGGCTGCTGTTCGTATCGTCGGTGACGATACCGGGGGGCGACCCACTGAACCCGAGCGTAGTGAAATGGATACTTGCCCACAAGCCGCGGCATCACCGGATGTTTACGGGCCGTACAGAGTTCGGACGGTCGAGTGGCGACCGGGCGGCGGCGCTCAAGAAGTCGCAGCACCCGATCCAGTACAGCCCGCACTGGAAATCGCGATGGTTTCTCCACCAGGGCAACGTGATTGTGGTGACGCGCGCGGCGGGCGACAGCTTCGGCGGGTTTAGGGGCTCCCCGGCAGCATCAGACCCGGGGTACGACGGCGTGGGCGGCGAGGATCTGACAGTAAGTTGCCTGGGGTGGTCCGCCGACCCTGTCAAGAAGTTCATCGACGCGTGCCGCGAATACACGGATCGACAGGGCCAATTCTTCGTCATTGTCTACTCACGCGACCGCTACGGCATGTCGTGGAAGCCCAAGGCGCGCACGCCCATCCGCCACCTCGACACGGTGCACTTTGACAATGCTGTCAAGGAGGAGCTGCTCGCCGACATACGCAACTACCTCAGCCCGTGCACCCAGAAGATGTATCAAAGCCGCAGCATGCCCTATCGCAGGGGATACCTGTTCTATGGCCCACCAGGGACGGGCAAGTCGTCGCTGTCCGTCGCCATAGCCGGCGAGTTCGGCCTTGACATCTATGAGGTCAAGACGCCTAGTGTCGGGTCAGACGCCGACTTGGAGCAAATGTTCCACGAGATACCGCCTCGCTGTGTTGTTTTGCTCGAGGATATTGATGCCGTGTGGAAGGATCGTTCTGCTTTTAACAACAACAAAAAGACCAACGCCGATACCGCCGCTACTGCCCCGACATGCACCCTGTCCGGTCTGCTCAATGTTCTCGACGGTGTAGGCTCTCAGGAAGGCCGCATCGTCATCATGACCACCAACCGGCCCGAGGACCTGGATAGCGCCCTGGTGCGTCCCGGCCGTGTCGACATGAAGGTCTTCCTGGGCAACGTGAGCCGGCAGTCGGCCGTCGACATGTTCATGCGCATGTTCTCGCCCGAGCTGGGGGTCAACTCGGACACTCGCGACCCGGCCGAGATGCGCCGCCTTGCCGACCAGTTTGCTAGCCAGATCCCCGATGATACCTTCACACCGTCCCTCCTTCAGGGCTTCTTCCAAACTCATCTCAGCAGTCCCCACCAGGCTGCCGACAACATAGCCGCTTGGGTACAAAGGGAGATGGCATCAAGAAAGGGGGGCGATCCTGATTTCGAAGTTATAACGAACAAGAACTGATTCCATCAACACCTCGGATACGTTGCGATGGCAAACGAGGGACAACAGACCCTGACCACATAAATGTTCTTTTGTACTACCGCTCTTGTTGCAATATTGTTTTGTTCTCGTGCCATCGAATCGGCTCTTGTACTACTAGTTCATGTATCCCTTGTACTATTCACACAACCTACACATCATTACTACCCTACCTCCTTGGAAAGAGATCTAGGTCTAGCCAGCACCATCTAATCAGAATCAAGCTCTACTGCTCTAGAGATATTCCAGACCCGTAGTTGTACCAACGTCCGCTTTCCGAAAGTATGCTGTGGTGCGCGTACACGCTAGATGCACCTGCCGCCGGCGCCAGCCTCTGGTATGTTGCATTGCATGTAGGCGTATGCAGACATGAAAAAAAATATTCCAATAGTCGCACCGCGTAGCAAAGAACGCCACAATCCCCCCTTCCAGTACGCGGCCTTGGCACTACTACTATAAGCGCTCTTTCGTATCAGTGACTTATACCCCCTTATGGAGCATCAAGGTAGCAATGGTACTAACGTTCGTAGGCTAGAGGATTAAAAAAAATATTTCTTTTCCAAAAGCTTTGGAAAAGGGGTAAGAAAAAGAACGAAGGGAGGGGGGGACAAAGTTCTTGACTGGCTTCTATCATCCTGGTTTTGCCAAGGGGTCAGGGGGGGCACTCCCGGCGTGAATACAACGGCATGGAAATTGTACTGTAGTTCATGGCCCATATGTGGTTCATGGCCCATAGGTAATGTATCATTTGACCAGGAAAAGTTCAACGATGAGGATCGATTATAGGGCTGGGGAGTCAGTTATTGCGATTCAAGAATAATAATCACCAAGAGTAACTGAGCAATGACCCATGATGCCAAGAGTAATGCACAACCAACGGGTGATGCTAGCTGAGTAATGCTAGTCGCAGAATGCAATGTTTTGAGAGCCTTAACTGGCAACCTAGTAGAAATAAGGCTGATTACCAAGATGTCAATGCAAGGTGAGATGGTATTATCATGTATTATCCAAAAGTGCTAATACTCGTAGGCGCCTTATTCTTTTTTGTACAATCAACGTCTAAAGAGCTTAAAGTTGTGTTGCCAATTACTTTTTTGTTGGTGTTTCCCCCCCCAAAAAAGTCTTGCCAACATGATAGAAGTAGAAACGAACAAGGATTTGACCAAGAAAAGAAATGACATATTGCAAAAGAAAAAAAAACAGCAGTATTAGGCGTAAAAATTTACATCATCTATGTCAGTCATGTAACGCTGTATGTCCAGAAACCCTACCAAACCCGTGAACCCCAAAATGTCTGTGTGTTGTGTTGTTATAGAAAGGAAAAGAAAAAAAGGACACCCGAATAGAAAAAGAGACAGGGCGACTCTCTCTGAAGAGTGGAGCCGAAAAAAGAAATCAGCTATGTTGTGACCATGCTTTTGATGCGACAGGATACATTGAAAGGCATGGGGAGACAACGACAGATTAAGGTGAGCTGTCTAGAAGAAGAAGGTCGCCACGAACACGACGCAGGTGAAGGCTGTCGTGATGGTGTACTCGAGCTCGTACCAGGCGTCGTCACCGGCAAACGCAATCTTCTTGCTAGCAGGTGTGGGGTGGGCAACACCAGTCTTGGGGTCCCTGATGAGGAGCTGCTCGCGGGGAGGCATGCTGGGCGGGTCAATGGCGTACGAGATGGGCGTCCAAAATGAGTTGCAGATGTACACCCAGGTTAGGGGCGGCCAGAAGGCGTGCGTGAGGAGGCCGGTGAGGGTGTCGCGCAGGCCTTCGTCGCGGGCGAAGCAGCGGTAGCAGGTGAGGACGACGGCAACCAGTGTGAAGTAAACATACGCCATGTGGTACCCAGCCCAGTAGTTGACGAGGATACCCCAGAGACGCCTGAAGAGACCCTTGCGTAGGACAGGGTCCCGTTCGTTAAGGGCGGAGCCGAGAGAACCAGTAGGCTTGAAGGCCTGGGTCTGTCCACCAAGCCATGTGGGAAGGACGAAGGAACGGATGATGCACAAGCCAATGTAAGGAGACATCCAAATCTCGTAACGACCACCACGGCGACCAGTACGGTAGCCAGCAGGCATGGACAAGACCATCTCGTTGAGACGGTTGGCGACAAGGGCGGCAAAGCAGGCGCGAATCAACCAGCGGAGCTGGGTGTCGTTGGCGTAGGCAACAAGGGGCTTGCCCATGACGAGAATGATGGGGATGGCGAAGAGGGAAATCGAGAGCATAATGGTGTACAGGTTGAGAACTGCGTAGAGGAAACCAGAGAAACGCTGAGGGAAAGTCATGCCCTTGACATCCTTACCCCAAAGGGAGAACCTCAGCTTGATTGAGGTGTCGACAGTTCCAATGGCCCAACGCGTACGCTGCTTCAGATGGCCGCCGAAGTCCTCGGGGACAGTTCCGAATTGTAGGGGTTCGTGAATGAAGGCGGTCTTCCATCCGGCGGCCAGGAGCTTGGTAGAGGTAGCGACATCCTCGGCGAGAGAACCGAGAGGGAAGTTGCCAATCTCCTCGAGGGCGTCGCGGCGAACCACGTAGCCAGATCCAGTACACCAGGCGACGCCGAGAGAGTCCTTAATAGGCTCAATAACGTGAACGAAGAAGTCGAGACTCTGTGAGAGAGGGTCACCAGGGGGCGTGTTGTAGAACAGTTGAGGCGGGCAGGCCAGGGCAACCTTAGGGTCTTTGAGCATGTGAGGTAGGATAGAGCGAAGCCAGTGGGGCTCGGGAATCTATTGAGTGTTAGCCATGAACCATGGTTACTCTCCATTTCCAGTTGAGCAGAAGCAAGGACGGTCAATCATGAAAAGACATACCATATCGGCATCGAGGGCCGCCATGTAGAAACTACCGCCACCAGGAAAGTTCTTGGAGGCGTCAATTCCATTGTTGAGGTTACCGGCCTTGAAGTGGTGAGGGACACCAGGGTATTTGGGACGAGCAATGTAATAAGTGTTGGGGAAGGTGGTGGCCAGATCGCTCATAGCCTTCTCGAGGCCGGCAGACTTGCCATCGTCGAGTAGAATGACACGGAAGCGACCGGTGGGGTAGTCCTGGTAGCAAGCGGCGAGGACGGTATCCATGACGACCTCATCCTCCTCACCACAGCAGGTAACAAATACATCGACGGTAGGCACGTCATTGCCGACCAGGCGGAGCTTTGCGCGTCCGCGCTTCTTAACAGCCCACATGGTCCACATGTTGTGCATGAGAGGAGGAAGGGCGACACAGAGCTCGACAGCAATGAAGAACCAGGCCTGAGCGTAGACCTTATCCTGCTCCTGCTGGGCGAAGATGACACAAGCAATACGGAGGCCAAGGTAGGTTAGGTACAGCAGCGACGCGGCAATGGTGAAAAATGGAATGAGGTAGTAGACGTTGCGACGCCATCCCTTCCAGATGTCGGAGTCATCGCGCTCGTGCAGCTCAGCGATTCCAAAGTCGCCCTTGACTGGAGCCTGCATGAGAACCGGGGAAGCCGGGCGCGACAGAAGGTTTGTGTGGCTGGCGTTGGAAAAGCTAGCCTGACTCTGATGCTGTAACCGCCACAAGGCCATGTTAGATAGGGTTCAAACGACAATGGCCAGGCTGTCGGGGTAGTCTACCAGCTCCCCAGAATGGAAACATAGTATTGCCGATCTCGGGAGGTAGAGGAAAACGTACCATCATGCTGTTGCGGTTCCCGAGGGGCGTCGATCGGCCGCTCTCGCTACCCCAGCCGTATCCCGGGGACGGGGGCATGGAGTCGAAGGCGTGGGGCGGCATACCTCCTTCGGTCAAGGTCTGGGTGCTAGAGCCCCAGTGATGCGAAGGCAAGGAGGCCATCGAGGCATCTCCCTGGACGGGAGGGCCAGGTCGGTAGGGTCTGGTAAAGTCCCTCGAATTCTGACCCTGGGGAGAGGCAGCTTCGTAGCCGGTGTTGTAGGGCCTCTGGAGGACGTCAATCTCGAACTCGTCAGCGGCCGGCTGCTGGCCGTTATTGTTGCCCTTCATGATGGCCGAGAAGGGGCGCAGCTCGCGGCGGTGGGCGTGGATTGGTGTGCCTGATGACGGCGTGGGGGAGTAGAAACGAGTGACTTCGACTTGATCAGGTTGTGGTGGCGGGTTTGTTACTTATGGGCTTTGTTTGCTGTTTCTATACCGTTGTAACCATGAGTGCACCACACACCATGTCAAGTTAAACGAGAGAGGGGGGAGGGGAAGAAAAAAAGAATGAGGAAGGGAAAGGGAAGTGATTGTAGATAAAGCTGTAAGAGTTCTGAGGGCGGAAACAGGAAAGAAAAGAGAAAGCAAAGAAATGGAGGAATGGGGGGAAAAAGAGTACCAAGTACGAGTAGCAATGCCACCCCGGGCACACGGCACGAGGTGGGTGGGTGATGGTCGGTCGATCTCGTCTGCCTTGAGACCTGGGCAGGGCGGATCCCAGGGGAAAAAAAAAAGATACTCAGGGCCAAATAGCTTGTAAGTCAGTTTGCTAGTAGGTTGGCAGCTGGAACAAGACTCGTCGCTCGAGCCATGTACCAGGAAACACGAAGGATAATAATAAATAATAATAACAGGGTACATATGTAGGTCTCGTCTGATACGGGTCAGGCGGGGAGGGGAGCGGGCGGGCGTTCAAGTGCCAAGTACTCGTACCCATATGTAGTCCGTCATAATGGTACCCAGTTCTCGCTCTATTTGCGTGTAATGTACAGGTAAAAAAATACCTGCTTGCAGTACGAGATAGGAACATATCGTATGTACTCGTACTCTGTACTTGTTTTTTAGTACCCACATGCCGGATGCGCGGAAGTACCGTCTTCAGGTTTGTTGGAGGGTGCAAGTGAATACTCGTGCGTTGTACCACGATTAGTACCTGCGGGCAGTGTGTCGGTTTCACTGCTATTACTACTGCTTGCTTACTGCTCACTTTCTCCCCCGCCTACACTCAGCACTAATCCATACCAGTTCGCCTTGGTAACAGGTAATTATGGCAATACCCCAAGACCATATCAGTCAGGTCACAGCCGGAAGACGGATTCCCAATTATACAATCTCATATCAACCGGCACTGCTCAGGATCGTGATACCACGGGCGAAGTGCCACCAAGTAGCTGTTCAGCAGGGCAGGCAGTTATAGCTAGACTCCGTGCATCCATGGTATTTCTAGAGATAGACTATACAGGTACTACCAGCCTGTAGGCGCAGTAACGGCCTGTAAATACAGCGTATCACCTACAGGCTACTACTACTCGTACCAAGCCGCCCCAGCCCACTGACCAGCAGTCCATGATGCCATGGATTGAGGGTCCCTGTAACCCATACGAGAATAACAGGGGTTGGAATCTGCCCCGACGGGTCTCTCGCGCTCTTTCCCACTCTGTCTATTGTCTGGGCCCCTGTCCTTGCTTCTCGTACAAGGCAACAACAGCCCAGTGATGGAGGGGGCCCCTCCTTCCCTCCTTGGATTTGTCGTCCCGCTTGTCCAGTCTTACGTTGTGCATTGCGTTGTATTACAGAAACCACGCTGTGGTACATGTGTGTTATTACGGGTGCGATAGCATCAGCAACAACAAACCCTTGCTTATCATCGTTTTATTGCCATGCCGAATCCGTAAGTAGCCATCCTTCAATCGTATGGCGCTTAGAAAAAGAAAACACGGGAAACAAGGCGACAGTGGTAGGGGGGTTCAGAAAAAAAAGAGTAAATACGCCATTGTATACGTGCATGATCGGTCATGTCAGTAGGGGGGCAAATGTGTGCATATGTCTGACTATGTCATCTCAGAAAGAAGAAGGGGGGGGGGAGAAGGATCATGGTCATTCCCGCTGTACGAGAATCATTACGAGAGAGCACATCGGACCATTAGATCATTGGAGTAGTTAAGCACCTGGAAACAGGCAAGTACCGCCGTCACCCGAACGCACGAGAATGAAAAACCCGGCCAATACCGATCCGGGCTCGGCAGACGTGTTCGGCCTGGTGAACCACATTCCTAGTGAACGGCGCCAAAGTTAAAAAACTTCAATGCGTGGCGCAGTGTAGTTTCCCTCCTAAGTGGGATTCATTTTTTCCCCTTTTCTCTTTTGCTATTCTTTGTTTTTTTTCCGTCTGTTTACTATCGGTTGCGGGTCCAAGTCTCTAAGAACGATGTTCCGTAAATGCCTATACCTAAAATGCTAATACGAATAGTAAGTAGTCCCTAATGTACACTCGTGAGACAGTAGTGTGTGGACGGCGTACAGGTAATCGCGCTCGCATATATCCACGCACCACGCACACCAAACACGCACTCATGCACACGCAAACGCACACGCAGACATATTCGTGTGCGTTTGAATCATTGATACCACCAGTCTGTATCTCTCTATCTTCTCTCTCTCACACATAATGTTGTAATCTTTCGGTGAGAACTTCTCATCACACATACGATAACTACGGAGTATTATATCCTACAGGAATGACATTGAAACTGCAATTTACCCCCGACGTGTCGGATTAATGGCCCAGATCTCGGTGTGGCAGCTCCCGGTCTTATTCGTTATGCGCATACGAGAAATCTTAGTAATAGCAGCTAACCTATTAAAATCCTATCGTCCGAGGAACTCTTGTCTATCGCCAAGTAATACTACAGGTACTATCACTAGAGTATACCACATATCGATGTACCATTTCAGTACAATACTGCTCTGCAATATACCAACTACTCCGTAGCATACCAAATAATACTCTACTTTATTGGTCTACTTAACGCCATCGGTAGTTATTTTTACTATTCCGTATCCTTTATTGTTTTTTTGCCAAGTCGTTACTTAACCCTACGTGTACCGTACGAGTATGAACACCTCCATTATTCAGCACATCTCCACTCAGGGCTGAGTGCTATATGTATAGGTACTAGTAATAGACTGTATTACATATATCGTACTCCATTTCGCTCGGCTACTCGTAGACGTACTATTACGTCGTACATGTCGACTCGTCAGTACTCGTACGAGCAGCTTGTCCCCATCTTCTTTTTTTGCCTCATTCCTACGTAGGCGCACAGCCGCATTCCCGGAATAGTGCATTCTCTTTATAGAATAGTGCTACTCCGTGCACCAACACCAATTGCTGGGCGCCCACACGATAAACTGATGGTGATTTTTGTCCTTTAATACGCCGCAAATCTGCTGTATTCGTACGTGTCTTCGAGCTCCGCACCAAGCCCTCAAAGTACGGCATATTTAGGGGCACCTCAGCACTATAGGTACAGCGGAGCTTCTCTATCAGCGACTCTATATTTCTGGGGGTAATATTACTGCTATCCCTTGGTTAATATACCCATTGTCTCGCACCTTATCAGGCCGCATCGGTATGGAACACCTCTCACCCTCACGTCTCTGGTACCCTCTTTCAAGTACGAGCATGCAGCAAAATACGACGGGGAATACGATAAAATGCTACAAGATACTCCGTATCAAGTAGGGAGTACCACCAAGGGCATACCATCGATTATCCTGGAGACAGCGCTAATGCACGCTGTACTCAGGGGCTCGTTCGTTTGCGCCAGTGGCAGTCGAGGAATGTTTCCCACGCTTGCCCGTCAGCCAACCGAGAGAGCCCACACTACAACCATGGACGACCCAATCCACACCTTTTTTCGTCGCACCGTCCCAAGTCACTTTTTTATTTATCTATTTATCTTTATTTATTGTTTATCTACTGTTTATTATCTTTCCTTCTTTCTTGGCCCATGACTCGGGGTGGGTGTGGCTCTCTCTGCTTGGTCCATCCACCTATCCCACCCCGTCTTCCCCATCCCAATACGAGATCAGTAAATCCACTGGACGGAGCCACTGGACCACTGCGAGGCTGAAAAAAGGGGCGGGAGGGATGTGGGAGCGAGAGACTGGCAACTTGTCACATACGCTATGGACACACAGAGTAATACACACTGCACACGGACTCAGATAGGCAGGGAGGGGCGATCAAGTGTGGGACACAGAGGGGGCGTGTGAGAAGGGGAAAAAACAGGCCTTTCTTAGAATCGCTCTTTTATCGGTACGAGGATGGAGTACGGCATCAAAGACAAGGAAAATTCTCGTCTTTCCATCCCAATTTTTTTTCTTCTCGTCTTCTCGTCTCTTTGTTGTCATTATGTCAATCAAGTCCACTTTGTAGCTTTTCTTGTAGGGCCTCCCTCCACATAGTTACTTTGAAAATAGAACGGCTCCGCTTTCGTACCAGCCCAGTGATGGGCAGAGAATGCCAGTAGAGTACGGAATAAGGTCATGGCCGTAAATGATAACCATTTGCATCTTTTGCTAGCTGTATCATACTATACTCATACTCGTACAGGGCTAGTGACGACAGGTTAGTATTGTGATTTACTGCAGACGGGTACGAGAGTACGAGACTTACAGTAGTAATTTGGCAGTGCATGCCCCTAGAAGTCTCTCTACCCGCATTCGTGCAGTATTACAGCCCTTCGACAATCCCTTGTCGTGGGTGGCGGCCGTCCCAGCTAAAGGGTCCCCCAACCCAAGCTGACACAGCGTCATCAAACCAAACGGCTGCCACCTTTTTTTCTTCTGTCCGTCTGTTCACTCGTATGCACGGTTCATCCATCACCACTCCATCTGCCGTTCTGCTTTTTTTCCTTTTCTTCTTCCCCTCCCGTCTACTGACTGATAAAACTAATCTGGTGCTTTTCTCTTTTTTCTTTCTCCCCCCCACGCCCTTCCTCTCTTGTGCTTCGTGTAATTCATTCGTTTTGTTACACCCCGCCATCGCACAAAATTACCTCTCGGGTCTGACGGGGTCGAATCTTCTTCCTTTCGTGAGCAGACGACAAAGCAGCAGCTTCATTCGCACAAAAACTACGAGCCAAGAGCTCGCAGTCGCCCTTTTTGGAGAATCACAAAAATGGGTGCTCTTTCGCTTCTCAATTTTGTGCTCGTCGCACTCCCCATCGGTTCCACGCTTGGTGTTCTGCTTGGCCTCCAAGCTCACCGCGACGCTACGGGCCAGGAACCGCTGTTCAAGCCTACCAACCCCAACACGCCGCCAAAAAACGATGGCATAACGCTCGTCCACAAGTGTAACGAGACGGTTGGAATCTCGCCTGCCTCTGTGGGCGACAAATACACCCGTATGTCAAGACCCCCGTGTCATGTCGTGACATTCTATCGCGGGCGGCTGTTGTCCTTCCCAGTTGGCCATGCGACCGTGGTGCCTGGTGCCACGATCATGGCGCTGTGCCACCGTATGGCCGCCACTCACAACATGGCCACGACAGCCACCCGCACACACACAGTCAATATGACGTCGCTTCTGCTATACGAGAACAATCGTCAGCTAACCATTTTCAACAGTTAACCCCAACCCGTGGGGCTGGAGTGAGGGCGAAGAGGGCTCTATCTGCATGGACGTGAGTCTTCAATGTCATCTTGTATTTGCCGCTAGGCCCCGAGGAAGCATTTATTAACCTCAGAATCCCGTCAACAGGTCATCACATGGAACAACCAGACCTACCCTACCAAATCATCTGCCCCCGAATGGTCCGTTACCTGGGAATACCCTGCCGGCTCTACCAACGCTCCCGTCCACGCCTTCCCCAACGTCAAAGTCGACTCTGGCACTTTCCCCGTCAAGATTAGCAAGCTCAAGTCCATCTACCTCGACTTTGAGTGGTCTTATGCTGTCGGTAACACGACCGCCGTCACTACCACTGATGTCGACGAACTTGAAACTGCTGAGCTCAACGCCAATGTTGCTCTGGACATGTTCTTGGATTCCGACAAGACGGCCTCCAAGAGCAGCGAGGATGCCCGTATCGAGATGATGGTCTGGTTTGCCACCTTTGGTCCTTCTACTGTTCCCATTGGTAACACGACTACCGATGCCGTCGTTGATACCTTGGAAGTTGACGGAACCACCTTGTACGTATACATCCACGTCTTCCTTCAGACTATCAAGTCTATTCTTACCAGCCTCGTCACTACTCAATCCCTCCTTGGCTCCACTTCGATATAGTACAAGTATGCTGACGCGTTTACTTCCCTTCTCCCAGCTCTTTGTATGCTGGAAAGAACAACATCGGCCAGCGTGTTTTGACATGGTACTCACAGGGAACTGCCGACAGGTTCCACGGTGATCTCATGCTCTTTGTCAATCGCCTCGTCGAGCTGGGCGAGACCCAATTTCCTACTGGGGACGACTACATTGGCTACGCCAGTTTGGGAACTGAGACTTACTGGGTCAGCGAGACTGTAACCTTCCACGTCCCGACTCTGGCTTTCGATATTGAGACCGACTAAACCACACTGTCTTTTTCGTCCTGTCATTTCTTTTTTTAATAATTCACCTTCTTGACGGTTGTCCTTGCCCTTCTTCCTTTTTTTCCACATAATATCTCTAGCGAATATTGTAATTCCATCATGTGTTCAATTTCATATTGTTAACTAGAGGAGATAGAATGATTGTTTTGGACTCTTTGATATACGGATGTTGCCATGGATGCTCGAGTACAGTTGACGCGATTTCGCAAGACACCAAACATGATTTATGTTCTCTCTTATTTACCTTTTGTGTTTTAATTTTGCCTTACTTCTACTTGTTCGTACTTCCTTTCGCAACGGCCTTTATCACGTAATCTCGCGTGTACCGACTAGATATAATACTATACTACCGGCGCACAACGATATCAGACTCCCCGTTGATCACGTGCCTTGCTGCGATCCGACTCCGTTTATTAACACGATGTGCGCGCCCTACAACAATATATGCATGTACTTCATAAAAAGGGGGTAAATCGAACATTACTGTCCGCCAACTCAGCAAAGAGTCAGGAACGCATCGATAGGGAAATTAATAGGGCCAATGGCCGATTGAGCGGTGCGCGGGTGGCTTGGGGTTGGGAACGGGCAGACTTCTTTTTTCGCATCCGGTAAGTGTGGGGACTATGCAGCATCCGACAGAGGTACATGTAAGATGGGGAGAGAGAACGAAGAAGGTTGGGCGGGTTGAGCTGCGGAGTTTTTTTTTTTGGTTTGGGGAGAATGTTTACTTACTAGGAATGAGACGAGAAAAAAGCTGCGGGTTCTTATTCCAACTTTAAAATTAAATTAGATTCGATGGAGTCTATGATTTATGGAAAGTCTCAGCTTGGTGTAGTAGCTATGTCGTTCTCCCTGTTCTTCCTTTCTCCTTTCCTTTTCTCGCTCCCCGTGTGGAAGACTAGATGCAAGTAATGTTGGTGTGTTCAGAGACATGAAAAGGGAGATAGTACGTACTATATTGAACCAGCCAGGTTGTTCTGAGCTAAGACACTTGGGAGAGTCTTGTGTGTCGCCGACGCTATTGAGACCTTGATATTTACGCAGTCTTACCCGGACCTTGTTTCCGAGGGCGTATGTTCTTCCTTGATCGCATTGCACATACGGCTTCAAGTGTTGAGTAAAACGATTGTACTTCGGCGTGATAGATCCATCCGAGGAATGAATAACAATAGGTGGCAATAAACTGCAGAGGCAGAAGAAACTTAGGGAGAGAGCATCTACGTACACTTCTCCCCGGACGAGACGGAAAGAGTAAACTGCTCACCCCTTGCCGCTGTCGCCATCTCGCCCGTTCTCACGTTCCACACAACTACGAATGCGATTGATTGATGGATTGATAGACACACTCTCACGGTATCGAAGTGTCTAGTATCAAACCTGCCAGTGTACTTTGAGTGCGTATCGCCAGTAATCATGGTCGTAACTTGAAGATACATGACTATTATTACTCTCGTATTGTCGTGTGCATTGGCCGACGATTTCCCGTGTAATATGTGCATGGGATAAACAGGGTTGTTCTTTTTTTTGGGGGGGGGGGGGGGGGGGGGTTGTCCATTGACGACATTTTGTCCCGACTCTCCGAGTGGTGTTTGGTATTTGTTGTTAACGTTCATGTTCTCGTTACGATATTGACGGGATGTGTGGTCATTGTTGATTACCGTATATAAGGATTTGTAAGCTATTTAGCTTTCTAATGTATGTTATATCATTTGATACTTCGTTTAATATTGTTGATTGTAGAAGGGTGGGTGTCCGCAATAACATATATCCGTAAATATTGATACGATACTCATATATTGACGGTATTATCTCTTTGACATTCATACAACACTCAAATATGATACGCAACAATACACACAGAAAAATACGGCTGTAACCATAATCACCGATTGATCAAAGCTCGATTTGTTAGATGTGAATGTGCGAAACAGGCAACTTGTTGACGATGTTGTTTAGTCGTTGATGGTATAGGGTGAGCAAAGCTCGTATTACAAGGCGAGGCCAAAACAAAGCCAGGAAACCTGTACCAAAAAGGAAGCTGTTATCTTCTCGCCCCCTTCGTACAGTAATAGCATACATAGTAATCTATATTATTAGCATGATCATACTTGCTCGCAGAATCGAGCTGCCCCCCTGTCCTTCCCCCCCAGTGGCTCATGGATCCATCTAGAGCTCATCCGCTCATTTCCTTTGGTCGGCTTATGACAGCGCTTCGCCCTCTCCTGCCTGCCCTGGTGACCACTGCCCTCTGTGATACGAGTGATACTGTTGTAGTAGTAGAGGATAGATCGTCCGCAGTCTTCTTTCTTCCTACCTGGCGCATCTCTCTCTCTCCCTTTTGACGCACGGCCGCCACGTCTTTTACTTCCGCGCCAAACATCGCAGTGTACAAACTCACGAGCCACAATAGATGTGGCTGTTAGGAGAATAAAGACATTTTTTTCTTTATGAATGTGCGTTGTACGTACTCACCCATGGGCAGGTGTTAGTGCGACTCAACTGTGTTCCTGTGCAGACCTGTTGATTCAAATACTGGCAAAACGTGCACGACGTACATGCCCACGATGCTGCAGCTCACTGGCTGCATACATTACGGCGCCACAAAGACATCAGCGTATCATGATGCAATGGAGGGCTTTGCTCCCTTGTCAGACCGTTACACGTATCTACGCTTCAAGGAAGTCCGTCGAAAACAAAGGGCCCTCGCAGGCGACAGCCCGGCAACAATAGGCATTCGAGAGCGACAATCCCTCTGGTTCCTGCCAAGCCTGCAATAGCATCATTTATACGACCCACAACCGACCCATGCAGCGACTGACTGATTACCAGCTACGACGTAGACAGACTCACCATCCAGATCGTCCCCCCCGCTCACCTGCGGATCGTTTCAGATGTGACCAATACGCGGTGGCTAAGGCATCTCGAGAGGCCATGAGAATATTCAGTATGTCTGGAGCCGCTAGGTACCCAGGTCCTCTCGTTGGCTGGCTACATCGTGTGATTCGGTCTCTACAGAAGCTTTTGCTAAAAAAGTTCGAGGTCCACGCTCCTCCATGGTGCTCCACGTCGAGCTGGCGAGCTACCGTATTCGTACATCTACCAGGGTTAACGGTACCTTTGACCATCTATCCCATCTCATTGCTGGCCAAATCGTGAATTGCGTTAGACTTAAAGGGAACTGTCGTCGCCGTTGACAAACGTCTAGACAAACTGTGTCTCTTTCTCACACTCATTCAAACCGCGATACCTGTACTTCACCAACCTGTGAGACTCACATCCGCACCAAAATGCTTTCGCTCCGCACCCTGGCCCCTCTGGCCGCCCTGCTAGCCACTGGCACCGCTGACCTTAAGGCCTGCAGCGGTGACCTGCCCTTCTCGTGCCGCAACAGCACCGAGATCGAGAATACTTGCTGCTTTGTTAGCTCCGGTCTGCTGGCTCAGACGCAGTTCTGGGATTACGACCCTTCTACCGGCCCATCTGGTGAGACATAAATGCTCCCCCCCCTCCCCCCCCCCAATATATTCAAACCACATGTAGGGTGTTAGTTGTTAGACATGTAGTAACGGCTAACGTTTTTATATAACGTACAGACTCCTGGACCATCCACGGTCTGTGGCCGGACTACTGTGACGGCAGCTATCCCTCGTCGTGCGACAGTAGCCGCACCTACAGCAACATCAGTGACATACTGAGCGCCGGTGGCGCCGACGAGACCCTTTCGTACATGGAGAAATATTGGAAGGACTACCAGGGCGATGACGAGTCCTTCTGGGAGCACGAGTGGTCTAAGCACGGTACTTGCGTGAGCACCCTTGACCCGGACTGCTACACCAGCTACAAGCCCACCGAGGAGGTGGTCGACTACTTCGACCGCACCGTCTCGCTCTTCAAGAGCCTGCCCACATATGACTGGCTCGCCGCCGCTGGAATCACCCCTGTATCAACCAAGTACAGCCTCGATAAGATCCAGTCCACACTCGACAAGAAGCACGGTGCCACCGTCGTCCTCCGCTGCGAGGGCGACGAGCTCAATGAGGTCTGGTACTACTTCAACGTCAAGGGCCCGCTGCAAACGGGAAAGTACGAGGCCATCGACCCCGTCGGAACCAGCTCCTCTTGCCCTGATTCGGTCAACTACACTCCCAAGTCTGGCGGTGGTAGTGGAAACTCTTCCAGCCTCCGTACTAGCAGCTACAGGGCCTAGGACCCCCCAAGACAAGAAGCACGAAAACCAACATATGTACGTACATGAAGCTGATGGGGACCCGGTTATCAAATGGATCCGTGGATGTATATACTAGCATATATATAGAACTTGTCAATACAAAGTGAGTTGCACGTCGAAACCTTGGTTTAGATACCTCTTCACAGGTTGCTTGTAACCATCTGATTTGCATGATATGCTGCTTAATATGCGGCGCCCATGCTCGACATCACCAGGAAACAAAGTATGAATGCAAGACGTGTAATTGAACTGTATTATGCGCTGATTATGACCTGGAACATATCGTCCGGTTGCGACGCGAGTTCCTTGAGCTCAAGATCTGAACAAATGTCGGGATATACAGGCACCCACCTAGGGATGATATAAAGGAGTGGTAATATATCAATTTGTTTCTCAACGGCTATGTCCTCAATAAGATTATAAAATCGTATCCAAACATGTAAATAGGGTAAGAAATTAGAGAGCATAATTAATCTAGCAAAATTAATCTAGCAAAAGAGATATAGACGCTGTTCATTGCTAGATCCCAAGTCCGCTGGCTCCCCTGTTCCACCGATACAGGGAAAGAACCTGCCGTCTGGCCAGGCGGTGCTCTTCTAGACTGTTGGGACTGCCACCACGGACATTGTACAGGGTTGATCTGAGAACTCGACGAAAATTTCTCTGCACATAACATGTCATTAGCATCGTTCTTCTCGTCTCGTATCAATGGAAGGAAAGGGATATATATATATATATATATATATATATACATATAAAGTGCGTGTGCAAGAGAGAGTGACAGAGACTTACCTGGAATTCCGTACTCAATGTAACAATGCATACTTCATGAGCTCGAATGATAGTCTCACAAGCCTGCTCGACGCTCTGATTCTGCCCGAGCTGGGGCATCCTGTCTGCAAACAGGAGGAGGATGAAGCTCCCATGGAGGAGGTATATGCCGAAGAGGTAGGGCATAAAGGTAAGCTCTGGGTCGAGGTGAAGTATTTCTGCGACTGCTTCGGACGCCTCGATGGCGTGGTATGCGCACTGGGCGAAGCGTGGGGTGGTGATCCAGTCATCTTCGTTGTCCAGCATGCTTATGGCATCCCATTGCCCGTGGAATAAAACGTGCAGAACGTGTAGTATAAAGCTGCTGTAGGCGATGACCAGGCTGACGTTATGAACGTGATTGTCTTGCCGCTGCTGTTCCTGATGTGATTCATCGTTGGAGGACACGAGTGTACTAATGCGCATAGACGAGTGTGTCTGCAGCTGTTCTCGGGGTTGCTGGTTGACTTCGCGTGCCAGGCTCTCCAGACTAGCCTTACACCCTGCTATAAGGTCGTATATAACGCCTTCGGCATACCTCTTGTCCATTTCACCTAGACGTGGGTGGTATTGTCCGTGATGGACCTCGATGATGTCGCCGAGTACTACCATCAGCGGGAGGAAATACTCGAATATCCCGGTGCCGGTGATCATGACGGGTGGGCCCATCACTCGTGGCGGTAATACATCTACCTCGTCAAGAGCTTCCCATATGCTTTCCGGCAAAGGTGCTATACAGCGTCAGCGTCAGCGTCAGCGTGTACTGTTATCAACCGGCCGGAGGTGGGATATAATACCGTAGACGTCACATATAGAGTCTGGTATATATAGATTACGATTGCAGGAGAGAGCGAGATGGCGATCCAATGAGTAAAGAAGCCAGAAGACGCGGCGTTTCTCCTCTTGGGTCTCGACTTCGGTGCGGGATTGCGGCAGAATAGTGTTGTTGTCTGGATTGTCCAGGCGGTTCAAACCCATGGATAGGGTGAGTCTCTGGGCCTTGCTCCACCATTTGTGACAGTCGGACTTGAAGTCTCCAGCTGACACACCGATGCAGAGGAGGATGAATGTGAGGACGTCGTCGACATTTGGTTCGTGGTTGGGGAGTATGTGGCCCGGTTCACCATCGTGTTCGGGTTGGATCCCGCCTATTGGCGGTTAGTCTTTTTCATCGCCACCGTACTACGATCAAGTCCGTCTTCCCACCGCATAATTTTTGGTGAGGGAAATAAAGGGACCTACCATGAGTGCGCCTCCATCTATCTGGATCCCGCGCTGAGATGAGATAGGTTGCCATCTCATAGAGGGTATTGGTCAGCTTCGCCCTGGCCCCGGGCACGAGTAACACGGAGATATCTGCCGTCTGCGCACAGCACCACAAGACAGTAGCCAACAGAGCAGGTGAAGTGGGACGTGGCTTCGGACCCAGGAGTGACCTCATCCGAAACACCCTAGTCAGGATGTATGGCGAGGAGAAACGGAAAAGCGAGGCGCCAGGGTCTAAGAGGTAGTTCTCAAACAGGTCGCATACCACTGATATGGGAATATCCCTTGATGTATAAGGTAGGAGAGGTTCCAGACAGGGATAGCGACACCCGGATGCGCTGGGAGATGAAGGCGATGGCTGCCGGTTTATTCTGCCGGGGGGGTCGTAGTTGACGGAGGGAGTGGGAGGGTAGGCGGAGAAGAGGTGCTGCTGCGGCTGGGGAGTAGTGCATGACGTCTCTGGGGCCCTCGATTGAGAAAGAGGTCTTGCTTGTGGCAGTTGGGCATGGCGACTCGAGTCAGCTGGTGACGGAGGGTCGTTGCCGGCCGAGGGGCTGGCGTCAGAGGACGAGGTTGCTTCCTTCCTGTCCTTGAGGGCTACACGGCCGCGCTTCTTAGCTTGGCGTTGGTAGCCACAGTAGTAGCCGTATTCTGGAAGGATGAGTAAATGTATTCTAGAGGTTTGAGAAGCAGATGGACATTATATACCGGTACATCGGCCACTGTCTCAAGTTAGTATACGTGTGAGATGGGAAGGGTGAGTGAGATGGAGGAAAGCATACCACGGGAGCCCTCCATTGCATCGTGTACGTGATACATTGCACTTATCACAAGCTCTTTGCGTCCGCTTTCTCGATCTGAAAGATTGTTTCGAGTCCGGCGGCTTGGAAGGTGAGGCTGTGTCATTGTCGCGCATTGTTGGTGACGGGGCAGTCCACACTCAATATCGATGACTCAAATATCATCCGATAATCTCAATGGGACGGTAGGTGTGATTGAGCTGTAATAGAGATATGAGGTTCTTTACTCACCATGTACGGACACGAGCATGGATGGCAGTGAATTCGGTAGTTTCGACTTCGTTGACGTCTGAGTCGTACATGTAGTCGATAGTTTGTCCCTCAACCCCCGCAAATCCCCAATCTCTAGTCCTCCTATGCGGGTTCCCCACAAATATCTATATTCCTTTGAATTTGCTGCGGGCGGGGAGACTGGGAAGAAGCAACGCATGAGGCCTGCATTGATTGTATGTTAAAAATGATAATACTATGTGCGATCCTACTGTATAAGCCTTATCCATACTAGTAAACTGATGTCGTCAGTTCCATGTTCAACCCCCCCTCTTCTCCTTCGTTCGTTATCGCTATCCAGTGAGTGCATCCCCATCCCGGCTGAGGTCCTTTACCATTTCTATTTTACTCTGCTCTGAACTTTCTGTTTCTATTTGAATTTCCGTCTAAATACGTGTAGTCTTTTTGTAGACGTATTTGGATACTGTGTGTACGGGTTTGCCATACGCTGCGGTGTAGTAATGCCGCCCCTGGCATTTGATGCATAGATCTCCACCTTGATCAATCTTGACCATTTCCCCAAGTGGCAGCTCGGTCGCCTCCGACGTTTGTCCAGCTTCTTTATCTCTCTATTTTGTAGCCTGGCACCTACGGTGGGTGGCACTTTCCAATGCTTTTCGTCTGCCATCTTATTATTAACACAGTTTCCTACTCACATGTCTCGTATTCTTCATTTTTCCCCGTCTTGCTTTGTCCGCGATACCCCGCCCCCGCACCCGCTTGAAAATAAAAAGCCATCGATAAGCCCGTTTTCTCTTCGCCTTCATCGTCAACCTTCTTCACCACCGATTTACTACCCACCATGGATGACACCGACATGAATCTCCCCATAATCGACTTGGACGTCTTCCTATCGCAACCTGCCTCTTCCCCCGCCGTCCAGGCCGAGTGCTCCCGCGCCGCCGAAGCCCTCATCACCTACGGCGCGCTGATCCTTCACGACTCCCGCGTCGCCCCAGAGGCCAACGATGTTTTTCTCGACCTACTAGAGGACTACTTCGCCCAGCCTGAATACCTCCTCCGTCACGATGAGCGCCCGGAGCTGAGTTATCAGGTCGGTGTGACGCTCGACAACACCGAGAAGCCCAAGTGCGCCGTCGACGAACCCTGCCTTGACATTATCCGTCGTCTTGCCCCAGACCAACGACCGCTGGATATCACAGGACACCAGCCTGACCCGAAATGTCGCTTCTTCTGGCGCATGGCTGACCCGCCACCATATGAGACGCAATTCCCGGGTCTCAACGCGCCTAATGTCACGCCTCAAGCTGATCATATTCGCGACCGCTGGGCTCCGACAATGGATCTGTGGGGGACTTGCATGAAAAATGCGTAAGCTACTCCTCCTTTGCCCCATATATCTATTCTTCCTGACCAGCCTTCCTCTTATCAGCGTATCGAAGCTGGCCGAGATGACGGCTCTGGGTCTCGGTCTCCCCCAAGACGCCTTTTCCTCGGCCGGCGCATACGGGTAAACACCCTCTACTCCTCTTATCTTTTGCTATAGGAAAGCAGAATAGAGACTGACACCAATAGACCTCACCTCCTTGCTCCCACCGCCTCCGACTTATCAAAGTATGGTGCCAGGGACACCATCCTCGCCGGCTTCCACACAGACCTCAACTTCCTCACCATCCACGGCCGCTCCCGCTACCCCGGTCTCAACGTCTGGGCTCGCAACACAGGCTCCCGCATCCCCGTCAAGATCCCCCCGGGGAACCACCTACTCGTCCAGGCCGGTAAGCAGATTGAGTACATGACCGGAGGGCTCATCAAGGCAGGATACCACGAGGTGGTTGTCAACGATGCTACGCTGGCGGTTGTCGAGCGCAGACGCCGAGAATGTCCCCAAAGACCGCTTGTGCGTATATCAAGCACTCTTTTCTGGCATCTTAACTCGGATCATGACCTGGCGCCTGTGCCGGAACTTGCTGAGAGAGCTGCCCGTGTGCGTAAGGAGCAGGCTCGTCTTGGTCGCGACGAGGGTGAGGTAGTCGAATATTCTCCTACCAAGGTGGGGTACCAAGTCCAAGAGTATGTTCCGTCCCTCTTGTTGATTTACCCATTAGCATCTCTATTTTATTTTCTGACCGTTTCCATATTGGCTCATACACTGAATCATCATACAGTGAACTTAAACACATTGCCCTCATGACCTGATTGTATAATCATATATACCATTTCTATTTTTAACCTTCGTCATGTAGGTGTGTTTGGTATGTTGTCCATTTATATCATTTGGTATTCATGATCGAAAAATCTATGTGACTTGGGCTCTCCTTTTCGTAATTTCAAAATCAAAAATATAACTAGAATCCCCTGTATCCAAAATCCTGTCACCTATATACAATTTACAGAAGAAAATTCGCCCACTTTACATAACCTCATCCGTTTTCTTGTTCTGCGTATCAGCGACAGGGACTGTAGACTTGTCTGACTGCTTCTGCTGGCCCTCGGCGCTGTTGGCATACGAATCTCCCGTCTTTTGCTCAGTGATCTCTGAGACGTTCGCGTCGCTCCTCCAAAAGTCCTTCTTGCCCTTTGACAGGCGGACCAACCAAGGGGGGAGAAACCCGCCGGCAAGACGCCACGTCCAGGGCTCCTTCTCGTCGTAGTTTGGAGGAAGGATCCTTCCACCCGAGAGAACCTTGACGGCCCAAATGGTGAGGTTGATGATCATGTAGCTGAAGACAGAGGCAATAAGACCGTCGGCAATGGAGTAACAGAAGGGCATGAGGGCGATGGCGAGGAAGGCGGGTATGGCGTCACCCATGTAACTCCAGTTGATGTCCTTGACAGCTGAGGCCATCATGGAGCCCACGATGATGAGGACGCAGCCGGTGGCCCAGGGAGGGATGGATGCGAAGATAGGGGCGAAGAAGACGGAGATGAAGAAGCAGATGCCCGTGACCATGGCCGTAAGGCCCGTCTTGCCACCCTCGGAGATTCCAGCACCAGACTCTACAAAGGCAGTGACAGGGGGCACACCAAGTAGGGCACCGATGGAGATGGAGATGGCATCAACCATGTAGGCGACTGAAGAGCCCTCGAAATCCTGGGTAACAGGGTCTATGAGGCCGGCGAAACGGGCGACACCGTACAGGGTACCGGTGCAGTCGAGGATGTCAACGTAGAGGAAGGTGATGAGGGCGAGGCCGAACTGCCCGCCGTAACCCGAGACGTCCCACTCCTGGACGTTTAGTGTCTTGGAAATGGCGTGGAAGTCGACGACTTTCTTGAAAAAGTCGAAGGACTCGTTGCCTACGGACGTGTACGGAAAGTAGGTGACGGGGGTGCCGCGAGGCCACGAGATGATGCTGACGAGTGCGACACCAATAATGATGGCACCCTTGACGCGGTACATCATGAGAATGACGGTCAGGATACCGCCGCAGAAGATGCCGATCCACATAGACGGGTAGCGCATCTTGTCCCAGTCTGGGCACGTCCCATCCTCGAGTTGGTTAGCGGGTGAGCAACCAGCGAGCTCAGTGGGCGTGTCCTGAGAACCGACGATCAGGCCGATACCCTCGCTGTAGGTCAGACCGATGAGCGTGAGGAAGAGCCCGATACCGACACCAGTGGCCGTCTTGATGGTGGCGGGGATGGCGCGCGCAAGCCACTGTCGCATTCCGAAGATGGCCAGGGCAAAGAAGATCCAGCCCTCGACGAAGATGGCCGTCAAGGCAACCTGATAAGGAACGGGACCGGTGCCGTGGTATCCAACGACGGTGTAGGCAAAGTAGGCGTTCAGGCCCATTCCAGGGGCAAGACCGACGGGCCTGTCATTTCCAGTTAGCACAGCTGACTTGGTTATATGGAGCCATGCGAGTTGATGGACTCATCGGAAGAAGAAGGTAACACACATGTTGGCAAAGAGACCGATGCAAAATGTGGCGAGGGCAGAGATGGCGGCAGTGGCAGTGACAGCGTCACGACGAACAGCCTGAACACACATGAGGTATTCATCGTTGGCATCGCAGGTGGGATCGGCGGTGGTAGCCTCGCACACGCAGGGACCGCCCGTGTCGGCGACGATGGAAGAGTTGACGGCGATGATGTAAGCCATGGCGAAGAAGGTGGCTAGACCGGCGCGGATCTCGGTGAAGAAGTAAGAGCCCTTGCGCTCGCGGGGCTATGAGATGACATGTTAGAATTGAAAGCATGACATGGAGTGCATATGACTGCGGTGCAGTATTGTTTATCGATATTGTGTGTTTGCAACACCTCTCCATATCTCTGTCTTGGACCACTCTGTTGGACTCCTGGTGTTCTCTCTTTTTTTTTCTTCGTTCTTTTTTCAACGCAACGCACTTGCTATGCGCATATATGGCTAATCGAGATAGAAGAGCTGCAAGAGTGTCGTCGAGTGTATAAGGGAATGGGAGTGAAAAATCGACAAAGAACTAGAGGGCTCAGAACAGATTGGCGCGACGCGCACAACCTGGAGAGGAAGAAAAAGACGTACGTGACCTGAGCCATCGAGGCGGAAGTAGCGACCCACGGGTCCTGCTGCAATCTTGGCGTCAATTTTCGAAGTCCAGTCACTCCAAGTCATGATGGGCGGCGTGTTCTGAGGTTATGGGCGAGACAAGCAACATGAAAAAGAGAGACAAGATCGCTCAAAGGCGAAGTCAGGAGAGGAAACAGCTTTTTAGCCTCTTAATCAAAAAGAGGGAGAAGAAAGAGCAGAAATCGGGACCCCATTAAAGAACCGGCGATAGCGAAAAGGAATTGTTCTTTTTTTTCTTTTTCTTGTGGGTCGGATGTTCGGGGGGAGGGGCGAGGCGCACGGATATCTCTAGTCCTGAACCGGGACTGATAACGGGGAGTAGGCACCAATAAGGAAACAAGAGGGTCCGCTTGGGATTTGTTTTTCTTCTTGTCGAGCAAAAGACTGGGCTGTGCCGCGTGTGTAGATGGAGTTAATGGACTTGTATTATCGTGTGCTTATTATTTCCGGTTCTGAGAAGAGTTCCCGTGGCGAGAGAGGGGGGGAGTAAGGCCAGAGAGCAAAAGAAACGGTCAACTGAGACAGAAGCAGCGACAACATCAGTTGCCTCATTTGAATGACGCGCAGTGGTCTGGGTTTATGTAGTTTCTGGGAATAGGAAGTATGACTAGAAGGCAATTAAGAGACTAACCAGCTCTACATCAATGGTCAGCGGTGGCGTCCGATGAGGGTGTGGCGATCCCACAAGGACACCACCATGCGCTAGCGAAGTGCACTAGGCTCCTAATTCAATCAACACTGTCTGCAAGCTTTCGGAAACATATTGAATCGTAATTAGAGAGGCTTCGAAGCTGTGCGCGAGATCCTCTCTCTCACTCTCTCTGCACCCCACGCGGCAGCCCTCCGCCCGACGCCGTCTCGGACGTCTCCCTACCTACGTTTCCTAATCAACGTCACGGGTTTACCACCTACGAGTCCGGGTTGGCGGAAGCTGCCGGAAGGAAAGACTCAATTATTTGATACTTATTCAGACGCGTGGCTAGAAAGCAAGACGCACGACAACGCGTCGCAGTTTGCGATTGCAATGCATACAAGGACTGGTCGGACAAGAAACCCCGTTTCAATGAATGGAGTGTGCAAGAACGACTCCACAGATAACGAATCCGTCAAAACTGACCAGTCAGACAGCGTTGTATCACAGTGTACGCGAAGATGGGACCCTTGCTTGGTTCTTGGCTTCTTATCTAGAAACGCTAATATCTCTGTGTGAACGATCCTCGAGATTCTTGTTGGGCACTTTGTTACTTAATACCTGTACTCATAATAACGAAACCAATTAACTTCTGCTGCCATCTTCTTATCGTCATCTTCACCAGTGTCCGGACCAGCCTATCTGGGACCCAGGGACTTGCCAATGTGGTGTGCACGACGGGATTCGAGTTACAGAGCGGCGCGCCCCGGGCTGGCACATTTCTTCGTCCAGCCCGTAGAGATAGGATTTGACCGTCGTGGCAGCTCCAGATTCGGGGGTGGCCGAGTCCTTGTCTCCTGTGTGCCTGGACTCTGGAGTTTCGTTGATACTCTAATAAGTCGAGGCAATTTCGAAGTCATTTGTATCTTCAATCGTCGGGCTTGGAGCAAACAGGGTCACGGGCGACGGGCCGACCTTCTTCCGGATGAGTGAACTCCTCAAATATTTTCCTAGTCACTATTTCCACCCTAGAATAAGAGAAGAACAATAATATATTCAAAGTCACCGAAATAACGCAAATTTCTACTAATTCCTAGTACTTTGATTATCAAGTAATTACTCAGAACATCCATAGTCCGACTAACACGCTTAGATCCTCTTTAACCGATGTTATCCCGGCCGAGCCGTCTGATAGTGTGGGACATCACGTGCCAGCTGTCACATCTTGAGTTTGGGTGTGGACTAGTTAGGCGCCCCGGGCGTTCGAATTAAATAAATATCACCGGCGCATTTCATCAGTACGAATATGTACATGAATTTCATATGTAAAGTGCACTATCAAAGATCAGGGACCTATGGATCGTGCGTTTTGCACGTGTAACCCTAACAACGTGAGGCATCTCGTGATGCCTTTGTCTTCTTATGGCAAAGTGTCGATAATGTAGCATTATCTCAATAATGAAAGGGGCAAAGGAGAAGATGGGCATTAGCCACCACTCGGGCAGTGCGCTATCACAATGAAGGAGATCAATCGCACAAGGCCAGGAAGGGAGACAAAGTGCCATGTTGTACAAAAGGACGAATTGTTTCCACTTTCTTCTACTCGATTTTTCCATCATCACTACTATGCACATTCCCTTTTCCACACACAACCTTAGGCCTCGCATTGCGGTCACTGCTCCTACCGCTGTGCCTGCTACACGAAGCGACAGCACGCGTGGTGGCCTTGGGTCTAGGCTACACGTGCAGAACGCAGGATTCATAGGTCCCTGATCTTTAATAGTGCACTCTATTTAATGAATCCATGTGCAAACTGATGAAAAGCGCTGGTGATGCTTATTTAATTTGGGCGCCGACCGTCAACTAGTCCACGCCTTGAGTTCGTATCGAGCTGCTTAGAGACAATATCAGTGCCCCATTATCAGTCCTCTACCCCACAGGCTCAAAGAACATACTCGTAACGGGCCTTTTTATCGTGCTTCAGTATTACATACACCAAACAGAGTGAGAATTGGGTTGACGAGAATGAAGACACTTTCTTCCTACTGATAATGTTGAACTGATCTGGACAAGACCCTTCCTCAGGCTGAGACACCAAGTCCCCCTCATGCTCTTGTCTTGGCACATACGCTGTCCAGGTGGTGTTGTCCTCTGAGTCCCTGGCCATGCTGGCCATCGGTATACTGCGTTAACTCTCCTCCCCCCCCCCCCCCCCGCGTGTCGCAGGTTATCGGCGCTCATGACCAAGGATGGGAACGCTTCTTGAAATTCCCAAACAAGTCATCTGTTCAGATCATTTATAATATGGACTGTATGCAGTCTTGTATTCAGGCCTGCTGTGGCCGTCATTTTTTCGAAAAGCAATGCCAGTTGTCTTGTTCTGTATCATTTCGCCATCACCGATGCTAACGTCCGGAGGCCACACACGCACTCCCCGATTTGACCCTGCATTGAGAAGAAAAGGGGGAAAGACACCTAAAGGGTTAAATCAGAGAGAAATCTTGACGTCAGCCGGCATTTCCTCCTCTTCGCACTTGGCCATGCAGTGCTACCGCCTACATACGGTGGCTCCTCTCCCACGTCACCTTGGCTTCGCCATTGGCTGCAATGACGTCAGCTGCCCACTTCCAGTCTCTCCTGATCCTTCCTGATGGCTTCGATCTCAAGGGTCCCAGCCCCTGCGCTCCTCGTTAATGCCAGAAAGTATTACCGAATATTACGACGACTCGTTTACAGCTCTCTCAAGACACCTCACACACACACACTCTCTCTATCTTCTGCCACACTGACCACTTGACACGACAGTCTGATGGCCATGACGCTGTGTACTCACATTCGTGCATCCCAAAGATATTTTTTTCCACCTTACATGTCCTTATGTACTGCGCCCCCCTTCCTTGGTTTACCTCTTTCACATAATATAATACAATATAATTCTTGCTACCACCCACCCAAACTGCACTCGTACAAAGATACACACACTTTCATCTAACTTGACACTGGAAGAACAACAACACACCGTGCCAGCTACATCATCACATATGGCATCTACTCGTGATCGTGACCGGCTATCCAGTCTCAACAGAGACCACCCCTACTTTAAAGATGGCGTGTGCGATGACGACCCACGCTCATACGGCTCACAGCCTCCCCCGCGCATCCGCCTTCCAGAAGATGACCTGGCCATCCCACGCCGCGGCAAGTCGGAGCGTCACCGCCCACGCAGTCCCGACCCTGTCGACCAGGACTACTCCTACAGCGCCAGCAAGCCCTCTCGCCGCCACACCCACCGGGAAGGCAGGGCCCGACCGCCGCCTCAGATTCTTCAGGATGCTGGTCCCAGCAGCCGCCGTCCGATTCGACCCAAGGTCGTGAGTCCTCCACCCTTTGCGCCGTCGCCTCCCATACTCGACCCACCTTTGGGTCGTCAGGAGCACCACCGCCGCGATAAGCAGCACCGCGACTGCGACATAGAGGACACTGGACCCAGGCGTATAGAAAGGCGCAACAGGAGGAGCTCTATGCCTCCACCCCCACCGGTGGGGCCCGAGGTTCCATATGAATACTACGAGCCTTACCCGGCTGCTTTTGACCCGCGAGAAAAGGGCCATCGGCCAAAGGGTTACCGCCGCTGTGCGGGACTGGAGCCGGTGCCTCCTCGGCGCTCGAGGCACAGGTCATCGCCGCCGCCGCCACCACCCATGGAGCCAAGAGCCCGGGACAGGCATCGCGACCGCGATGGCTATGAGCCGAGGCCGCCACGTGGTGAGAGAGAAGGACGCTATCGCCAGTCGTCACCGGACGGCGGTGCCGCAGCCGCATACGCTGCACCACCTAGCCTGCCCCGTACCCGCTCCCATGAACGCCCTGCCAGACCCGCCTACTCCGACGATGGCATGTCCCCACCGCCGCGTCGCTCTCGAGGCCGACCACCTCCGGTGAAGGCTGGGAGACAACTCAGAGAAGCAGAGGTGCCCCGACCTCGTCGCAGCTCCATGCCCGCTACGGCCAAGATCAAGCCGCCATGGTGGCAGAACAAGACGGTCCAGGCGGGGGCGAGGACGGCGGCCATTGCAGGTGCCCAGGCGGCATTCCGCTCAAAGGACGACAAGGGACCCTGGATGGGACCAAAGGGCGCCAAGGTAGCTACCGCGGCTCTGAGTGCGGCGCTGGTAGACGGGTTCTTAGCTGAGAAGAGGCCCAACGGGTCGGAGAGGCCGATGCTTCGCGAAGGGGGGAAAGCTGCCCTGAGGGAGATTGACAAGAGATGGGCGCGATGATTTGAGCACATGGAATGTATAAATGACACTATGTGATTGTATGAAGCCGATATGATCAAGGCGTGGACCAGACTTATGATGTACTATGGATTCATAATGTATTACCGAACTTAAACTGAAAAGAAAGGGGAAATGCAAAAAAAAAGAGAAGAACAAGGGAAAAGCAATGCGTATATGCTGCCTAATTCACATCCCCCGATATTCTCGTGCAATCATGTCCATGTCATCACAACCTAAGTCATTCCAATTCTTATACACCATGTTAATTTTCTCGGTCAATTCTCTCTTGGACCATTGGCCTTCAGAAAATGTCTAGACACCGTTCCACGGTCTGCACAGGTTGGCAGCGCAGAGGCCGTTGCAGCAAGGACCGACCATCTGGCCATTGCTATAGCAGGCAGCTTTTTGAGAAGCGGCAGAGTTAGCATCGTCTCCAGGAGTGGTATCATTACACAGTTGGTCGCACCATAGTTGTAGACGCAGAAGCCCTGACAGCTGACACTGGCGATGGGTGTGCCCTCAGGCAGTATAAGGCTCTGGTCGCCCGTCTCTGTATCTATGTGCAGCTTGGACTCGATTTTCGTTCCATCGAGACCCTTGAAGACGCATTGGGAGTTGGCGTCGTAGTCGTTGATCTCGATGGTATTGATGGGGAGCTCGTTGTCTTGGGATGGTGTCAGTTAAGTTGTATACGGGAAGAAAGGCAGAGAGCAAGGAAGGAACATACAGATTTTGGTAACGTTGCCGTCTGCCTTGACGGTAAGATGGTATGAACCAGATTCGACACCGTGAAAGATAAAGTGCGCGGTCTGGATGTCGTGACGGGGATCCTTGGAGGGGGCGGCGAGGGCACCGGAGAAAAGGGCCGTGGCAAGGACGGAGAGAGAAAGCTTCATGATGATGGTATTGATGAGACAGAATTTTGGGATAGAAATGATCTGCAGACAGACTATGCTTCCAAGAAAGTATATAGATGTAATGATGTATCTGTGTGTGTCTGAATTGATAATGTAATGACTGATGGGAGTTCAGAATCAGACGTTAAACTCGTCTCTTTATATGTTCTAACTCGTATATATTACGTCAAAAGTTCTTGGGTTCTAAATAGGTAGCATCGACATCACCTCTGAAGAGAAACTATGTACCGAAGGATTCATCAAGGATGTGGGAGGTAAGCATGTCGAAAATTGCCTTCTTTTCTTGTCCCACTCTACGCCGCATTGCTTGTGCTTACTGCGGGACCCAAATGTGAGGGGGGTTGGTATTGAGTAGGGAGAAGAAAGAAGTGACACTGCATCACATACATGTTACGTACTGTAGAAGAGCAAAGCTAAGTCAGCTGGGTATCACTCACTCTATGGGACATGGCTAGACAAGACGACGAAAAAAGAGAAGACGATCAAAGACAAAGATCCAAAACCTGTACGGGTGTCGATCCTCGTGTCGTGTCGTCACCTTAACCCCGGTTGCTTCTTTTAGAACTGCAGCGTTAGGGCTCAAGGGGATTGGACGCAGCTCGATACGAGTGTGGTTTGACATGGGGCCGACATCTGGCCGATGGTCTGATGATTGACTGTGTCTGGTTTTTGTTACCGTCCCGGAGTTGAACGTTGCATCCTCGCTTTTGTACCGTGTTTGTTCAAGCATGTTTGTTTGTTTGTTTGTTTGTTGGGTAAAGGTGATGCTATTGCTATTCTTTATGATTCACGTCGCATGACCACTCTACTCCGTATTACTAGTTAATACTCGTACTAGTTAGTAGTGACGGTTTGACAAGGACCAAGTATAAGTCCATTAGGGTTTTTTTTTTAAAAAAAAAAGAAAAAAAAAAAAAGAAAAAAAAAGAGTCGTACATAACACAAGTTGCAACGTAGCTAGTGGTGAGCACCAGCGCATGTCCTCACCACGTGGTATGCCCAACGGAGACCATCTGTGCCGCTTCTTGAAGGTAACGGGAGACGGAAATAGCAACAAGGCGGGTGTTGATGTGTGCAACAATCCCTTACTTTCCAACATGTTACCCTACGAAAATCCTCCGGGGTACTCGACTCATAGGCCTACAGCCGACACATGACAAATATTACAAAATGAGCACTCACATTTTTGCTCCGTATTAGGGTTGTCGATAGCAAATCTCTCCTCTATATCAAGGGCCAAACGTTCTTCCATGCCCGCCCCGTTGAGCCCCTCCGTCGACGGAGCTCCTCTGTTATTCGGCTTGCTTCGGCCAAGTGGTCCACCGAGTGCCGACGCCGGGACGCCCAAATCAGGAAGGACTCGGCGAAACTTCCTTGCCCACTTCCCCTCCTCCTTTCAACGCAACGACGGGCAGCCCCCAAGGTTCAATGGCCAACTACAGCAATAGTATTAATATTTCCATTGATGCCGTCGGTAGACTCCGCAGTAAACTGCCTTTTATACAGGCCAAGTTAGACGAACGATTATTGTTCCTTCCCCCCTCCTCCCCACGCTGCCCCGATCTCGGCCAAAGACGGTATTTACCCCGAAGCTGTACGTGATCGCGGGGAAACCAAACAAACAAAATCGCTGCTACTCCCCTCCCGGCTCCCCTAGCTCTACTTCCCTTTTTTCCCTCCTTCATCAAACAACAACACCCCCAAATACACAGAAACAGCCATATACAACCATGAAGCTCCTATACCCGACCTCTCTCGCGCTGGACACTTCCAAGCTGGAAGGTTTCTCAGTAGACATCCAGCCCTACGACCCAAAATCCCCCACCATCCCGTCGGAACTCCTCGACGCCACTGTCCTGGTGACGTGGGTCAACACTCACGAGAATCTCGTCTTCGCCAGCAAAAACATGCCCAACTTGCGCTGGATCCAGTCCTTGGCCGCGGGCCCTAACGACGTCCTCTCCGCCGGCTTCGACACGTCCCGCATCGTCGTGACCACCGGCTCGGGCCTCCACGACCGTACAGTCGCTGAGCACGCCCTCGGTCTGCTCCTCAACGGCGCCCGACGCTTCTATGAGATGCGTGACTACCAGCTTCAGGGCAAGTGGCCCGCCCACCTGGGTGGGGCGCAGCCCGACCGTCCCAAGGACCGCTTCACCACGCTGCGTGACGCCCGCGTCCTGGTCTGGGGCTTCGGGAACATCGCCAAGACGCTCGTCCCCAGCCTGACCCTCCTGGGTGCTCATGTCGAGGGCGTAGCTCGTTCTGCCGGTGTGCGCAACGGCATCACCATCCACGCCGAGGCCGATCTGCCCACCCTGCTGCCCAAGATTGACGTCCTCGTCATGATCCTCCCCGGCTCCGACTCTACCCGCAATGCCCTCAACGCCGAGCGTCTGCGCCTGCTACCCAAGCACGCCTGGGTTGTTAACGTCGGTCGCGGAACCACTATAGATGAGGCTGCCCTTGCTGATGCTCTCAACGCTGGCGAGATTGGCGGTGCCGCCCTCGATGTCTTCGAGACGGAACCCCTCCCCGTCGATAGCCGCCTCTGGAAGGCCCCCAACCTCGTCCTCTCGCCTCATGCCGCCGGTGGTAGGCCCCAGGATGCAGAGGACCTCATCACCTACAACCTGAGGCGTTTCGTAGCCAAGCAGCCCCTCAAGAATGTCGTCTGACTTCCCTGCCCGTCTAAGCTGTAGGGTGTGCTATAACTATATGAATGAGATAAACAAAAGAATAAAAATAAAACCATCGAGTCATATCGCACTACTTTTGTACGTGTGTATGCTACTGCATCTGTCTACTCCAAGAAGAATTTCGATTGTCCCTCCTGCCCGCCGGCCACGTCCCCGACGACCAGCGCACTGTCGCTGCTAAATCTGACATGTTTCTCGCCACTGGCGACTCTGAACAAGACACCCTCAGGGTCTGATAGGCAATCTTGCTGCTCGAAGCTCGCATCACCCTTGAAACCGTCGGATCCGTCATCGGCCTCAAAAGTGAGGATTGTGTCGTTCCTCGCACGAATCGTCCGGGCAGCTGCGTCGACTCGAGACTGACCGTGCCGCTGCCTGCCAGCCCAGGCCTCACGATGCGGAACTGCGCCTCAGCCAGCGACGGCCTACCAGCCTCGTCGACAGCATTGAGCGCCTCTCCCTTGCTAGTACCGTGCACGTAGTACACTGCGTCTTCGTCTGCAGCGAGCCGGAGACGGGCTGGCGTCCGACCTTCTGGGACTGGAATTCTGAAGTCCGGGGACCCATCGGCACGCCAGTATACTTTCTGGACACGTGTGCGATGATTTGGGTCGTCCAGCGGGTCACCGTCGATGTCCTTGTACCAGCGATTGTGGTACACCATGACATCGCTGAGTCCATCCTCGGACAAGGTGAAGCAATCATGAACCGGGCCGTACTGCACCGTCTCGGCGTTACTCTTAAAAACAGGCTCCTGGGACTTTGTCCACGCTGCCATGTCCATGAGGTCTTCGTACTCGTGGATGGAGAGCATGCCCATGCAGTGGTCGAGTTGATGTCCGGATACAACGGGCCTTGCTGCGCTCACACGGCATAGCGTGTCCCGCCGGCCTCGAATGTCGTCATATCGAGCGAGAAGGTGTCCCAGTCGGTCTGGATGTCGCCAAGGTCCGTCCACTCGGCCTCAATGGGGTTGTCGCCTCGGCCCTCGAGCACCGCCGCCCGGAAGTACCATTCCTTGGCCAACCCAAGGACTACGTAGACATACCACTTGCCGTCAATGTAGTGAAGCTTCGGTGCCCAGACCTCACCACTGCCACGGCCAGACTCGTACTCTTGGAACATGGTGGTCTCCTCGGCCTTCTGGAGCTCCTGTATTGTCAGTGCCCGCCGGATGATGACGCGGTCAAACTCGGCGACTGTCGCGACAAAGTAGTACCATCCATCCGTGTGCTTGAGGATGTGCGGATCGGCCCTCGGGGGGTTGAGCGTGTTGTCGTAGTGAGTAGGTGGCGAAGCCAATGCTACGGGGAGGACTAGGGTCAAGAAGCCCAGGGCAGCTGTCAGGAGCTTCATGTTGGGGGAGAGTATCATTGCCTTTCTTCCTCCCTTTTGTTTAAAGAGGCGAGCGAAGTCAACCTGGACATACGACGGCTCTTTGTGCGCCTATATTAGTCTCCCACCGGCAACGCCCCTCGCCAATTTACCCGCATTTCCGCATGGTTCATGTCTTGGAAGATCTCGGGAGGTTTCAAAACGAAAAGACGACTCAGTACGAGGCAATACATGAGCTTATTCGGATGCCGGTGGTGCGGATGTGGGGAAAAAGCCGGAGTTCGTGATCAAGGTTACATACATATGTCGAAGATAAGTCACAAGGTTGGATAGGGGACATGGCCCAAGTATCTGCACAACACTCCTCCCTCTATAGAACAAGATCTATGGGCCCAGGATCCTACAAATACCAATGTTATCATACATGTAGAATGTGTCCATACACGCACACTGTCAACGACCTCATATTCTTAGTCCTACCATAACGTGACAGCATTACATGCTTGTAGGCTTACAGGTGTGAATCTTGACGGCGACTTCGCTCGACTTACGACAAGGTTTCGATTTAGTAAGGCATAGTTACTCTTGGAAAATGTACGAAAGGGGAAGAAGACAGTCAAATGGTTGAGGGGCACATAAAATCAAGCTTCACATGCATAATACTACGCGCAGGATATGGAGAGTGGGGGAGTTCCTGTGCCTGCCTGGGGAGACAACATCCGCTCCCTCCCATTTTTTTTTCGAACTGCATAGAACACCCAATGCATCCACACAAAACATCACGAAATAATGAAGACATGCGTTTTTTCCATTATTTGGTTTTCAACTTGGGAATATTTTCAGTCCCAACTGCATCTCAATTCCAAACACATTAATCTTTTCTATAGATCTAGATGCAACACATACCAATGCAGAGGCGGGTCCGCCCCCCTTATGTAAACCATGATACCATCATGAATAACGTCACCAAATCTGACATTGCTGACATATATTAAACCGCACTATACTTTCTTTCCCTAGTCTGTTCTTGTGCCCTTCAATGCCTCATTTCTTTTATAAAGTCAATTGACGCATCTAGACGTCCTCCAAGAGAGAACCACAGGAAGAGACGAAGGAGAATGACCATTGTGTCGTATCCAAATGACCTGGAATCTCTCCTCCGTTGGGCCAAGGCTCAGGGGATTCACCTCCACGCCATCGATACGTGGCCTAGATGGTCTGTCCCCTTCCATGCCTGTGCTATCCATCTACGCCCTTCTAGCCACCGACGTCGCCACCCAGGGCATATCCCCCAGAATGGATGGCCGTACTACCTACCCAGCAGGAGCTGCACGCGTCCTTCCCGCTCCTGTGGCCCAGTTGGCTCTGCGAAATGCTGCCGGCACGTGCGCGGTGTCTAGTGGATAGGCAGGAGGTCCGATGTCACGAACAATGGGAGAGGACGCTGGCATCTGGTGTGTCCCTGGACGAAGAGGAGTATACGCGCGCATGGCTGCTGGTCAACTCGCGCACGTTCTATAACGGGAGTAGTCTTACGGAGGGATACCCCTGGGAGGAGAGGCTAGCCCTGATCCCTCTGGCGGACCTGTTCAACCATTCTCGCGAGGCAGGATGCTCGGTCAATTTCTCCGACGAAGGCTATGTCGTCACGGCTGTGAGGGGTAACGATCCGGGGGAGGAGATGTATATCTCGTACGGGGACTATTCCAATGACTATATTTTGGCAGAGTATGGCTTTGCCGTGGAGGGGCGGGATGACGAGGAGATGATATGCCTTAATGATGTGGTGTTTCCTAAGGCGCGTGCCCTGGGACTGCCCTCGTCACATGACGGTGGTCCTGTCGGGGAGTACGCGATTGACGCAAATAATGGACAGCCCTGCGATGATTTGACGAGGAATATGCCGCGTGATCTGAGAGAGGATGGCGGGGCCAAAGACCTGCTGGAGGAGCTCTTGCAATTTGTGAAAGATAGGATCAATGATCTAGCTAGTTGACGGGGTCATGATCAGCAGAGGAGTACTGTTGCATCATGCTGGAGGCAGATGGAGAGCACACTGGCGAAAGCATTAGATATGTGTGCAAGCATAGAGGCAATAGAGAAATAAAATAAAACAGGCTTGTTCAGAATGGAATCTGTCCAGCAAAATGACAGGTCGTATAATCTATAGCCACCCGCTCACCAATCTATGGCGTCTTGTGTGTCATCGTATACCACTACGTTGTAGTACATGAGGCATATAGTCATATATACATACTTATTCATGCATCATTATCCTCCATCATGCCTATGCAAGTACTGTCGGAACCTTCCCGGCACACGTGCTGAAGATTATTGGTCTTCTCGCTGGGTCTCGGACGCGGTGGTGTTGGCCTCCTTGGAAGATGGGTCCTCTTGCTTCTTCTCCGAGTCGGTGCCCTCCTGTGCTGCGTTCTCATCCTCCGGTCCGGTTCCACCGGTGGTGGATCCTGAATTGGAGTCGATGGGTGCATCGTCATTGTTTTCTAAGGCCGCCAGACGCGCAGCTCGGCCTTCCTTTTTTCGAGGAACAGGTGCTGAATCTGTGAGTTAGCATGGGAGCCATCATCTCTACATTCGTGGGTGAAACTTACCTCGCCCATTCTCCTGGACGTAGAAACGTCGGAGAAGCGCGACGGCCTCGTCACGGCCCCAACCACCCTCAATCTCATAACCAGGCTCGACATTGCCACCGTCGCCACCACCTTCAGGGAAAGATGTTCCGAGGACAAAGTTGCCGTTGGGAAGCCTCATGGGCGGTGGTTGGGGGTGTGCACTAGCCGTCTGCCCATCGTCTCTCACGGGGAGCGAGTTGGCGTGGATGCTGAAGACGCCACCGGTGCCACCAAACTTGTCGTTCACGGCGCCAAAAAAGACCTTCTTGATTCCCAGCTGGCGCAGGAGAGACGCGCACATTACGCAGGGCTCGACGGTGACATACAGGGTACACTCACGGAGGATGGAGCGGTCGACACGCTCGGCCGGGTGTTCCTTCTGGCCGTAGGGGTAAAGGTGACCCTTTCGGCCGTCCTCGTTGCCCTCATCAGGCTGGGGCACGGAGGAGGCCAAGGTCGAGCAGCCACTGTCGCTACCAGCATCATCATCGGACCTTTCTGGCTCTGGAATCCGGGGCTTGAGGCACGTGGTCCGTGGACCGTTCTTAGGCGCATACGAGAGAAGGGCACACACGGCCATAAACTCGGCATGGCGAGTACCGTTGCGTGTGACGTTGGTGGCATTCATCCCCCTGGCAATCACCTTGTCCTCGTGTACTAGGACACACCCGACGGGTGTCTCGTTTGTCTTGAGGGCGAGCCGGGCCTAATAATGGATCAGTAAGTCGTCACCCGGGAACGAGAGCGATGAAAGGGCATTCAAATCTCACCATATCAAGCGCCTCCTCAATGAAAACGAGATGTTTTTCACGCTCGGCACGGAACTGCTTTTCTTCTTCAGAGAGCTTCTCCTCCTCTGCTTTCTCCTCGGGGGCGCCGATCACATGTCCGTCTTCGTCTCTACCGTCTTCTGTCACTTCGTTGATGCTATCGGGGATCATCTGACTTAGTGTCATCTCTCCCATCGGAGAGACCAGCGACTTAGTACCGACAGATGCCTGGGGAGCGGATCTAATATCGATTAGGTCATTGGCATCTAGGTTGGGAGCGTAGTAGCCATCGTTTTCCTTTTCATTCCCAGAACGATGCGTCCTAGCATCGTCCAGGCTGGTAGCTACATGTAGCGGCGGCGGAGGAGTGTTGATAGACATCATAGCAGTGTCCTTGTTCTCGTTATTGACGGGTGCATGTGACTGTGACTCGACTTCCGTGACCGTGGCCGTGGCTGTGGGCGTCACTTGGCCCGGCTGTTTGTCGTTGTCGTCGTTGTCAGCGGCGACAAGGACACCATTTGCCGTCGTCTCTTGAGAGGGATGATTAGTAGTGCTTTTGGAGGTGTCTTGATAATCGAAATGATCTTGACTCTGTCCCTGGACGATGCTGGTGCCAGTGCTGCCACTGTTGTCATTGTTGCCAGCTGCTGCCGGCTGCTGGCCAAACAGTTTGCGTAGAACGCTGGCAGTTGCCTCTGCGGCACGTCTGGCACTCCCCCCCCATGATTTTCCCCTGGCCATGGTTTTCTTCTTCTTCGCTCTTTCCTCACTCTTTCCCTTTGTTTGCTTCTGTCTGGCTCCCCTCCCTTTTTTTTCTCAATTATCCCGTTTGTCTTGTGTATGTTTTTCTCTCTCCTGCTTCTGTGTCTCCCTCTTTCGCTAACAGAAAATCGACGGTGGGGCTTGATGCAAAAGAAAGATGGAAAGAGAAGAACGGAAAGGAAAGCAAGAGGCCCCTCACCACTCAAATCGATACAGCTGTACCACGTCCTTCGGCTCTGAACCTAAGATCGTGGACTCTGGACCCGTGAATCACGATCCCTTCTTACTCCTGTCCTCTCCCCCGAGTTGTTGGATCAGCCTCACTAGATCCCAAGTTTCGGTACACACTCCAAGTGGTGTACTGCCAACTCTAAATCAAGGTCACCCTCTCCTTGACTTGGCGAGGAAGGGTATTCGATATCTCAAGGTATGCTTTTCGCCGTCGTCGCCTATCACAACTCTTCACAAAAAAGTCAGGGCAATGAAGGGGGAGAAGAAGGAGAGGAAATCAAAAGAGCAACAGGAAGCGGACTCGCTACCTTCTTAAGACTCGCACAACCCTCACTGCACCGCTGCCCGCAGGAAAAAAAATGAACCCGGTGACGGCACCGCAGCATCAACCTATGAAACACCGTTTTCGGACTTTGTGACACGACTGTACAAGGAACACTGGCGACCGAGAACAGGATCCAATCGGTGCCGGAGGAGGATGGGGAGCTATGCCGTCAAACTTTGTCAACTCGTTTGCCGCGTGGTTGTACTCGTGAGTTGTGCTGTCCTCTCGAGGCTGACTCTTGACTTTGAAGCCTCAATGACTTGTTGTCGCTGCCCTCTTCTTTCATGAGGTTGATTGGTTTGTATCGAGTATCTTAATTCGGGCTCTTCCCCGACCTGAACATGAGTCGGGATAAATTTCTAGCCTCAAGTGCGTGGACCCAATTTTTGGGCTGCTAGACGCGACAAGTTTTAGCGGCCCTGACAATCCTTTTTGAGTACGTGCATCTTACTATTAATCTAATAAGAGTTTTATCCATACTACTAGCAGTATATCATACTCTCACCACCTCAACATGCCTCACGTATGTATATATTTACCTACGATTCCTATCATCAGGTAAAGTCAAATACGAAAGGTGTCAAGAAGTTGAACACTCAAGGATCTTGGTACCAATTCAAGTACACTAATCTGTAAGTATTATTGCACTGCACTGTCCTACCTCATGTGTCGTCTGCCAAACAGTTTGCCTGGCCACTGCCATCGAGTCTGTGCAATCGCCATACAATGCTGTCTGTGTCAATTGGCATTTCAAAGGAATGCAATCAGGACATTGTGTCAGATACGATTTCATTGCTAAAAAAGAAAGGCTTCAACTCAAAAAAACTCGTAGATTGAAAGTAAAAGCAAGAAATCAGGTCAAGTCGCTTTTGCCACGCTAATACCGACACGCTCCATCTTCGTACACTATGGTAGATTCTTTGATGGTCAAACAAAATCTGCAACTAACAAACAGACACCTGGGGCGTCATTGCCGCTCCGGGAGGCATTGGAATCCTCGATCCCTTCATCTTCATCGCTCCCCTATTCGAAACCATGGTACCTTTCTGAGCAGTCTGCTTCTGGGATCCCAGAAGCTCATGGAGACCGGCGTTGCTGACAAGTACAGCGACAAGTGCAACGTACGTTGTCAGTGCGATAGACTCCAAATCGCGTTGGGCCTGTGTTGCATAGTGGCCAAGATTGGACCCCTCAGTCGATGAAGGACCAACTGTGGCCAGAGTGGCGATGCCGGTGGCAGCGGCAGTAGAAGATGCTTGAGCTGCATAAACTGCTTGGGCCGTTGATATGGATGAATCGGACGTGCCAGGAATGATCAGGGTTCGATTCTTGGCTGGTTGAATCTCAACAGCCGTCATCGTGCCATCGCAATGGCTGGAGTTGGATGATAGCGGTGCCTGGGCGGGAACAGCAGACGGGCCAGCTGAAGCAAGTCCCTTGTAGGGCTTGTCACCTGGGAGGTGGTTGTTGACGTTGCTGCTGTAGCTGCCTGCAGTCGCCTCTGCTAGCGATGAGTTCGTCGCACGCGACCGAGCTTGAGTATTCAGACGTGCACGGGTATTCGGCAGGTGGCTTGATGCCTCCATAACGCGCTGGGAATTGACAAGGCCACTTGCAGGGCCGGGGGCGCTACCGCCACGGCATTGAGGTTCCTCGCTGATGTTGGCAGCGCTGTTTCGCAGCTCAAGTGGATCGGGTGCATCACGTGGGTGCGTTGCTGGTGTAGGAGACGGCGATGAGGCGTGGCTGCCAAGGCCAGACTTGAATGGTACAGGTCCAGGCACTGCCGCCATTGCTGACGTCGCTATATTCATCCCGCTTCTCCTATTTTCATCTTGGCCGGATGCATTGTGGCGGTTGTGATTGCCGCCGGAAGTAGTCGGTGGATATACAGCCGGTTGCGTGGCTATGCCATCAGCGGCTGACTCTTCAGCCGTTGCAGCCAATAGTTCCGTACTCTGGAACAGGGCCAAGTCTGCCGTGTCTGGCGAGCTAGATGAGTAGAATGACGAAGCTTCCTGGACGTTTGAAAATGCAAATGGAGAAGCCTCCGATGTAGATGATGGCGACACTTGCTGGCCGCCCCACATAAGCTCGAATCCATGATGATAGTGGGAAAAGTCAATGCCTGACTCAGTGCTAGTGGAAGGAGAGTACTGGATAAAGTCCTCCCTGGACTCGGCCAAAGGGAGAACTGACATGCAGCAGAGCTCGATTCCGGGGAAGCTGTCGAAAGCAAAGGATGTGTCCAGGTCCAGGGCCATGTCTAGCGTCTCCTGAAGCATGTTCTCAACAGCCACCATTTCTGGAGCGAGATTGGGTGTCAATTCAGGTGATATGGAAGCAGCAGCGGAAGCAGCAGAAGCTCTCTTCTTGGTAGTCTTGACCGACTGCTTCGCCGTGGACAGCCCACGGCGCTTGTGGCTGGGATCGCAGCGTATCTTCTTCTTGCGGCAGCTGTCGCAAGCCTTGATTATTCTCATGAGGTGAGCGTGGTCACGCTGCTCCTTGGTCTTGCATCCGCGAGACGCCGAGTTTGTCACATCGGTGCCGTCCTTAGTGAGAATCTTCATGCCGGGGATGTGGGAGAAGTCTGGAGGTGAAGGATGCTGCGAGCTGGCGCTGATAGCCTTGTGATGACGAGTGGTCTGGTGGCGTTTGGAGGGGTGTGAGGACGAGGCGGCCTCAGCGGGTGTCTGGGGACTCGAGACGAAGCTCCAGTCCCAATTCGAGGTGACAGGGCTGACGTTGACCGATGACGTAGAGGTCGAGGCGTGGACAGAAGCCGCGGTGGTCGAGGGGGGCTCGGGCATTGACGACGTGGCATACATACCTGGAACAACGTAGAACTTGAAAGACTGTCCAGTGGCCTGCATATGCGCGAAGAAGTCGACCGAGACCTCGGCCCGCTTCTCCTTGAGAGAGGCAGAGCCGGAGACGTAGGCGTCGAGCAAATCGTCCAACTCCTTGGTACCTAATGCGGGGAGGAATCGGAGGGGAGCCCCGTTCGAGGGCTGGTAGATGGAGAAGCCTTGGGGCACGGCGGATGTTGACCGGGGCATATACATGATGTTCAGGCTGAATGGTTGAGCGTTGAGGAGATGGATAGATGAAATTGTTGGCGATGAGTGTTTTTTCCCCCCTAACGTCTGAGGCGGTCCGTAAGAGTCATATCCAACACAGTTGGTGAGGAGGGGTAAGATATGATGATGTACGTACAGTCTCTGGAGGGAATCCAGAACGATGGAAAAAGATACGGAGACAAAAGAGTTCAAGAGAATGCTGCAACGGTGTTGAATAGCAATAAACAGAGGAGGACGGGGGGGGGGGGGGCGCTTGTTTAGCCGTAGAGTTGACCAAGGCTGCAAGAAAAGAAGAATAATCTCAATAGGTGACAGACCAGAGATCTTTTTGTAAGCGTGACACCTGGTAAAGCGTAAGACGGGAAAGGTCTCAAGGGGGTAAGGAAGGTCCCTCTATGAATTCTCCTGTAATCAAATTTTCTCTTCTTCTCTTATGGACAAGAAAAAATTTCCAGAAGGAGAGACGTAGGCTCGTAAGAAGGGGAAGAAAGAGGAAAAGAAATAAGGAGGCCTCAGGAACAGATGTCCAAGTTAAAAAGCGGTTTAATACTCCATACGGCCTACATGTAATACAAGCAAGATCACATCGTGTCACGTCACAAGGTTCCAACGGACCGTAGCAACCATCAGCCTTCTCCTAGGAGACTCCATCAGTCCTTCGGCGTGCCCAAAGAGGATTAGCGCATACGGACCGACATGGAGAGCGTAACGAATAGAGAGCTTGTATTAGATGATGTGGAGCCAGTCAGATCAGATCTGATTGGTTTGATTATCTTACCTGCTGCAGTAGGCGCACTCGTTTTTCGGCGTAGATAGCGGCTCTCTACTGGTCAATCGAGTTTTTGGTGAATGGAAGGAGGGATCCGCACGGGTCAGTGAGTCAACACAGAAAGGCCTCCCTGAGGATTACACTCCAGACTCGATTTTCCTCTCCTGTGCTCCTCTTGGCCCCCTACGTATCAGCTTTCGCGCTACATTGTGTATATTAGTAGCAGGAGTCAATGTAAGATTGAAGTTCTTGAAAAAGAGTCGCTGGGATCTCCCCTCTCTTATAGTCCGGAATTTCTGCCGTTAGGCAATTGGGCTACCGTCCGCGAGCTTCGCAGTGACCGTTCTTAGCGGAGCCTTTTACAGTCTATAAATTCCATCAATGCATATAGTACATAGTAATACGTACAGAATCAATTGTCAAGTAGACAATACTACCCGGCGTTAGTGACTCACACTCGTCTTGATGTTAGTACAGACAGAATAGCTCAATATCACCTAATCTTCAAAATAACAACCAGATAAAAAAAGGGGAGGGGGGGATCTGATTCTAGGCTCTCAGTAAGCTCGTTATTATTACCACAATGCAGAGCTGTCTTGCATCATTAGTGTAGAGAGCCATCGTCTACCATATTTTTCTACATGAGCACTAGGATGAAGCTTCTTGTATCGTACATGGCGCAAGTACAGTTAAGTCCGTAGATGAACACCGTAGTCTGGCGTCATCAAACAATGAATAATATTCCGCCGGTTGTCATCGTGTCGTTACGAACTTGGCTATTAACGTCCCGACCGGATTTGCGGCGGATGATCCCCCGGAGCCTCAAAACTGGTCCTGGACTCCATTCCTTGGCGACAGACGAATAGAAGCTCCCTTCACCAGGAATAACGACCCAATTCACCAAGAAGCCAGTCCAGTCACAGAACAGCAGACGTCCGACCATCTCATCAGCGAGACTTGCCCCCGGAATGACCACAACAACCGACTACCCCTTGACACCATTCTAACCTCTGATCCGAAGTCAGCCCTCGTCAGGCATGGATGTCGGACGAGCTGCGACCGGTATCGAGTGGGCAGAGAGACCCTTTCAGGCGGATGGGCAGCTTGTGCATGGAGCTGATGCGGCTGTCGCAGCTGACGGGCGACTCGCGGTGGTTCGATACCTCGGAGCGTATCACTAACCTGCTGGCCGTGCAACAGGACTTGACCGAGCTGTCCGGCCTGTGGCTCCTGGTGGTCAACCCAGGCGACGACGTTTACAACAAAGTCTCCACATCCACTCTCGGCGCCATGGCCGACTCTCTCTGGGTATAATACCCGAGACGATGCACGCGATGCTCCGTGAGCGTGAAGAGCAGTGCGTGTGGGATGAGGAGCGATGGAAGGACGCCGTGGTGCAGTAGCGTGATGACGACGATGACTTCGACGCCATCATCCGCAACAAGCGCTTCAACGACCATCGGTACAACCTACGTCCCAAGGCCATCGAGAGCGTCTCTGTCCTCTACAGGGCTATTTTGGGGTGGGACCTGGCCGACTTGGCCCGAGCCATGCTCGAGTCCATCGACAAGGTTACCAATACGGGTCTGGCCAGCTTAGCCATCAGAGATGTGGCGCTGGCAGAGGACGCGCCCGCCGCCCGGTTAGACTCGATGAAGTCGTTTTGGATGGACGAGACGCTCAAGTACTTTTACTCGACTGTTTTTCTGATTCTTTCCTCAGAAGCTTGGATGGATTTTTTTTTCCAGCACTGAGGTCCATCCCTTTGAACGATCATAGGGGTGATTTTTCAAATGTGGTAATATTGACCTGTACAGACGTGTTCTTTTCAGGGGAGTGTTATTTCTTGGGTGTTTGACTTATACCCCCCCTGCTTCATCACATAGTTCATGGCAAGGGAGCAGAAAGTAGTAGTAGTTATATATTCAAGCGCTGTCATAGAACATTGCGAGACTATACCTTCAGTCATTACAGCCCTCTCTTCGGGCGCGTTATTCCCAACAGATCAGAAGCGTGTCGGCTCCAAGCACCGCCATTCGCCTTGGTAAACCCGCCAAGATCAGTCGGCTTATTGTCTTGAGCGTTGCTGCTGCTACTGCTGCCGCTTCTGTTGAGCTGTGGTACTTTTGTCGGGGCGAGAGCCAGTTGCTTCTTCGGTGGCGGTGCGGCTATCTTGGTAGGTGAAAGCACAGGGTCGAATGGGACCATTATCTCGGGCGCCTTACCAGCAGCGTCTGCCCTGCTGGCAGCCTTTTTTCCTCTAGTAGCTGGATTGGCCAGTCTGGTGGTGCTTTCTTTTTGCGGCTGCTCGTCATGTGTATTGGCCGGGTCCCTTAGAGTCGTGCCCGTGTTGGTGATGTCGGCAGCAGAAGCAGTAGGGGTCTCGCCGAGTTTATTACTCGCTTGTCTCTCTGTGCCGTGTATGTCGGCAACATCAGGATCACTGTCTGCGTTTATCGGCTGCTGGCCATGGCCTTCTTCATCTCCCCTTTGAGCTTCAACCACTTTGTCCTCCATCACATTTATTTTGCTGGCAGCCATGGGAGCAATCACACCAGGAGTAGGTACATCAGGCGTAATGACAACGGGAGCAGCGCCGAATCCGAATATAGGAGTCACACCACCGGGAATTGGAAACCCGAAAATCTCCTTGCTCTTGGCGCTCTTGTTGACACGTGATATGCGCGGGCCCTTTGGTGCTACATTCTGGGCGGATCTCTTCTCGGAAGCCCTGGCCTCTTTGTTGCCGCTATTGCCGGTCGCCTTGCGTGTTGCCGTAGTAGTAAGGGCAGTAGTGACAGGTCCCATCCAGTCGTCGTCGCCTTCCGAGTCTTGCGAAAAGTCTGGGATAGTGCTTGGTGGTGGTTTTTCCGGCTTTGCTGACGCTGATTTCGCAGTTCTCGATGTGGCTCTGGTACGTTTCTTTGCAGGTGGCATGTCGCTGTCGCTGTCGCTGGTGTTGTCTTGCTGACTATTCGACGGGGAAGGATGTCGCTTTGCTGTCTTCTTAGCAGGATGCGGCAAGTCGAGCTCGCTGTGCTCGTCACTGCTGGCTTTGAACGGGTTGCTCTCGTCTGGTGAGGGGGAGCGCCGCTTTGCAGGGAACCGCTCTTTGATGGAAGATTCTGGTTCTGGTGTAGGATTGTGTTCTGGTTCCGGTTCCGGTATCGAAGCGTGGGCATCTTCCAGCTCCGAGGTCGTCTGCTCCTCGACAGCCTCCGAATCTCCTCCGCTATTCGCAGCTTTCGCAGCAACGCTCTTGGCATACCACTCCTCAAATGACTCCTCCGCCGGGGAATCAACGGGGGATGCTGTCAACCAGACTGGCTGTGGCTCCGATTCTGATGGAGGGGCGGCAGGTGGCGGTATCGTTTTCTCCTTTGACAACATGAGCAAGCCTCTCTTCTTCCTCGCTCGAATGCGTAGTTCTGTGCGCGGCGTCGTGCCATCTGTGGCAGCGTCTGTAGTTGCCGTATCCTTCTTGAAGGGGCCCTTGAAGCTAATAGTTGAAAGCTGTTTGGTAGGGTTTGTAGTGGTGGTCGGTGTCTGCTTGACAGTCTTTTCAGGGCGGCTAATCTTCTTGGGAACGGGACATGGCTTGTCGAGAGATGGCTTTTGCTCATGCCTTTTCCAGATCGGTGGTTCATCGTTATCATCTTGGGGCGTCGAGTCGTCAAGATCGACCGTTTCAACGGGGATTATTCTGGGTGGTGGTAGTTTATTTGCGACTAGCTCCTGTCTGGAGAATTGTTTCTTTTGCGCAACGTTGACTGGGGTTTCGTCGTTGGGCTCGTCCTCGTCTCCGGAGTCGTCTTGGAACGGTATTGCGATGATGCGTTTCTTGGTGTTCTGGAGCTGATTCCTACTCGACGCTGGTTTCTCCCTGGTGACTTCCCCAGCTAACTTGGCGGGGGGCTCATTGTTGGCTTCTGGTATGGACTCGCCGTCGGCTTCGAATGTTGCAGCGATGACGCTCTTCTTGGTGTTCTGGGGCGGGCTTGACATCTCATTGCTGATTTCCTCCCTTAACACGTCTCTTGCTGACAGCCTGGCAGCATCTTTTCTTGAATCGTCATATGTCTTTCCCATAGACTGCTGCCGACTCTTATCTCTGCTGGGTCCGGGCCCATCCCTATCGAGATGTACCTTTTCCGTCCTCTCCTGAACATCGGCATGGACATCCTTTCTAGCGACTCTTAATCCGCCAAATCGTTGCCTCCCCTGTAAAACAACGCTCCCGCCAACCTTAGCCCTGTCCATCTCCATCCCATCCTCCTCCTCCTTATACGGCGTAGTTGCCTTCTGTATAACCTCCTCCTTGGACACCGTCACAATCGTCTTCTCCCTGAAGGCCTGGCCCCTCTTCACCGTGGCAGACCTTGAGCTCGTTGGCGCCGAGAGATTAAGCTGCGTCCCAAACAGACCCCTCGCATGCGTCGATTTTTCCGGCGGACTTGTCCTGACCCTCTTGCTTGGCGGCGGTTCTCCTCGTGCCTCCTCCTGCTGCTGCAGTTGTTTCTGTCGTTGTTCGTAGGGCGATTCCTTGGGGATGACGGCCCTTCCAATGCGCCCAGGTGTGGTGCTCAAGATCGTACTTAGCGGCTGGGCAGGGGAAGCCACGGCCACTGCCACCGGTGCCGGCCTCTGCTTCTGCTTCTGCGCAGCCTCCCTCCTTCGTTTCTCCACCTCTCTGGCCCTCCTGTCAATCAAGGGCTCAAGATCCACCTCTCTTTGCCCCAACCGATCGCATACCTGCACAATGGCACCCCCGCGATCGAGAGCCATTTCCTCCCCCTCGTCGAGGGACGTCGGTCTCCCCGCCACGTGCGAGTCGCCTACTATACCGCCTCTGTCGTCGTATACCACCACCCGACCGTTAAATACGTGGTAGCATAGTTTGCCGTCCTGCCATCGCTTCGTCTTACGTTTCAGGTCGTGTGTGTATAGACAGATGTATTCGTGGACCGAGGATGTAGTGACCGCGGCGGCGGCTGAGATTGGGCCAATGTTGCTGATGTTGGTGTATACACGGTTCGACATGGTGTTAGCATTTTAGGCGAGGTGCGTGCCGGGATAGGTTTGAGGTATAGTCCCGTGGCAGGGAGGTAATTTCCCCGAGGTGATTGCCCCGTGTTTAGGGACCGATGGTCGTTTGTTTGGTGATCTGGATCGAGACGCGTGAGGTGAGTAAGACGCGTAGAGTGGAGAGGGGCACTACGTCCAGTACACCAAGTCACGTGTATCTAGCACAGCATCGGCATGTACTACGATTGAAGTAGAATGATTTTGAAAACCACGAAATCAAGAACGAAAAGGATATCTGTTCTTCTTGATTGCCATTGTCCTTGTCTCTTTCCGGTCTCGTCCTTATAAATCGTGTTGATAGAAATGTCTAGCACGCCTTGTGCTACATACGCTGCCAAGGTATCAATGTTCGACGGTGTATTCATGACTCTAACGGCAGGAAGGAAGACTTTCAGACCACAGCAAGAAAAAAGTGGTGCAAGAAAAAAGTGGTACAATAAAAATAAACGGATGACAGACACCGCAGATGCCAAGTGACTTTTCTTCAGCCTATTTAAGGAGTTGGAACGTAAAATCAAATGTAAAAATCGGCCGAGTACTGACCAGGGATGCTCCAAGAACGAAGAAAAAGAAGAAAATGCTGGTAAAGAAACACATACTAATACCTAGTAGTGGTGCAGTGAAGAAGAGAAAAATGGGTTGAAGAGAAAGAAATGAAGGAACACCAAGTCTATGTCGGTCGCGGCGAGATTCGTTTAGCACTACTAGACCCTAGACTTTGTTGAAAAGTACGCCCTATGTTCCCCCTGCTATCGAGGTAGCCGTTGCCGGTCGTAGCACTCCCGTCGGCCTCAAGCTCCATTGGCGTCACGGGCCCAGGACTGCCCAGTGGATGCAGACGGGGAGAATTAGGTCTGTGGGATGTGGGGGAACCGAAGCGGAAATCGACTGCCGACATGGCGACGAGGCTTCGAGTACTGCTGCCAGAAGCCGTGAGTTGGGGGTGGGAGTCAGCAGCGGATGATGGTGGTGATGCGGATCCGGCAATGCCGCTGGCTGCCATCGAGGCGCGGGCCATCATGTCGCGCTGGTACTGCTGGAGCTGCATCCTGCGACGGGACTCGGGGTCGAGGGTGTCAACGGTGGTCGGGGAGCAGCGTCCTCCTATCAGGTCGGAGGAGCGCGGGGTGGTGTTGGTCGCGCTGGGCGAGGCGATCGATGAGGTTCCGGCGCTCGAAGACTGGCTATCACCAGTAGGTTCGACCATTTCGTAGTTGGATGGGTAGTACTTCCCAATGGGGAGGGGATCGTTCTGATAGCCGGTGGGGAGGCAGGATGCCACGGGGATGCTTGAGTTGGCCATGGTGGCTGGGGGCTGTCGGGGGGCAGCGGCAGAGATCGAGTGAAAAGAAGTCTCGGTGATGAAGGGATGGGTAGGTTGAATCCTCCTCTTGGGATCCTCGTGGTAAGGGAAATAACCTCTGCGATGGTGAGTCAGCTGGGGTTGGCGGTACGGGAGAGACAGGGGAGGAAAGTGGGAGGGAGATATGAGAGAAGGAAGATGTTACCCTGGTACGTCGCCTCGGGCGGAGAGAGGCTGTTGAACGGGAGTATAACCTGGAGATTTGGAGATTCTGTTGGCGCGGGAGGTGTCGATGGCTATGGGATCAGAAACTCTGAGAAAAGAAGATGCAGAGTCTTTATTTAGATGAGAAAGCGGAAGAGATAGTCAGTTTATTATATCGTATTGGGATAGTATCATATTGGGATGGTGGTGGTAGTGGGCATGTGCATAAGTGGACACGAGACCAATGCGGGGGGGAGGGCAATGACGAAGGCGGGAGTGGGAGTGGGAGTTGAAGTTGGAGGGGGAGGAGGGGAAGAGGGGGGGATCTCAGATGGATAACAGGAACAAGGCAAATATGAAATTGACTGGATACAGTAATGATGGGAGCAGAAATGTGGATAAAACAAGAGTACAAGTAAACAGTCAAAGAGAGTCGAAGCCGGTGATGGATGATGAGACGATGAGAAAACGGTGACAATGTGGGAGATTTAGTAGTGTGGGAGATTTAGTAGAATGGGGAGTAGTGGCAGAGGTTTAGCAAAAGATTTCCCATGTACTGAATAGATCATTAATTGCTACTACTGCTATCTACTACCTACTAGTACATGTAGTAGAGGCAGTAGTAGTAATTCCCCACGACGATGAAGAAGAGTGCGGGGGTATAAAATGTCTCTGGAATAAATCTTGAGTGGTTGAAGCTCCAGGGACGGATTCCCTTTTTAGGGATAGACAGTTGGTGACCGGAAATGGGCGGGAATGATACGGAGGGATTGTGATGGTGGTGATGATGAGAGGAAGAGAAAGAGAGAAAAAAACCTTACCGTCATCTTGAATGGACGAAGTGTCCGACGAGTTTGAAAATGTACGTGCTGTCATTGCAGGACGACGGGATAGATGAAAAGGAGATGTGAAAGGCCTAGAAAGACTAGACATGGAGGGTTGGGAGGATGGGAGGGATGGGTTGATAAGGAGGGAGGGGAGTGGTGGTATAGAGCGAGAGATAGAGAGTATGTGTAACAAGGACAGGGATAGGCGGAAAGGAGAAGGAAAGATAAAGTGAGTGAATCAACGAACCGAGCCAGAAAAAAAAGAAGAATGAGAAAAGAGAGAAAGAAAGAAGAAGAAGAGAGAAGAAGGAGAGAGGGAGGGAGAGAGAGGAGGCTATGGATGAGATATATTGTAGTGAGGAACAATGAGGCGGCACGATGACGACAATGTGCAAGGCGACGATGCAAGGCTAATACAATCTGCCGACTTTTTTTTCTTTTCTCTTCTTTGTAAATAATAATCATCAAAAATTTCCCCTTTTATTTGAACGCCTGTTTGTAGGACGTTTTACTTGTTTGACCTCTCCTCCCCCCCCCCCCCCCCTCTCCCTGTCTGACTTGTTAACAAAATCCGATATTATATTATAGTGGCAGTAGTATCATTACACCAGCGCATATGATCCACTCATGTGTCCCAGATATAGCCAGTCAGTCAGCAGCTCTCATAGTAGTCACAGCACTCGCAGCAAGTCAGTAGGGACTTTCTCTCGACCCTTAGCATTGTTTTGCCACTCTTCTGACACACTATTTTTTATCCCCCGTCGTTGCACTCATTCCGTTGCCCCTAGGGTCTTATGCAAACGACGTCATGCAGCCACCCACTCACAGAGGTGAAGGGTTCATTCAATCAATACTTTGTCTTTTTCCACTGGTCATTCTACTATGATACAGTGTTACAATATCACCGCTCACATGCAGGATTACTGCCTCTATGTGCCTCTACGGACGTACCACTGATCATCACAACCCTCCAACTCACTCAGCGGTAAACTCGGCTGCATGCGATACATCAAGGGTCCATCTCCACCTTGTTCTCTGATACATCACCATCACTTAAAAAATCCAGTCGCCTTTGTCTTCTCTGAGCTTGTTTTGAGTCTCGAGGATCTTTTGACACTGCATACTCCGCTGAGCCCGTGCTCTTTGCTTCATGTGGCACCATTCACAGCCTTGTACGCCTGACAGTGTTGATGGAATGACATCAAGGCCCATAAAACATCCGTCATAATGCCTAATCCCCACACGCACGCACACACACTCTTTCAACACTCTTGATCTCTCTTTTTTTTTTTTTCCACATCTCTTATTACTCTCCCTCCCTCCCCTCTCTCTCCCTCTCTCCCTCTCTCCCTCTCTACGCCAACTTCCAATAAACCGTATACTCCCACCCCTGGGCATCATAAAAAGGTAATAACTGAACCGACTCACCCCCCGCCGTACCTTCGAATACCAAACCACCGTCGTCGCCCCCCGTGCGCTCGACAGAATCCACATCGATCGTAGGGAGATCCTTCAGTTCCTGCCCCGTATAATTCCCTGCAAGCACCGTCGGCCCCCACGCCAGTGCAGCGACACCCTCATCGTCGTTGGCCGGGATGGTCCTCAGCTTCATCGGCAGCCTGACAGATACGGTATCCCCGTCGCTCCAGTCCCTTTCCAAGACAAAATAGGACCCGGCCACAGCCGTAGTAGAGCCATAATCCTCACCGTTGACAGTGACGCTCGCGTTCGTCTCCGCCCAGCCAGGGATGCGTATATGCATGGTGAAGGACCCGGAGCCTCCGACGCTGATGCTCGTCGTGTCCCCCACGGGGATGTCCGTGTCCTGCGTCACAGTCACCCCCTTGACCGTCCACTCCACGCTCGACGGGATAAACAGGTTCACGTAGAGATCGTCGTCTCCGGCGTGCCAGTACACCGAGTCCACCAGCTTGGTAAAGGTCTCGAGCGAAGTGGATTGGCAGCACCAGAACGTGTCGTAGTCGGTGCTGTACGTGCCTCCCCCCCACGCCGGTCCCAGCCCCCGAAGCGCGCCTGGGTTCAGCGACGTAAAGTACGTCACATGCCCGTGCGCGCTTGACGGATCCTGCACGCCGAGGAGATGGTTGAGCAGCGCGCCCTCGTAGAAGTCGAAGTACGCCGTCGTCGAGTCGTTGGGCGCGTTGCGCCACAGCTCCCGTGTCAGCTTGAGCATGTTGTACGTATTGCACGTCTCGGCCGTGTCGTTGTCCAGGTACGACGCTATGGCGTTGGCGGCGTGGAAGTGCTCAGCCTGGCTGTTGCCCCCGATGGCGTACGTGTGCGCGCCCGTGATGATGTCCCACGCGTTGCGCGCAATCGTCAGGTACCGCTGCGTTCCCGTGGCGAAGAACTCGTTCATCGCGCCCACTAGCTTCTGCGCTTGCGTGTTGGCGTGCAAGCCGTCGAGGTCGTCCGTCCCTGCCGCGATGGGGTCCATCACGGCCGCGTGGTCGAACCGAGCCCCCACGTCTAGCCACCGCTCGTCCCCCGTCGCCGTGTACAGCAGCGCCATGATGTCATTCATTCCTCCAAACTCCGTCTCCAGAACGACCGTCTGCATGACCGCTTCTGGCAGTGCGGCGGTCCGCGTGTCTACCCACCCTGCCATCCCGAGCAGCACCACCCGCGCCGTCTCGTCCCCGATGTGCTGCCACACGTCCAGCAGTCCGGCCATAGTCTTGTGGATGCAGTAGTACGGCACGTTGCCATTGTCCAGCGTCCCGTTCTCCAGCTTGGCAAAGTCCGACTCGGGAAAGCCGGATAAGTAACCCTCGCTGAACCCCACGGCGTCATTGTTGGCCTGACACTTGGCCAACTCGGATACGAACGACACGGCTCGGGACCTGCACTCGTCATCGCTCAGAGATGCGTAGCATTGCGCCCACGCAGAAAGGAAGTGGCCCTGCGTGTGTGAGCGGAAGGGGAAATCTGGTGCGTCCCACCCGCCGTTTACCGCTGCCCCCGCCGTGGAGAGCCCGTGGTTAGACCGAAAGTTGTACAGGAGCCGGTCTAGGTCCACGTAGTGCAGGTAGGACAGTGTGCGGTCCTGGTTGTCCTGCCATCGGCTGGGGTGGAGGGTGAGTCGGCTGAGGTTGAAGGGCTCCGCGGACTGAGTGAGGACGGGGGTCGCCAGGCCCAACATCGTCATACTAGAGACGACGTGCATGATTCCTTCACTTTTGGATGATTGATTTCTGGTATCAGCGTGAGCCATATTTATTCCTCATTATGAAAAATAACTGGGAATTGTAGCATGTACTTATATACAGCTCGCATCGTAAGACATTCCGCTGCAGCCCACGTATTCGTGCATCACTTCCCGACAGCATATCAACATCTGTCTCCGACTGGTGCGGCAAGGGACGCCCGTGCACACGACTTGCAGTTGATACGTACGGATGCGGAGAAGAGCGGTGCTTGCGGGAGGGGGCAATTTTTATTGGCACATCACAACTTGTTATATACAACATGTATGGTGCGGTTACTACTTCTTCTTTTGGACGTGCCATGTCCTTGATCTCTTAACAAGATATGAACATCGCTTCGTTTTAGTAAACCGTGCGGCAAGTCGCCGGGTGTGTATGAACACGAACAATGCGGAGGAAAGTGGAGTCAATTGATGTATTTATTATTATTACTAATCTGTACTTGTCCCCCGCCCCACTTCATTGGCCACTCGGCTAACCTCACACCACCAAAAGTGGTCCTGGCCATCATCGCGCGCAGATCACCAGGTCGGGCAGATTTTTACCATATCATGCCTATCAACGCGTATATTAGCCAAAATGATTCGCAAGCACGAAGTTGACGTAGTCACACGCATAGGAAGCTATGTTATTCCTCGGAGAATGTGACATTGGGTTCAACTCTGAGCTACAGTGTAGAGTGTGGACAGAGATGATGTCGATTTATGTTGACGGATAGGACAGTCAGGGTGTCGAACTGAGCAACGAGGCAGTCATAGTCGTAGGTGCTTAATCTTCAGAAATTAGTTTAAATAGAAGTGTTGACTATATTATTGATAGTTAGGGGGAAAAGAATGCTCTGGCTAGAGAACTGGGCTGTTTAATGATTCGTGACGATCACTATTGTCACATAAAAGGTTGTCTTTCTAGTGTGTCTTGTTGTCATAGTAAATCATCCTATAGCTTAGGTAAGCAGGGCTCGGCCATAAAACCGTCGAGTCCCGCACCACGACAAAAATGAAAGACGAGAACCGTAACACCACAGAACACCTAACCTACTATTTAAATGCAAGTTGGAAGCGTTTGTGGCGTTCATTCTCATAAAGACATTGTGCTATTCGACTACACCCTAATACCTTCCCTCCGTTCACAATCCCTGCCGTTCCTTTTACACGGCCTTGCTCATGTGCCGATCCTGACGTTTATACCGTCACACTCGACACCGTCCCTGCCAGAACACAACACAGGGACAGCTCTGCTTCCCGCCCACCACAACGGCAAGAAAAATATGACGGCTAAGGAAACCTAGCAGAAGGCTAATACCTCTAAAAATCTATAGAACGGGCCCTTGTGTGCGGGATTTGCGAGTGGACGGATAGATTGATAGAATATATATTTTGTGCCCGCGATGGTGACCAGCACCACTTTGGGTGATGCGAAGTTACTCGCATGGCCAATAAAGTGGGACGGGGCACAAGTATTATAAGTTATAACTGCGCTACTGGTAATAATGACTGTACATACATTGCTTGTATTATATATTGCGCTGTGGATATCCAACTTCTCTCCTTCTCGCTCCCTCCTCTTCTTCGTTGGAAAGGTCCCCATCAGCTAGACCGTCGCCCTGCCAGTGAATCGCGTCCTGACATCACGGTGCTTAAACCAGTAACCCAGATCGGCCACTGCGGCAATAAGCCAGAGGATGGCGTTGACCAGATCAACCCATATGGCATCCTTCATAAGTCGAATATCCGAGTCACCGTTCTTGTTGTCCTTGTGGAGGTACATCTAGAAAAGCCATCCAGGTTAGTCAGGTCTCTTCTTGTCAACAAGTTTTGAATTTCTTTGTGATGCATATCGTACGTCTGCAAATAGTCCAAACACGGCAATCCACAGGATAAACAGGACAAGGTCCCACGCCGTCTTGAACAGACCGCCTAATCGGAGGACAAACGGGATAGAGTAGACGAGACAGGTCACGACCGAGAGAGCGCCGACAACCACGGCGTAAATCTGTTTGTTATCTCTTGTTAGACATCTTCCCACGAACTCTCCTCCTCGGATCAAAATACCCATCGCGACTCATGGTCACCCTTGTCCTTTAAATTCTGCCCATACACGCCACAAACGGTAATGCCAAGGGCAAAGCACAGAAAATGCAGGGCCGTAAAGAAGATGTAGACCAGAGAGATAGCCATTCTTCTTTCTTTTTCGTTGCTTTCTTTTTCCTGGTTTGTCGTTCCTTGAACTTGTGCTACATTTCCCGTAAATGTTGTCATTCAAGGAAGGAGGTTGTTGATGATCGCGCTTCTTCTCCCGCAAATCAATTTACAAGATTGAAGTTCGCGCCCGATGCCGATAGGATGCAATATTGATATGACGTGGGCATTAACCACCCCTGCTGGTTCCTAAGAGAGGGGAGATTGACGACATCTTTCTATCAACGCAGATCTTGCGAGCTCGTTCTTTAAGCCAGATAGATTCGTTGGAGGGAAGAGGAATGGCTTAATGACGTCAACGGTGAAGAAGAAAATGAAGCGATAATGGGGGCCAAAGCTTAAATAGACTGACTCCATGTGCCTTCGATACCATCGGATGTCATCGACGGATAGATACAGGGGTGTGGGTCATTATTACTACCGGACCAGTAAACTAGTAGCATCGTTTCGTACGGTATTATTACTTCCCGCATCACTCGTATGGTGCAGAATCTGGGTGAAATGTGCTCAACGGCTACTCTTCCATCTAGATTGATACATCTTGTACTACAAATGCTCTGCTAATATACAGACAAAACACACCAGTTCATGCTGGCTACGTATTTATACAGTGACACAGCCCCCTTACGGCACTTGCGTCGGAATCTTGACCTGTCCACGCTTCCTGTCCTGCAGAGGTGCACCATACCGCCATCCAACACCACGCGGAGACCGTCCGTCCTTCCCACTGTCCTCAGCCTTGATATCCTTGATACGGTACGCCGCACGCCCCGTAGCAACCGTATTGATCCGTGCCGCCTGGGCAGCCACTTGCTCGGCCACGCGGCGCGCATGCTCCTCCTCCACGCGCTGCACCTCGGTCCTGTACTTGGTCATGGCCTCGGCACGGTCCGACACGCCTGTAGCGACATCGCGCTCCGCAGAGATGAGCTCCCGCTGCAGGGAGCGCTCGTCGGCCGAGAGGAGATCGTCGTGGAAGGCCTTGGCTGCGTCAGAGCGCGTGAAGCGCCGGGACTCAGACACGGGGACGAACAGCTGTCGCAGCGTGGCCGGATGCATGGGCACCTCGTTGATGGGCTCATGAGGGGCGGGAGTCTTGTCTGACTCCTCGTACCGCGTCTGGGGGAGCATGCTCAGTACTGCACGGTTGTAGGGGCTGGCCAATTGTTCACCCTGTTTCTCACCCTACATTAGCAAATGTGACCCCATATCTTTGGTGATCCAAACAGGCAAAAAGAGTGTATAGAGAAAATGTCGTTTCAGATACAATAAATGTATAACCACAGAGTTGTCTTCAAGACTAATCGAAAAATATAATGGCCTCATCACATAGACGGTAGAGGGTAGGGCGATAAAAGAGAGAGCGGGAAAGAGGGTAATCTTACCTTGGCGATCATCTTCTTCTCCACCTCCTTGAGCCTCACGACAGCAGCGATCCGCCTGACATCCACCCCAAACTCCTGCGAAACAGCCTTGATAGCCTCACCCTTCTCGACGACCTTCTTCCAGATCATGTCCTTGAGCATGTCCGAGAGGACAGGCTGGCTTCGGAAGAGCGGATTAAGAGGGAAGGGTTGATCCTCATATTTGCCCACGTAACGAGGTCCTTTGGGCGCGTCTGGGCCAAACATGTTCTTTGCCCGGGTCTTCATCCAAATCCTCATCATAAAGCGCTGCTTGTTCATGCGCTCCTGGGGACTAGTTGTACTAAATGTCCGAGACGGCGCTGCTACTGCTGCTGTGGCGGCGGCGGCGAAGCATTGTATCTGTGTCGCTCCAGCTACTGCTGTCCTCGTGGCCGCAGCCAGGGACGTCGACGCGCCCGTCACTCTAGGTGGCATAGCGTCGATTATACTCTCATTAAACGTCCACCAGTATCGAGCAGCTGTTTGCTCGGGCTGTAAGAGGGAGAGAGAGAGGCGGACGAGAGCTGGCGTTGCTCGTCGTCTTGATCAGATGGGAAGATTAGGAGAAAAGTTGGTTGGTGCACGGTGCACACGCGAGCTTCGATCCACGCTAAGTTTTCTCGGACCCCGGAAGTATAATATTCCGTAAAAGGACGTGGAGCCCCACTACACGTACACTACACCACCATCATTGCCACTGTACCGTACCATTGTCTACCTGTCTGCCGGTCTGCCTGTAGAGACGCGGTAGCAATACTGTGATTTCTCATAAATAAGGACGTTCTCAAGTGTCTTAATATGGATGACATTTATTCATTCACAATCTCATAGCACCCTCATTCAACTCGTTCATTTTCCCATAAACTCACGCAGGAACAGCTCTCAGGACGAGAGAAGATGGAGAAGATGGAGTACAGATAGATACATGCGAACAATCAGACATGAAACAACTAGAAAAAGGGAAATAGAAAAAAAACCGTGCTTCCCATATATCTTTAGGAGCAAAAAACTACCAGTGAAAGGTCGGAGAAGAAAGAAGAGGAGGAGGCAGGAAAAATACAAAAGGGAGAAAACGCCAGTCCCTATGGTTCTCTCGCCTCCAGTTGGGGCACTGGTATGCCCGGGTGTACCGTGCTCGTATTATATGCCGGCAGTGACGCATCAGACATTATAGACATTAGATCTCGGACTTCAACCCTCAAACATCTGCAGCTAAAGCTAGCGACTTGTCCTTCTTCTTGGACTTGAGCTTGGTCGATGCGGCTGCCTTATTGGCGGCCTCTGCCTGCTCTTGCTGCTGCGATATGTCCTTCCACTTACGCCAGCCGTCAAAGTCAATGAGGGCTTGCATGCAGCCCCATTCCATGACCTTTCGTTCTAACCAGACAAAATTGACAGGCTGGAGTTATCGTTTATTAGCATTCTTTCCCACGTGCCCTTGCTCTACGGTGCGTCTCCCCACGTGCGCAGGCGTGTATGTTTTCTGTGAGTGGAAGCTACATACCTTGGTCAAGAAGTCGTTGCAACCAGCAGCAAGGGCCTCGTGCCTGTCACTCTGGAGGGAACTAGCCGTCAGAGCGACAATGATGACGGGGCTCTTGAAGAGAGAAATGTTCTCCAGACGGTCCTGGTCTTCGAGCTCTGCCGGGTCCTGGCCAGGGTCGGTGCTGCCGTCGTCGCTCTGGGGGAGACTGTCCGGAGAAGAGGAAAAGACGCCAATCGAGTTGAGGCGCTCGAGTCGTCGGATCTCTCGGGTAGCGTCGAGGCCGTTCATTCCGGGAAGTTGTATGTCCATGAGTACCAAGTGGAAGCCACCGTTCCTCCACATTTTAACGGCATCACGTCCGTTCATGGCCGTCTGCCACCTGACCTTGAGCCTCTTGACGAAAGCCTCAAGAAGCTTCAGATTGATGGGGTTATCCTCGACGATCAGCACGCTAATGGGAGGTACCCCACCGCTGAGGATTCCTTGCGTCCCCTGCTGTCCTGAGTAGTCGGGCTTCTTAGGCTTTTTAGGGCGGACGACCGAGGGTCGTGGAGAGGAAACGCGAGCTGGGGGCGTCGAGGCGTGCTCCTGCTGTATATTGTGGGTCCCTGGAGACGACGTAACGGGCGGTCCGGTGGGTGGGGGCTTGTGGTCTGACGAGGCGGAATGAGCGCGTGAATGTGAGGGCCTAAGTATGTAGTGCTGCATACCATGTCCGGGGTCGGCAGTAGCGACGGCGGGACCTGGGGTGCTGCTGATGGCCGCTGCGGCGGCCAAATTGGGAGAGGAGGTACCGCCATGGCCTACGCTGTTCGGAGGGGCCGCGAGGGTCATCGTCTGGCGGGGAGTGTTATTAATGGGAGGAAAGTAGCCCTCACCGGCCTCGGAGGGTGGGCCATCATGGGTCACGTGGAGTGCAGTAGGCCGCGGCGACGGCTTGGGGGTGCGGCGTGGTATGTCGATGACGAGGGCCTCGTCGATTGTCTGACCACCGGGATAGTAGCCTTCGACGACACGGGCGATAGGCTCCTCAGGGCCCAGCAGGCGCTCCTTCTTGGACGGGTCACGGGGCACGATACGTAGAGTGAGGTCGGGGGGGTCGAAACTGCGGCCTAGTGAGTTGGCATATTTGCTGAGGATAAAGTCGCGGACATTGTCGACGAGGTCGTCGTCGCTGATGGTAACGAGTGTAGCTGAGGCATGGGGTCTCTTGACCCATATCTTTCGCGTCGTCACCATCACGAGGTCCAGGTCGTCGTTGGTAACGTCAGTATCATTTGTTAGGGGACCGTGAAGAAGGGACCTGATGATGTGGGACTGGCCCGGTGAGACGAGGCTCTGGCGCCTGATGGAAGGCAGTGGCTGTCGCAGCGAAGCAGAGAGAGATGATGAGTCAGGGTAATGGTCGGAGTATGACAAGGGTGACGATGACGGCTGGCGGTGATCGGGGATGACGAGATTAGATTCGGTGGAACTGGGCCTTTGGCGAACGGAGGGGGAGGGGGGTGAGGAGGGGGAAGTAAAGTAGTAATAGTCGGATGAGGAAGGCGAGGCGAGGCCGGCGGTGGCTTCGTCAATGCTGCGCAGACGCACGGGAGGTGGAGGAATGGAAGGGGTGAGAGGGAAAGGGGATCGGCGATGACGGGAAAGGGAATGATGGTGTTGGAGCAGTGGCGGTGGTGAAGATGTGGAGATGGGAGCGTTGACCGTGGAGGCTGCTGGTTCTGGTGGTTGTAGTAGTTTGGGTGCGCCTTCCTCTATAGTGGGCTGTGGTGCTCCTTCCGCTAGAACTGGTGGTGGTGCTAGCGCTGGCGCCTGGTTATTGCCGGTGGGAAGGTGCTGTTCGTGCTCCTGCCTCACGCGCTGCTTCTGGGGCTTAGAGTGGAGCGCTGGTGGTGCTCTACCAGAGCCAGCCCCATCACCAGCCTGGTCTCCTTCTCCATGTCCAGCGTCTTCCTCTTCGCTTCCGTCCTCGTCTTTTTCTCCACTTGAACTGCCCTCGCCTACAACCACGACGGCCTCGTGGCCTTTTCCGTTGCTGTTGCTGGTTTCTGTTCTCGCGTTGGCATCTTCTGTCTCCATCACAAGCACGTTGCTGCTGCTGCTGCACTGTCTGTCGCTGTCGCTCCCCTGGGCTGCACTATGCGTTATTGGCCTCAGTGAGCTGCGGCTGCTGCCGTCGTCTCCACGATGATCAAAAGGCGAGAGGTCAGTTTGCGATGCTGTCGACTGTGAGAATTTCCATGACCAAGGCCGTCGTTCCAGTAGCCGGGCCTTGACGCGCGCTGTGATGCTCAACGTCATGGCCGAAATGCTCGCATCGGCTCACGTTTGATGTTTGTCCACCGCAGCCGTTGTCTTTCCCTCTATCCCCCTCTCTTGCCTCGTCGCTATTGGTCACCAATGTTCCCGGCTTTCCGTACCTCGGGCTACTTCGGTTGAGGGGCTCGTCTTGGCCAACTTCGTGGTCGGATAACGGCAGCGTACGCCTCATTCAGTATGACAGTCGGTCGTGGCTGATTTCAAAACCAGGGCCTCAGTAACGGTGACAAGTCTGAAGAAGCAAACAAGGCGGCCAATTCCTGTCGCTTCTCCTCCTGTTGTTTTGGTGACCTCTGCCTTCTCCCTGGCACCCCTCTTAGTTGTGTATTAATCAAAGCAGATTGGGCAAAAGCACGCATGGGGGTGGGAAGGTTCCATCGCAGATCGGGCTTTTTGACCCTGGCCATCGGGCAATTGAGCGTCGGAGGGAGACAAACCCAACAAAGAAAACAGGACTGCCAAACTGTCAGGGGAGGAGGGGGCATGAATCGAACTTAAGCTTGGCATGCAATATGAGTGACTATTATGGAGGATTGCCTAGTATTACCTGGGGTATAAGTCAAAGTCTCTACCTTGGTCCAAGTGTCGTCCATGACGCGCCTTTGCGCGTAGCTAATCCGACCCATCCCTGTGTCGCCCTGTGATGATCGCCGCTGTTTCTTCTCTCTGATTTGCCTTATCTCGCTCTTGTTGATTACCTTTCGCACTTGGCATCATAATATCGGATTTTTCAACATTGTCACGGCTTGTCAACTTGGTACGTGAAGAGATGCCATGTCGCGGTCAGGTTTCATATATTAGAACCTTGCGGTGTATGCGCCTTACCCCGCAATCGATTGAAAACATATCCATTCTCTATAAACAAAACATGCCATTCGGCTCTCTATGAAAAATGAACCGACTCCCAGGGATTTCTCTTTTTCTCTCTATCTGTAAAGGTCGAGTCCGCACTCCTTGTTTTTCTTTCCCTTTCCTTCATATGGCATGCATATGCCGGCTATTAATGAGAGAAGCGGAAATCGAGACGCTTCATACCCTCATCGGTCGTGTTGAGCGAGTAGTCCTCCTGCTCCTCCTTTGTCATGGCGTTCCATCTCTCGTCGCGGATCTTGTTTCGCCAGATGTAGAAGGCCTTGACGGCGAAGAGGAGGACGATGTTGAAGCAGCAGATGGAGAGGATGACCTTGTTACCCCTGCGGTATAGGGGTGCGTCGTCGTCTCGGTAGATATTGACGCCGACGATGTTGCCCGCCTGCACTGCCATGTTGTACAGGGCCGCGCTGACCGCCCTGGTACGCACCGAATTGCTGTTCTTGGCGTTCCAACCGGCCACGATGGCGTGGCAGTAGGGGTAGCTGAGGATGCCCGTCAACAAGCCGTAGCGTAGCCAGTGGCTCGGGTTGGAGAGGGCCACGAGCGCGATGAGGAAGGGCAGCATCCAGATGTTGGCCACCGACGATACGATTGCGCGCTCCTTGAACTTGACGGACACCCACGAGAGGATGACGAGGTTGATGGCGAACAAGACCTGAGACGGCATCACCAACAAGTTGGCATGGAAGACGGAGAAGCCAATCTCGCGCAGGATGTAGGAGATGTACGTCGACGGCGGGGAAGGCGGGATGTAAGCCGTCAGACCGATCAGGTACAGCGGCCACTGCTCCCAGTCACTCAGTGCGGCCACCAGCTTGGAGCCGTTGACTCCTTGGCTGTATTTCACATTTATATCAGTCTCTGTCATGCATTCACATCGTGCGTGGGTATGTATGTGTGTATGTGTGCGTGTGCGTGCTCAAAATGGGTCAGGGATGAACCAATGTGCTTACCGGTTGTTCATGTCTCCCTTGCTCGGATCGTCGCGCAAGAGTCGGTTGACCATGATGCTCTCCTCGTGGTCAGTGAACCAGCCGTTCTTTCCACGGAACCAGCTGCGTGTCTGGCACGGCCCAGCAGGCATCATGCCCCATGACAGAATTCCGATGACCAAGGTTACGAGGCCTTCAAGCAGGAAGCTGAGGTGTCCGGTATCAGCATATCAGCGCAGATAAGGAAAGATGTGAAGAGTAGAAGCAAGGCAGGTATGACTTACAGCCAGCGCCATCCACTCCAGCCCTGAATACCTCTCATCTGGAGTACACCGGCGGCAATGAGGGCGTCGATGATGTTGGAGAAGCTGAGAGCTGTCCAGAAGCAGGCAAGTCTCACAGGTAGCTCGTTAGACTTGTAAAAGTAGGTAAGCCACAGAATCATATCACTGCTCATTGTCAGTAAAACTGTTCCGTCTGGGAAGAGAGGAGAGAGAGAGGGGGGGGATGGAGAGGGCGAGGTCTGGGGAATGAAAGCATACGGAATGAATCCTCCCATGGTAAGCCCCATAAGACACTTTATGACATAGAAGGATGCCTGGTTATGGATGAAAGCCTGGGAGCCAGCCAGGATGGAGGCAGCCGCTAGGATAAAGGGGATCCAGCGGTCTGCGCCAACCTTCTTGCTGATCAGACCGCTTGGAAGCTCAGCGGCCAAAAAGGAGACGAGGAAGATCTAGATGTCTAGATTAGACGATACTGCGCACACTAAGGCTCGACGGTGACTTTAGGCTTGGGCTTACCGTCTGACCATAGTTGAAGTGGTTGGTGTCCATGCCGAGCTCAGGCAACTGGGTCACTGTTAGGATGGTGGTGATGCTTTGGAAGATGGGAAACATACCATGTTGTCGGAAATGGCACGGTTGATGTTCCTACGGTGAATGTCCAGGGCGGTAAACATGAGCCAAGTCCACGTCATGATACGGAGATCAATCTATCATCTAGTTAACAAACGACGTCTCCGAGTCGGCAACCACACCATGGGCGTATTGATAGTATGGAATCATACCTTTCGGAGAAGCTTCCTCTCCTCCTCGGGCTTCCACGTATAAGATGGGTCGAAGCGGTGCCGGTTCTCATACTCGGCGTCCTCATAGCGTTTTCTCCACCAGTTCGCGACTGTTGGATCTGAGAAGATGTGTGTCGACGAGGAACCATCCTGAGAGTCCCTGTCAGTAGTCGACTGTCCAGCCGATGTGACTTCAGGATCGACGGACCCCTTCAGGGGGGCATCCTTCTGATCTCCAACGGCCATTGTGCCTCTCCTGTCAATACACAAAAGATGTACAATCGAGGGGCCCGGAGGGGGGAGGGGAAGGGGAAGGAGGGGGGGTTGGGGACAGAGGGGTCTGAGATATCTGCCTTGAAGAAGAAACTCCAAAAGAAGAAGGAGAAGGAAGAAGGAAAACAGAACAGGAAACAACGTGGTTATATGCACGAGTTGGTCTAGTGCAATGCATACGGGTTTATCGTGGGACTCTTACGGCAAATCAGTACCGAGCAAATTGTCTCTTCCATCTAATCCTCCTCGAGTGGAAATCTCCGGCAAAAAAAAAATTAATAAAAATAATAAATAATAAAGGGGGGGGAGGGGGACCCTGACATTGTATCCCAGCCAAAGTCCACTTTCTTCTTCTTTCACTTTCACCTTGGACTTCCTCAGTCTTTTCAAGCGGTCGCCACGGCGTACGAGTAGGAGAAATTCTAGGAATTCCGTCATTTCCTACCAATGAAATCCCTGCCCTTACATTTCGTAACTAGCTCGATGGTGCAATAGCCATCATTTCCACATTAGGACTTGATGCCAAGTGATACTACAAGGTAATATGCTACGTATAATCCTATACGAGTAGGTAGGTACCTGCTCGTGTTATCGTGGCCAACCCCAACGTTTTGTATTGCCATATACGGAGTACAATCGAAGTCTACGACGTGATTACCCAGTCAAGTCATGACGAAGCGCCTTGGCTTTTTTTCCTTCCCCTTCTCCATACTTCTTCTCTCTGAAACCTCAAGTGCCGTAGTGCCGGGAAAAGGGCCGTCTGGGCCCCCAACTTGAATCTATTCATTACTTCACAGATGACAGACCGTGTCGTGGCTCGGGCTGGTGGTTTGTGAGTTGTAAACAGTATTTCCAACGCTCATATGTCCATTGTAACATTTTCTAGACCGACAGCGCCTCCATGTACTCTCTCACATCTATGGTTACTTACTTTGTGGATTCGACAATATTTCCTGCACAGGTTGCGCATGTTGCGTCGAGGCCTGCTGGGACTCGGGAGCCGGGTTTTGCGATGACGTGCTCTGGGGACGACATGGCGAACACTTGTCGGACGAATACATGTCACATACACCCAATGGGACTAACATGCGGCTGTGTACGATTTAGTGCGCGCATTGGTATCAAGAACGGAGCAATAAATGTTCTAGAAAACTTTTCTGTTAGCTGTGGGTTATCATCGATGTTGAGCAGTCTATGCCGAGTAACAGCGCTGAGGGGGGTGTAAGTCCTAGATGACATCATGCCAAAGTACGACAATCGCCGGGATCAACCAGCAGCGATATCTACACATGTATTCTACTACTACATGTACGAAACATGCGTGTACACTCGGGGCAGTTTGTTCAAAAATCAAAAGTACACATCAAGCTCTCGGTAGGTCTTGGTTGCATATACTCTCGAGCTGGTTTACAAAAAAAAAAAAAAATCATTCAACCAGTTTTGACATTATGTTTTGCTCTGAGATTCGACTTGAAGTTTATACGGGGGATATACACTAAAAACCAACTTCCAAATCTAAGCCTGATACGGCGTCTCGTATGGCCTCTCAGCCTGGGGTGTGATGCGGGCCAGATGGCGCCTGTCGCCATCCTTCCAGTCGACGAGGGCAGTGTGCTGCGTGACGCGGTTGTCCCAGACAACGACAGTTTTCTCTTCCCACTTGACGCGGGCATGGAAGTCAGCTCCCCAGGCGATGTGCTCGTAGAGGAACTTGAGGATGGCGTCGGATTCCTCCTTTTTCAGGCCGACAATTTCACGAGTGACTGTAATTTGTGTTAAAACTTGCTTTCTTGTTCTTGTTCTTCTTCTTTCAATGCCAGGGCTGTTTCTGAAAGGGGACGGGAGAAGGAACTTACACTGAGGGTTCACGAAAAGGGCCTTCTCTCCCGTACCAGGGTGAGTGCGCACAATCGGATGGACGCTCCTGACCGGCTCCCTCCTCTTTATGCTGCCCTTGGCCACCGAGGCGTTGACCTGCTCGATTCCTGAGTGGACGGCGTGCAGGCCGTGGAGGCGCTCCTTGAAGAAGGGCGAAAGACGGTTGTACGCCTCGACGCCGTTGCAGAAGAGGGTGTCTCCGCCGGAGGCCGGCTTGTCGAGGATGTACAGGAAGGTGGTGCCGGGAGGCTGCTGCTCGTAGGTGACGTCCGAGTGCCAGGCCACGGACGAGGTGCGCGACTCGAAGAAGGTCTCGGCGGACTTGTCCTTGGCGCCGCGGTGGACCAGGTGAATCTCGGGGAAGCCCTCGGGCGAGCCGGAGGTGGGATGGATGTGGTGGCGGCCAAAGTAGCTGCCGAATTCGAGGGCCTTCTCGATTGGAAGGTCGGCAAAGTCCTGGTCGCGGAAGGCGACGACCTTGCGCTCGGCGACGAAGCGCGCCAGCTCGTCCTTGCCCGCGTTCGACAGGCTGCTCAGCTGGATGCCCTTGACCTCGGTGCCGATGGTGGGCGTCAGGTGCTCGACCTTGACCGACGGGGGGAGCAGGTTTGGATACGTCGTGTCGGCGTCCTTGCCGTGCTCGTAGTGCTCAAAGGGTGTGAGGGGGGGGTACTTTTGCTTGGGGTTCCATGTTGGGAGGTAGTGAGGGTACTGGAAAGCCTGTATTAGTGGTTGCTGCTGCTGTTGCTGTTGCTGTTGAAAGATCAAATGCAGGGATATATATATATATATATATATATGTATGTATGTATGTATATGTATATGACATTCGACTAGATATCTTACCTTGGCAGCCGCGAAGCCTTCGACTCCCTTGATCTCGGCCTCCTTGGAGTAGCTGACCGAGGCGAGCTCCTTGTAGTCACCCACCGCAGTGTTGAAGCGGAGAGTGGGAGCCTTGGTGGGCTCGGTGGTTGTGGCGGTTTCCACTGCTGAAGGGGCCATGATTGTGGTTTTGCCTTTTTTTTTCTTGTGTCTTGTGTATATATGTTTTAAGAGTGTATATATGTGTGTGTATGTAGATGGCTTTTCGAATCAGATCGGGCCCAAACCTAGGGACTGGATTTATATAAGTTCTTCTACTAGTACTACTTTTAGTCTACGGGTCTCTCTCTTCTTCCTGACAAAGACACGTTTTGGAAGAAGCGGGGAAGGCTATGATCAATAAGCTGGGCAAAAGATGTTATTTCCACCTTTTCGCTCCGAGTTTCTGTTTTGTATTGGGTCGATGAGGTTCCATTATCGGCGGTTGCGATGATGCGCCAGTATGGTGTCGTCGTTGGTGCCACCCATCAATTCGGCTCGTGTCGACTTAATTGGCCGGTTCCATAGTTACGAATACATAGACAAGATTGCGCAAGAGTTGCATCCTTGTACTTGGTTTCAAATACTCCGCCGACACTCCAAAGACATCAATACGACATTGGGCTGTGTGCCGCTATCAAGACCGTCAATCACGCCATTGAACCCAGCGACGACACCATCTTCTATATAGCTCTCTCTCTCTCTCTCTTTCAATTATGGATAGCCATGGCAAAGAAAAAAAGGAAAAAAGAAAAAACGGACGCTGCGTGGCTTTTTTCTTTTTTTCTTTTCTTTTTGAATATTCTTATCAATCAATAATGCCAAAGCTGTTGAGACAAGAGGCCAATGATCAAGGGTCCCGATCATGTTTAAAAGTCTTGAACACCAGTCTCCCCGTGTACTTGATGCTCAGTATCACTAGCCCAGCCAGGCTCCTGGTCATCAAACCATGAATCCTGTTCATCCTGCCTCTCTAGCGAATCTAAGTCGTGATCCCCATCGACAATGGCATAGTCAAAGTCCTCATCCTGCCCTCTCACGAACCGATATTCTAGAAAGTCCCTCCACAGCTGTATTCCCTCTTCCCTGTCTGCAGGAGTGACATCGACCCAGGTCCTGTTGCCACTACCATCGTCCTCCTCGTCTCGGGTGTCGGGGTTACTGGAAGTGGCAATAGCGGCAGCAGAAGGTGGTGACGTTGTCGTTGCAGCTTCTGCCGCCAGTTTTGCCATCCTCGTCTCCCCCCGCATGAGTGACGCTTCAAGCGTGCGTCCGTACCCCTTGGCCTTGCCCTCTGCCGTGCGCTCCGGTACCGATTGGAAGCGTTTGATCAGACGTTCGTACAGCATCGCATCTGCATGCATGTGTCAAAACCCAAGAACGAGAAGAAGAGAAAAGAAAGAGAGGGCAGCTGAGAAGAGTGTAGAGGGGGATACGGGGAGAGTCCGCAGGAGAATCGTCTCACCTGCTAGCTCGTGCTCCAGACTGTCAAAGTAGGAAGCATGACGCTCGAGATACTCGCGTCGCCGGTTGCGGACACGGACCTGCTCCACGCGTGCTGGTCCCTCGGGCTCCCGGGGCACTGGCTTGTCGTAGTTTATGGGCCCAGTCTCCTCCGGCATTCTTATTACACGTGGCTACGTCTGAGTCTCCCAATTGATGATTCTTGTATGGAGTTAAGATGGGAGAAGACGGCACATGACTCCGATGCGCGTGTTAATAATAGTCTTCTTCTCATGCTTTGTGTTCCACTTTTACCCGACTTTGTTATCCTGACTACCCTGGAGCTGAATGCCAATATCCGGCTTGATCTAGGCAGTCATCACGTTGTATTTCTACCATGGCATCTAAATGGCTAGTACTGATGGTCATGCTTCATAAGCCTGGAATATAAAGACATCGTGATTCAGACGATGTAAAGTACTCGTGCTGGCTGCCCGAAGACCATAAGCCAGCCGACCAGCTATACCGTTGACGCCTTTCTGAACGGCTACAAATAATGAAGGTGAAATGGAGGATACCAGCTACTAGAAAACAGAACACCGTTTAATAATGACTGTATTAATAGGTGTTGATCGGAGACAGTGCGTAGACATCCTTGCGAGCGAAGCGAAATCCTACTTACAACACTCATCAACAACACCCATTTACGTAGCCGACTATTCGATCGCTACATCACGTCGGTGATCACAATGATTAGGCACCCTGTCATCATTAATGAGTCTTTAGATGGTCGCCTAGTGTATAGTAAAGTCAACCCATATTACTACTAGCGAAACATCCCTTTCACCTTGGCTGTCAATAGCACAGTCAACGCTTTACTTGAACCAGTTCCCAAGCCAAGCACCTGCGACTGTGACTGCTCATTGCTCACGACACTCTGATGGCCTTGCCAGCATAAGGCTGACCCTCATTTCCTATCTACCTTGTAGCTTAGAGTTGGTGTTTTAGAGCTCCATGAAGTTGGGGTCGGGCCTTGGGGCCTTAGCCACGGCGGTGGCACGTGATGAGAAGAAAAAAAGTTGGAGGAATATGAAAGCGGGACACCCGACTGTGACACACGAAATGATATACGGACTTATCTCAACTCATAGGCTGCTTAGTATTGTGCTATAAGATTGAAAGAAGTACACGGCCTCGACCTCTGATCCAAGAGCATTGCCTGGAAGACAAAAGGCTGCATCCTGCCCCCAAAGCAAAATGCCCCCTCTCATCACATCTGACTACTCAGCCGACCCATCAGCCCACGTCTTCCAAGACCGAATCTACATCTACCCATCCCACGACCGGGTTACGTCCATCGCCCCCAATGCCTCAGGTGACCAGTACGACATGGTAGACTACCACGTCTATTCGACGGGCGGCGACGACCTCTCGACCGTCACGGACCACGGAGTCGTCCTGCGCGCCCAAGATGTCCCCTGGGTCTCTAAGCAGATGTGGGCTCCCGACGCGGCATTCAAGAACGGCACCTACTTCCTCTTCTTCCCCGCGCGCAACAAGAGCGGTACGTGGCAGATTGGCGTGGCGCTGAGTTCCTCTCCCTCCGGTCCGTTCACGCCCGACCCCGACCCTCTGGCCGGGTCTTACAGTATAGATCCTGCTTCGTTTGTCGACTCCGACGGACAGGCGTACCTCTACTTTGGCGGGCTGTGGGGTGGTCAGCTGCAGTGCTACCAGGGCGACGAGTACGATCCATCGTGGGTTAGCAGGGGGGAGCGGACGGGGGGGGACCAGCTGGCTCAGGGCCCCCGTGTGGCTAGATTGGCAGATGATATGAGATCGCTCGCCTCGTCAGCCATCGAGCTGGCCATCCTCGATCCAGATACGGGCGCTCCCCTGGCTGCAGACGATCATGACCGTCGCTTTTTCGAGGGCTCCTGGATGCACAAGCGCATGGGGACGTACTATTTCTCCTACTCCACGGGGGACACTCACTTCCTGTGCTACGCTACTGGAGCCAGCCCCCTCGGCCCGTTTACATATGCTGGCAAGATCCTGGAGCCTGTTCTCGGTTGGACTACGCATCATTCCATCGTCGAGTATCATGGCCGCACGTATCTCTTTTACCATGACTGCGAGCTGAGTGGTGGCGTTGACCATCTTCGTTCCGTCAAGCTCAAGGAAATCTTCTATGACGAGAATGGTCGTATCATTACAACTACTGCTGACTAAAATAGTGCTCAAATATGCCATCTCATTCTGTATCTACCTCCGGTGGCCTGCCGGGGGCCTTCTGCGGAGTACCGTCCTCGCCCCGCTCGTAGTGCATTTGCCGTCTTTCTATTTTCCATTTAAACGGTGTGAAAATAATGCAAGACAGAGTAAGATTCCAACATGGTTATCCTATCTGCTATTATATCCAATTTCTTGATAGTCACTTTTTTATAACTTGTATTTCTATAAATTTAGCAAAAAAAAAAAAAGAAGATAGACACAAAGAGATCATTCTGACACACCGAGACGCAGCTTGTTGAGGGCATTCTCGTAATTCGCAGGTGAGTGATCGATCAACATCCCTGTCCCGAAGCGCACCTCTCGGAATCTGGCCTCCACATCCTTAACGTACCGTAGTACGATGCGCTGCGCCGGCCGTCCAATATGCTGCCGCTGGCCCGCAGGGTCATCTGAGACGAGGAGGAAAGCGTCTCTGCGGAGGACACGGTGTGATTCAATGCAGAACACTTCGCCGGGGGGCATGAGTTTCTCGTGGTTCATGTTGCTCCGCATCGAAGAAAGGGTTGCTAGCATCCATCCCTGACCGTCGAGCTCCTCTATTGTACCCGACTGCTCTGTAGGGGCTGATGGTGGCAGACTGTTGCTACCGCCACCCATGTTACTTTGTATGGCGTGCCATATGTGTTTGCGTATCTCGGCCTTGGCGCGGTGCTCGTCCTTTTTAAATGCCACGGCTACACCTTGAAAATCGTGCAGGACGCCAAGTGATAGGTGCGGTACCAGGTCTGACCCGTGTACAACAGTCGTGATTAGGCCCTTTGTTATCTTGCAGAGCGTGACGGACATGGCGCCCGGTGGGCCGTAAGCAAAGACGTGAATGGGCCGGCCGGCGGGGAGGCGGATGTCGGCGAGTCGTGGGTTGTTGCCACCACCAGAAGGGAGATCGTAGGCTGTTACGAACCCTGTGCCGTGAGGGTTAGGCTCGGCCAGCATTACGCCCAGGAGTGACGTGACGGCGCCCCCGAGCGAGTGGCCGCAGAGAACGAGCCCGTAATCGGGAAACTCGCGCAGCGCTTCTTGCAGGGTAATGAGGACGCGTCCGTCGCCACCGTAGAGGATGCGTCGCGCCGATGCGTGGATGCCCTTGTGCACACGATAGCTGCGGCCCCGCCACATCAGCCTGTCGTAGTCGCAGGTAAGATCGGTGAGGATATCTTCAAAGCCTAGGGTGCCGCGGCACGCAAGAACCACGGCCTTGGCTTCGTGGTCTAGTGATATGTAGTATACCAGCGGCATACCCGAATCAGTGGCGCCCGATGCATTGCTTCCGCCTCCCGAGTCCACAAACGATGCTAGGAGTACATTCCCGGACGGCGACTCCGTGTGGTGTGCAAAGTGCCGTACGTCGTGGTGTGTCTCGTCGTCAATCTGGATCTTGGGCATGCTGTTTGAGATGCCCATGAGCTTGAGGAACCGTGACCCATACGACGCAGACGAGAAGCGCATATAACGGGTGATATTTTGCAGCAGGTGCGCAGAAGGGAATGTCCCCTCTACAGCACCGGCGCGCCGGAGTGTCTCCATGGCGCCCGTCGCGTGATACGCGCTCTTTTTGTAGTAGGCCGACAGCACCAGGGATGCCTGCGAGTCGTTGGTCGCCAGGCTGTACAGGCTGGGGACGGCCGAGATATTGCGTCTGTGATACGGCTTGCTATACGGAGACGGCGTCACTGCCCCTCCGTCTGGCTGTCGGGATAGCGTCTCGTGCGACGCCATATCGGCCCTCATGATGCTGGGGGATGCCGGTCGCAATCCGCCGGCGTGGAGGGTGTAAGCATCCGCCTGCGATACAACGGAGTCCCGACGACGCTCGTGAACGGAGACGTAGCTAGCGCGTGAAGAGCTACGGGGTATACTCTCCGGGTCTAGATGAATGCTAGCCTGGGAGCCAGACCGCTGACCCGACCCTTTCGCGATCCGTGAGCACGTGGCCGGCTTAGATGGATAAGTCGAAACAGGGCTGGGCTCCACAACCTTGCCCACGGTCTTCCACTGCGGTCGCGGCCTTCGTGTTGCTGTGCTTGAGCTGCCTAGAATAACGCCGTCTTTGTTCCACATCTGAGAAAAGGATTGACCACTTCCTTTCAAAACCTGTTTGAGACCACTCTTCTTGTCAAGAGATTTGGTATCGGACGGTGATAGGTCTGTCTTTTTCTTAGTAGGCTGCTTTGTCGATTCTGGCTTTGCCTTACCCAAGTTGCCGCGGGAACTCGACTTGTGCAAGGGGGATCTCTGCTTCTTTTGATTTGCAGCACTGTCCGTGGTCGAACTGGGAATGGATGAAGGTGGGCTCAGGTTGACTTGGGGGGGAGTTCGTCTCGGGATGTTCATGCGCTGCTGTGAATGTCCCTTGTCCGACTGCGGACTACCCGTCTGCGAGGGAGGCTCTGGGGTTGCAGGTACTAATGGTAGTGGGTCCATGAGACGCGATGAGGATGCCTGCCTTTGCGGAGGAGTACATGGCTGCGAGTCGGCTGAGCTGTCGAGCTCTGTGACATAGCCAGGCTCGTCTTCGTGGCGGTGGAACGAGGCAGTCCTGAGTTTGTCGCGCTGTATCCTGTAGACGACTCGGTATGACGACTCGGCGTCCGGGTCTGCTGGATCTTGTGCATGCGACGGTACGTGCGTCTTAGCTTCCACGATCTCAGCCCCGGGCGGCGTCGGCAGAGTCATAGACTGGAGACCATGGACATCGACAGTGATGGTTTGCGTGGTCTGGACAGAGTTTGAGATAGATACGGACGTGCCGGGCGACAACGAAGAGGCGATATGTGTCTGGAGGTGGTTGAAGACCTGGTCGTCGTCTCTGGGACCGCCGCTGGATGATGGCCTCTGGTTCAGTGACACAGGGGATGTGGGACTGCCGCTGTGCGTCTCATCGACATGGGTCTTGACGCAGTCGTCGCCATCAGTTAGCACGTCGACGCGAGTGCCATCGTCGACCACGACAACGTCCCAGATGACCTGCTCGTGAGAGCTGGAGCGCAGCTCATCGTCCAACGACTTGCGGCACATACGCTGTAGGTAGGCGAGGGCGGCGAGGGCGATGATGAGATCGACGACGCCGACCTGCTCTGCCGGGTCACCGGTAGCAGGGTTCTTAAACTCTCGGCGGATGAGGGTGATGATGCTTGCAATCGCGCGGGACGAGTCGGTTGATCCGAATAGCTGGTCGAGCGAGGACAGCAGCAGCTGCGATAGCTCGCTAGCGGCGAAGAAGGTGGTACCGGTGAGCTGGAAGCTGGCCGACGTCCAGAAGACGGCCTGGCTGGCGGCGCCATGGAGAGCCTCTAGAGCCCGCTCAAGTAAAGTGTCGGCGTCGGCGGCGGCCATGTCGGACCGGGGTCTTAAAGCGGCATCGCGGCCGGCGCGGAGCAGGATGCCCTCTACCATAGTGCGGGCGAGTTCGAGACTCGAGAGGGTGGTGAAGCGTGCAGCGTCGAGGCCATATGAACCGAAGAAGGAGCCTACGCGTATAGCAAGGCTGGTGGAACGTGTAGCGAGGCTCACTACGCGTGCGACTGAATTTGGGAGGAGTGTCGGCCCTGGCTGCGGGAGAACAGCTACAGGTGATGCCGACTTGAGGGCCATCGTGGTGGCGTCTGTACTGCCTGAAGAGGCCATGGCAACGATCAGGTTACTGTCTATTGACGATGTGAAGCGTCAGAGGACGAAGCAGGGCCATTTTAATGGCAAGATACTAAAAAACGGTAAGACAGATTGGCTCTGTTCGAAATTACACCACGTGTATGGGCGAAGTTGACCCAGATTTGTTGATGCCCGACTGATAACATGCCAGGCACCCGTCCATTCCAGGAGTGTCAGACGCACGGCGGAGAAATATTCACAGGGACAGCAGGTACACGGCCCATAATGGTGGGATGGATAGGACGGGAGGCACGGAGAGAGAGACAGTGAGTCGAGAGAAGGAGAGTTGATTGATTTGCATGTGATTGCGTGGGATGGACGAATCAGGACTACTGAGAGGATGAGTGGGCGGTGAAATGCGTGGCAAACACATGGACCAGCATTGGCAATGCAAAGACAGCTGTCATTGATGAATATTTGTTGTCCGATGCGAAAAGTTGAGGGGTCAGCGATGATGTCGATGACGACGACGATGGCCTTGTTTCCATTTTCCACATATTTCTGTCAGAGAAAAAAAAAGGGAATGAAAGAGAGAAAGAGAGTCTGTGTTGTATGATATAGCCTATAGCTTATGGGTTTTATTATGTGACGGTCGTACCTTCCCAGGATCCTGGATTGGAGGTCCTGCCAAGATGACAGCTGCAAGAGGTGCGGAGACATTAGCTCACCGATGAATCCTCGTACAAGAAAAGCGCGAGCCACAAATTCCTGGTGCCGCTCGTATAACTTGAAGACTTGACCGAGGGAGATACAGTACTAATACTCCGTATGTACGAGTACTACGAGTAATACTGATAGACTCGTAATAGAAAAGCTTCAAGTCTCCAATTATAAATATGACGCTGAAGCCACTACGAGTATTACTACGTCGCACAAGACTAGGGGATCGTATTCCTTTTCCACTAGGAGCCCTACATAATATACGTAGTAATAACCACCCGGACCAACTGTCATTGGCGCCTTGTCCCCTGATAGCCCATCCCCTCCATGGGGCGCAGCAGTTCCTCTTAGGCCAAGTCCCCTGACGCTAGGGGGACACAGCATCCAAAATAATGCCGGACAGTTGATAGTCAATAGTGATGGGGGACCCTGTGCGCTTCATTTATGTCATGCCCCCCTCCCTGGCAACACCAAAAATAGCTTTGCTCTTTCCTTTTGTTTATTCGTCTTCTTGTCCGCTCTTTCTTAATACATGTTGAAAGCTTTGTGCTTCTCTTTTTCCAGAATAACGTCCACTCTTCTAGTCAACTTCATCACCTTCACCACCTTCACGCATCTCCCATATCCACAAACAAAATCCTCTCAATGGCTTCCGAGCTCTTTTCTGAAGAATTCCTCTCTCCCGAGGTCCAGGCCGTTCTCCCTGAGGGCTACCGCCTGCGTGCCCTCCGCCGCTCCGATTACGAAACTGGCTTCCTCGACTGCCTCCGTGTCTTGACTACCGTGGGTGACGTCTCCGAGGATGCATTTGCCAGGCAATTTGAGGCCATGCGCAGCCAGGGTGGCTACTACATCATCGTCATTGAGGACCCCTCGCGCGAGTCGACTCCCATTGTTGCTACCGGTGCTCTGATTGTTGAGCGCAAGTTGTATGTTGCCATCCTTTCTGTGCCTTTCTTTCCTCTCCCATAATCACAACTAACACAGCTCTCCTCCCAATAGCATCCACAGCCTTGGTGCCGTCGGCCACATCGAAGACATTGCCGTCGCCCGCGACCAGCAGGGCAAGAAGCTCGGGCTCCGCCTCATCCAGGCCCTCGACTACGTTGCTGAAAAGGCTGGCTGCTACAAGAGCATCCTCGACTGCAGCGAGGCCAACGAGGGCTTCTACATCAAGTGTGGCTTCCGTCGTGCCGGTCTCCAAATGGCCCATTACTACGAGGGTTCCAAGGCCAAGGCCTGATCATGTTGCAGCGAGAGGGTTTTCTTTGGTTTAATTACTGGTTTTTAATTGAGGACACATGCGGGATTGGCGGGCGAATTGCATAGAGGGTCTAAAAGACGTTCTCTTCTTTCATATTTTCCTCTTTTGGTGGATTACCGTATCGTCCTGGAACGCAGGCAACTTCCCCTTACCTGCCCATCCAACCTCCATCAACAGTGAGAACGTGGCCGCTGACGTAGCCACCGGCCTTGGCAGCAAGGTAGACGGCAGTCCCCTTGAAGTCTTCCGGGGTACCCCATCGACCAGCGGGGATTCTTTCCGAGATGCTCCTGAGACGGTCCTTGTCCTTGAGCAGGGCTTCATTCATGTCCGTAGCAATGTATCCGGGGGCGATGCAGTTGACGGTGACGCCCTGCGACGACCAGGAATTCGCAAAGCTTTTGGTTAGTTGGGCAATGGCACCCTTGGAAGCAGCGTACGCGGGCACGTTGAGTCCTCCCTGAAAGCTGATGAGCGAGCCAAAAGTGATGACGCTTCCCTTGCGGCCCGTCACGGGCGAAGGTTCCAGCTTGAGCATGTGCGCCCCGACATCGCGGCACAGGGTGAAGACAGAGTTGAGGTTGACCTGGATGACCTCGTTGAAATCGCTGTCCGGGAAGGCCTCGGGAGCGTGGCGACGCTGGATGCCCGCGCACGTCACCAGGATGCGGATCTCGTGTCCGTCGGCCAGGATCTTGGGTGTCAGGGCCGACACTTGCTCCGGGGAAGACAGCTCGGCCGTGTAGATCCACGCTTTGCGTCCGAGTTTCTCTACGGCGGTCTTTGTCTCTGTGTTGGAGCTGTCTCTCTGCCGTCGCGTTAGCTTCATTTACATGTTGTACGCAAGCATATATGGCACCGGGAAAGAAAGATCTAGGACGAGGGGAACTTACTTGGATGAAAATGATGTCGGCGCCTGCCTCGGCCAGACCTAGAGCTACGGCTTGGCCAATACCCCGCGTGCCGCCGGTGACGAGAGCCGTGTGGCCTTGGAGGGAAAAGAGGGAAGACATGGTGGTCTATTGAGAATAGACTGTGTTGAAGAGAAAAATAGAGGAGTGGATTGCAGGGGAAAGGAGTATACTAGTCAAGGAGAAGGAAGAAAAAAGACAGTGCAAGTGCACGGATATCTATTTCAATCCTGACAATGTGGAGTGACAGAGGGAGCTCTCTTCCTCTTGGCCCCACGATGATGCGCCGTGAGCGACTAACACCACGTAGATAGCCGATTATTTCCTATTCTAGTAACTTTCGGCGACAATTCACACGAGGGGTTCGTCTGCGTTTCCGTCATGGGATCGGAAAACTCCAGCAGCACAAGGCACCAGATTAATTTAAATCCTGTAAATTTCGGATAACAGGTCTTGAATTTTGAGAAGCGGGGAGAGAGACAAAAAAACCAATTTGAGATTCATTTTTCCTTTCGTTCGTAACTCACCCACGCAACTTCCCCCCCCTTCCCCCCTCAAATCATCCCACCTTTGCATCATCATCATCATCACCACATTGCCTCCCTTCCTCTCACCAGACATCATGGCCTCAGCTACACAAGTCAAAGCTTCTGTTCTCAACGGCATCAGGGATCTCCGTCTGGTACGCTGTGTGTGCTCACCCACGATTCTTTCAAGACATTTCTGACCCGGAGCAGCAAGACAGAGACCTCGCCGCACCGGCAAGCGATGAGATCCAAGTAGCCGTCCAGTCCACCGGCCTCTGTGGCTCAGACCTCCACTACTACAACCACTACCGTAACGGGGACATCATTGTGCGCGAACCCCTGACCCTAGGTCACGAGTCGAGCGGCACCGTCGTCTCCGTGGGCAGCAACGTTGCCCCGTCATCCTTCGCCCCCGGTGACCGCGTAGCCCTCGAAGTCGGTGTCCCCTGCGAGGAGTGCGAGTACTGTCTCAAGGGGCGCTATAACATCTGTCGATCTATGAGGTTCCGCAGCTCGGCCAAGGCGTTCCCTCATTTCCAGGGGACGCTACAGGAGCGCATCAATCATCCTGCCAAGTGGTGCCACAAGTAAGGACACACTCAGGGGGAGAGAGGATATCTGCGAGAGATGAAAGAGGCAGAGGTAAAAATATAGAGGCAGAGAAGATGGCTAACAGAAAGCAAAAACACCTAGGCTTCCCCCCTCTATTTCCCTCGATCTAGGTGCCCTGATCGAACCTCTCTCCGTGGCTATGCACGCCCGCGACCGTGCCAATCTCCCCGCCGACTCGACAGTTCTCGTCTTTGGCGCCGGCGCGGTCGGCCTTCTCGCCGGAGCAGTGTGCAAGGCTGCGGGTGCCAAGACGGTCGTCATCGCCGACATTCAAAAGGACCGCGTGGACTTCGCCGTGGCAAACGGCTTTGCTGACGCTGCCGTGGTGGTGCCCATGGGCCGTCCCCAGACTATCGAGGATAAGCTCGAGTATGCTCAGACTGTGGCCGACTCTATCAAGGCCACCAAGGTAAATGGGGAGCCTGTGGGCGAGCTAACAGCCGTGTATGAGTGTACTGGTGTCGAGACTTGTCTCCAGGCCTCCATCTATGTAAGTTCAGTCCCACCACTTCTCAACGATTGAGAGTCCTGAGAAAGGAAACAAAAAAGGCGCGCAGAAAGCTGACGCAGAAGAAAACAGTCTGCCAAGCCTGGAGGGAAGATCATGATTATCGGCATGGGAACGCCCATTCTCACGCTGCCCATGTCAGCTGCTGCCCTCCGCGAAGTCGATCTCGTGGGCGTCTTCCGCTACGCAAACACCTACGCCCCCGCCATCAAGATGCTTTCTGACCCACCTGCTGCCCTGCCCGATCTGACCAAGCTCGTCACCCAGAGGTTCAAGGGAATGGATAAGATTCATGATGCGTTTACCACGGCTGGACAGGTTAAGGATCATGATGGGAAGTTGGTTATCAAGGTGGTGGTTGACATGTCATAGTAGTAGTGGATAGAACTTTAGAATGTATCAATGACGAGAAGAAGATCAAAATATGTGTGCCAAATTCTACCGCTGCTACTGTATATCTCGATGAGGTCGGGTTCCACAACATTGATGTATATCTATTCGCATCCCTAGACTTCCTTTTTTTCTCGTCGTTGTACCTACTGCTTATCCGGGAATCCAAAGTTGATGCCAAACGGAGGATACACGTAACGCTTCAACTCCTTCTTCCTCGCCAGATCATTCGAGTAGTCATCCAGCACATTGAGGTCCGAGGTATCGAGGTCGATGATGTCCTTGTTGGCAATGATGCGGTCGGGGTTGACAGACTTGGCAAGCACAGTCTGACCACGAGAAACTACTAGGCGTTATTTTCTCATTCCCTTGTAAAGCATCATTGAAAATGACGAGGGCGGAACACTTACCGTGATAGCTCAGTAAAATCTGTACGGGAGTAGCACCCTTCTTCTCGGCCACCTTGACCACGGGCTCAGCCGTTTGCAGCGGGCTCCCTGTGCTTCCGAGTGGACTGTAAGCGACAATGTGGATGCCATTGGCCTTGCAGGTATCGACGATTTCGGTCTGGGGGAGGGCCGGGTGGTTCTCGATCTGGTTGATGGCTGGGACGACCTTGGCGACAGGGAGGAGTTCCTCGAGGTACTTTTGGCTGTACTGTTTCGATATTAGCACTTTTGGGTACAGCAGGGGCAGCAGATGGAGTATGCGTAAGAGAAAGACATGGAACATACGTTGCAGACACCGATTCCCCTGACCTTTCCCGTGGCAACCAGAGCCTCCATCTGTTTCCATGCTTCACGGTGATCCCATCCGTGAACAATGTCGCGCGAACCATCGGGTAGCTTGGGGAAACGATCGTCGTTGCCTTTCAACCCAGTCAGTCGGGTTGTCTCAAAACTCGTGCAGCTCTTCTGTCCAAACGAGGGGAAAACGATGGAACATACCCTCCGGGTTTAACAACAGAGGCCAGTGGACGAGGAACAAGTCGACATAGTCCAGCCCCAGAGCTTTGAGGCTCTTGTCCAGCCCTAGCTCGACGCGGGAGTTGTACGTGGCCCAGACCTTGGTCATGACGAAGACGTCCTCACGCTTGACGCCTGATGTAAACGCATCGACAAGACCCTGTCCCACCTCCTCCTCGTTTCCGTAGCAGTAGGCGCAGTCTATGAGTCTGTAGCCATTCTTGAGGGCGTGGGAGACGGCAGTCCTGACTTTTCCAGGCTCGCCCTGCCAGGTTCCTGTGGTTCCGCTGTCAGTCTTTGCAATTCATTCCTCTTCCTTTATTTTCCATTTCCCCGTTCCCTGTTGTCTTATCCGATTGCGCATACCTAGGCCAAAGGCTGGGATGTCGGCGCCATTGTTAAGCTTGAACGTCTTGTCGGCCATTGTGTAAGTGCTGTAGGTGAGATAATAGTACGTATATACCCAACGTTTGTGCAGTTGGGAAAGAGGAAAAAAGGAGGGTAGTGTAGATCTAGTAGCAGAATGAAAGAAAACAAAACAAGACATAACTTCTTAAATATTGATATCCTCCTGAGCTACCTACCCCGATCCCCTTACACACTCTCGGAACTCGGGCTAGGTACTGACGGGAAAATAGAAGCGGGGGGGGGGGGGGGGGCACGTCGATGACCAAGGAGAAATCACGCCGAACCAAGTCCCAAAGTGGAACATGGCCCCTCACCTGTGATCTTCGGCGCTACATGCCTGCTCTGGAAGACCTTGAGCTGACCTTAGATATACTCGGCCCTGTGCAGATGCTTTGTTGACACAAATGGAGAAAAGGCAATAGTGGTAATTGTTAGTACTGCGTGGCTGCTAGCATAGGGACGAGCCCAGAAAGTGTTCAGTCCAGTGTGGAGTGTTATATACCCAGGCCGAGTATCTCTTATTCGAAATATTAGGTCTCTATCAAGAATCTGTTGGAGCCTTGGGTAGAAGAAAGAAGAAAAACGAGAAGAAAGAATAAATTAACATCTAGAATGCCTTCTCCCTTACACAGCCAAGTCTTGATCCTCCTGCTGTTGGCCAATCCAGGCGGCAAAAAAAGGTTATACATACATGACGACAAGATATAGTCTCAAAGAAATATAAAACGATCGTTGTCTTCCCATGATATCTGGTTTCAGCATTATAGTAAACATGGAGTATCCCATGTCCACATTCCTCTCCTTTTACTCCGCATGTGTATCTTGTGTGTTTTGCCCGGTCTATCCAGAGACGAGGACCCAGAGTCTGAAAAATGAGTTAGCAACAGGCGCCAAGATTCGAAATAGAAGAAAAAGAGGAGAAAGAGGGAGTAAGGCGCTTTGTGTGAGTGACTGGCAGAGAGAAACATACAGAAAGAAAATCATCAAGACGCCAAACATCTTGGCAATGAGCCACCGGTTACTCGACACACGAGACCAGTACTTGAGCAGCTCCCTCTGCGCGCCGTCGACATTGTCAACGATGTCCTCGGTGTTGGCATCGATGCGCTGAATCATCTCGCTCTGCTCCGTCACCATGGTAGCCAGCTGGCCAAAGATGCTTCCGAGTTCAGAGATGGTGTTCTCAATGGCCTCAATGGCCTCACCTCTCTGCTGGATATAAGAATTGGAGGGAGCCTGAGCCTCTTCCATGAGGAGCATCTGCTGGTCACTCACGGGCTCAAGGGAGAGTGTGTCTCCGCCGCTTGCACCCCCCGCGCCTCTTCCGAGGGCTGGCGACGCCCTGTTAGGGGTGCCGTAGAGCGGAGAGGCGGACTGCTGGATCGTGGGCTGGGCATGCTGAGACACGGACGAGACGAAGTTCTCGGTGCGAGAACGCGATGCCTGGATGTTCTTAGTGCGCTCCTCGAGGACATCCTTGAAGTTGACTGACACGTCCGTCAGCTTGCCTTGCAGCATGTAGACAACGTTCTTGTTGTGCTCGCTCTCCTGGTCGGCACCGGGGCGCTGCTGCTGCCGCGTCAGGGCCTGCAGGCCTCCAATCTGTTGGTTCAGCGCCGACAGGTCCTGCTTGATGACAAAGGTGAGCTCGTTGATCTCGACTGGTCGATCGTCAAACATGGTTCGTCGCTTGGCCACTAGGGAAGGTGCCTCTCGTTAGTTCGTCTATTTGTGTGGAGAACAAAAGACACCATCGACTTCTCTGGTAGGCTTACACTGCGCCAGCTTCTCCAACTTGCCCATCGTTGCAGAGATCCCCCTTCCAATCTCGGCCGCCTGGCGAGCAAAGTCGGATCGTCGTGGCCGTCCATCCCCGTTGGCTGCCGCCTTTTGGGAGTCCGTTAAAAGCGAGCGCTTCTGCGCGCCCCCCTTGCCCGTGTTCTGTCGACGCTGGGCCTGCGCGAGCACCGACCGGAACTCGGACGTGCGATCTTGTATCGATGCGACTGCCATTATTGTGGTGTTGTGTGTGTGTGTGTGGGGTGTTCGAGGGAGACGAATGAGAGATGCGACCAGCGCTAATTATTCGGTATATTGAGAGGGAATTGAGGAGAGTATGGCTGCCGCAGATGTCGTCGTATGTAGGCGGCAACTGTGTCGGAATTCTCTGCTCCCCAAGGTCGATTCAAAGATGAGCGTCAAAGCAGAACAGTACAATCCAGGGGTGGTTGATGGGCAACGCGGGGTGGGAAAGGACACCTGGATGGGGGAAAACGAGAGATTGGTGGAATGGATCGGATCCCTGGCGTTGATTAGTCGTTTGTTATCGGTATCGTAGAGGTGAAGAGTCGGTTCGGTTGGCGGGTGGGTGATGTAGGGTGATGGTTGGGAAAGTCGAGATGCGGCTCAAAGGGGATGGATGATGGATGAGATCGCAAACGTGGTTCTTTCGGCCAACAGACATTAGGTATGTACTCGTACTCCGTATATGTTACATATGTAACCTGTACTCCGTAGCAGCCTAGCCTTAGCCTTCTTCCGGGCAGGGCCTAGCTACACTTCAGAGGAGTCCCTTGGAGTCTCATTACAGCGCAGGCCGTTTGGGATAAAATTGGAGCAGCCACATGTGGCGTCGCTGTATTATGCACCGCGGCGTTATTAGTATCCACTGTATTACAGGTATTACGAGGCAGACGCATGGTGATGATGGTAGCGCTTTAGACAGGAATGAGCTCATGTTGGGTTCTGTACAATATTATTGTTACATACTCGTGTAACCATTTCAATGCCCTTGTTAGTACAAGAAATACTATGAGTTGCCACTGTGCAATCGAGTGGAATAAAAACCACATTACGGGTATACGATATTTGATACATAAAGTATTACCCAAAGGCCATGAAATTGAGTAGATATATGTATTCTCCAATCCTTCTGTCTCTCGGGATGCCGGTAAATTGGGAAGCTGCGCCACGCTGTCACGCGACGCGCGCTGTTACCAAGTTGACGCTTTCGAGGGACAGGGAATGAGAATCCTTGCCACCTGCCCTGCCGCCCTCCTCAGACGATTACATCATGCTAACAAGGATGTAGCTCACTAAAGTACCTCATCCACGCAAGTCTGCTGGTAAAATACAGAGTACGTCACTGCCCCTGTTAAACCAGTTGCTCCAGTTGCCCCCCCCAAAATAACTAGCCAGGTAGCTCCTGCTGCATTTAGGAAATTATTTCTCAGAAGTGGTGGTGGTGGTAGTGGTGGTGCGTTACTCGTTAGTGGCCGCGTGCCCAAAGCCCAAAGATCATCTCTCGTCTCGATCTACCATCACCATTACCGTTCTGTGCCTTAATCGCCTCCTATTTTCCTGTGCGCGTCATACCTATTTTGCTCTTCCCTCCTTACCCCATTGCATCCCGTTATTGCTATCATTATCTGTCATTATTACGGAGTACTGCTCTGAGAGCTTGGTTTCTTCGTCTTTGCCGCTGTCTCCGGGCGGAAAACCAACCAGGTTTCGGCTCCAAGCGCTGATCCTGTCGCAAAGACACCCGGCTTCACATCTCCACATCCTCTTTGAACCGCCAACGAACTCTCTGTTCTATTTTTCTCGACAATCTAGAGGAGAAAGGGCTCACGTCCCTATGATCTTCCTTGCCATCGTCGCCACCGATTCTTCAAAATGTCTGGCCGAGGTCCCTCTGCGAGGTGAGCAGCACAAACCATTACCCGCCCTCCCCCCTTTGACCGCTACATAGCGCAGTGATGATACTGACAAGGCACATCTGAATGCAGTGGCTCTCCCGCTACGTCTACGTACCAGGTGAACGTGAACCGGACGAAGACGCGAAAATGGGTCGAGGCAAAGGTTCAGAATTACGATGGCGACGACTGGGGATCGCCAGAATCTGACGAGGACGAGCCTGAATCACCGCCTCCCGCCGCAACGGCCCAAGCTCCCCGACCTGCCGCGGCCCATCGCTTGCCCTCAGAGTCCCGAGTTCCTGGATCCGGCCGTGCAAGCCCCATTGTCGCATCGTCCACCTCGACTCGCACTTGGGATTCGGGTTCCAGGGTGCCCAGCATCTCCGAGAAAGTCACCCAACCGGCCCCCGACAACGTTGACCCGGTCAAGATCGACGCACCGCTGGCTCAGCAGGCTGGCTATGCTGACCAGAACGGGCCCGTGGCTGGTGCTGACGGCGGGTTTTCACAGAAGCAGCAAGATTCCATTCGCGCGTCTAGGCGAACGTCTAAGAGCCCCCAGCTCCCCGATGTCACTCGCATGTCTGGTTTCGGCCCCGACTTTTTTCTTGGTAACTCTGGTACCCAGAACAAGCCCGTCGGAAGTGGGTCTACGTTTCAGGACGAGTTGCCGCAGTCTTCTCCTACCATCCCGGCTAGTGACTCTCAGAAGACTGTGACCGAGTTGCAGAGTGCGCCTAGCTCTGGCGGAGATACCCGAGGCCAACGGATGCTGGCAGCTGATCCACGGAAACTCCCTGCGCTGAGGACACCCAGTCCACATGAACCTCGGACTGTGGCCCCTCCGGTCGAGCTCACCAAAGAGGGAGCTTCTGTGCCAGGTCCGTGGCAGTCTCTCAACCCAGACGTCACACCGACCGAGCCTCTTCAACCCAAGAAGCCCGAACAATCGCCCTCCTCCTACGAGCCCGAACCGCTGCAGAGGCAGACGACACTAGAGACCACCAATTCGTCCCCTCTTAAGGAGAGCGATGTTCTCAGCCAGGAGATCATGCGAACCTTGACCCCAGCCGGTCTTAGTGCCAGCGACACATCGGCGGGTAAGCGGACATCGCAGGGTGGCCTACCACCAGCCACGCACCGCGAGAGCAGCTACAGCTTAAGTGGCTACGATGACTACTGGGCAGATGCTGGCGAGACCTCTACGTTGCAGACGAGGCCCACTGGCGAATTTGGGAATGTACCTGAGAAAGCGCCCACTTCCACCAGTCCAAGGAGTCTAACGCCAGCGGTCGCTGAATCTTCAACCAGTCCGTCTGGAGGCCATGATCTGCGACGGAAATTCTCGTGGGAGGACGCGGGAGAAGAAGTCCGGCCTGCTAGGTCACCTGCCAAGTCACCAGTCTCAACTGCTCCGGCTCCCACTAGTGACACAGCACCTGTGGATCAGACCCTTGGTGTGACGTCCCCGGCCATCAATATTATCCCCGAGGGCCAACCACTTCCGGCACACAAAGAAGCCCATGAGGACCCGTCATCATCGCCAGCGATCCAGAATGATTCACTGTGGCAACCTCTTTCGATGAAGGAGTCAATCCCTGAACCGTCTTCTCCAGGATCGGAAACACGGGACAGGGACGTTCTGGCCTCGGGAGCTCAACTCTCGAGTCCAGCTTTGGCAGGCAGCGTCTCGCCAACGACGCCAACTCCCGAGTCCATCCCGCAGCATGGAGATGCTGCGGCCGACTTCAGTATTGCCGTCGAGGAGGAGGAAAAGATCATGTCGTTCCGCGATATCATGTTTCTGACGACACCAGCCGAGCGCATAGCCAAGTTTTCTGAGACACGCGATGCCTTTTGGCAGATGGAATCAGGCCTGCACGACTGGATCACCGCCATGAAAGACGAGTTCCCGGAACATGCCAATGCGGGGGGCTCATACTCGGGGTCAACACCGCCTCCCAACACTGCTGCGGCCTCGGGGTCTCCTGGAATGGGGCAGCAGTTTGCCGGAGGGCCCAACGGCCAAGGCGGTTCAGCTCGCTCACGTCTTGCCGGGTTCCCGATTCAGGCCGGGGCGGTTGCTGGCAATGCTTTCGGACACTCTGGTGGCCAGATTGGTACCAAGGGCAAAGAGTTCATGCAATCTGCTGGGAAGATGGGCAAGGGGCTCTTCAGCAAAGGCAGAAGCAAACTACGCGGAGACAAGGTATTTCACTGATGTTTTCTCCTCCCTAGCCCTTTACCACTTCCTCCTTCCTTGCTCGGAGCGGAGAGGATTATGTTTTGTTTGTTCTCTCCCCCTACATCGCCTACGATTACCCTTTGCCTTTGGGAGCAGAAGTGTCGGATGGAATGACCGATTAATGTATATCATTGGAAGCGGTGCTCCCCTTCATTCTTCTTCTTCTTCTTTTCCTTCTCCATGCCTTCGCTTTTTTTCTTGTCCCCTTTGTGCCTTGATGGTTGGTCCTTTCGAGGGGAGATTGTACGAGATAGGAATTCCATGATGCATTTTGCTCCCCCCCTATTCTCTTTATATGTTCTTTCCCTTCCCCTTCCACCATTATTACCATGGAGAACCTTTGTTGTTGACCCGTAAGGACTAAAAAATTTCTTGTTCTGGATGTTAATTATTTTCTGCATTATGACCAGGACGGCTCTCGCCCAAACGACAAAGCCCTCAAGCAGCAGCAGCAGGAGGAGGAGGAGCGAGAGCAAAAGACCAGTCGACGCAAGTCATGGGCCCTAAGTCTTGGCGATAAGCTGCGTACGACATCGAGCGGTGGTTTGTCCTCCCGTCGTTATTGTGTTGAACCTAGCGCATTGCTAACGCAGATGCAGGAAAATGATAATGACTATGACGTCTACCGTGACCGCGGTGGTGACCGCGATTACGACCCAACGACGGTGGCATGACAGCAAATAAAAGTACATATACACATATAAAAGCAATCGGGCCATGACAATAATTGCATTGGAGCGCGTCAGCACGGCTGTAGCTACAGAACCAACGGACAAATCAACGTGGCGGACGGATACGAGGGTTAATATTACCGGGCGACCGGGGTATGTCTCCGCCGTCGCAACCATTGACCGACCGGGCACAGTAAGGCACATAGATACCCACCCACCACCCCGATCCCACACCAAAACGCGCACCACTATTACTACAACCACCACGACCACCGTCAGCCTCCTCCACATCTCTATCCCCATGGGGCCAGCAGTAGCAGGAGCAGCAAGCAACGCATTGACAACGACGACGAAGGCGATATCCATTACGCGGACTGCAGCTGCTGACAGCACCGCCACAGAGGCAGCAGCCACCATCACGATGTCGTCGCAGCAGCAGCAACAGCAGTCGTCTCAGCCCCAGCGCATCACGTCGTTTCGTGGTCTCCCGCCCATCCAGAGGAGCACGTCATTTGGACTCCCGAAATTCGATACACTCACCGAAAAAAACGAATTGAATGTGGTGACACAACAATGCAGCGCGAGCCCCACGGTTCTTCAACCAACGGCCGAGGAGGTAGAATCTTTTGGATCACCGACCTCGGCTGGCAGCACCGAACAGACAAATAGATCCTCGCTGGTGCAAGAAGATAACCGTTTGGGGGGCAACAACAACGTCTATCACTACCAGCAGCAGCCGCCGCAGCAGCCGCAGCAGCAGCAGCAGTGCCAGCAACCATCTCTACAAGGACAACAATCACTACAGCCGCAACAACTGCAGCAGCTACAGACCACGATACCTCGCCATATTGCCCTGCCGTCGGGATGGCAACTCGAGGAGAGCCATTTGGCTGAACCGCTCCACCAGGCCAGGAGACGTCCTGGCACAGGAAACACCAACTCATCCGTATCGCCACCAAGTGGTTACGACTACGACAAAGAGACTGGGTTTCCCATCTCGACATCGCCCGTCGCACCTCCCCCGCAACCGATAGCGTGGCCAACGCCGAATGGGAACTCTGCTACCCCCGGACGACACCTCGAACCTCTACGATCGGCGCCTTCAGGTCACCAGCAACCTCTGGGGGCACGAGCACACACACAACTACCTGTCGCCACAGATCACCAAGAAGACATACATGAGAGGAAAAAAGTATCTGGTATTTTCCGTGGTTTAGGTAACCGCATTAGAGCTAGCTCGAGCGAACGCCGACCGGAACCTCCACCTGTTACTGCTGCTGGTGTGCCCGCTCATGCAAAGAAACAGTCCATCTTCCTCGCCGCTTCTACCAAGGCAGCCTCTGTGCAGCACCGGTTCATACCAGGCGGTGCCCCGCCGTCCCCCTGGGCGGAACAAGGCAGACAGCGCCCTGGCAGTGCAGGGGAGTTTAGACATGCGAAGAGACGCTTGTCCGGCTTCACGGACAAAGCAACAGGTTGGGCTGGCAAATTCGGCAGCGGCGGCGGCGGGCCCCAGAAATCCGGGACGCCGCGGTCGTCGTCTGGTAGTGGCCAGGTGTCACCGGAACCGTCCTCTGTGTTCCACCACGCGCGAGGCAAGTCGTCTAGCTCTCTCGATATGGTGCCGCCGCCGGCGATGACGAATGATGGCGGCGGTCCAGAGTCTTCGGAATTGAGAGGTAGGGGTAGGAGACGGAGCTCTCTGGCGGGCATCATCACCAACTTTACGCGGGAGAAATCATCATCTAGAGCGAGGCAGGACGACCAAGGCGAACAACAATCAGCTGTTGATATATCACCCCCTCCTGTCGTTTTGGACCCTCCCGTGCAGCCACAGGCACAAACACTACGACCGTCGCCTCTTGGGCAACAACAGTACACACCGGCTGGCCACGAATCACCCTCCCCTCAGCCTATGGGTCCTGCTGGGCCTGTGGCTTCAGAACACAACAGGAGTGCCGTCGGCGTCGCAAGCCTTATGCCCAATCCCTGCTTCACACGTGCGGCCTCCGTATCTCCATCGCCGACATTCGAGGCTGCGCGTCCCGAGCAACAGCTGCACCAGGATCAGAAGCAGCAAATGCAGCAGCAACAGGGACCCCAAGCAGGTGCGGGTGGCGAAGCCGACAGTCTTCTATCCTCACCTTCCCCTGCCCTATCTCGCATGACGCAGGACACTTCGTCTCCCCCGCCTCCATTGAACTTCAACGGGTCCTCGTCCCCGTCAAAGATTGGCTCATCAGTCAGCTCGTCGCCTAACCAAAGCCAGATTTGTGCTTCGCAGGTCAACCCTCCATCTGTGCTCCCCCTTGCGCCTTACCAGCGGCAGCAAGTGCAGCAACAGGCATACCCTCCCAATGGCAATGTTGCTCCACCTCTGCAACCAGCTGGAGCAAGTTCGCGCTTAGAATGGCAGAGTGATCAAAATGCATGGCTGCAACCAAACCAACAGCCCATGAATTCTCCCCGGCTACAGGGACAGAGCCAGGGTCAACCTATGGTCCAGCCACAGGTTTATCAACCGTACAACCCCGCCTATGCGGTATCGCAGACACGACCTTCCCCGCAGCACCCGCAGCCTGCCCAGTATGTCCAGCTCTATTATTATCAGGCACCAGGAACAGGCCAAGGGCCTCCTTCTACCCCCGGGACTGCCGCACAAGGCCATCTCACACCAGAGACTTCATCGCGGTTGAAAGGTTGGCGGAATCGCCTGTCTAGTCAGTGGGCACCTAATATAAAGGCCGACAAGGATAAGCCTGCCGAACCGCAGCCTGCGCTGTCGAACCACTCCAAAAATCGTCTGTCCAGTGACAAGTTTCTAAGTGCTCTGAAGAGACCGTCCAAGCAAGCGGACGAGTCGGCGGGATCCGCCGCGACTCCAGCTCCCCAACAGCCAGCCCAACAGCACCAGCCAGCCCACCACCATCCCCATTGGATGATGCCTGGCCATCGCCCTCAGCAGGCCTCGCTACCCCAAGCGCATCAGATGCCTCCACCGCAACACGGAATGGCCTCGGGACAGTATCACCAACCTCAACCGCAGCCGCAGCCACAGCCACAGCAGCAGTTATACGGTGCTCTAGGAGGACACGTGCCGGTGCAAGGATCGTATCTACCTCAATGGCAGGCGACACCGGCGCCGGTCTGGTCGGCACAGCAAGTCCAGCCCCAGATGCATCACCCCCAACCGCTGTATCGACCGTCGCAGTGGCAGATGCAGCAGCAGGTGCAGCAACAGGCGTATTACCAGCAGCAAATGCAGCAGCAGCCTGTGCCGTACCAGCAGGGGCAGTCACAACAAGCCCAACAGCAACCAAACCAGCAGCCGGCACAACATGGAGAGCAGCAGCATCGGGTGCTTCCTAAGCGAGTGCCTGTCCCTCAGGTCCACAATGCAGCTCCCACTACCTCTCTGCCGGAGGAGACTCGTGAAACAGTGCCGAACTTTTCCCAGCGGCAGCAGCGGCAGCAGCAGCAGCGGCAGCGGCAGCAGCAGGTCGAGAAGTCCAATGGTGCCGTTTCCAGTGCTCCTGCTCCAGAGGGTTCCAACTCCATGGTATCGAGCTCTCTCCAGAAGGAACAGCAGGATGAGATGTCTAGAGCCACCACTGCAAAGGACACGCAATCCCCGTCTATGTCATCACCGTCAATTTCGAGCCGCCAAGGCGAAACATCCAACCCGGGTTTGGTATCACCCAAGACTGATGATGGCGACAACGTCTCCCCCACGAAGAAGGACAATGGCGACCCAGATGATACGAATGTCCCGGAGAAGGGAAAGGACAAAGCCAGGGTCCTGAGCGTTGATGTGACGGCCAAGACGCCAGACCATGATGATCTGTACGATGCAACGCCGCGATTGCCACAGGGTGCAGCAGACACTGGCAAGGCTAGGAATGATGCAGCTATGTCATCGTCTGACAGCGACAGTGACGGCGACGACGACATGGCTCGTTCTGCTACTGCTGCCGGTATCCTTACCGCTTCCAGTGTCGCTTCTCAGATGGAGCAGAAGCCGAAACCGGAGTACAGCAAGCCTGAATCGTCAACGGGTCAATACGAACTCGAGGATACGGCTGGAGCGCGCATGCGCACGATGCGTCTTAGTAGTCAGGAGGAGAAGATCTATTACGATCCTGATGCTGACAAGCCCAAAATGTCGGCGACAAGTTATCCAGGTCAAGAGTGGAATCCGTATAGCGATGCAGAATTTACATATTGGGACGATTGAGATTTCATTCTCTTCCTATCCTTTTATTTTCCTTTCCATGACTTATTTACCCATAGATTGGTCTGGTATTGTATGCCTTTGGTCGGCTTGTCGTTGTTTTTTGCCAAGCGAATATAGTATGCACGCTTCCCCATCATATATTCCGACTTTATGACAACTATATTTTATTTTTGTAAGATCTTGAAAATATTACAATAACCCGAAGCAATATTAGTTCCAAGATTAATCATGTGATTTGACATTAAACGTATGACGTGACCCATGTCTCGGGTCACCTGACAACCAGCACTATCGACTCCGTTCGTCTGTAAAAGTGTATGAGTACGAGTACCTATATACGTACATTTACAGCTTTTCGCGCTGGTACGAGGCTATGAGGTAATAAATGAGCAGCCAAGTTGCTGTAAACACTTAGCGCACCCTGTTCTCGTACCTGGCGGGAGCACCAACGCCAAACCTAATCAGGTAATCATCTGCGTCTCCACACCATCATACGCGGCGCCGTATTGGATCACCTGCCTTTTGCCTAGTTGCACCTGCGGCTTTGCCTGCACCTGCTGGCAAACTCACCTGCACAAACTTGGGAGGGGAAGGCGTACCACATTACTCGTATAGGTACGCACCTTCCTTGACTCGGGGTCTGGGTCTGTCGTGCTTGCCGCCCGTCGCGGGGACCGCCACCAAAACCAAACCAAACTTTGGTCTGTTTGCCTCTTCTTCTTCTTCCCTCTCATTCTCTGAGAGTCATCAATCAATCGAAACGAAGGGGGCAAAAAAAAAAAAATCACTCCCCCCTTTCGACGGTAATTTCTCCCGTGCACGCGCTGAAACAAGCGACAAGGCAGAACAACTCCCTCGGCGGATTGATTGTCCCAATAACGAAGTCCAGCCACACACCACACACCACCCCTTCATTTGGGCGTCGATAAGCCTGCGGGCGATACATACACAAACGCACACCAGAATCATCGACCTGACGATAACTGAATATATTCCCGCTTCCAGGGCTGGTCCCAGCTGAATGGCCCTTGCCAGTCCCATATCGTCAATATGGATTCGTACGTTTTTAATCCCCCATCACCCTGTCTCAGACATCCAAATGTCTCGACAGCCATAAGCCAGCCCTCTCCATCTCTCCCCTTGGTTTCCCTAGCATCATCGTCATTTTTGACTCGCCCCAATCTCATTGCCCGTCCTACCAACCGAGAACTCGTTGCGTGGCAGTGCGGCGGATACGACTTTCAAATTCAATCCTACACCTCCCACAATGTTCGCGCACACGAAACTGCCCTGCGCCGCAGCAATATAGAGTCGACGGGCATGACTGTAACTAACGTTTTGCACAGCTTCGTCCACGTCGCCGGCTGGGCTCATTACCAGTCAGCACGACATGCGAGATCCATGCCTTCTGTCGCCGTCACCGCCAGCCCTTCTTCTCCACCGATATCAAACACCCTCGACCACAGGGCCGTCGCCAAGGCCCCGTCAATGACGACCCTACCCAAGGGCCGCAGGATTTCTGCCGTCAGCGACTTCAACGACGACGACGAAATGACGACCCTACCAGACCCCCGCAGCCGAGCCATGTCTCCGGCTCTCTCCCCCAACAACCCTTCAAGGGAGCCCGACATTAACGAAGAGGTGACAGCGCTCAGCACGAAGCTCATCAACGCCATCAACCACCAGACCTATCTAGACGATACACTATCAGCCACGCGTCACGAATTAGAGGCCGCCAAGAGCCGCATACGGGAACTCGAGAGCCGTAACGCTTCCCAGCGGGAGATGCTTTCAGGCGATGTCTGGGTTCGTAGGAGTACCATCGAGTCGAACAAGAAGGCATGGCAGGCCAAGGTGGACGAGGAGAAGGCTAAGCGTCAGGAGATGGAGAGAGCCAAGAAGAAGATCGAGCAGGAGCTGGAGAACCTAACGACCGCCCTGTTCGAGGAAGCCAACCGAATGGTGATTCGTGCCAAGGAGGAGGCCCAGGCCGAACATGACGCCCTCAACCGCAAGAACGACCAGCTCAAAAACCAGCTGGCCGAGTCAGAGAGCCTCCTCATGTCTCAGCAGCAGCAACTATCCGAGCTCAAGCTCGTCGTTGAGACAATGGCCTCGGACCGCGACGATCAGACGACGACGAACCCGACGGCCCCTTCGTCCCCAGGCATCACCAGATTCGATGGTCGCGACGAAGACGGCTTCCTCTCACCCTTTGTCTCCCCGACCTCGGCCAACGTCGAAGCCATACCACCCGCCAATCCCACAAGCTTCCATCACCTCATCCAACCCGTATTGCGAAACGATCTTGCTGCGTACGACGACTTCCTCGCCCTCGCCAGGCTCTCTCGCGGCCTCCCGGGGAGCCGGGTCTCGTCGGGATCGTTGACGGCAGGCCTCAGCCTTCCTTCCCTGGGTCTCACCAACAGCACCCAGTCCGCCACACACGCCTCCAACGGATCGACTGGTTCGCTCGGCGTTGGCCAGGCCACGACACACAGTGCACCGCAGTCACCCAACAGGCCTGCGTCGGTATACAGCGCGAGCTCACCGTCATCGACGGCAGCCCTGACGAGCCTCAAGGACACCAAGTTCTTCAAGCGTGTCCTGACGGAAGACATTGAGCCGACACTACGCCTGGACGCTGCCCCGGGTCTCTCGTGGCTGGCCCGTCGGTCTGTGATCAACTCGATGACTGATGGGTCGTTTGTCGTCGACCCGCTGGTGGTGCACTCGGGCAACTCTTTCCTCATGAACATTACCAAGCCGCAGTACAATACCTGCTCTCTGTGCGGCGAGTCCAGGAAAGAGCCCCAGTACCTGCGCAACCACCGCTTCCGCACGAGCGAACAGGATTCGGTCCAGAGGTACCCCCTGTGCGGATACTGTCTCGGGCGAGTACGGTCGACGTGCGACTTCCTTAGCTTTCTGCGTATGGTCAAGGATGGTCATTGGCGCGCAGAGGACGACGACCAGGAGAGGGCGGCGTGGGAGGAGAGCGTGCGTCTGCGCGAGCAAATGTTCTGGGCACGCATCGGAGGCGGTGTGGTGCCCTGCAGTCAGGCCCATGCGGCGGTGGCGGATACCGACCGGTGCCCTCGACCTAGTCAAGAGGAACCAGTACGCGAACCAGTCAAGCTCCAGCTACCACATGAGCCGTCGACGGAACAGGGTCACGGCGCAGCCGACGTTGTCGTGTCCGAGCCCGAGGCAGAAGAGCAGGCTGTGCCATCGGCGGATGTTGATTCATCGTTACCACCCCCGACGGAAGAGAAGGCGACGGAAGAGAAGGCGACGGAAGAGCAGCAGTCTCCCGTTGTGCTTCCCATTATAGAGAAGCCATCTACGCCTCCTGCACAGACGGGTGATGAGACGTCGCCACCGGTCTGATGTGGTCTCGTTCTGCCTAACGACAGTGACCCTCATCCGGACCTTACCAGTACCCGCAATGGGACCTGCGACTATGATGGCACCACCACCTTCTGCCCTTGGTCAATGGCACTCCATCTTCATTCTTATCACGGAAGATTTTGTTTTGTTTTGTTTCCATCCTTTTAATTCTGGTCTCTTCTTTCCTTCTCTCTTCTTTCTTTGTTTGATTAACCTATTTGGACTCGGGAACGGAATCGGGAATAAGCAAATCGACAAAACATAGGGATAATAACTTGATGGAAATGCGGCGTTTCTTGCATTGGACTTGGGTCTTTATTTCTTTTCTCTTTTGTTCTCCTGGGTTCTTCTTTTTCCTACGATGTGTATGCAACTGGTTTCCTTTTTAATATATAGATTACGACATTAATTCATCAATATTAGATATATATCATGTCTGATGCATGTGTCTTACCTTCCATGGTGAGTGGAAAGAACGGGGTCCCGTCATACTCTATTTGTATTCTGGTGTTTGATGTTGGTCTGTCCCGTCTGACAGAGACGACGACAGCATGTCAGTCTAGGCACAGCCGATATCATGACGTACGTGCGAAGGTGCCTGATTTAGCTAGGATTCGGGGTTGGTCTCGAGGAGGTGCACGCAAAAGCCGTCATCGGACGGGACCACGGCACAACACATGCTCCTCTAGCAGAGATGTCCCACCCATTCAAGCGTCTATTCCCATCTACCGACGAAGCAACAGGGTGAGCCGGGAAACCCTGAGCTGCCTCCCATACCCTCGCCTAGACATTGACGACCATACGCTCGACAGCAACCCGCCCGCGCCAGGTGAGCCTGCCGTTGGCGCTTTGGCCGCGATAGCGGCACCGTCAAGACGCTGCCGAGCATGACGAACCCTCTCGGGCATCTACTCAACCGTGGAGAAGAAGGTGCGCGCCTCGTCCGTCCCCGCGTCGACCACGACTCCGCATATCGCGCCGGCATCGGGATCCACGGGTCGCTCGGGGCGATGCAGCGACACGCCGCGCGTGACGAGGAGCGAAGGCTGCAGGCACCGCTACAATGCTACACCGGGCGGCCACGCCACTGGAGGCGAAAGTTTACGACCGAGTCGTCTGTCCCGCCATCTGGAAGAGTGCGGCCCCATCTATGGCGTGATGCATCAAGGTTGGGATTCTGCCAAAAGAAAACAATGAGACCGATTGAATAGTTTGAAAGAAGTTTTTTGGAAATGAGAATATATTAAGATAGATTTATAAATAAATAAATAAATAAATAAAAAGCCAGCCCCCAGCTGCAGAAGGTAGTAACTCGCAAGTTCAAGGCTTTTTCCTTTTTTGCCATTGTATTTACTGATATGTGAGTCGCACCTTTTCTTTTTTTTTTCTTTCGTTCCATGACACTCAATTCGTACGTATTTGTACCGTCACTTCATTTTTAGTCTCACGTCGATCAAGGGTGATTGCATGACCCGAATATGAAAGGAACAAGTAATACGCAGAAGGTGCCTTTATACTTTATCACATGCAGCGACCGCATGGCAGGTACATGCATGTGCAAATAGTGACAGCTAACGACCCCGATGTCGACCTCAACATACGATATATGAGCGACGTCGCCACCCAATACACACGGGGCAATCTCACGAGCAGCTCGTCCAGCAGCCAGCCGATGACGTGGATTATGACTGCGAGAGCACCGGGCGTCCTAAAGCGAGCGAGAGAGAGGAAGATATATATATATATATATATATATATATACAGAGAGAGAGAGAGAGAGAGAGAGAGAGAGAGAGAGAGAGAGACGAGAGAGACGAGAAGCAGCTCGGCCCCGCCTAATAAAAATGCGACTAGACCTAACCAAGCCAGCTTATTGAGCCAGCCTATCTTGATCGGCTCCATCCTCGATCCTCTTTCTTGGGTCCCGGCACGCCAACGCTCCCAGACTTGGACTGGCACGGCCGCAGACGACGCATATCCCGTAACTCTCACAAACATCATCATCCTCCTCCTCCTCCTCCTCCTCCGCCGCAGTATTCCTGCCTCTTCCTGACGAGGAACACAGGCACGGCGTCGAGCGGTCAAGACGGAGAGGGACGGTGACGGAGCAACCACTTGGTATCCTTCGAAATGCCAAGGAAGTGCGGCTGGAATGGGGCCACTAGAAGAATCTGGGGCCCAAATGTACTCGTACCCGTACATGTAACACTCGGTATACTCACATGTATTTACCGCCGACTCTTCTCACCGTCCTTGACTCCTTGCTGAGCTGAACCAGTGAACCTAGCGTCACGCGGCCCCAAATTGAAGACTGCACAGCCACTCACATTTTTTTTCTCAATACTAAACTGAAGTATTATTACGGAGTAATATTCGTACTTACATGTATGATGTATATATTATATATGCATGCAAGGTTCAATAGACATGAATGGCGCGTTCTCCAAGCTGCGCGAGGACCGCCCACTTCGCTTGTTTATCTCTTCCCCCCCCTCCCCCAAAGTCCCCGAGCCCGACAAAACACGCACGGGAGTGACTGACGAAGCCTCCAAGGATCAATCGAACTCTCCCTCATCGTCCCCCAAAACCATGCCAACAGCAGAGTACAGGCTTCAGAAGACGCAGTAGAGAAGACCATCGACGCCATGGCCGATCACCACTCTTCCGACCACGCCAACGGGGCCGGCCGTGACCACGAGTCGACGCCGTTGCTCCCCAGCCACAACAACGCCGGTGGCGTCATACCCATCTCTCACGAGGGGGAGAGCGGCAGGCATGGCTTCCACGCTCGGCTCTTCCTCTCGATCATGTGGCGGAGCTCCTGTACGGCATCGAAGCTGGTCAACGTGCTCTGGCCGTTCGTCCCGCTCGCCATCATACTCCACTTCTTGGACGGCCTCGAGCTCTGGAAGTTCGTCGCGGCTTACATCGCCGTCATCCCGTCGGCCAACCTCGTCGGCTTCGCCGGCCAGGAGTTTGCGCGCAAGATGCCCAAGGTGGCCGGTATCCTGCTCGAGACGACCTTTGGATCCATCATCGAGATCATCCTCTTTGTCAGCCTCATCGTCAAGCACAACTCGCACGTGGGCAACGGTGACGAGGGCAATCTCATCCCCATCATCCAGGCGGCCATCCTCGGCAGCATACTGACCAACCTCCTCCTCTGCCTCGGCCTGTGCTTCTTCTTCGGCGGCCTCCGATACGAGAGCCAGTCGTTCCACGCCGTCGTGTCCGAGTCTGCGACCGGCCTCCTCCTCGTCGCCGCATTCGGCCTCCTCATCCCGAGCGCCTACTACTCGGCTCTCAAGTCGGAGACCGTCCCGGACCTGTCGTCCGGGCTCCATGTCCTGCACGAAAGCTTCACCGAGGCCAAGCTGCAGGAGCACGTCCTGCGGATCAGCCAGGCCACGTCAATCGCCCTCATCTTCGCCTTCTTTCTCTACCTCTGGTACCAGGGTAGCAGCCACCACAGCATCTTTGACGAGGTCATCGAGATGGACGAGCATGGTGATGCCGATCATGAAGACGACATGCAGAAACCAAAGTTCACCATGACCGAGGCCATCGTCGCCATCGTCGCCTCCTTGGCCATCGTCACTGTGCTGCTGGTGATGCTCGTTGACGGAATCGAGCACGTCGTCGAGAGCGGCGTTCCCGACCAGTTCCTCGGTCTCATCCTGCTCCCGCTCGTGGAGAAGGGTGCGGAACATCTGACAGCCATCGATGAGGCTTGGGGTATGTGGCATCCTTTTCCAGCTACCCATTTCATACAACGCGTCTCTCTTTCTTTTCCTGACTAACCTTGTTTTTCTTTTCTTCTTTCTTTTTCTCTTTTGCCTTTGCAGATGGCGTCATCAACGTGTCCCTCTATCACTGTCTTGCGCCTTCGATCCAGACCGCGCTCCTGAACGCGCCGCTTGTCGTGCTTGTCGGATGGGCTCTCGGAAAGCCGATGGATCTCAACTTTGAGATCTTCATGATTGTCCTGCTGGTCCTGTCCATCATAGTTGTCGGAAACTTCCTCCGCGACGGAGAATCCAACTGGCTAGAGGGAGCGTTGCTTGTGGTGAGGACCTGTCTGCCCCCCCCCCCCCCCCCCCCCGCACTGAATCAGACTTGGTCGGACTGACGGCAGTAGGTTATATACGCAATCGTTGCCATTGCATGCTGGCACTACCCCAACCCCGATGTCGCTACCTCCAACGGCTTGGATGCGCATGAGATGGTCAACGTCACGATGAGCCTCGAAACAGCCCAGCAGCTCCAGCAGCTGCTGAAGGTGCAGGCACTACAACTGCAGTAGGTGATTCGGTGATTCGGTGATGTCAGAGCCAGAATCTCGCAGCAACCGCCTTCCCACATTGGGAAGCGGAAGACGGCATACAAAAGGAGGGATTACGGTGAAGATTGATCTATTCAACCAGCGATGCACGCGAGCGTGGGGTTGAGAAAATAAAGGGCGTGCCATGTATCAGATGATGGATGAAGGTCACGCACGGTTGGGGGAACCCTACACGCAAAGCGTCATACTGTAGCTCCCGTCGTAGCTTATTATAATCTGTAGATTATTATTAGGTTTCTTGTTTTTTTTAGGCTAGCCCCAGGGGCCATTGATCAGGTGACTGTAGCCACAGATTACTCATTAGAAGATGCAAATCTTGAATAAACTTCCACGTATAAACGCCATAAATCATCATTAGTAGATATCACATCTTTTGGATACAAGTAGGTTATAATGACTTATAGGGCCCGGGTTGTTGTATTCTTAGCCTTGGTGAGAGGAACCCCACAATGGCAATGTGGGACTCCGACTGTCATAGCAGACTATGAGTATACGTATCCGCACGTTATGACATGTATTGATGCGGACCTGATCACGTGACAAAAAAGGTCCAACTTGGACGAGAAATCAAAACAGCAACAACTTGACACGCAACAACAGATATCCCACCTTTCAGTGAATCTGACCGTGTTTTGGTGTCTTGTTTCATTCCCGTCATCTCGCTACCCGCTTGCCGTGTCGACTTGGGCGCACCTGTGGCTCAATCCGCCATGAACATCTCTGCTTCAGACCGACCACCCGGGAGAGGTGAAAGCATGACAGCTAGATCAATCTACGGATCAGCCGAATCATCATCACGAACAGCCTCAGGGCACTGCACTTCACCACTACAGGTAAATGAGGCTACGGGACCGTAGCTGGCAATCGTCAGGAAGCACGACCAGAGCGATGGAGGCGATGGAAAGCAGCAAGAACAGCATCGTTCTCAAGGTATCGACGTCTTCATCATATGCTGCCATGATTCTTATACAGGGAAACACATGTACATGTAATCTGTACCTGTACTCCGTACGAGTAAGTCATAAGACTAGAAAGGAGGTATTCAAGGGGTAATCCTCCCACCAGCAGAATGGTCGAGCGGTGGGCCCCGCATAGAAGCCTGTGCCCGGGATTAGCTGAAACTCGTACAGTGGGTAATTTGCAACGCTCCTTGCTCTATGGAGTAAATATTCATACTATCATTACTACGTAGTACGGCATTGCATGTACTTGTATATGCTGTACAGCGGCCGTCTGCGTCGGGTCGCGTGTTCGGGCTGTCGACTGTAACGCGCACCCCCACAATTGAAGGCACAAGACACGAAGGAGCAAGGACTCAAGGTTAGGATTTAAGTCTCGCAGAACCTTACCCCAAACATGCGATACTCCTCATCGAAACCTCCACCTTCAATGCCATCCACCATCCATCATCCATCACTGTCTATCAGGTTTCCGAGGAAGAGTCCCGGTACCACTTCCTTCTGGAGATAAAAGGAAGCAAGACTTCATTCAGCCTTGGTACAGTTCAGAACAGACCCCAGACCCCAAACCCCCTCAGCAGCCTTTCTGGTCTTCCACCGTTTACCATATCATCTCCGTGACCCATGTCTACATATATATCTACTCGTGTTATATAGCCTTAGCCTTGGCTTGCCCCCCGTGTCCTCAGGTCGGTAACTCGTGAAACCTATCATGTATCACACGATGGACGACGGCGCTCTGCCTGTACCTGAAATGTCCCGCAGCAGAGCATACCCAGGTAAAGAAGATGCGTGCCGGGAAAAGAAAGGATACAAGATAAATATGCCACGCCTTCTCTCGGTGATCCTCGTTCCAGCCTGTCATCCTCTCAACCATCGACAACTTCATTTCTACCCTTCATCTTCTCTGCAGCCGGTTCTGCCTCTTCGTTTTCTCTAATATTCTTCTTCTTCTTCTTCTTTGCAGCCGGTCCTGCCTCTCTGTCGGTTCGCCAGTCATTTCTGTACAATCTTCACCCATCGCAATCCTTTGATCAGATACGCTTTTTTTTCCCTCTTCATTTTATTCCTACAAACCGTTCACCATGCGTTACGCCGGTTCCATCGCCCTGGTCCTTGCCAGCATTTCATCCATCAGCAGTGCGGGTAAAGCTCACCCCCCCCCGAAAATGCCAATACAGTATTATTGATGGCATTGGATCACGTGGCCTCCAACAGGTTCGAGCCATGTAGACTGACAATGTACAATAGTTCCCCTCAAGTCGCGCCAGCAAAACGCCTGCTTCGTCGTTGGCAACACGGCGCTGCCCGCCGAGGTGGAGGACTCGGTCGCAGCCATACAATCGTCCATAACGTGCGGGAGTGATACGACCATCGAAAACGTGCCGGACGTGACATCGGGGTCTGTGTCCTTCAGCGACATCGACTTCTCTCGGTCCAACAAGACCCCGCTGCAGTTTGCCCTCGACACCTTCGCCACCGCCGACGACCCGGCCGACACCGACCTCGCCACCCTCCAGGATCAGCTCAACGTCTACCTCGCCACCGAGGCCGGTCTGCGCAGCATCGACGGAAGCCTCGCCATCAAGGTGCCCAAGTTCTTCCTGGAGATGCAGGTCAGCAGGGTCCAGGTTGCTCAGGTATGTTTATCACCTTCCCCCGTCGCCTCCCCCCCCATCGACCCCCGTCTTTCTGCAATTTAATCAATGTCCGTGTCCGTGTGCGTGTGTGGGAGAGAGAGAGAGAATGAGGAGCAAGCCCAGCCACTTTTTTTTTTTTTTCTTTTTTCGTTAGTGTACAAAAAAAAACATTTTGAAGTTGTTGCTAACCTGCCGAACTCGTCTAGGGAAACCCGCCAACTGCTGCGGGTCTGCAGGTTGATCATCTCAGGGACAAGGTCCTCAAGAACGCAGCTAGCGAAGACCAGGACTTGCTTGACCAGGTCACACAGCTGGCGGCTCAGACCTAGAGTGATTGAGGTGTCGAGGCGACTTCAGTTTGGGGGGGAGGTCTCGTTTTCCATGGCTGCGGTGCTGGCCAGCAGCCTCTGTGTCAAGCCTCCTCCGACGCAGGTTCTTCCTCTGCATAGCAGTATGAGCTATAGTAGCGGCCCTCCCGACCATATTCACTCTGAACGCCTGGTCTCACCCAACTGTCCCAGTCAGCACTATGTGAGACACGGGAAACAGGGCTTGCAGATGGAGGGAGAGGCTTCTAGGGGATGTAGCTTTAGCAAATCATGCTGAATATAGCAATCCGTGTATCGGTACGCGCTAGGTATCGGGTCGTTGCACTGTCGTATCGTCGCAACGCTGTCGTGGACCTATCTGCTCCTGTGAACGCTTGACGAAGCTACGAGACCGTGAGGATCTGCTTGCAGCTCTTGGCTAGACTGTTCTCGGCTCTGATTTCCACAGCCCACGCGCATTTTCAGCTCTCGACTTGAGATCAGATCACACGTGTTCTTCCCGTGCTTGGCCCTGTTAGCCTTCCACCCTGAACTGCGGCCCTTGTGTCCTCTGCACTCTACGCCAGGGCATACGATATATAACCTGTATCATTACTGACTTCTTGCACATACGACCATAGCTAGTGGAGAATACGGGGTCCCGTCCGCTCCCCCAGAGTCAAGCCGCTRAGCGGTGGATTAGTAGTTGGGTCGGTGACGACCAGCGAATACCCGCTGTTGTATGTTTCTTTTTGCTTTTTTGAATGTATATCCTATCCACATGATGTACACTATATAGTCTTCATTCACGTCTCAGCTTATCACATACGACCATAGCCAGTGGAGAATACGGGTCCCGTCAAGCTCTGTTCTGGAGTTTGATGTCCGCCTCTTTCGGCGGCATTTGCCTCCAAAAATGGCGGCTCGACCGCCATAATTGGCGGGAATCAAACCCCCGCCGTTCTCCACATCCCACCGTTTTTAAGTGATAGAAACGGTACAGAGACGTGAAGATACCGTTTTAAAATCACGTGCTCGGTATTAGGCCACGTCAGCACTGTCGCAGATCCGCGGTTTTGAAGACGCTAGACGACTGTCCGCCCTGGAAAAACGTCGGTATACACGTACCACGCATCCCTATTTTCACAGGCGCAGATGCACACCTGTTCGAATTGAAGAAAACTGAGGATCTCTCCTGGAAAGAGATAAATCGAGAGTTCAACACACGAAATTTCGCGGACGTACGCAGCCGTGGGAAAGGATTCTGTGTGTCATGTATAACTTCATTGCATTCGATGTCCGTATACAGTTCTGCATAGATTGTAGAGCTTTTTGGCCTGCGTAAATGCCCAACTCCATGTGGATATAAGTTTCCCGGCGGTCACTGTTCTAGTGTATGATTTATTTTCCCAGCCATAGTACGTGATTAGTTACTAATCAGATCCGAGAGGTGATTCCCGATCGTGGTGGCGATACGGGCTCCTGCAACGTCCTTGCAGAGAAACAAGGTCCCTGATCAGCTCCTGGCTACATATGTTCAGTCAACGGGCGTCTCTTGATCGATAAAGTGGCCGGGCTAGACGTGTGGACATTGCCGCCATCTACAGCGAGTGCTACGTTATCCAGTAACTTTTACGTATAGAGCTTGATTCTGGCAGTGTGAGACGTCTACAATGGCCGGCGACGAGGGCCTTCATCAAGACTGTAAGTCGAATGGGCAAAAACGGCGATGGTGTGCTTATGGGACCACCCACGGGCACAGCCTCGAATTTGGCGCTGCCCCCAGCCACCCGGCCGAATCCCACTGCCATTCCGACTGCGATAACTCTTCTCAGGTTCCCTACGAAGACTAGCCGCACTAGACAATGAGCTTTTATCATCAACTCAGTACTCACCATCCAAAGTAGACGATGTCGGGAAGCAAGAGGGAGGATCCAATATCAATAACGGCGAACCTAGCTCAGCTACCTCGGGCTTGCCATGGATCGATAACTATTACGCGTGCGGGGCCGGATCAAAGTCGCGCGAGAGCACGGAGCTCAGTGCAGTCCACCACAAACGCTAGTTGAGAGTACTGGCACTGGTCTAGCGTTGGCAACGGTTGGTTGAAGCGTGGAGTGGCCGGTTGACGCTGACAACGATTGAAGGTTAATTTGAGAGAGAGCTGTGGTGACGACCAATCTGTTCGAAACACTACTTCGAGCCTATCTTGGTTGGGGTTAAAGCCAGCGTGGCAGAGGGCGAGCCATGGTAAAGGAAGCCTCGGTCTACCGGGCACTTTAAGGGAACGGAGAGCCTCTCCTGCCAGGAGATACATCAGGAGTTTGTTAAACAGTCTCCCAGACACTCTAAAGACTCACGCCAGAGGCACTACAGCACTTGACTGAAGTCCCGAAACGGGAGTTATGAAAACAGGCCTGTATCCCACATAGACATTCAACACATTTAGAAATCTGCAGGCCTTTTGTTCAGGGACGAAAGCAGGGATTAGACAATTAAATCCCATCGTGCTTAAGCCTGCTGATGTTCTGTCTCGTGGAGTCTTGACTCCAGTTCGATATCACGAAATCGCCGTGTCTTGCTGAGCCACCGCCTACCCTCTTTGGTCACCGCCTGCCCTTCTTGGTCACCGTATGCTTTCCTTGACCACCGCTTACCATTCTGGAACACTCCCTCCAGGACACCGCCTGCCCTCTTGGGACCGCCCGCTTCGGCATGGAAGCAATGCCACAAATCCGAATCTTGACTTCAAACTTTAAGCGTCACCGTATGCATAGCTCCTCCCTCTTCGGCCACTCCTACAAAAGTGGCTGGAAATGGCTGTTGCAGTCTGCCATCTGTCGTCCAGAATGGGGCCATGCCCATGTCCGCATTGTTCCTTCTTCTGTTCCATAGCTTAAGACTCTACGGGTGCTTTGCGCACGAGCAAGGCGTTGCGACACATCATGGCCTTCACGCATATTCACTTCTCCAATGATACGTACAGCTTCCCACCGCCTCACTTTGGACAATGCCTCACCTATTTCCTCCATAGGTGGTTTGCGTGGCAGTAGATTGCGTAACCTGCCTCGTAGCCTACATAAAATCACCTTCATCGTCTAACTTTGCCTCAACCGCTTCAATGAGGTGTTTCCATGCCGGCACGTCCATTGAGTCCATTGTGAATGTCTGATAACTAGGTGCTTGCTGAATGGTAGAAAATGGTGAGGCAGTCTCAGGGACTGCCGACTAAGCCAATTGTTGTGGGCTAGATCCACCATAGATTCTGCCAGATACAACGCTCTGAGTATCTATGCCTGCGCCGACGTACGGCCCGTGACAGGGACCCTCGTAGATTGTAAAAGAAAACAGCAATCGCTGTTAGAATTTAAGATGGCAGTTATCACGGATATCCAGCAATAACGATTTGCCGTTGGCAAAACAAACTGCGTGGCTTCAGGATGTTTCGAACTTCGATTGTTTAATGATATGACTCAAACAAAGGGTTAAAAGGACGCGCGCATCATGTGCGGTAATTGTGATTTCCGTACCGGGGAACAATGTGCCTCTCCGTGGGAATTCCTGGCAGACGCAATGATCTGATTGAAGGGAGGGTCTCGCTGCTCCTCTTTATGGGATGGGATGCATGCTGATTTCTTGCGTGGTATTTGTAGGCCCGGGGCTGGTTGGGAGAAGTTCCGGGCTCAGCCACACATGATGTGATGGCGATCTTAAGTCCTCTAGCCATGACACCATGGCCCAGTACTTCTCGGGACGACCGTGTGCCGCGGGCGGAAACCTGCCTGCCGGTTTAAAACCTGTGTCCCTACTTCCGGGTATAAAGCCACGTACCTGAACACAGCCTTGCTAGGATCCGCGGACATGGTCCTTGGCCTCCAAGTTGGCGTTCCAAGATGTCGTGAAAAGTGCTTCCTCCTGGACTTGCAGTATTTGAGATCTTTTACTGTACCTAAGAAATCGTCAAATGACTTTCGCTCATAGCCCTCCGGACGAATGAAAGTGGCCAGGGTGGTATGGGCCGGAAAAGGACTGACGGGACTTTATAAAGTCTAGCTTGGTTCAATAAATCTCGTCGCACCAGTGTGCTAATGTTCAACGCCTCGACCAAGGGCCAGGGCTGTTCCTTGACGGGTTTCCCGGAGCCTCTTTCGTCGGGTACGCGCCTACAAGTGTCCTTTGCAGGTTAATTAATGACGTGAACTCAGCTAGGAACACCACTTTGGCTCACCCACACAGGACCGAGAACTACGGCGCTTGCGCCCCGCTCGCCCCTTGGAGCATGGAGGTGGTGGAGTTGAGAATGCAGCGCCGAATTGGCCGGGTTCGTGGGCCACGAGGTTATCGCACGACAAGGTGAATCAAGTAGTACGAACCAATGTTTTACAGACATGCAGATTCCATCGGCACGATCCCGTGTCCACCTGCTTCTTTCGTCCGGGGCGTGTGTGTGATGCAATCTCGCCATCGTGCTTCGCCCGCCTGCTTCCTAGAAGACTGGAAGTCATTATTTGGATGTCACATCCCAGGCGACTAACCATCCCTGGGGGTGGCCCGTATGCTGTAGGGCAGATCAATGGCGACGTGCCGTACTACCAACCACGTACTCCAGAACGAGAACCAGATGCCTGTTTGGGAACCCGATAGCGCGTCGTTGGTTGGCGGCGTGGCAGACTCGATCCACAAGCCTCCCGACGCCACCATCACACCTTACAGCGTAGGCCTTCGAGCGTCTCGCCTTGGCAATCTGACACCCTGCAAAAGAGGGTGTGCTGTGGAGAGAAAGAAGGCGTGCCACCTTCGACACGGGGGGGGGGAGGGGGTGAGCTACCATAGCCTAAAATCAAGGTTGCAGAGGCGGTACTAAGATGGCCCCCATCCCTGTTGCGCCAGGTGGGGTTGAAGAATTTGTCGCAAAAGCCTCCTACATCGCGAAAGGTGCAATCCCTGATCCCGAAAAAAGCTCCCGTTCGACGACGCCTCGTGTTTCGTTAGTAAGTCGACCCGAGCTCGATTTGACGGGCGTCCCTTTGAATGTTGGAGTGGCACTGGGCGGCGGGGGCGTGAGTCGGCCGAGGGCATTGATAATGTCGAAGACTGCAGCCTAGATGGCATCGTCGGGTGATTTGCTGACAATGCGAGAGACCAGAGGTTAGAATTTGTCGAGTTTTAGCATGCCTTCCTAGAGACGCTGTCGTATAGATAGTAATTTGACTGCCATGTTGGAAGTTCTATCGGGGGAAGGGAGGCTGAATGCTGCCGGAGAGCCGACTAGAGCTAATAGAAGACTCACGACATTCTCCTGCTACGGGTTGCCGGCTTCTTTACTCAATGTCTTGCGGGATGAGTCGAGCATGGAGCCGAGGGGGCGTGTTAAAATGATGTCGCGGTCCCTTTATGAAAGTCCCATATTGATGCCTCCGCACGGGTATGCGACGATTTGCTTGGCGTTGTGTTCAGGGAATGGAGGGAAGACGGAAGAGCGAAAGAAACACGACAGACGCGCCAAGTCACGTGTCCGCTTTGCTGTCGGGCCCGCACCTGTCTGACAAAACAGCCGATCGCTGTTATCCAAGGGCCACGCCGCTGCCTATCAACCAATCCCAGCGGACCAGAAAAAAGATACCCCACGCGGTGGCACAGCTCTACAGCCAATAAGGCGCACGGGTATTTCGGACCTCTATGACAGGATGCTCCAGATAACCCCGCCTCTTTCGGGCCCAGTCCTAGCCTCGAGTGTACCGTTAAACGCACCTCAAGTCCAAGTGGATGTCATCGTCTTGATACCAACAGTCCAACATGTACGAGTGCGAGACCTATACCGCCGCCTTTCACCACAGAAAGCATCTCGAGGGCCACATGGGCGACCATGACCACTGGCCGGAGTGCGAGACTTGCCCGCGTACCTTTGGTACTCAGCGTGCCTGCGATCAACATATGGACGACACAGACCACTGGGCCCCGCTCTTCGATTGCGAGACTTGCACGAAGGACTTTGGCTCTCAAAACGCTACAAACCAACACATGACGGCTGTTGGCCACTGGGCGCCTAAGTTTTCCTGCGAAATCTGCTCGAAAAAGTTCTTACTCGCGACAGTGCAAATTCGAATCAAGTAGATTTGAATGAATTCTCCCCGGTTGCTCCCCTGTAGATTTGGGGTTTCCCGGGGGGTAGATTTGATTTTCCAACCGCCGGGGTCAACGGCACCTTATTGGATTGAGCCCCTGGAGTGGCAGGGGTCAACGGAGCGCTTGCGCGCGTCGACGCGAACGCATACTGCACGATGTAAGTACGTGTTAAGTACGTGGTAATTTCTTCAAGCGGCATCCGTTCTGTAGCCGACAGCGACCTCGTCGTTAATACTGGAATCGCCGCCACGGAAAGGGTAACACAATGGATCCGTTTGTCTTGTTACCTGCGTACCGGATCGTGGTATGCCGCATCTGCGGCTTTGCGTGCGTTGCTGATGAGGCGCGGGCGCACCTGACGGGTCGGCATCGGGGTATACAACCAAACGACCGACGGAGCATTCTGGAGGCCATACAGAAGACTCCCAATATTCTGCGCAACCAATCCGACATTGACGAGCTGATCTATCCGGACCCTACCGACGATCCGATTCCGGTTTGAGATACATCAGATGTGACGTCGTCTACCGTCATCCTGACCTGTATGCCGCAGACGATGGTTCAACCATCGCATGTGTGGGGCCACCAAACCCGTCCCGCGCTAGTGCAGACGTGCGTAGGATCGCATGTATTCTTTACGCGTAGATCGCATGAACTTTCCACGGGAAAGAAGCACAAAGCTTGGATAGATCGTCTCCTTACATTACAGCCTACGCCAGGTTGTAATAGTGTACGGTAGATTGGGACGGCTATTTCTAGCCACCCGCCTTGTTCGGTAAATTCATTCAGGAAACCCGCGACACCCATTTCGGGAATGACGGTATATAGATAGAGCCGCATTTATCACAACAAAAGGCCCCTTCGATTGGCTTCCCGAGCGCGGCAATTGGTGGCATATCGCTCGGTACAGTCCATGTCGTTAGGTCATCGCGTGTTTTGACTAACGTAGGGTACGCGCCAAGGTCTCTTAGAATCCGCTGCCGCTGTGTGTCCGAAAGCTCCTTATGCTTCCTCCGTAGATGGGCACCTGCCTCGCCTGCAACGCAGCTATACTGGCACGTCTGGCAGATTGGGAATGGGATTCTCTTACTTGGGACGAATAGTTCCATTGTTGCTGCTGCTGTAGTTGTTGATGATGCTGACCGGCGGTGAGACATGACTCCAGGTCCAAAGAAAGCAGTTGATTATGTAAGCCGGCCCATCAAGACCCCCCCCCACCCCCAAGCTTCCTAAAGCGGTAATCAGAAGAACAGCAGCGCTACACGTAAAGAATGATTTCAGTAGCTGCGATTGTAACCTGGTGTAGGCTGCGGTGTGATGAATCGATCCATCCACGTCTCATGGACTTTGGCCGTAGACGATTTATGCGATCCTACGCACATCTGCACTAGCGCGGGTTGGATTTGGCGGGCCTCACACATGCGATGGTTCAACCATCGGCTGCCGCATACCGGTCAGCTTACATGAAGGGCGACTGCCGAAACTAGGGTTATACAGTTCGGGCTAGTGGCCATTTAATCGTTCAATCTACCCGTGCTACCTCTTGGGAGTCTCGTGTGAGCTGCTTGTCACGCATGAAAGGCCATGCCGCATATGGTTGTGGAAGAGAAGAAAGGGAAGAGAGAGGGAACGATGTGGACGTGGACACTGCCGGCCACATTCTGGACGGCGGGGCGAAATCAGGGGGTAGCAGAAAGGGGTGGGATACACATCAAGCTTTAAGAAGGTAGGGAGTGGCGTGTTAAGCATCCGCATATAGGAAAATACTTTCAAGCCACCAGAGCTGAGCCGAGTAGCGGTCAAGTATATGCGGAAAGGGTACGGGGTTTCTGATAGCTGCTTTGAGCGAGTGACGTCTGACGGACGGCAGACATTGTGCATTTGGCTCCAAAGGGTGGGTGGGGCCATGTATTGGAAAGGTATCTCATCATTAGATGGGGCAGGGAAAGAAGATAATATGAAGCTTCACCAATACTCATAATGTACCAACGCGTCTCTGACCCAGCTCGGAATGTTTGGCAGAGGAGGGGGGCATGGATTGCATGGTCGCATGGAGAAAGCCTGGGATAAGTATTGAGGAGCTGGGTCCAAGGTTGCCTCGGCCGAACCACGGCTGTCTAAGGCGCTATTCGCCACACGAGATAATCACATTAGTTGGTACAGTCATAACCTCTCTTATCACATACCACGACACTGGAAGAGGGAGCAGCCAGAGATACGTCAAAAGTAACCCTCAAAAGTCGTGATCACAGCGGGGTAGAAGTGGACTTGGTATTGAATACAGGAGGCCATGAATAGAGGCCAAGTCTGCAGATGACGAGGACTCAAGCGCCGAGTCTCTGCAAAGCATTATTAATACGACTAGCCCGCAGCACCATCTAGACATGATGTCTTGAGAGCCAAACTACGAGGCTCTTGCGACTCAGATTCCCTACCTAGAAGGCATAGTAGTAAGCTGGCCCAATTGTCCTCATATTTCGCTCTATCTCTTACAAATTCTCTTGCAAATTCTCCCTCAGCCTCCCTGCAGGTGAGGACTCCACTGAATCACGACGAGCGTGAGAGCCTCGAAGAGCGCGGGGATGTAGTCGGCGAGCGGGCCGGCTTCGGTGACGGCGGGAACACTAATGAACCAGCGCTGTCGGCCCCATGTCCAAGACGAGTTGGAGGATATGTGCGTACATAAGCATCCGACGGCGGCGAATGTGATAGGGAATGGTCACTTGCTAAAAGCGGTTAAGATGGAGAGCAAATGCCAGCTGAAGGCCTCTCGGCGGTCCATTCACAACCTGATAATGTCGTCACCTTGACAGCAAGCATGAGGCAAGGGCCATCACTCATCACTTAAAAGGTAATTCAACACTAACCAGGCCCGGTCCGTGATTTGACACGTCACTTAAACGGAGGCGATCGTGCGGGCAGCTGTCCAAACGCGGCCTACGATCGACACACGTTACTACATGGCGATCCCGCGCGCAGCCGTTTCCACCCACACCGGATTCCTCCCCGTACAAGCTCTGGAATGGAGCCCTCAGAAAAGGAATATCCGAATTGACGTCAACGTGGGTAAAGGGGACTATGCGAGACGTCAGAGTGCAGCGGGCAAGACGGAGTGGGGAACCGCTCCAGTCAGCAGTCGTAATCCGAGACATTATACGGAGTGCTAAAAGGTATATATATATTCGACTATCGCGTCCCTTCTGCTGTCTCCTGAACCTCATCCTCTTCTGCAAACTACATCCCGAGAGGTACTACTACTTCCTTAGACTATTCCACACAATCGTCACTATGGGAGGCGCTGGCGCTACTTCCGAGGCCATCAGCAAAAGCGGCGTTGTCGCTAGCATGCTCGAAAACCTCAATGGGCTCCATGGGCCGCCTTATAAGGTACGTATAGAAGCGACTTCTCTCTGCTCAGCCATACGCTAAACATATGGCAGCCTACTGGAAACAATGACAGGGATTCCCAGGTCTTGCGCGAGCGTCTGTTCGCTTACAACAAGACGCGCTTCTTCGAAGAGTTCTCGTACCCGTACCAGAGGAGTCAAACCCGTCCTGAACGTTGGGACCGAAAAACCGAGGTCATCGGAAAGGATGGGTTTGTCAGCTTCCCCGTGGAAGAATCGAACAACGTTCGCTGGTATGTCGAAAACCGCATTCTTCAAGGATCGGATCTTCCTGAAGCAGAGAAGAACAACTTTAAGGCCGACGTCGGGGACATGGTTCAATCTCTCATCATGACGGATGGCTACGGTTGGCAGGCAGATGAGTTTGTGCGCACGTATAGCGATTTAAGGGTTGAGGGCATGATCATCTGGGACGTGATCAGCGCGCCAGACCCTTCGGGAAACAATCCAACCTCTCAGCGTCTCATGGTCTTGCATTATGTAGGCGCTGGGTACTATCGACGGAAGTAAGATCTATTTCATAGATTAATAACTATTCACAAGGATTGTTCCCGAAGTCTCCTGTCCATCTGAACTGTGATCAACAGCCGGTACTTGCATGGCGATAGTCGCGACATCATGGGCACAATACGTGCGAGATTACAAGAGCATGGGATCATTTACAGAAACTGAGCCCGCAACTCTTTACATAGAATAGTGCCAGATACTCGATCGTCTCACATGAAAGCATTCGGCAACGAAGCTAATCGACTGCGATACTGCTACGATTCTGGGGGTTTTCCGGGCTTGAGGATTTGTGGTATGCGCTATTGCAACGAGGAGGCAAATTGGAACGGCCGAAATGGCTACAAGACCTTAGAGCAACCCGACCGGTAATGCCGCTCACGCGAACCACTGACATGTTAGTACTCGAGAACGACAACCCCTCGATGCCCTCGCGAAGAGTTTGGGGAGAAACTATGATATTCAGGTGACGGAAAAGCGGATGATTTTGTGATTATACTACGTCCGCCTAACGCTGACCTTGGAGATTGTGGAGGTAGCTGATAAATTAAACAATAATGCTATCCTCGTCTGCGGAAGAGTAAATGTCATTGTCCAGTGGATAGTCCCGCATGTCATACTGTCTTAGAATACCCGCCAGCACCTCATCCTCGGCTTTCTCTGCGTCCCATATGTCTCCTCGGTAAGGCCTGGCAGGACGGGGATCATGCTTGGTCTGGATAATGTCCGAAATCGTGCTGGTGAACTGCCTGCAAGGGGCCTCGTGCTCGGGCTCGTCCCAGTGCTGCTCAAAGCGGGCGATGGCGTCGCCCAGCGGCATCGCGCAGGGCAGCTCCGACATGCGCCCGCCCCCGAGGATGACGGTCGCAAACTTGCGCTCGGCACAAGGGCTGCCCATGGCCGAGTCAAAGGCATCATACAGGTCCAGCAGCATCTGCCCACAGTCCGGCCTGACCCAGTGCGATATGGAGGTGAGGTGGGACCTCTCCATCTCGCTGACGCAGCATCTGTGGCTCCAGTACTTGCGGGCGTTCGCGTGCAGGTCTCTGCCCGCCATCTCGGCCAGCATCTCGGGGTTCGCTGCCAGCTCGTCAGAGGCCGACAGCAGCCGCAGGTCCATCAGGGACCCCACGGTCCAGGAGGAGACGTCGCAGACGAGAGAGGAGACCTCGCGTCCCAGGTGCCGGTACAGATGTTTGATGGTGTCCTCCCTCGACAGAGTGCTGACAATGTTGAACAGGCAAGACGGAGATGTCTCGCCGGACTCGACGTGGAGGCGGAACGAGACGGAGATCTCCCGCGGCAGGCTCTGGGCCTTTGCGAAGGCGCCGTTCGCGACGCAGACATGCTCCAGCTGCTGCCTCGTGATGGACGCGAACCGCCAGGCCACCCGGTCCAGCTGCTCCTCCAGCCGCAGGTGGATCTCGGTGACGACGCCCACCCCGGCCGCCGCGCCGCCGCGCATGGCGTGCAGCAGGTCCCTGTGAGACTTGTCGCTGACGTCCAGGACCGTGCCGTCCCAGAGGACGACGCGGCCGCCGATGACGGACTGGCAGCCGAGGCCGAGCTGGCGCGTCAGCAGGACGTCCCAGCCGGCCGTGAGGAAGTGTCCGCCGACGCCGACGCCGAAGCAGTCGCCGTGGGGGACCACCTTCTTGTACCGGGCCAGGGTGTGGATCGTCTGGCCGAGGATGCCGCCGGGCTCGGCGTAGAGGACGCCATTCTCGGCCCTCTGCCTCGTCATGGATGACATGTCCAGCATGATGTCGGGGCAGGTGCCGCCGTTGAAGTAGCCGTGGCCGCCGCTCTTAACCGAGACGGACAGGGCGTAGAGGCCGAAGTCGCTGATGAGTTTGAGTGATCTAGATACGTCCCGCTTACACTGTGGGGAGATGACAACAGCGGGGACGACGGCGGCCTTGTTGTGCATCATCGCTTCGGGAGGACAGGTACGCCCGTCCGTCGCCTGGGCCGGGATGCCACCCTCCCGGAGGCAGTTCAGCAGAGCGGCGAAGCCAATGGACCGGTGGGCAGCATCCCGATCACTCTGGGGCTCATCGTTCTTGGGAGAAGTGGGGATTCCGTGACGGCCTATCTGCGTATCGCTCGTTTTGCTCATGGCTGTCCTGGGTGGATGACGAGAAGGGCCGCTTGCCTCGCCATCTCACCCTATCCAGCGCGAGGCTTAAGTTCTTCTCGACGAGCGTGCGGATATGGACATGGGCCTACGGGTGCCCGGGTCCCGGAACTGGCCCTCGTCCGTCGAGCGGCGGGCTGATGTGGCCTTCTGCCGGAGCATGCTGTTGGAGTTCGGACGCTTGTGGACATCGAGACCGGCGAGTTGATGCTCTTGGAGATGGCGCATTTCATGCGTGGCCGGCCAGTGTTCTTCCTTCGGGACTTTTCACCATCAGAGGTGCCCTGGGTACTACGCTGTCGCCCATATCTACTTGCTATCTTGCCCATGGAACTGGAAGCGCGCAAGACAGCGTCCTGAAGAGGCATGTGCCGTGGGGTATAAAGTGGCGTCGGGCAGTCCAGACGCACCGACCGCCATGCAGCAGCCATGGGGGTCAGCGCAGCCTTGAGTCAGCATCTGGGCTCCGCCGTGGCCGCCGCCAGGACCCGGCAGGCGGAGTCGAAGCAGCGCGACGAGGCCTGGGGTGCCTTCTGGTCCATGATGTTCCGAAGCACGTCATAGCACAGGGCGGTCAAGCGCCTCGGCCTGACGCCGGCAATCGTCGGCTTCGACCTGCACCTGGTGGCGGCGGACGATAGGCAGACGGACAAGGTCGTCGCCCTGGTCTTCCCAGGCTCCACCCTCGTGCCTGACGGGCTCAGGGACGCGCTGGTCCGGTGCCTGCGTCCGCACGTGGAGCGGAAGCGCGACGAGTTCTTCTTTGCCGGCTGGAACCTGACGCTCAACATCTCGTGCCTCCGAGGCGGCGACAGGATCCTCATCAGCCGGCCCCACCTACTCTTCTCTCTTAGCGACGCACTCGATGGCTCTCTGCGGACCGCGTACCATGTGTACGGCCGCGGACCCGAGCTGGGGAGCATACGGGGCGGCCACGTCGGCGGACTCTGCGACGGCCGCGGGATCCCGCGCACGCTGGGAGAGGTCAAGGACATCTGCTCCGTCCTCCTGCCCGGGACCGGCGGCCGGCACCGGTACCACAGGTTCCAGCGGCCGGGATGTCCGTCGGTGCGGGAGATGACGGCAAGCCACGACGGGCACGAGATGGGGCCGTGATGCTTCCGGAGGTCGCCTCCAAGCAGCGGAGGATACCGCGATAGCAGCAGCTTCACGCGACCGCGGCCATCGTCCTCATCATCCACGGGGCGATTGGACATGTCAAGGGTCCACAACAGGACGTCTGGTGATCGGCAGCAGCGGTGACGGCCAGCCGTGGCAGTCAACATCTGGACGCGGAACGGCCCAGTCGCTCTCTGCCTTGTGGATATTTGAAGGGACCGCAGGTCGACGGCCGGCGAGGCCTGCGTACGATCCGCCAGACGATGCAGAACGACATGTACCCGGCAGAGATCTACGGCATGGTGACCGAGGCAGGGTTGCCGGCAAGGCACCTGGTCGGGTACGGAACGACTGTGTGCCCCTCGTGTCGCGGTGGCATACAGGGGCCCATCTGCCTGGAGAGAGTGCCGGCGCCACCTCGCAGCCCAGCCCCAGAGCAGGACAGCAGCCCCTCGGCGACGGGCCCTACGGAAGTCCACGCCCACCCCGAGCCCCCCGAGACCCCGCAGAGCCGCCCGGCCCGTTCGGCGGTGCTGCGACGGCGGGGCTTGTTCACCTGCGACCGGGGTTGCAAGAAGACCTTCTGTCGGAGAGAGCATCTCAGACGGCACAATACGACGTGTGTGGTAGCCCTCCCCCTCCCTCAGGCGGCCAAGCAAGGCTGACAGTACCCAGCGTCCACGGCGAGAAGCCCCTCTATGTCTGTGAATTCTGCGGCAAGCGGATGGCCCGCCAGGACAACCTGTACACGCATCGGCGGCTCCACACGAACCGTACCGGCAAGATCCAGTTCGTGCCCGAGGCAGTGGATGTGATCGCTGGGGAGGACGAGCAGCGGCGCGAGGCCGTAGACAGGGAAGACCGGCGGACTAAAGTGGACGACGGGGTATCGGCAGTCATGGCAGGGTTCGGCGTCGTGTAGCTATTTTCTGCAACGTCATACGAAGCTCACATACAGCTGTTCATCTTGATTGTGCAGGGCTGCTCTCGTCGTAGGAGTGCACGTAGCGATTTCTAGACGCCCGGGGTGCATCCGTCCGCCAAGGCTGGCACACCAACGTCGCTACATCGTTGCATCACCGTTGGCGCTACTACGTGGGGGGCCCCACGATGCAACCCTCGAGAAAGGGACGCCCATCCACCACGAGCGCCAAGTCAAGCACCAGTCGATCTCGAGGTCTTGGCGGAGGCACTACGGGAGCCAAGGTGGATCTCCACCCCATCCACGACAGAACGCTAAACCAGACCCCTATAGATATCCGGGCTCTAGCCCAGGAATATCCATTTTTGGCCCCCCGCTAGTAAGGCCACTGTAGGACTGAAGGCCCCTATCCCCAAACGCTAAGCAAGCCACCAGCCGATCCCCCAGACGTCGCCTGCATGGGACTCCACAGGCCCCGGTCTGCAGTCCAGGGGCCACCCAAGCCATGCTCCAAGCACATCCAGCAGAGGGGTGTCTTTCACCTTGGACCTTGGTATTGGCACGCCACGCCTCATCTACGGCGGCCGCTGACACCCGGACACGTCCAGAATCAGAATCAGGCGCGACCTCAATCATCCAATTCAGCGTCCGTGGCCAGAACCGGCGCCCGGCAATGGCTCGCCGACGGCCAGAATGAGCGGAATCTGGCGTCGGCAACAGAAATGGCCCCAGTCGGCCATCGTAGAGGTGCTTAGAAATTCACGCCCCTGAAGTCCACGCCCCTGGAAAGTTCCAGCCAGGCTCGCGGGTGAAAATTAACACCGCGGTTTAGACCAACGATCACAGCACGACGAGACTCTTTTGAATGAAAGTTGACCAAAGGATTTCTCGAAGCTCGCTGAGTATATCTGTTCCTTCTGATCAGTTTTCAATAACTTAAGGCTCCTTTAGAAGCAAAGAAGGCTGGATGTCGTTCGCCGGGGTGTATTTTCCCTCTTGACAGGGCGCTGGCGTGCTGGACGGGGGCGGGTGCCAGGCAGGCAGTCCCTGGCTTGGTGATCTGCTGGCCGCTCTGCCTACGGGCATGTGCCACTACGGTAGCCACCCAGGCGTGTTGCAGCGGGATCACAGGAAAGTGCTGCATTGAACGGATTGGAAGTGGCGTGGACAACTCCCCAGCAAACGACGCTCAACCCCATCGACGGGTCTGTCCCTCCAATTTCCCATCCCGCCTCGTGCACGGGGGCGCCGACGGATAGCCGGTTTCCCTCAAACAATGGGTGCAAGGCTGCGAAAACTGACACCCGAGCTCTGCAAGCCGAGACGTCCCTTTTACCACCTTTCAGTATGGCACAGGGATTCTGATGGGTGTCTCTGTGTAGGGTAGGTCCCACAGCCACAAATGGCCGCCAGGTCGCGTGGAGGGCATCCTTTCAGCGCAAACTGCTCCCCCGCATAGCCCATGTGCCGCAAGCCCACACTCGATGCCCCCCATCCCATCGTATCGGTCGGCATGGAGTTGGAGTTATGCCCTGTTCAGCGGGAGGCAACCCTTTGTTATAGTGCTTCCACCTAGATATAAAACAGTGACAGTCGTGGTTTGACGCTCTCCAAGACGGCAACGTGGACATGCTCACTCGTGGTGTGCCTGCCTGCAGACCATCGCATCCCCTCGGCTGGTACTGCTATCCTTCACAGTCAAGAATGGCCGATCCGCAAGTCCTGCACGGTGGAGCTAGAAGTCTCGGCGCAGATCCACGTCATGCCCTTCCCCACCGGGCTGTCCGGTGATGCCCAGCCCGAGTTCACTTGCCGCCGACGCCACCAGTTCCCCAGAGTCGGCCATGTCGCTTTGCCGAGGGTGTCCCTGGACAGTGGCGGGCCGGGCCAGGCCAGCCGCCTGTTGACGAGCGTGTCGGTAAAGGTCTCAGCCACGGATTGCGGCAATGGCGCCCCGGTCGGTCTCACAGACCAGCCCTGGAAGTCAAAGGCACCTGACCGCGATCCTCCCGCTGTACCCATCGTACCCAGCAAGGGCGACTTCTCTTGGTCTCGCATCCGCTTCCGACCATAAGTTTACGAAGGCCACGGTGGGCTGGATTGCATTGTGGGATGAGCGAATGCGTACAGGCGCTCACATGGACATTGGCAGCGCCACGGACAACAATGGTAGGGGGAGGCGGGTTGCCCTGCACCTGACAGTACACGACACGCGGGAGGATGGCTCCGATGTGGTAGTGAGAAGGTTTATGACCGCCCCGATAGCCGTGATAGGAGGCTCAGGTCCTGTTCCGTCTGGCAGGCGCCGGGATCCACCCTCCGAGTCGATACGGCAGGTGACTTCGAGCGAGTCGGAACGCTCTGGCAAGGATGCCTTCATACCGCGCCGATCCGCCCCGTCGTCGGTCTCATTTGCAGCCTCCTGCGCATACGCACGGCAAAGACATGGTGAAGAGGCTCAACAGGAGGGCTTTCCGGGGAGAGTTCATGTAGCACATAGTTATGGGATAGTCTAGCTTGCTGTTCTAGGGTCCGTCCTCAATCGCCATTACCTCTGACAGAGAATTGAAATGGAAGTGCTGCGCCATCTCGTCCTCCAGCTCCCACGTAGGGCAGCCAGGAGAATGAAGGTGTGGTAGAATTGCTGGATGCGACGGAAGATCAACAACCCGTGAGCATTGAGCTGCGCCCCCCAGCGCGTCGTAGCCCGTCGTAGTATAGTCTGGTGGAAGCGACTCAATCTAGTCGCAGAACTGGAATGAAAGGCGTGCTATTTTATAGCGGAATATCCGATGATGTAGGTACCTAGGTACTGTATTCCCGAGAGTGACAGACTTCCCCCTTCTTATGTAGGTACTATAGGCACCGCCATTCCCGAAATGGATGAGAGAGGGAACGACGTGGACGTGGGCACTGCTGGCCACATTCTGGACGGGCTCCCTCCCCTTCTCTGAATACCCCTGGGGTACGGTGGACTGCAACGGCCACTTTTAGCCGCCCTGCTCGTCCTGCTCGTCCTGCAATTCAATCAGGAAACCCGCGACACCCATTTCGGGAATGATGGTATCGGCCACGTGTCTGTAAATCAACTTCTGTGTAGCCACATTGATGACTACGACCATATCCTGCCGTAGGAAGAAGTAGCAGACGCATTCAGACATTGGCAGGAGGCGAGATTTGACAACCAGAAGAGCAGCCAATTAGAACGATCTTTTCAGCCGGCAGAAATGATGAAACGCTAATACAGGTTTAGATTATTCTGCCGGCAGAATATTTCTCCAACCAAACTGCTTTTTTTCTACCGGCAGAAAAACAACGCCATTAAAAGTTGGTACATTCAGAAGAGTGAACCAATTCGAGCTCTTCCGGCAGCTAGCTGTTCTTTCGGGTTAAGCTCAATAATTCTGCCGGCAGAAAATACTAATCAGATCTTCTCTGCCAGGCATACCAGCTTTTTTGTCCCTGGCAGAAAAAGACGCTCTGATTAGTGTTTTCTGCCTGCAGAATTTATTTCTATCACGCAGCTAGAGGAGCGAGCGGGTGTGTGTGGCTGTATTGCTTGGGTTGCTTGTGGGTGTGCCCCTTGCTTCCGACATTCTTATGGGTTGTTCGCATAGGATGGGTACGAAGGTCAGAACTCAACCACACAGTAAATAGCACTGTCAGCTGTTCTGGTACATATTCCGACTCCAGCCCTTCGTCTTCTAGGCCCATTTATCCATCCAGCGCGACAATTTCTCACAAATGTCGCGGAAGATGTTGTAGCTTAAGGGAGCGTAGAAGCCGGTGCTTTCCGAAATGGCAGCATATTTGGCCATTGTCTATGTTACAGCTTGCAGTCTTACTGACTCCTGCAACGCGATGTCTTAATGGTAGTTGTTTTGGTACAGCGGGGAACCCTATCAATTGCTCCCACGGGTCTAGTAACAACTCCTAGCTTACGACAGCGCAGACAGGGGGAAAAAAAACACTTGGATTCCAGACATGTAATGATACTATGTGCAATGCCGTGAAGCCGCTCGCGTAAGATTGCCGACCCTAATTTGCCATTAATGCCTCCCCAGAGCGATCAGCTGAGGGTAGGTCGAACATCTTTTGAGCCTGGATCTTTCGTCGTGTCGTCGAAATCTATCGGCGCCCGTCGGACTGGTGGCGGGTACCACGAGGCGAGACGCTCCCGAGGTCGGGGCCACTTAGGGTCATCAAGTGAGCTGAACTCCCAGAAGGCTCCTCTTTAATATACTTGAAGATAGACATCTACTCCATACTTTTTCTTAAGTCCGTCGCAGCGCCGCATAAGTCCGTCGCATACTTTCTTAAAATTCTCGTTTGTTCGGTCACGCTTTGGGGTACGCTCTGCCATGGTTGTTGAATGACGAGCGTATAGATAGTACGTTATGCTGCTTTTCTAAGAGGTGATGTTTCGCTAGGTCCGGCCACAATTAGCGGGCACAGATAGTCGGTCGTCTAGCGCCGAGAGACATGGCGCGGAAGATTACCTATCATGCAGCCCCTGGAGCCACTCGATTGTCTATTGCTATGATTGCAATGAGACTAGTAACCTCAGTCCCTACCCGAGACCCAGAACTCTTCGTCTTTATGACAGTCTGATGTTTCCCCTCGTGGCATCCATTCATCCTCCCCAAGCGCCGAAACTTCCACCCTTGGTAGTTTTGGTGGATGCGGGTCCGAATCCTCCCGCTGCCTCTTCCTAGACGCTCTACGCCACTTCACTCTTTCTTGTGAATAGAGGAGAATTGCTCCTGGTGGTCTTGTTCCCGCATGAACATTCTTAACATGGGATTTCCAAGATTCTTGGCTTACAATCGTGCAATCGTGGATCCCATCCTTTACACATGCTGGACATTTCAGACCCTCACTAAACACATGCTTCCGTAAGTATTGCGGAAACCCTCGCGCCGTGAACGATGTTTCGCACAACAGACAATGTGCCATTTCAGTCCGTTCTGTGCGGATATTCGGAGCATAGACCTTGCCGTGTTGTTCTTCCACGTGTCTGCTCCAGGATCCGGGCTCAGCCTCAATCCTGATTTCACCCCATCCCAGCCTCTCACACTCGGGGCAGTTGAACGAGCGATTGAGGAGTGCAGCGTGCACCTCCTCAACGTGCCGAGTGAGCACATTGCCCGAAGCAAAGCTTCCGCGGCAAAAGAGGCAAAGCGGTCTTTGTATGCAGCCTGCAGCCGCTGTGCTTTCTCCATTGTTCCAAGACCCTCTTAAGCACGCCACAAGCTGATCAGCCAGATCGTGGGTGGGGCCCTTGTCCGTGAGGAGGAGAGGTGCAACGTTCCCTGCATCGACACTGCAGGAATAGTGCAGTTTCTTGCGGGGGTTAGTAGCCGACCGGGTCTGCAGGTGGGCAGTAGACAACCGTGCCGCCCGTAGCCTGTCTACCTCTTGGAAGTACTCTTCACGCTTCCGTTGAAGTAGAAGTCTCTCGAGGCAATCTGTCGGATATTTGATCTGGCCCCAGATGCTCTTTGCTTCACGGCACCGCGAACCGCCTCTCGCTTTTGCAGTCTGCAGCTGCTCACGTAGCTCCTGCATGTCTTGCCTTGTCTCCAGCTGGCTCAAATCCTCCTGCGTGATGTGGATGGGCGCCTTACCATCCCGCTGTATCAATGCATTTGATACCGCAGACCATAGTGCCTCGTCTTGCTTAGCGCTCTCGCCGTACGCTATCTCAGGTAGCTTGGCCGCAACCTGGACTGGCTGATAGCTGTGCTCGAACACGTCTGTCGACTGAGACAGAATAAAGTTGCACAGGGCGCGCTCAAGACTTCCTAGCAGAATCGTTAGCCAGCTGTACGCAGCACAAGTTCACTTGCAACCCACCATCGAGCCTTCCTGCTGTTCCCACTCTCAGTGAGTAAGGGCGGAACTTCTTCCGGGCACCGGAAACTATGTGAATCCGATCCCACGTGTCTGAGAAGGTCCTGTAACTAACAGGAACAATATACTCGTCGAGAATTTCCTCTTTCCATTTCAACGGGACGAAACCGCTACTTTCTTCTTCCATTCCTCCGGGCTTCAGGACGTCGTCGCAGGACTTGTACCCGGCAAGAAACGCGTCGTCGGCAACGGCTCTTGCCGCGAGGAGTGTTGCGAGGCAAAGCGATTTGCAGGGAACGACGGTCATTGGAAACCGTACCCTGCCGTATCGAGACTATCAGCTGAGCTCAGTCGTGGCCAATTGTCAAAGGAAACACGACCACCTACTTTCCTCGTTGATCTCTTTGGATGCGATTTCGGCCTTGCTTGACATGGTGAATAGTGATATAAACCACTGGCCAAACCCTTGACCGGATCTTGGGGTCTCGAACCCAGGCAAACTCCACGTCCCTGTATTTGATCTTGCCTTTACTCGACTCGGCGCCCACTAAGCTTACAGGTCTCCAGCCACCTATGCCAGCTAGAAGAATGGCAGTGTGGACCGCAAGCCTCACAGACGGACGACACGGTATGTGCTCTGCCTCTGTCCACAGCGTGTCGAGCACATAGATGACATCCGCTAACGACATAGCCGTCTTCTCGAAGCTCTGCGTCTTGATCAGGCCAAGCTCATCAGCCAATTGCGGTATCCACTTGTGTGAATGAGTTAGCAATTCAGCACCTCTCAACGTGAGGCACCACATACCTTAGCAATTTTATAGGCTGGCCTAGTCCCGACCTTATTAGATGCGTACTTGACCGACCAAAAAGATGCCCTGTCAGTGTCACTTACTCTCTTCGGCTCTAGGACTCTACGGTCGCCCTCGTTCACGAGCATGCACCAAACGTCCTCGACTGTCGTAGCACTGTCAACAGTGCGCACCTCGACGTACTCATTCGGCCCGAGGCACGGCCTCGATATGGCCGAAGCGGTGACATAATTGTAAAGGAACGCTCGGAAGCACGTCTGCGCTTTTTGTCGGCCTGCGTAGAGTTCTACCCACGTCTCCTCAGGATCTACCTAGAGACTTTTAGCGAAGCTATATCCAATACGTTAGCAGGCGACCGTTAATGTGTATATAATAACATACTCTAGCCAAGTGGCCCACACGACGTCTCGCCGGCTTCTGGTTTCTGGCTGGAGCGAGGCTCTATAGTCCAGTGGGCTCTCGGAGTATTGGTTGAAAATGGCCTGAGCATCTTATTGATAGAACGATCGTACTCTTGGCTTTCCCACAGGCTTCTCGTCCGGAGGCGCCATAGCGTGTGGAGGGGATTGATAGGCACCCGTGTATAAGGAGGGTAAGAACGACGCCCATCGGGAGAGACGGGTGGGGGGGGGGGTTATATACAAGTCAATCTAACATTATAGGGGAATACTAAGCAGAAAGGGGGCGCGGAGCAAAGGCCATGCGGGAGAGGGCCATCCCACCAGCTAAACAGAGTCCCCGCCAGCGGCATAGGGACGGGGCGGCGGCCGAAACGGAGGGCCAGAATCAGGAACGGACCGTCGACCGGCCGTTTCTGTCTGCCGGCCGTATCCCGGGTAAAGGTCGGGTTGGTCCATTGTCCAGAACAGAGTCCCCGTCCGCTCCCCCAGAGTCAAGCCGCTAAGCGGTGGATTAGTAGTTGGGTCGGTGACGACAAGCGAATACCCGCTATTGTATGTTTCTTTTTGCTTCTTTGAATGTATATCCTATCCACATGATGTACACTATATAGTCTTCATTCACGTATTAGCTTACCACATACGACCATAGCCAGTGGAGAATACGGGGTCCCGTCCGCTCCCCYAGAGTCAAGCCGCTRAGCGGHGGATTAGTAGTTGGGTCGGTGACGACCAGCGAATACCCGCTGTTGTATGTTTTTTTTCGTACTTTTTTTCTCTTGGTTTTCTATATCAGAATATATATTCTATCTCTTTATTGTCGTAAAAACACACTGCCTCATGGCTCAGTTGACATCCTGACTGTCTCGCCAACATTATAGTAACGATAATGGCTACTATTTTGCTAGTAGAAAAAGACGCTCCGAAACAGTGTCTTCAGCTAGTAGGACTTGGGCACTTGACCCGAATCAACAGCTGCCATTATGTCGCGACTGAGGCCATAGCAGTGTCGGCAAATTGCAAGATAGGGGTCAGTCTAATCGCGTCTAGGCGTCACCCTCTATGTAGATCGACTTCATAGAGCCACACCACACCTTACTAGATGGCAGGGTGGCCATCCACCACGTCAAGCCGGCTGGAGCCACCGACGGTCTTCCCGACCAGGGGTCGTTCACCTTGGGAGGTGGTGACTCTACTCATCCGGCGCTGTCATACATCTGTAACTTGATTGGCTAGGCCAGAATCACCAACAGAACAACAGCAATACAACAACAACAACAGCCTGCCGTGGGCGTGTGAAACGGCCGCTGTAGCTGCATCTCCTCTGGAACCCCAGCAGGCAAAGACCAAAAAGACAGGCTGTACCGAAGCCGTCGCATCCATGGCATATCTGGAATGATTGACCATAATCACAGACAGGAAAGTATTCCTAATCATTTTGTTCAGGCTTGCTTACAATGCGAAACTAAATTAGGCATCAACATAGGTGTAGCAGGACAGCTCGGATCACTATACGGAGTATGCCGCGGCCCTTTATTGAACCGACCGGGCACAGAATAAAACGAGATAGAAGAGAAGAAGCTGGGCATTTCAACTCGCGATACAACTGCCTCAAACAGGTAGGAGTTTCCCCACCGTCCAACGCGGAAGGTTCCACCAATCTAGTCGGTCCTTATGTAGGAATTCGCCGTCGAAATTTAGTATCTTAGAGACACTGCGAGATTGCCGCGTTGGGGTCTCGGGATCGTAGACCGTATGAATGACGCGGGCTTTAGAATCGCTCGTGGAAACGAGGGTTGACTGAGTATGTAAGGAACTGGTCAGCACGAGAAATCTAGAGAGCAGGGAGGGGTCGAAGGAATATAGGGAGCATACGGGGATTACACGAAAATCTGTCTAGCATCCCCTCTTGCATACATAGCTCGGTTAGTTGAATGAGCGTAGAGGTTTCCACAGCAGTCAGGCCGCCTTCGACCAGCTTGCAGTCTTGAGCTATGGTGGGACATTGTGTCCAAACGAGGCTTTAGGGAATTCCCGTCATCGAAGACAGGGTAGCTAGCGGGTTCGACAAACATGTCTGAAAATCCATTTCCTCCCACGCCGAGCTTTTTATTTTATTTTTTATGATCCCAGGCCTAAGATGGGATCTTTACGACTGCACAAGGAAGCGCGTGATGTCGTTCCCAAGGCCACACGCATTGTGACGCAACGCACGTGTATTGTTACCGTGCTGCTTCCTAGGGTAGCCTAGGTCTCGAGCTCGTGACGAGGAAGTGGTACGACGTAAAGGAGATGAGCTCTAGAACCAGTCTCGAGGTCTAACGCTGAGGACTGTATACCAAACTCGGCCAGGTCATTGTTGAGCACGAGGATATCTTTCTGCGAGTGACCCGGTAATAGATTCAACCAAGTTTCCGAGTCTACGCATAGCCGTTGTGCGTTCAGAGTAGTCGGGGGGGCGCCATGGCATTGGGTGGAGGGGGGCGCTGCCGGGAGGATAGTGCTTTTCTTCCTTCACGCCCGGGCTGTACACTGACGACGACGGAGGCTTGTCTTTGTTACCGTAAGATTGACGGCAGTGGACGGGAGAAGAGGTTGCGGACAGGGGGGACAACGACGAGGAGAGGAGAGGATAATCATGGGGGAGATGACCCACGGCAGGCAGGCGCAGCCAATCTATAAAAACTAAACACCTAGTTGGCCATGGTCGTCGCACCGTGACGTAACTGTTTCGTTGATTCGATGTCTGCTACAGCCGCCGACTCTTCATCTGCACAGTATCACCACACGCTGCCTTGTAGGTGCTGTTGATATCTAGACAGATACTGATAGTTGTGCAAGTGTTACGAGGATAGGGGACGATGGGCTATATTAATGATCAGGATGCACGGTGAATCATGATGCAAATGTACCTTGAAAAGAACCGCACTCCTACCAGCATGACGATGGGTGCCTTAATACGCCGATAGCACCGTGACTTGTCCATGCGATCTCCATCTCACAATGCTCTATAAACGATGGAAAGGCACAGGGTCCTTCAAAAAGACCTGAGATTACCTGTCCGCTAGGGACAATTTGGTAGAGTGACGAGGCTTTCCCTTCCGCACATGAAGGGTGGTGGAGAGTTCCCAAGATGAATGCAAATCTTGATCACATGGCACAGGGTAGTCGACGTGCGATGGGACCTTCGCGTCACGGAGGGCTCCGCTGATGATATGGGGTTCGGATTTCTTTCTCCCGGGTGTGATGCTACGCCTTGACGTCCGGCTCATCCCAGTCTAGTTCTGCGGTGAGGGTGAGGTGGTTATGCGTAAGATGAAGGAGGAGAGAGGGAGAAGGGAAAATGAGAGTGAATAAGAAAGGAGGCGGAGTGAAGGATGTGAATCGGGACAGGATATGTAGAATTGGGGAGCACTTGTCCTCGTGCATACAAGTAAACTCCCAAACAGGATATATGCCCAAACAGATTGTCGTCCATATTCGCCATCCGTAATCGTTCTTCCTAATACTTGGTAGCTCATAGACTATCCCCCCCCCCCAAACAGCATAATGTGTGCCATCTGTGATGTGCGTGCGTGCGTGCGCGTGCGTGTGTGTGTGTGTGTGATGATAGAACCACATCTCCATCTTATATGTCATCCATGTTCATAGCGCATATATAGATCCATTCTCTCTCAGCCACTACCATTCTTCACACGAGCTTAGTCTTATATGTTCTGCCGCGGTCTTGGTTATGGCCGTCCTGGTCGACGATACTCGAACGAGGCTGCCCTCAGGGAAGATTATCGGGTCCCTTTCCTTATCGTTCAATCCAAGTCAGGCAGCTTGGTCTTTGCAGCGTTAATGCCACTGCCAGAATATGCCTAATAGCAGGGTAATTCGATCACAAAGAGCGCGCAGCAGGTAGATGTAAGGGAGATTTGTGGGGTTTTATCATGGATTAATGTCTATTCTACTTGCACCTAACCCAAGCTTTCAAGGAGGTTTTGATATCTTCAGTCCTGGTCGCATCCCGCCCCTTGAAGGGCCCGGCTCGGCCATCTCGAGCTGGAGCACTGCGGGTTGCAGCTTCATCCAAGCCGCCGTTCAAGGCAGCAAGAACAGTGCCGGTTCTAGCGGTGTCGCAAGCCGGGCACTCACAGGGAGCGTCGCTATTCCAAGGGCGACACACATACCAACCCATCATGCCGGGATGTCAGCGGCTGGCCCCTATGCTGAAGAGCACATGATCGGGGTAGGTTCCGGATCGGGAACCGCTTAAGAGCTGGGGGGGATGACGTTGCAGCCGTCGATCAGCTGGCAGACCTGGCCGTCAGGGTAGGTGTGGGCCGGGTTGCAGCCGTAGCCGAGGTCGTTGGTCTCGCCGAGGGCGGGGCACGCGGCAGCAGCGGCGACCTTGGCAGCCTGCTCGAGGATGTTGCAGCCGTCGACGAGCTGGCAGGTCTGGCCATCGGGGTAGGTGTGGGCCGGGTTGCAGCCGTAGCCGAGGTTGTTGGTCTCGCCGGGAGCCGGGCACTTGGCGGCAGAGGCGGCCACGGCCATGACGAGAGTGGAGAGGGAGACGGAGAACTTCATGTTGTCGTTGAGGAGGTTGTTGTTGTTGTTGTTGAGTTTGGTTGTTTTGAGGACGGAATGATTGATAGGGATGTCTTGGGTTGAGAGTGGTGATGATGAGACAGAAAGAATCGTTGACCAAGAGGAAGCTTCTCTCACTTTATATCCCGAGATGCAAGATGCCCAAGTCCAAAACACGACCCTCCTGTCTCTGTTAATTGTGATCGACGGGTCCAGGTGGACATTGTTCTAATATTAACTACCGATACTCCGTACCATGTGCGGAGTATCCGTATACGAGGCGGAGCCCTACAGCAGCTAGAAGGTCAAGGTTGGACGCGGTGTGAGTTTCCAACCACGCGACCCCCCCCCCTTTTTTTTTTTCTTTTCTTCTTTCTCCTTCTTTTCTTCTGTTAGCGCATCAACAGTGTTTCTCGACATGATAGCTGTATCCGATACGAGCTCCGAGACAAGAGAGTACACATACGGTCAACCAAGGGGTCAAAGGGTGTCGCCGAGAATGCCGCCAAGAGTACGTCGGGCTTGGCCTCGCATCACGACCCCAGCACTTAGACTCGAGCCGGTACTTATGTCCGTTTAATACGAGCTACTGCACCCCGTATTTACGGCACTTGGCATGAGCGGGGGTTCTTTCGTCGGAGCGTCGGCCTTGCAGTGGCGACTTCGGACATAATACGGGGGGGGTTATTATCAGCCTTCTACGTCATAGATATCACTGTCGAGAAACTAGAGCCTTGTCTATCATGATGTTTTTGGTCGACTGACGGACACCTTCTACATCGCACCGAGTACGTGTAGAACGACGGGCGCATCATCACTCGAGTTGACTCGTACGGACGGTCGGCCCCCCCAACGTGGTACCAATACCGAGAGTTGCGTTTTACTTTTACCGTCAATATCTAAAGTGCATGACGGATACCCCTTTTTTTTCTCTTCATATGGGAGATCAGGGCTACGTACCCATATTTTCATCCTGTCTCTTATCGGCTCTGCATTGCATTGATTCATTAATATGGAGTAATATGAACATGGACGGTACCTTTGTGTGTCTATGAGTAATAATACTGCGACGGGGCCATGTCCAGGATCCGGTCGCATGGAAAGTACCGAGACCTTGACCCCTATATCAATTCGAGTGGCCCTTTCAAGTGGCCCTTTGGTTGACCGACAATGAATGCAACGTCGTATGAGAACGGGCAGTGTTACAATTACTACTATCAATCGTTACTGGCAAAGTATTCGTCAACCGTCTCTTGAGGTTTCCACACCGCCACACCCTCGGTTCTGTTAGCGTCGGTTTCACTTGCCGAAGTCATGCGTGTGATCGACACGTTACTAGGCAGTTAATGTTCATAGGGCGGCGCATCGACAGATCATGGCCGAGCTTCGTCATGCACCGAAACGAGAAACGAGAGACGGCTTTCGAGAATGAGACGATTCTCCACCTTGCCGACTTGGCCCTTGCCAAGGCCAATTCAGCCCAGAATCATGCAGGGTTCTCTACAGTATACCAATGACACACCTAGTGACAGCTCCGAAAGCACAAGGTGGGAGAAACAGTGACAAATGCTGCAACATGTTTGACACATACTCGTATCTATCAATAAACAACTTAGCAAAGCGCTGTTTCGAAAAAGGCGCTTGCTCAAGAAAAGCGAGAAGAAGAAGAAGAAGGAGAAGAGCCCGAGTTCCCCGATTGACGAGTGCTCGCAAGTACGAGTACGCCAGAGAGGTAGACAGTTGGCCCAGTCCTGGCGTTGCGAGGTGATTGGGAAGTCGTATTGCTCGTCTTGCCTCCTTTATCCATACTATCGGACGATGATATGAGGGATATCGAGTACCGCGCCTGACAGCGTCCTTGGCTTCTGGTTATAATCCTACAGGATGGCAAAGGGGTCGGAATCCTTCACCCCCCTAAAGCTGGTTTGCATTTTCCACTCTACCGCGTAGGTATACGGTACGATATGAGATATAAGCTGCGACATGGCCTAGTTCCCTCACATACGACCATAGCCAGTGGAAAATACGGGGTCCCGTCCGCTCCCCCAGAGTCAAGCCGCTRAGCGGTGGATTAGTAGTTGGGTCGGTGACGACCAGCGAATACCCGCTGTTGTATGTATTTTTTTTTCCCTTCCTTTTTCTTGTATGTGATATAAACAGAATTACTACTGTATAATACCAAATACGACCATAGCTAGTGGAAGAGACGGGCTCCCGTCAGGCTCTGGAAAACTGTTCGATGTCCGCCTCTTTCGGCAGCACTTGCCCCCTAAAACAATGGCGGGTCGACCGTATATTAATCGGCGGGAATCAAATCTCCTCTTTCCCCGCTGGTCTCCGTTTTAAACGGTAAAATACCCTGACGCAAATACTCCGGTTACAAACAACGTGCGTTTGCAAGGGAGTCAAGAAGTCGGGAAACTAGTTGCTTTAACCTTGCCCAGGTGCGTATCATGACCTTTTGAAATGGTAAACCATCTGCCTTCTCCCGGTGTCATTGCTCTCTTCCTTGGTGACTGTCCTGGTTTGTATCGGACCCCCCCCCCCCCCCCCCCCCACGTAAGTCTGGACATAGCACACGAGAAGATTTACGGTCTGGATATTGACCACCTCGCGATTGCTGTCTGCTCTACAGATTACAGAGACGCCTGTGGCTTTCTCAGACCACCACCACCACCACCACCACCACCACAACAACATCTATGTTTATTTCTAAATAAATCTATTTTATCTAAATTAACAACACACAGTACATCACTCTTTCATTCATCGGAAGCCTTCGAGGCCCGCGGACTACCCAGAGCAGCACATTATTCTACAGAACCCTCTCATATCACTCTAAAGATGTATATTCTGTCACAGCTCTGTTGGTAGTCCTGCTGATTCCTGCCCGTCTAGCCATACATGTGAGAGCAGCGTGAAGTTCGGCGGCCTCACGTCCTACTCCCTGCCCCGTGATACATTGCATTATCTCATCCTCTGGAAGCGTTTCCCCGGGGACCTCCGCACAATTAAATAAAAATAAAACAAAAAACCCATAGCACCCTTAGCACCCATCTCAATCTTGCTTTTTCCATATAGCATTCCTCTTTGGCTTGAGTAATATGCCGCTTCCCGGGGCAGGTGGGCACTCGGACCCATGGCTTCCGGTGGACTAGAACAGAGGTCGAAGGGATCTTCCAATCCAACCTCGTCCGTGATATATGACGCTGGCGGCAGACGACTCACGTTTGGATGCCGGGTCACGGATGCAATCAAGAAGCGCGAATATGTCCGCTTTGGAACTGACGTTACCGGTTTCACGTGGGGTTGGAGGAGGAGGCGCGTCTTCAGGCATTCTCGGTCGTCTGTGGAGGTAATCTGCGTATTATATCTCGCGTATATGCGTGGCTCGGGCAGCTTATTCTGCGTCAGGTGTGTCCAGGTTTTCCTGTTCCCAGGTAATGGGGTAGCAACCTACATACGAAACTGAAATCGGTGTCGCTAGGAATGGCGATCCTGCGGGCAGTGAGATGGGGCGAAGGAGGTCGGCCGTAGTGAGAAGGTTGAAAGGATGGGAAACCGAGGGGAAATCGAAGGGATCCGTTCTGAAGACGGATAACCTGACAGATGGATGTGCCACCTGTCCTGCCCTGTGGCCGCCTGTCCTGCGATGGCTACGAGCACTATGCATCTATCATCAGCTCTCTTTTCACAACAAAATGAAGGCTTCGGCCGGGGACGATATCTTGCAGAGTCCAGTGGAAACCCCGACGCACCAGGCGAGGGATGCTGTCTACGTATAGACCGAGTCCCCCTGACCAAGAGGAGGCTTTTCTTATATGCCCCAAGTCAAACATAAGTACATGACCGTCCTCATTTTGTGAAGCCACGAGTCGACAATGGATCTTATTCCAACTCACGGGTCCACACAGAGCTGCCACTCACACTGCCTTCTTCATCGCATCGTTATTGAAAAAAAGGATACTGCTAGTAGTGGTAAAGGTGTCAATACATACTAGTCCGGACATACCCGGTACAGGAAAGACCAGACACCACCAGCAGAGTAATGCAAGCAAAGCCAGGAGGATAGAGTGCCAATAGAGTAAAGACATAATAATGTGAATTAGGAGAGCAACGAGTAGAAAATGAATATATGAATAAGATGTTGGTACAAACGAGCTTTTCTCTTTTCTCTCTAACATTCTCGAATCATAACCAAGACCGTCAGAGGGATTTGTCATGTTTTTTTTTATAGGGGTGGGGGAGTGGCGGCGATATGCATGCATTCTATACCTGTCTTGCTGGGTGGACAGTCCATTATAGCTCATCATGCTTGGTGGCATCCTGTCCTTCGGAAGCAGGTTTGGGCTCCTTCTGGAGGGACTCCTTCTCGCCGTCACGGCTGGCGAGAATGTCGTTAGTGTTCGATTCGGGCTCGTCGGCCTGGACAGTCTCCTGGTCGACATTCTCGATGTCAGGGTGGGGAGGGGCCACGGTCTCAGCCGAGTCCGACTCCTCCGCGTCAACGTCGTTTCCATCCTCGTCAACAACGCGAGTCCTGACCTCGTACTTGGTCTCGAACCTGACCTCGCCTGCGTCCCGGAGGGCCTGGACCTGCTCCGCATTGAGGAGGTTACCATCCTGGTCTCGGTACTCAACCTTCTCCTCCACCGCCTGGGGCTCGGGAGGGCTGGCCGAGACGGCAGGAGGCTCCTCGGGCTGCCTCTGCGAGTAAGCGGGCTGCTCTTCCGCCTTGACAGCAGGGGCATCCGAAGGGGCGGAGCCAGCGGCAACCGTCAGGTACGTGTACTGGTCATACTGAGGGGGGAATCCAGCGTCAGCTCTGTAGCAGTAGAGGGTGTCTAGGAGTGTTGATTGGGGGTTGAGTACATACCGACTCGTAAAACTTATTGCAGTCAAAGTCCCAGGTAGGGAACAGCTTGACCCGGTTGCACTCCGCCTTGGTCCAGGGGCTGCCGTAGGCCAGAGGGGACAGCACGATGAAGGCGGCGATAGACAGAGCCAGGATGGAGACGGTGGTGACACGGTTGATGATGGGGTGCTCGCGGACGCCAATCCCGGGGATCCTGGCGGTGGAGAAATCAACGACCTGGCAGAGTGCAATGATGCCGAAGTAGAGGGCGGGGAAGTAGTGATGCAGGAAGAGCTGGCGCTCCATGAGGAAGAAGGGGAAGTAGTGGAGGGCCCATCCAAGGACCGAGGTGCCAACCTCGTAGTCGAAGCGTTTGAAAGTGACACTCGAGTAGTCGTTGTAGTTGCGCTGCCAGCGGAGAACGGCAATGGCCTTGAAGACGACCCAGGTGGCGATGGCGGCAAACGACGACCACCAGATGACGGGGTTGCCCATGAGGTAGACCTGAGTGTGGCTGCGGCCCCAGAAGTTGATGCCGCGGCGCAGGAGGGGCCACTGGTGAGGGCGCGAGTCCCAGGTGTGCGTCTCGGTGAGACCGGCGTTGGTCCTCTGCATGACGGCCTGGAGCTCCCAGAACTTGCCCCAGAAGCCGAGCTTCTCATAGTTGACCTTTTCAGAGTCCTCGCCCAGGTGAGGGCTCTCGTTGTACTCGACGTACCACAGGCTGTTGGGCATGGAGCCACCACGGGCGCATGTCACCTCCTGCTGGCCAGTGGCCCAGTCGGGCAGCTTCACCTTGTGAGAGAAGAGGACGCAGCCGCTCATGACGTGGACGAGGCGGAACTTGGTCTCGATGGTGCGGACGCGCTCCCTGGCAACACCGGCCTTGGACCTCTGACCGACAATCTCGACGCGGAAGTAGTCGTTGGCATCTCCCGGGAAGCCCTCGTAACCGTAGGCCGAAACTTCGTTCTGCCAGTCAACCTCGGTGACAGGAGGGCGGTGATCGTGCGAGTGAAGGCGGCGGTGGGTGTTGATGTGGTACAAGCGAAGGGTGGAGCCGTCCTTGACATACTCAGGCCCAGGCAGGTGGTCCCAGGCGTCGATGCCCTCAATGGGCTCCCCGTCAATTCCGAGAGGCTGGGTCTGGTTCTCGAGAATCCAAATGTTGTTCTCGTCCTTGTGGGGGTAGAGCGTGATCTGCTGCTGCTTGCTGCCAGTAGGGTACATGAGGGGGTGGGAGTGAAGGTAGCCACCCTGGGTGTTGACATGGCGGATCGAGACTCGGCTGCCCATGACGACATCGGCGGGGACATCGCGCATCTTCTTGGAGTTGAGGCTGGCCTGGAACTCGGAGCTCATGAAGCCATCACCGTCGCCGGGGTTGACGAGGCACATGAAGTGGATGGCGAACATGCCCAGGTAAATAGTGACAGGGATGCCGATGAGGGCAAAGGCGCGAGCCATGAAGTGCTTGAACCAGCAGCGCTAAGGGTGGATATATGTCAGCGAGAAAGGACGCAGCAGGTAGCCAGGAGAAGCGAACCGAGGGGGTCGCCCGCTGAGAAGTTTTCGTACCATGGAGACGTTCTTGCTGTCGCCGAGGAGGACCCAAAGCTGGACGAGGGTCAAGAGACCGACCCAAGCAATGGTGAGGAACCCAACCCACTTGATGCTGACGGTGATACCGAGACCGATGCCCGTGGAAATGAGCCAGAACCACCAGCTAAGAGAAAAGGCTTTTTCGGGACCCAGCTCGTGCTGGTTAGTAAAGGCGTTGAAGGCAAGGGCGGTGAAGGCGGTAGCGAAGACAAGGGGCGAATCGAGGAGAATCAGGCGGGCCTGGGTGAGGAGGCCGTTCTCTGGCGAGACATGGTTGTTAGAGAGCTAGAAGCGACGGGGTCATGAGGAGAAGGAGCCAAAATATACCAAAGATGATAAGCCCGCTACCCATGAGAGCGGTCATGGAGCGGCAACCGACCGTCTTGAGAGTGAGGTAGATGATGGGGGCGACAAGAGCACCGCAGATGGCGGGGAACATGCGCATGGCGACGTAGGGAACGTTGGGTTCAATGTAGTCCTTGCCAATTTCCTTGAAGTCGAAGTTTCCGTCGAAGCCAGCGAGCCAACCGGTCAGAGCGAAGAGCATCTTGGCGAGGGGCGGGTGGACGTCCATGAAGAAACGACCTTTGATGTATTTCGTCGCGAAGCCACCGAAGCTGTTTGTGGACATTGGTCAGTAAGACGGGGCTATGTATAGAGATGTACAGCCAAAAGGGGGAGTGGAACTGACTGGACCTCGTCAAAGACGACACTCGAGGGCTGGTAGATCTTGTAGATACGGACGGCGACGGCGACGATGGTCATGAAGAAGGCAATGTAGTAGTCGGACAAGGGGAGAAGAAAGACATCGTTGTCCTCGACACCGTCAGACTTGTACGATGTGTCTCCCTTCTTGGCCTTGGGAGACTTTTTGTTGTTGCGCGACCTGGACCTTGACCTGGACTTGGGTTTCTTGACCGATCCGGGGACAGCGAGAGTGGGAGAGTTGGCGAACTGGGAGTCGACAGGCGGTTGGGGACTTCTGCCCCGCGCGGCATTGGACCTGGCCATGATGATATTGGGGGGCAGACCCAAGGCGTGAAGATGGCGGTATGGCCGTTGTGTGTTGATGGGTCGTCAAGTTCGTCGTTTGTGGGGGAGGGGAGGATGATAAAAGGGAGCTCCTATGAGAAAAGGTCACGTCACCCTCGGCGGCAGCGTCAAGGGAGCCACAACCGGGGGGGGCGGGTGTGGGCAGTTGTCGCAAGGACAAGCTCAAGGAGAAAAAAAGAAGCTAGAAATGAATTAATCAAAGAAACGAAAAAAATAAGAAAAAAAATAAAAAGAATGTGTCGAAGAAAGGAAAGGAGCACGGGACCGTGTCAAAGGATCCTCATCGGGAGAGCAAACAAAGGGAAAAAAGAAAAAGGGAACAAGAGGCTGAGCAAGCTGAACAGACAAGCAGTCGGGTGCTGGCCAGGGATCATTTCAGGGCCCTCTTTCAGGGGCGGGGGAAAGACACCAGTTGAGAGAGCCACGCTGTTGCACCTCCATTTTTTCCTGCTCGTGGCTTTTCCCTGCGCCACGCGCCATGCGGTAGGTACGTACCAGTCAAACAGCAGCTTACCGCTTGGCCTCTAGGCGAGGCAAGAGCAAGAGCCGCCCTTTTCATCTTTCCCTATGCTCAATGATGTTCCCACACTCTTTCCTTTTCTTCTTCTTCTTCTTCCTCCTCGCTTGCTCTTCCCTCGAAATGAGAACACGACATATAAGGAAACGTAGGGAAACTCTTGCAACTGGAAAAAGAAGAAAGGACGACGTTGACATCCCCATTTTCAGTGGCAGCAATTGACAGCTGTTCCTTTGTTGAATCCTTCCAAATACGCGCCATCGAGGGTCAGACCCCCTGGAATGTCTTCTCTAGCCTGAAGCTCTCACTGGCCGCAGATGCTCATTGCAGCCACTCACAGGGCTGAGGCAACGACAGGGACTTGGGGAGTACCATGATGTATTACTCTGACTCGTATTACATCGTATTCCACCACGATGCCAAGCATCCACGATTCACTCTCCAAGACTCCTCCTCAAAAGCCCGGCCCCACCCCCGTGGATACACATGTGCTGTAACCTGACAAACGCCTCACGCAACGGGTTGTGTCTTGCTATCGCCGTTGACTCTATTGCTGCTCTCGCTTCCGAGTCCCGGCAGCGGCGCCTCACTTGACCTCATGACCCGTCAAACCGTCTTGTCTTGTTGCTTCGCTAGTCGGCTGTCTCTCGACCAGTTCGTCGTCGGTGTTCTTCACGAGGGATGCAGGACCGTGCTTGTCTCCCGTCTTCTGCAGCAGGACAGCAAGCGTCAATGTCAATGCCGCACAGACAATGAAAACGACGGTAGTCCAATTCCCGACCAAGAATCGTGGCGCGTAGGTCGTGTTGTACGTCAGGAGCGGTATCCAGGCATTGAAGGCGTACCTACGGCAAGTGAGCCAGTCAGTGAGCGTGGCCAACCGACATTGATTGAATGGTGCTCCGAAGTGTGCGGATGAACCTACGCTACCGAATTTGTCGTCCCTAGGATGAACCTCCTCTCAAGGCTGTCGCCCGCGCATTGTTCATTCACCATGGTCTGCCAGGATTAGCTCAGTCCACATCGTGCCTCGCCGCTAAAGGCGACGCCTGGAGGAAAGAAGAGAACAAGAGGCGGACGCACCAGGAAGACAGGACCTGAGCCTTGCGCGAAGCTATTTCATCCCATTTGTGCATCATTAGCTACAGCGCCTCCCAGTTGTGCATAGATACCGGGGGGCGATCGGATCACGAACCCAGTGAGATAGTACGACGCCCACTTCAGGCCGAACGGGACGCCGTCCCATACCGCAAGGTTCATGGCTGCAAAGAAACACACGACCAGAGAGAAATAGACGATCGGTGCCCGGACCTGCAGGTAGTCGCTGGTCCAGCCATAGGACAGCGTGGTTACTATTGTGATGGCGTTGATGACCGTCGGATACGTATTGACCTCAGCAACAGTATATCTACCTCAGCAAGCGTCAGCCGTGCACACATGGGGCCGTTGACAAGAATGGATGGCTGCAACCTGAGCACACGATGACGCACCGGTTGAGGCTCTTGAGCCAGAGATTCATATAGCTGCCAATGTTCTCGCTGCATATGAAGAACCTGGGATCACGGTCAGATACGTCATCTCCACATGTGAGAAGATTCCCAGTCAGTCTCACGTATAGTAAGTCGTATAGACCCAGAAGTGCCACCGCCCCAGAATACGCCTGAGACCCCGCCAGGTGAAGGGTTTCTCGAGTTGCTTGCCAGCATGCTTCATGCGGGCGAGCGCGAATTCTCTCTCCTCGGGTTTCAGCCAACGAACACGAGTGTTACTGGGAAGGTCCGGAAGCGCATAATAGCCTTTGCACGAGTGAGATCAGTCAAATGCAACTCCCAGCCTCGGGATATCTGACCAGTGTCGCATCCATGCTCCCACGACAAGAGAAAGGAAGACTCACCCCAGATGGCCATGGGGAAAGTAATGACACCGTCAAATATAAAGAGCCAGCGCCACCCCGAAAGGCCACATACCCCGTTCATTCCGGTATAAAGAGCGGCTTGCTGTCTCAGCGTTAGTTCCCTCTCTTCTTCTGACCATTAGCATCGATCGGATGGGGCTTTACGAACCAGGTAGCCGCTGAACATGGATCCCACAAAGGCGGAAGCAAAGAATATGCAAGCCCTTTTCGCGAGTTCTGTTCCGAAATGTCAGGACCCCCCTGATAACCCGTTCCGGAAGCGCACTTGACTGCCGACATACCTTCTTTGGTATACCATCCGCCCAGAACTGTGTGGACTGCAGGATAAAACGTGCCCTCTGCCAGTCCAACCTACGAGTATCGATTCATCCCATGTGAGCATCCGTGGCACATGTACATATGATATCCAATCAGGTGGTGGTGAGCTCGATACTTACCAGGAAGCGAAGAGCGTACAACTGATGAGGGGTCCGGACGGCAGCAGTGACGAAGGTGATGATGACCCAGAATACTATCAATATTTGCCAACATTAGCGGTTTGCGTCGCCACTTGGTAGCCGACGCCGCAGGCTCAGATGCACTGATGAGAGCGAGAAACGTACATTCCCAGCTAGGACACCACAAGGACAGCCGAACTATTACCCTTTGTTAGTGAAACAAGCCTGAACAAAAGTGGGATCGATGCCTACCTTTGGTGCAGATGATCTGAGATGGAACCTGCGATATCACATAGCCGCTACTCACGTCAGTCGGTTGAAGCCACGAAACCTCATCAGACATCGAGCACCCACATTGTCCACATGGTCGTGAAGGTCTGGTATTGGTTGCCGACCACATTCAGCTCCTCTTTCATCCCGGATACATAGGCGTTGGCTAAAGATTGCAGGTCAGCGGGTAACACATGTGTGATACACACCCTGGGCAGGTATCTGGATGCAATGGAACTCTCCCATAGGAACCCGAGCCTCGTGCATGGTACCTACAGACGTTGTTCGTGTTGAGATTCTTGCTAAAGTACGTGAAGCCAGCCCAAGTTAAGATGAAGAAGTCTATCTTGGCGATGAACCTACGTTCCTCGGGGCTCCGTTCCAACGTGTCCCAGACGATCCCCTTGACTCTGCCACTCCAGGTCTTCCTCTCGGTGAGGTGGTCATGATCGCCTGGGGGAGGAAATGGGGAGGACGGTTCTGAGACCGATGTAACCGGAATGCTTCCTTGTCGGCTGCCTTTCATTGCGTGTAGAATGTGCAGAGAGGAGCGTTGTCGGTATGGAGCGCGCTGTTGATGGCTGATTCCCCAAGAGCAACGGGGGGTGGCTTGACAACTGATATTTCAACATTGTAAAGGCCGTGGGTGCCCTCCGTTGACATGTATCCACTCATGAGCACAATCACACATCTGCAGGCCAACGGTGGTGATGCCGCTGATTAGCATACTTCTTCGGGAGCATGCGGTGCATGATGAGGAACGAAAGCCCACAGCTCGTCCGTTGGTGATTGGTGCAACCTGATGGCGTTATGGGAGCTCGTCTTCTGAGTGAATCGTCACACCATCCGACAATGTGAGGGGTCGATCGAATAAGTGGGATGGAGTATTACATATCTACAGGGGGTACTATCTATCAGTACTATATGCATTTATGCTGTTCACCTGAAGACCCTTGCGCATATATCAACATACGCATAAAGAGCGTCGAACAACAAGGTCGCCACATACTTTCTCTCCCAGAAGCTCATCGTCTAAGGGGAGGCGAAGCGACCAAGCGTCATACGGCTCCAGATACGCATTTCTTAGCTAAGAAGGAATCGGACACGTTCCAAGTTGTCATCATGTCGTCCCCTCAGAGAACGGATGACGACCTCCCTCCATATGAATACCCCGAGGAGACCAAGGAAAATTGTCCGCATCAACGATATGAGAGAGCTCGACCCTGAAATGATGCAGGTGCTGACTGAAATCGGTGTACCAGTGGAATATGCCGATCTAGAGGCCCTCGACATCTCAAGGCTAAACGAGCCTGGCGGTAAAGAAGCCCTGGCAGCACAGGTCCTCAGCTTCATCAACAGGAATGGTATGTGCTTTCGTAGCATCAGAAATTCTCTGCAGTGACTACACGTAGTATACGCATCAGTATACGTGAATAGACACGGAACGAGATCAATAAATGTGTACACATATCCTTACCGCACGCCAGGCTTCTTCTACGTCACCGGCCACGGCTTCACCGACGCCCAAGTCCGGCGACAGTACGCCCTCTGCCGCGCCGTCTTCGACCTCCCGCTCGAGGAGAAGCTTAAGTACAAGTGCGATACGGCGGCCGGTGACTTCAGAGGCTACAAGCCGCGCACGCCTGACGATGGTAGCGGAAAGTTGGCCGCGCGCGACAACGATGAGCGTTACAACAGTAAGTGACTGCTTCAAGAGCGAAAGTCATTTCACCCTGTTTGGTATTGTCGCAGTCGGCTTTCAGGTAGCATCCGCCTACAGTGGGACTGACAGCCGATTGAGATCCCGGGAGACGACAGCAGACCCGGAGAGCAAATCGATGAACTGATTCTTGATATCACAGTCCCCAAGTTCACTCCCGAGCACGTGCGCCCACACCCGCGTATCATACTCGACCACTGGGACGAGATAGGCGCCTTCTCGCGACGTGTGCACGACGCACTCCTCTTGCCGCTTCTGCGGTTGTTCGCGCACGTTTTGGAGCTGGACGACGAGGAAGCGCTGGCCCGCCGCCACAGCTACGAAGCTCCAGGGCTCGAGTACCTCCGCTACATGAAGTACCACCCGCGCACGGGGGAGGGCGCCCAGGAACCTGCCGACAGCCTCTGGGCCGGCGCCCACACAGACTACAACACGCTCACCTTCCTGTTCCACCAGCCTGTGGCCGGGCTGCAGGTGCAGACGGCGCCCGGAGGCCCGTGGCGGTACGTCCGGTCGCCACGCGACGCCATCATCGTCAACATCGCCGACGCCCTCGAGTTCCTCAGCGGCGGGTACCTTAGGTCCACGGTGCACCGCGTCGTGCGGCCACCCGAGGATCAGGCCGACAAGCCCCGGTTCAGTCTCATCTACTTTGCTCGCCCCGAGGCGGACGTCGTCATGGAGCCCCTGTCTAGTCCCTTGCTGCGACGGGTTGGCCTTGGGGAGCGGATCCAGAAGGAAAAGTTTGCCCGACAGGTTACTGCCGAAGGTTTGTCAGCAATGTTTCCGGGAGAGTCCCTGTGAACCTGGAAGACCTGCTAATGATGAGGATATAGAATGGGCCCGGGCCCGTATCGCTAAGGATCACCGATTCCGTGTCGGAATTGTGGACCAGCAGGAAAAGGAGATCATTGCCGGGGTTAGTCAGAGGTACTACGATTAGATGTCATCCTGCGAATACCAGCACAGTCAATACAGGTACTCTTGCATCCAAAAAAACGGTACTTGTACTATATAGCATTGTATGGATTCAACCCATCCATCTTGGATATCGTTACATCTGCGACTCAATAACGCCATTCAGAATCAAAGATCGTGTGCTTCTCGTGGTCATCAGATTATACCGAACCAGAGACTGTCCGGTGGCCGCATCCCTCGTTCCACGCCAAGACGTCGACAGATGTCCTTCTGCTCCGGAGCCAGCTCCCAATCTTTCACCACGTCGCCCCTGCTGAGGAACTGCATCACCATGCCCGACTCGGCATGCCACGCGTTGTGGCAGTGGAATGCCCACAGGCCTGGGTTATCGAGCACCACGCGGATCACGGCCCACGCATAGCCCTGCACGGTAACGGTGTCCCTCCGCAGTGGATTATCCAGCAGACCCCTCTCGTCCAGTACCCTGGGGAGCTCCTCGGGCGTAGGCGGGTACCCGCTTGTCGACTGGATGAGGACGTAGAACTTGTGGCCGTGCAGGTGGAAAGGGTGGGCGCCGTCGTCAAAGTTGTTGATGGAGATGTCGACGGTGCGCACGCCCGTGGTCTGCAGGACGAAGTCGTGCTCCGGGTCGAAGTCGACGTTGTTGGCGTACAGGCCCGGAGCATCAAACACGGACGGGGACTTGAACCGGCCCGACTCCAGAAGCCGGTGCAGCGACGGGTGCGTCGAGTTGGCGTGCCACGTCGAGTCGTTGAAGAAGCCCCGGGCGAGCGTCCAGTGGCCAATCATGAAGTTTGCGCGCAGGTTGACGTGGTGGTCCGAGGGGGGTGGCGTCTGGGCGCGCACAGGTTTGAGCAAGGTTGTGTTCAGGTCGCGGCAGGTAATCTCGATGGCATCGGGCCAGTTCTCCGTCTCTGGCTGGGCGACGGCCACGTCTGTCGTCGTCAGTGCCGCGTCAGGGTAGATGTACCGGACTATGGCCCGGGTCTCGGCCTCGAGTAGGGGATTGTCGCGCGTGAAGCAGTGTGTCACCATGCGCGCCCTCATCCAAAAGGAGTCGGTAGTGGTCAGGTTAGCCTCGAGGATGACGCTGTAGCGCTGCGCAGGCAGGATGTTGAGCCGGTGGAAGGGCTCCGGGTGCACATCTGTGCCGTCCACCTCGGTGACGTAGAAGGGGTGCTCATCGAACTGGATCTGGAACTCGGCAAAGGCGCCGACGTTGATGAAGCGGATGCGGTGGCGCTGGCCCCTGACGAGATCGATGACGGGCGCGGTAACGTCTGTGTCGTCGCAGGGCCACCCGGCGAATTCCTCGCAGCTTCGCACCCCGCGTCCGTTGATGAGGCCGTTCTCCGGGACGGGCTCGTCGTTCTCCCTACCCGGCTGAAGGTAGTCCATAAGCAGCTCGGCCGTGGTGTTGTGGTAGTGGTCCTGAACCATGACGACCCTGTCGGTGTCGTAGTGCATCTCCTGTAGCGTGGGCTCGTCGGTCGAGTGGATGACCATGGGGCCCAGGAGCCCGTCGGACGCCTGGGCACTGTGGTGCGCGTGGTACCAATACGTGCCCGACTGGCCGCGTACATCGAAGGTGTATGTGAAGTTGGAGTTGGGCGCAATGGCGCACTGCGTGATGCCCACGGTGCCATCCATGGCATTGGTACCATTCTGGAACAGCCCGTGGAAGTGGATTGCCGTCGCGTTGGCCGCTCGGTTCTCCACGTGCACCACTATCCGGTCGCCCTCGTTGCACTCGACCAACGGGCCGGGGAACTGGTTGTTAACGAGCATCATAGGTCGGTACACGCCGTCCGGGTTCAGCTGGGCGTCTGAAATAGTCCAGAAGAACTCGCGCGTGGTCGGGGGGGCGTCAATCGCCCAGCTGCGGTCGAGGATGTACGCCGAGGTATCTCGAAGTCTGGGAATGCTGGGTAAATCTTCGTGATACTGGACGAGGCGATTCTTGTCGGAGGGGGTTCCACTGTCCTCCTCTTCCTCCTCCTCCTGCTGTGGCTCTTCTATGAAAACAGGTGCAGTAGGATGCTTATGATCACCCTCCTGCTGTCCCTCGCCGTCTTGATCCTGTGCCGGCTCATCAGCCACGGTCGCAGGGGCAGAGGAAGAGGAAGAGGAAGAGGAAGCGGTTGCCTGCTGTGTGTCTTGCGAGCCAATAGCTGTCCCGGCCGAGGTGCCCATGTTGAGCGCAATGACGGAGAGACCGAAGAGGGTGATTGTGACGAGGATCACGATGGTGCTGGCAGCGATCCAGGATGCCTGACCCTTTTTGCTTTTGATCGACCAATGGTCAGGTTGTGCCGAGCCGCCCAGGCTGGTACCGTCTTGTTCCCAACCATCTTCAAGAAAGGGCTGCTCTTCGAGCTTCGCATGGCTGTCCTCTCCAGCAGACATGGCCAAGGTGTGCCTGTCGTCTCGGAAAGATGGAAAGAAAGCGGCTCAACACAAGAGACGACAGCGCTGAGGAAGCGCTGAGGAAGAGGAACAGACAGGGACGGAGCGAGGTGCCGACAGTCAGTCTTGTCCCTAAGAGGGTAGGGGTAAACCCGAGGATGATAGAGGCTCACGAGTATGAAACAAATATTGGAGAGTAAGATGGAGGAAAGGGGACGCGCAAGGTTCTTCGCAGAATCAACTGATAAGACTGGGTGGAATCAACCAGGTGTATGACATCAATAGCGGCCACAATAGTCCCGGATCATTGAATTAAAAGCACGAATGTTTCTTGGTCCGGCAGCGCAGGACCCCGATGTCCTGTCCCAGGTACTATCAGGGCCAATCTATAGTAAAACGGAACGGAACAAACGAGCTGCAAACGAAGAAGCACGACCACGGTGATAGTGAGACGGGGTAGTCCGTGATGAGACCTACTCCGCAATACGAAGAAGAAAGGCTGCCAGGAACCAAGGATCTCCCTCTTCCCACCAAACAAAGAAGGCCTCGGATAGTTCAACCGGCTCGGTCGGCACTACGGCCCCTCTTATGGAGTATCACAATGCCGAGGGGGGGGGCTTATAAGCCTTTCTCTTCCCACGGAATCTCCTCCAACCAGAAGGAGCACGTGCATGCATCGACGCATTCGCATTCTAATTTAGGAATTCAGATTGTTTAGTGCCTTCTTCCTTCACTTCCTTCTTCCCACAGATGGTACCAATGGCGCCGCCCTGTTCGGCTGGCGCAACAATGGGACATTCCTAAAGCTTGCTGTTGTTCGGGTACACAGTTCCGAGAAGTGGAAAAAGGTGGTAATAAGTTCCTTCGCATTGGACAGAGAAGGTCTACACACCAACTTGGTATTACTGTACAAGCTCCGAGTCGATAGTAATACTACGAAAGCAATAACCATTAGTAGCAAGAACAGTGAGTGATTGAGTGATTGACCACATGCGTCGACGAGGAGAGGAAAAGACGGGGCACGGATCTATAAGTCTGAGTAATGTTACTGAGTTATAATACTCCCACCTTGAGTGATGATCCTTTGATCAGCGGGTATAAAACTGTCTCTGTCTTCTGTCACCTTGGCGGTTGCTGTTCTGCTTCCCTCAACCTCCTCACTCGGTCAAGTTCTCCTCTCAGGACATAACAGACAAACATGATCATCGTTCGCGGTCTCAGCTGCTTTGCCCTCGCCAGTCTGGTGTCGACCGGCCTGTGCAAGCCAGAGCCGGAGCCTACGTCTGTAAAAGAGTGGGCGACTGCCTACACTGCCTCAGCCTCTGCTGATGTTGCCGCCGCCGCTGCCACGGCCAAGACGAGCAGCCCTACCAGTCATGTTAGGGGCAAGGCCTTTCAGCGCTTCATAGTTGTCTACTTCGAGAACGAGGACTACGACAAGGCTGCTGGTGATGGTGAGTGTTTCCTCATTTTCTCTGTCTCTCATGACGTTGGATCGGCTGACAGTGCACAGCCAACTTCTCTTGGCTCGCCAGCAAGGGCATCACGCTGACCAGCTACCATGCCGTGACGCATCCTTCGGAGCCCAACTACGCAGCCAGCGTGTCGGGCGATCATTTTGGCATGCAGAACGACGACTTTAACCGGTTCGACGCCAACGTGTCGACGGTGATCGACCTCTTGGAGGACAAGGGCATCAGCTGGGCGCACTACCAGGAGGACATGCCCTACTCCGGCTTCGAGGGCAACGAGTACAAAAACCAGGAGAACGGGGCCAACGACTACGTACGCAAGCACAACCCGGCGATCCTGTACGACAGCGTGGCTCAGAGCGAGCGACGCCTGTCGCAGATCAAGAACATCTCCATGGTTGACCGGTCGCGCTCGCTGTTCCACCAGGACCTCGAGGCCGACAGGCTGCCGCAGTGGGCGTTCATCACGCCCAACATGACGTCGGACGGGCACGACACGTCGGTCACGGTGGCGGGGGAGTGGGCGCGCAGCTTTGTCGAGCCCCTCCTCAACGACGACAAATTCATGCAGGACACACTGCTGCTCGTCACCTGGGATGAGAACGAGACTCACGAGATCCGCAACCGCATCCATGCCGTCCTTCTGGGCGATGCCGTGCCCCGTCGCCTCGTCGGCACCCAGGACGACACCTTCTATTCCCACTACTCGGAGATTGCCACCGTCGAGGCCAATTGGGACCTGCACACCCTGGGTCGCTGGGACGTGGGCGCCAACGTCTTCAAGTTCGTTGCCGAGAAGACGGGCGACAGGCTGCGTGAGTGGCGCCGCAACAACGACTTCGACTCTCACTTCTGGAACTCGTCGTACGCCGGTTTCTGGAACACCGACGGCGGCAACCATCGCTACCCCAAGCCTAACCTCGCCCTCAGCCACGGCAGCTTCCACGGTCGCACCATCCTCCCCTCCATCGTCAAGAGGTGGGAACACAGCGATGCCCCCGCCTACTACCAGGATACTATTGAGATTCCCGACGGCCTCAACCCCCCCAAGGGCTACGAGCCTGTGGAGTGATTACCGTCAAGGTTACACGACATGCCATCTGGATTCTTGTTGAGTTGCGTGCTGAGAGAGGTTGACTTGTCCAATTGAATTGACTGGTCCTGGTACGAGAAATACTCGAGCTCAAGCTTGATCGCTTTGCGCGTTTCGTTTTTTACCATTTCAATAAAAATCTTTCAAATCTTTTTTTTTTCTGTGCTGATCATGCCCTCCTTTTCTTCCTTGGGAACTCTCCTCCTTCTCCATGGAGTCAAGTGGATGCTACATACATGCATGTGGTTAGTATTACGTGTATAATATAACTCGTACTCGTAGATGCATATACGGATACCCGCGGAGTCAGTTCCCCGCGATTCCAGGTAATTACCGGGTTGTGAATCGAGTCCATCGCAGACTCGTACTCGTAAGCCTAAGCTACTGTTTACGTAGTTGACTAGAAACTCGCCGATTCAATTCGGGTTGTGGTAGTTTCGCTCTACACATGCCAGCATAGTATGTGAATAACCGTGCATCCAAAGGCACATGTGATGAAATCCCTCCTGAAAACTTGACGGACAAGACGGCAAGATGAACGCTATTGAAAGGAGAAGACCTCCTTCTAGATAGTACACACGTGTGCAGAGTCACCTACTTAATTTGGCAACCGTTGTATGCAGGGTTCTTTTCCTACAAGTTGCTGGCCGTCTCCCCGTTTCCCCTCGGCCACTACGGACATGCCAAGGGAGGGGAGAGTGGATAATACCAAGCGAAGTTGCCGGGACATTAAAGCCGAGTTACCCATGATCCATCTCCGATTCAAGTCACTAGGAGATGGCACCGCTTGTTCCCGGTCGAAGTATCCGGGTGGGACTGGCCACTCGTAGCATATGCATACGACTGCCAAGTAAGAAATTATACACGGGCCATACTCGTACCTCTTTCTCAAAGGCGTGTTTAATGCAGTGGGCAAATAGGATGGCGAGGATCAGGGAAGCATCTCTTGCTCTTCTTGACAACTCTCTTTAGTTTCGGAGAAGAGATGGGTACTTCGAGAGTAATCGTAGTAATGCCATAAGTACATATAACAATGCTAGAAGTCAAATGATATTGCTTCACTACGAGTACATGGTAGATCCTGTGTTCATTGAGTTGCCCACGTGCCTCTCGTGGACAATATTCATGGGTTTGTAGGGCCCCGATTAGAGTTGATGGTTGTGAGGGAAAAGCCCTCTTCTTCATTTTTTATCTGAAAAACATATTCTAGACCTTAGTTAAGCATATGGTCTCTTTTTTTGGTCTTCGTCGTTCCAACTCTACAGCATTCAACGGTGTGAAGACTCGTCATCTCTGTGCTTCCCTCTTTTTATACCAACAGCTTCTCGATCTTTACACCAACCCCAAAAGCCTAGGGATTAGAAGAAAGAAAGCGGCGATAGAAAGCCCACAATGACCTCATATCCTCGCCAAAACAAGCTCCTGGCCCTCTTCCTTGCCGACTACACCCTCGGTTTCTCCGATGGCCTGACCGTCCCGTTCGCCCTGACAGCGGGGCTCAGCAGCCTCGGCCGCACCGACACAGTCATCTACGCCGGACTGGCGGAGCTATGTGCCGGCAGCATAAGCATGGGAATAGGCGGCTACCTGTCGGCTCTGGACGCTGCAAAGGCCCAGACGAATGGCAATAGCCGCCACGGAAGCAGCATCGGTAGCGACGTCGACGAGGAGGAAGCCCGCGGGATGCTGCCGGCTGTCAACAAGCCCTCCTGGCCGACTGGCGGCAGGCGAGGCTCACTCGGCTCTCTTGACAGCCAGAGCAGCAGCGTCCTCTTTCAAGACGACAAGGTCATGTACACCGGTGTCTCTGTCGACAACTCTGCCACCAACGACGCCGTTGAGAACCACCTCGCCCCACTCGACCTGCCCTCCGACCTGGTCCTACACATCATCAGCACCCTGCGCCAGAGGCAGGGCACATCACAGGCTTCCCAGGCCCTCGCCTTGCACAGGCAACGACGGGACCGCCCGCAGCGCCCTCGCGGCAAGGAGGACGACGAGCCAGCCGACAACGTCGCCCTCAGCCCCCTCACTTCCGGTTTGTCTATAGCCCTAGGCTATTCTGTCGGCGGCCTTATTCCCCTCCTGCCCTACCTCTTCATGTCCACCATCGGGAGTGCCCTGTGGTGGAGCGCAGCCCTCTGTCTGGCTGCCCTGTTCCTGTTTGGCTTCGGCAAGAGCTGGCTACTCGGCGACGGCGGCGAGGAGTACCGGGGACGGTTGAGAAAGGCCAGCTATGCTATGAGATGGCGCCAGGGTCTGTGGGAGGGCTTCATGATGCTCATCTTGGGAAGTATGGCCGCCGGTGCGGCGGTGCTGTGTGTCAATCTCGCTGAGGGTGCGGGACATGAGGGTCCGCCGCTGCCGGTTGGGCCTTGAATCTTTTTTGGTTCTCATCACTTTCATGGCATATCTCTTACTTTATTACAAATATCGAGCTTCCGGTCTTGGTCTCACTCTGTTTTTTCAAGGGCAACAGATTGATAATTTCTTCTCATCTATACTGCTTCTTGTATGCGAGGCATGCATGTAAAACCACGTTGTGGAAGACTGCGGATGCCTCCATCTACAGTACTCCATCCCAAACGTCCATATCTCATCTGATACTAAAAACCAGAGGATATAGAGGATATGATCGTGAGAGAGAGAAAAATACACCCAAGATCGATCTAGCCAGGGGCGTGTGTTAAAACAACCTGCCTTCTCATCTGTTCCAAGTACACATGTGCCTGTGTTCCAAATACAGACTAGTGTAACTTCCAAGCAGTGGCTATGTCCATTTGTGGCGCAAGTCAAAGTGTGGCGTTTTGCGAGATGTGGCTGGAGAAGCGATTGTGAAATTTCCCCAGTCAAGCCAGACGCGAAAAGCATCGACAGGCCTTGCTCGTTCAACTCGCAACACCATCAGCCTCCCCATCTGCCGGCCATCCATCCAGTAGCCATGGCAGCAGAAGCAGAAGCATCGTCGACTCCGACAAACGGTGACGGCACCTCGACCCTCGACGCGCTCAAGCCGCCGGCGGGCGTGGTCCTGCCGCCGCGAGAGATTCGCAACGTGCTCGAGAAGACGGCGGGCTATGTGGCGCGCAACGGAGCGGTCTTCGAGGACAGGATCCGCGACAGGGAGAGTTCGAACCCGAAGTTCAGCTTCCTCAGCAGCACGGACGCATACCATGCCTTTTACCAGTGGCGACTGAGCGAGATACGAGCGGGCAGGGGCACGGCGGTCGCGGCAGGCCGACCCGCGGCGGCAGGGGGCGGCGGCGATGCGGCGGAAGCTGAGAAGCCCAAGGGACCGCCTAAGCCGGCAGACTTTGAGTTCTCGGCGCGCATGCCGCGCATCAATCAAAAGGACCTGGACGTGATGCGTCTGACAGCGCTGTTCGTGGCCAAGAACGGGCGGCAGTTCATGACGCAGCTCGCGCAACGCGAGGCGGGCAACCCGCAGTTCCAGTTCCTCATCCCGAACCACACACTCCACAACTTCTTCCAGCATACGGTGGACCAGTACACGGGCCTGCTGCGGGCCGGCGGCCTGGGTGGCGAAGGCGGTAAGCTGCAGGAGGAGAGGGTGGCGGCGCTCGAAGCCGACGGCGCCGACAGGCAGCGCGTGCTCCGGCGCGCCAGGCAGAGGGCCGAGTACTCCAAGTTTCAGGATCAGGAGAGGCACAAGAGGGAGGCGGAGGTCCAGGAGCGCAAGGAGGAATTCGCCCGCATCGACTGGGGCGACTTCGTCGTGGTCGAGACCATCAACTTCTCCGATGCCGACAACGAGGTCAACCTGCCCCCGCCCACCAGCCTGTCCGAGCTGCAGTACGCCTCCCTCGAGGACAGGAACAATGCCTCCATCGGCGCCAGCATGCGCATCGAGGAGGCCATGCCCGGAGACGAGGACCACGCCATCCCCCTGGCTCAGCAGCCCCAGCAGCCCGCCCAACCGCAGCAGCCTATGGCCGCGCACGCACCCCAGGCCATGCCGCCGCCTGTCCCCATCTCCGTCACGCAGCCAGAGCAGAAGCCGTACCAGCAGCCTGTACCACCAACGGTGCCCACGGGCCCTGGGGCCATCAAGATCAGGGAGAATTACGTGCCGCGCGCTGCGCAAAAGGCCGCCAACAACAGACAGACGCACATGGCTCTGTGTCCCAACTGCAAGCAGCAGATTCCCATGGATGAGTTGGAAGAACATATGCGAAGTAGGTTCCCACCCTTCTCTCTCCCTTTCTTTCTCTCTTTCTTTCCCTTCATTCCCTCGATCCCCTACAGATTCCCCGTTGCTAACTTGGAAACAGTCGAACTCCTCGATCCCAGCTGGAAAGAACAGAAAGCCAAAGCCGACACCCGCTACGCAGCATCCAACATTTCCCGAGCCGATGTGGCAAACAACCTCAAGCGTCTCGCCAGCCAGAGGAGCGACGTCTTCGACCCCACGACCGGACAGGCCATTACAGAGGACGAGCTGGCCAGGCGGAAGAGGGCCGCGCTGCAGAGCTATGATGGCAACCCGGATGGTAAAGGACAAGGGCAGGGCCAGACGGGACAGATGCAGTCGTATAATGTCGAGGAACAGATTCGGGCTATTCACCAGAGGTTTGGGGATAAGAGGTGATTTTCTTCATCTTCTCGTCCTTTCTTCCCCCGCTATTTTTTCTTGTCATTTCGGTCTCCCTGGAATAATGGCGCTTGGTGTTTGATTGTTTGTTTTCTTCTTGGGAGAAATTGTTAAGGTGCAGCGCAGAAGGTCTTGTGGATGGCGAGAGAGCATGTATACAAGGGTCGAGTCCCTGTACAATACGGGATAATTCGAAAACAAAAAGGGCCATGTCAAGGGCTATGTAAGAATGAAAGAAGTAATCGCATGAGATAATTCACGGGAAACCAAAAAGTGAGGCATTTGGTGAAGATGGACATGTTGTAACATTCCACTTTACTAGTAAGCTACCTGTTAAGTAATACATACTATAGGGAAACGCAGGTATGAGCAACGTATGAGGAAGGCTCGACTCTTTCGCCCGTCGCTCCTCCCCGCTTCCCATCGGCGCACCCCACTGCTGCCATTGATTGCGATTGATTGACTGACCTCAGCCCCAAGACTCTTGGCTTCTTCTTCCTGTGTGTGTCTCTCTCTCTTCTTGGCTAACTGTTCGTTCAACTCCAACACACGATATACTCTCGTCCGTATATTTACCACGCCATAGGTCAGCTACTTTGGTTACTGTTCTAATCCAGATACCTTGCCGCTTTCTAGTCAGCAGCTCCCCCACCCGCCACGAACAACAAACGGCTCCCTCGTTGTTTCTTCCGTTCCCCGTCTCTCGTATCCAGCAAAGAGGAGACTGTTGCGCAGAACAAGGAAGGAAGAAGAGAAGAAGAAAAGGCATCCCTCCTCGGAGAGAGAGAAAAGAAGAAGAAGAAGAAGGAGACGAAAGAAGAAAATGACGTCCTCACCTGGATCTCCCGGCTCCCCCGGCAAGCAGCACAGACCGATCCTCCAATCCATGACGGACACGCGCCAGCAGAGCTTTGACGAAATCTACGGCCCGCCCGAGAACTTCCTCGAGATCGAGGTGCGCGCGCCGAGCACCCACGGAATCGGCAGACACATGTACACCGACTATGAGATCGTCTGCCGCACGAACATACCAGCCTTCAAGCTGCGCCAGAGCAGCGTGCGCCGCCGCTACTCGGATTTTGAGTACTTTCGCGACATACTCGAGAGGGAGAGCGCACGCGTCACCATACCCCCCCTTCCCGGGAAGGTCTTCACAAACAGGTTCAGCGACGACATCATTGAGAGTCGCCGGGCTGGTCTGGAAAAGTTTCTCAAGATTGTCGTCGGTCACCCTCTTCTTCAGACGGGCAGCAAGGTTCTTGCCGCGTTTGTTCAGGGTACGTTTCTCTCTCTCTCTCTCGCTCTCTCTCTGCTCCAGATTCTGCACCCATCGCCCAAGTCCTTACATCCCCTGCAGTACTGACCCGTCAATAGACCCCAACTGGGATCGAAGTGCCTGGTGACGCCGCGATAAAGACGACCATCCACCCATCATGGTAGCCATATCGGGATCCGGTGGCCGTCGTCTTCGTCGTCGTCATGGCCAGCCAGAACACGCTGCGTGCCTACCCCCGATCGACCTGTCCTCTGCCGCATCCAGACGATATACTCTGTGACTCTTTTGAGAGTCGTCTGTGTTCCTTTTCTTGTTCCTCTTCTTTCTCTCTCTCTTTCTCTCTCTCTCTGTATGTATTCTTCTTCGCTGTCTGGCGTATGGGCTCTTTATATCCATGGCTCGATGAGGGTCTTGTAAGGTGTCGAGAGTCTGTCGGGATGAATCCATTTACAGGAGTTGTATGCACTTTTCTTTCCTTCATAGCAAATATCCACTCTTTTTCTTTAATTCGGGCATCTAGGTCAGGGAATAGTAGCCAAGGTACCGGAAAAGTTACAGGTTCATGCATAGCCAACATCAGAGTGATCTTCTATTATTATTTTCCCTTGTCTCTATATATGCATATCCCCCGAGTATCATCGTACAAAATGCCACACCGTCTATTGACCTTTTCGTCATCTCTATCTCCCCCGTCTCATAGCCAATCGTAGGTAGTAAGGGGTCGGTCAGTGGATGAAATAATAGTACAGATATATAATACAGATCCATGATAAAGAGGGAAAAGAAGAAAAAAAGAGAAGACGTGGGAAAAGAAAGAGTCCCCCAAGTCCAGGAAACGCCGTAAGGACAGGATTATGTGAGTTGTCGAGAATTGTTCGTAGAGACCAAAGTTATACAGGGTACTAGTACTTCGGAGAAGCACTCAGGCATGCGTGTTGAACAAGCGCAGGATACCCTCGTACATGCCAAACATGATGGCAGCACTGGGGACAGTCCTCATCAGATGAGGCGTCAGACCGCCGTACAGACCCATGAGGCCTTCCTCCTTCCAGACCAGCTTGAAGCACTGGACCAGACCGGTGTATTTCGGCTTGCTAGATCCGTCGGTGGGGACCTGTCGTAGACGAGTACGGGCGACCTATATTTTTTTGTTGTCGTGAAATCAGCCATACAAGGAACTGCACTGGAGGAGGGCAAATNGCACGTCCTTCAGGTAGTCAGGCATCTGACCCTCGGAAATCTCGTTGACGTTCTCTAGCGCCTCCTTCTGGCCACTGTTGGGGGGGGGGGGGGGGGAGAAGAAGAAAGAAACATAGAGAGATAGAGAGAGGAAGAGAGATGAAGGTGATGGATGGGTTAGGGTACCTCGTGGGGATAAGCGATGACGGCGGCAATGAGCTTGGCACCGCCAGCAGCACCGGACTTGCCCATCCAGTCCACGGAGCGATCCCACCAGGTCTTGTCCCTCCCGGAGGCGACAATGCGATCCTCCCTGAGGGCGAGCTGCCTCTTGATCTGCTCGTACAGCATCCACTGCATGGTGCTCTCGACGACGCCGAGGTACGAGGCGCTCATGCCGCGGTATAGCCCGGCGATGCCCTCGTCCCGGATGATCTGGCGGACGCAGTCGACGCTGTTCCTGTACCGGCGCGCCTGGGCGCCGACGCCCGACCCGGCCGCCACGTTCTTGTCGAGCTGCAGCCTAGTCTTGACCATCCAGATGGGGTTGGTGGCCGTCGACGTGGCCACGCCGGCCGCCACGCCGGCTGCCAGGTGCACCCACGGCGCCTCAACACCGCCGTTCCAGTATTCAGCCATCAGCCGCTTCGAGTTGGGGTACACGTAGAAATTTATGCTGCGGGCCGGCACCACGCCCACCAGGTTGGGCCCCAGGCCCTTGAACAGCGCCCGGCCCCCCTCGTTGCGGTACACGCTCGCCAGGATCTGCACCGTGTCGTTGAGGTGGTGCACCGCCGACCGCAGCGGGTTCATGCTCGCCGTCGAGCCGTGCGCCGCCGATGCCGCCGCCCGCGCCTGCGCCTGGTACAGGTCCGACTGGAGCCGCGTCTTGAGAACGTCCAGGGGAGCCGTTAGCGTCGCTGCCGTCATGCCGCCGATGCTGTGCGTAAGTGTCGTCGGTCAGTACCGCTTGCACCTCAAACCACCGTGTCTTGTCTTCTTCAAACTGCCAACGTACCCTCCTGCAACCAGATGCACCCATGACTTGGCAAATGGCAGCGCCTTGGTCTGTCCTTGCTTCCCATCATTGACCCCGGCTATCACGTCGCCCGTCTCGCGCGACTGCACGAGCACAGTCTTGTCGTTTGGTGTACTGCTCATCGTTGGTGTATGTGTGCGCTAGAGGGAGGGGGGGTTGTCGGGTCTTTTTTTTGTTGTCAAGTACAATACCTCGCCGTCAGATGAATACTTCGTTCTCGTTTCGGGAGTCGTTGATATACCTTCGTTGTTGGGCCAGTTCCACCAAGAAACAGGAGAGGGAGAGGAGAGGGAGAGGAGAGGAAGAACGGTGTTGGTAGAATGGATGTGGGACGTAAAGTTATCTAGGGGTGCTTCCGACGTGCTCTGGTAAACTGTGTACATGTAGAAAATAAATATGTCAAAAAAAGAGAGCCAATAACAATGATTAAAGCTTTTTTGGTCCTCCGCTGACTGGTAGCTACGAATACAGTGGACATACTGACAAGCTATGGTTTGTGTTACTCTTATAGTCGAAACTAAACACCCTTGTCATCAATAAACAGCCGTTTGCCCGGCTAGCTCAATCGGTAGAGCGTGAGACTCTTAGTAGTCTTCGTTCTCGAAGCAAAAAGAGATCCATCTCAAGGTTGCGGGTTCGACCCCCGCGTTGGGCTTTTCCTATAATTCTCCCATTCAGCGATTGGCGTATCTTTTTTTCTTCCTTTTTATATCTTTTATTCATTTCTAAATTTCCTTATCTTTTATGATCTTTTTTTCCCTGCTTTTCCAGTACAAGTTACTCTAGAATAACACTCTTTATAGAGAGTGCCCTTTCTTATTCCATAAATCGTATATGATAATACTGCCCTCGCTATAGCAACTCATTCGTCCCAATTTTATTCATGGTCTCTCAGCATAGGCATCTACTCCTCGATCCCATACATCGTACTATGATGTAATATCCGATTTATTTTCACGATTTATTATTAGTAGTACTCATACCCACGCTATGCCCCCACCTAATCTCTAGTAAATAGTGCAGAAGAAGAATGTACCTGCCAACTATAGGGAAAGCAACGAGGAAAGATAAAAGAAAGGTAAAAAGAGGAATGCTGCCTGACACAATCCCATATATATACACCCTTCTCTACCCCTTCATTTTGAGTCCACGGCATGACCCCTACATAGTTACTGGTACATTCTCGGAGAACTGAGGAGGGAAAATAATAAGAAAGGAAGGAAGAGGTGTAACGAAAAAGAAAAAGGCAGAAAAGAAAAAGCCATGAAAGCCTCCGGAGCATCTATAAAACACGGCGTCCTACAATGTTCTCTCACAGAGCATTGGGCGTCGTTCGACCGAACTCTTCCCACCCAAGCTGACTAGTCGACGATTAACTTGGTCGTCTGCTCATGCCAACCCCAAACCCCTGCCCTGGAACCATGCTCGCCTGCAACCTCATAGGTGGGAGCTCCACCCTGTCTATGGGTGATGGGAGGAACGCATGTCTCTCGAGCACCCCGAAGCCGGCTGATTCTGGGGCTGCGCTGCCGCTTCGGCTCGGCGGTCGCGTGTCATTCGAGGCTACGGATCCCAGGGCGGCAGAAGCCGTCATCTCTAGTGGCCGGTGCTCCGGCGTCACCGTCTCGGTCCCCGGGCCCGTTCCTGCCCCCGCCTCGGCAACACCCATCTGACGCCTGAGCTCTGCCGATTCGTCGTCCGACATCACCCGCCAGCTGCACTTGGCGTGCTTCTTAGTGCATCCCTGACAAGCACTCAGGTATTTGACACATTCGAGCTTGAGGCGGCGGCAGCGGTCGCAGGGGGGGACGATGGGTTCGGCCCGCATGAGTTTGTCAATTTTTTGCGTCATGAGCAGACGCGACTTTTCGGAGTAGGCATCGGCATCAGACACAGCCGTTGACGGGCGACCCGACAGCGATGCACGATGCGGCTGCTGTGTGGCCAGCGTGGATGGCGATGCTTGGCCGTGGCTGATGCCTAGTGCTGATGCTGGCCGCCATGCGCTCGGCGTTTCTGATGCTGCCATGAACTGTTGTAGGAGATCAGCATGGATGTCGTAGGACGAGTGCTGGGGTGAGGGTCGGGCTGGCTGATCAAGCGGCGGGAATCTCGGTCCCGAGGCGCCTCCATCTTTGTGCGTTTGTTGCCGACGTTGAATTTCCTGACGGCGCTGACCCAGTCTGTGGTGGAGAATGCGTGATCGAGCGGACACTTCATCGGCTCTGTGCCAGAGGGCAGAGGCTCGCTTCTCGAGGATATCCAGCGTGGCCAGTTCGGCTGTCTCGTCCTCCTCGAGTGGGTGCTCAAGCGGGATGCGGTCGAGGACCCCTGATGTAATGAAACGCCAGTCGTCCTCGCTAATCTCAACCTGCATGCCCTTACATATGAATTGGCAACATCGAGAGCCGTCGGGCAGGATCGTGAGCAGAAACTCAGAGGGATTCGCCTTGGCAAAGTTGCAGACGTCTAGCCAGGTGACGGAGTGGGAGAAGACAGATGGCGAGCTGATTTTTATGGGGCTTTCGAACGACTTTTCGACTGCTCTCAGAAGGCGCGGGCCGCTGAGTTTGGCACCCAATGAAGCAGCAAAGCTATCGTTTCTCTCCAGTACGCCTGATTGCATGCCCGCATTAGCCTTGTCGGGCTGGTCATGCATCGAGGGTGCACAGAATGAAGCTCGAGGCTTACCCACCTTCATACTCGCCGAGGCACCTCTTGATCTCGGTAAACGTGTCAGGTTCCCCAGGTAAGAGAGTAAGTCGGTCATGGACAGGGCGAGATAGGTAATTGATGACGCCTGCGTTTGTGGTCTCTGGGGGAAGGGGAGGTAAGCCAACGTTAGGCGATCAGACGAGGATAGGAAGCGCTTCATAGATGCAGAAAGGATGGCACTCACCTCGCTGGGCCAGCGGGAGTGACTGCCGACGAGACTGTAGCGGAGCCAGGGTAGGTTGGGTGCCAGCGTCGTCTGGGTCGCGTTTGCGCTTCTGAGGTTCGGGTTCCGGAGCGTAAGCCATCGTCAGTGGTGGTGGCGCCGGGGCGGGCTCCGGTGCCGACGATGGTACTGGTCTCGGTCCTGGTCCTGCTGGTGATCCTTCCTAGGTGGGGGATGGGGGGCTGCGACAACGAAGACGAAGACAGTGATGGATACAAAGGCGGCCACGGCGACAAGCTGACGGTGGTCCACCGCCGTGTGCCCGAGGCACTGGAGAAGCAGAGGTCTGCAGGCTAAGGCTGAAGCTGGAAGAGAGGCAAGGGTAGTTTAGGATGGTCCTGTAGAGCCGGGGCGAGGCACCGGGACTGGGCATGGCCACTGGCGGGGTCCGAGAGGGTCAGGGTCCGATGAAGAAGGACCATGTGTTGCGTGTCTGGCGGGTGGTGTTGGTGGTGGGGGTGAAGACGATCTACGGAGAAACAATTGGCGGTATTGCTCTGGTGGTGATATGTCTAGAGTGTGGTTGATTGCCGAACGTTGAGGGCGGAAGGGTAGGTGATGGGTGAGCCGACCGGTGATGGTGATGATACGTCGAGCGACGGACGAAGTGATATGGTCGATATGACCCCAATGCCGCTCCGAGTGTCCCAAGAGTGCGTCTCGTGGCCGGCCGAACAGGTGAGAGGAAGTAAAGCATACGATACAAGCAAGGGTGGGGAAAGATCAGGGCAATGCCAGCAAAGGGAGGATTTGCAGAGCGCAAACAAATGGTGAGTGACGACGGGCCGTGGAGAGGAAAGAGGGGGGGGGAGGGGGGGCGGTCGGTATGAGTTGAGAGCATGAGCCGAGGGCTAAGATGACGGGTTTATATCTTCTGTGAGGCCGATGAAGACAGACGGAAGGCCGGCGAGGGGCAGGCTAGAGACAGGCGAGAAGAAAAAGGCAAAATGGATTGGGAGATGAACAGGATCGGGAAATGAATGGGATTGGCGGAGAAGGGACCGAGAGGAGGGGACCGAGATTGGAGTGAACGGGGTTGACCAAGAGCAGGCAGTGGCGAAGACGACATGCCGTGTAATGGTGCGTCGCCGTGTATGTACGACTATGTACGAGAGTAATACTAGTAGTATATAACGGTAGCAGGATATAATACTGCCCGTACAGGTAGTTGGGGCTGTTGGGGCGTCTCTCTCTGTCAGTGTGGTGTGTGTGCGAGCCGTGCCGTTGCGTCAGACGCCCGCTCCGCTCCCGTCCGTCGGTTGAAGATAGTACGAGTGCACAGACGAGTGTGTGGGGAATTGGGGAGTGGGAACTCCGATGGAGAGGAGAGAAGAACAAGAAAGAGTAAGAGGGAAGGAGGAGGGGGGAGAGAATAGGAATGGGATATACGAGTGGAGAGAGAGTATCTGTAGAGGAGCAACTGCTACTATGTCACTGTTTCTGCAACTGCTACAGCTAAAGTGCCATATGCGGCAATTGAGGGGCTCACGGGTGGTTCCTTCCTTGACAAACACAATCAACCTCGTCTGGCGCTTGAGTAAAACTTGGAGGCAGTTGCAAGCCACTTCTCTCCTTCCTTGTGCGATTTAATCTCCCACTGCCTCTTCTTTTGTCTGCTCACCTACAGCTCCATCTCTCTCCTACATCGTACATCATCATACTAGTAATACTGTCAGTACAATACATCATAATCATCAACAACTACCACCTAGTACTAGGCTCTAGCAGTATTATTTACAGCATATTACCAAACAAACAAAAAACCAGAAAAAAAACCAAAGAAAAGAGACCCAACGGATCATGATGATACTACATGCAGGTAGCCGAATTCATCGACATCACCAGCCAAGCCAACAGCACCGCAAGATTCCCTCCAACTTGTTCCGAATGACATGTCAAGTCCATCTAACACATCCCTTCCCACGCTTCCTGCCATTCCCCCCCCCCCCTTTTCCCCCCGTCCTTGGCTGACATGGGGGCTACGAGAGCATCACGTCATGATACATACTGCTAGCATCCCTTTGAGAAGTATTAGTAACCGTCTGGGTAACGGCCCGGGGGTTCGTGCGCCATCTTCCTCTCACAACAAATCTTCCATGTCATACAATCATCAATGCTTGTTTTGCATGCCCCTTTGCCACACCACATGGCCACGTGCTCCTTCCGCCTCTGGCATCATCTGTCTGCGATTACATGTACCCGTAGCTGGATATCCCTCCATTGAAAGGTATATTGATACATGGATAAACTCCGTTCACGACTAGCCGATATACTTGGCTCGTATCGAATATATAGACATTATTAAAACCCAGACTGCATACCAGCCATGCAAGCATCATGCAACGAACATGCAATCATTCTTTTATGCATTGCACACACTGAATCATAGTGCGACCCCATACATCAGAAGAGAAAGTGTGAGGTAAATGAAGAACGCACCAAAGCCACGCTCACCGGTACAAACGCTCCGCCTCTCTCTTTCCTTCTCTTACCATCTTTATCCGTAGTCAGTGCTCACTTCATTTGTAGAGGCAGCTATAGGGTAAGCAACACCCCCCCCGCTCCGCTCTTTCTTCTCTTGCCCGCCGCGCTCCGCCCTGCTGCTGCCCCTCCATATCCCCAGCTTCAACAATTCTGCAATCCATCAATTCCATCCCACATCAACAAAACCCCAGTTACTCAAAACAACGCCCGGACCCCCCCCCCCCTCCGCGTCACATACAACCCCTCGCCCATACGCCAAAAAAAAATGTCCGACAGACCTACACATCGAGGAGGCGGCGGCGGCGGTCGCGGCGGCCCTCGGGGCGGTAGTGGTAGTGCTCGTGGTGGTGCTCGCGGTGGAGGCGCCTCTGGTGGTGGCGGCGAGCGCGAACGTCCTAAGAAGGAAAACATTCTCGATCTATCAAAGTACATGGATAAGCAGATAGCCGTCAAGTTCAACGGCGGTCGAGAAGGTGCGCACATTCACTCATACATCCACACATTCACACACACATCCTTTGCTACCGGAAGCTGTGCTAACCGTTCCGCAGTCAAGGGAACATTAAAGGGTTATGACGCCCTCACGAATCTAGTCCTCGATGACGCCCAAGAGACCGTGCGAGGTATGTTACTGTCGCCTGTCGTGTCGACTCTCAAACACATACAGATATATGGATTGAAAAACGTCCGAAGAGATGATCCACTAACATGACAAAAAAAAACAGATGACCAAGGCAACGAATCAACCCGCTCGCTAGGCCTCGTCGTCGCTCGTGGTACCCTCCTCGTCCTTCTCAGCCCCGTCGACGGAAGCGAAGAGATCGCCAACCCCTTCATTCAGCCCGACGACGAATAGCCCCTCTTAACCCTCTCTCTCATCTCTATACATCAACCAAAAAAAAAAAAAGAGACTCAACCGATATACGTGTCTTTCCTTTCTTTTAGCAAGACGGATGCGCATGTGATGGTAAAAAAAACCGATGCGCACGAGAGAAGGCCTCACCCTCGGAAAGGTGCCTTGGATGTACATCCTAGGGGAAATAATGCCATAGCTTGAGAAGGATAGGCACCGTACCGCCCATGATAAGGCCAGGTTGGACTTCCGAGACCAAGGGGGCTCGACATCGCCTGTCGTGGGTGGTAATGGCATCATTTGCGTAATGGAAAGACAAAGAGACGAAACAAATGACAAGATACAAAAAAATCGGAAAACAAAAAGAATACATCAGTTCTTGCCAAATCGATGTAAATCACTTTGCCATCACTGTTGCTCATGATGTCATCGTTGATTGTTGTATTTCATCTCGCTACATTCCTCACCCTTGCCAACGCTGTACTTGGTACCGAACAAACAAATAAAATGGCAAATCAACTATACCAAGACGCTCGTTCCTAACTACCCATTTATATCTGTCCCTTCTACCCTATTCTGTGTCCTCTCCAAGCCTACTCGGGCTCGTCCGTCTCATGCTGATAGCCGATGATGCCTTCATTATCTCTCCTCATCCGTCTCTAACTGTTCCCTTCTTTTTCTTGCTCTTTGGGTGGTCGACCTCTGAATTATTCTCTCGGTCATCCATTGTGCCGTGTCTCTTTCAGGTAGTCGCCAAGGCGAGACACGTCCTTGTCCTCGTCCTTGTGCTTGATCTTGTGTCTGTCGTTGCTGTTGCGGGTTCGAGTGAGTTCGAGCTCGTGCCTGAACCGGGATCGGGAGGTACTCCGGATTCGAATGTTGAAGGGAACGGCTCAGATTTTGGCTCATAATATGACTCAGATGCAGATCCGGACATAGCAGCGGAGTCTGGCGTAGGTTGATACTCATCCTTAGATTCGACTTCAGATTCAACTTCAGGCACAGTTTCGAGCACCGGAGCCGGCGTTAAAGACGCAGACGCGGAATAGGTCCTGAATCGTGTCAAATTGGCAGTTTTAGGCTTTGAATTCTGCGGTCCAAGACCAGGGGGACCGGGATTCCAGAATCCTCGTGCATCCCGATATGACCAGTCCAGTGGGTCACTGGCTCGGGGTAGGAAGTATCGCTGCTGGTACTCTATGTTTAGAGATAGAGTAGCAGCAGGTGGAGGGCCAGGACCTGGACCGCCCTGGAACCGGCCGTAACTTTGGAAACCCCGGGAGCACTGGGTATTCTGGCGCGGGTGAAGGCCATAATCGTTGGCATATTGAGAAGGGACAGAGGCAGGACCAGAGGTCCAGCCAGAAGCAGGGACAGAAGCAGGGCCATACCCAGAACCATAAGCGGAGCCAGAGGCATGGATAGAGGCAGGGATAAAGCCAGGAACCGAGGCAGGACGATCGGGGGCACTCGGGGGGATGGCACCGATGTCCCCACCAATGAACCTAGTGTGCAGGTAGGAAGTTTGGATGTATCGAGATAGTAAGCCATGCAGCTGAGGCTGGATGTCAGGAGGCTGGGATGGAGGAAGAGATTGAGGCTTCCGATTCCATAGCTGTAACCGGTGAGAGCCCTGTTCTAAGACGTGTTCTTGGCCCGAGGCCCCAGCAAACGGGGAGCATCAAAGGAAGAGGTAGAGTCAGAGGTGACGAGGGCATTGTCGTTATCGTCGGTATCGGTACTGGAAATGGTAGGGTTTGGCGACGCCTGCTGTTGCCGCTGCTGTTGCCGAGGCACGGCGGCTGGCACACCACTGCTCTAGAGTGGTCTTCCGGGGCCGGGCTGCTTGCTGGCCGCTTTTTGAAGTTCCCCAAACGCAGCGTTGAGCTGCTTTCGGAGCTCCTTGTAAGTGACTAGAAAGGTTGTCTGCTCGTCTCGGCTGGTGAGGAGGACCTGCTCCTCTGTGCCGGCGTCGAGCTTGTTCATGCAGCGAATCATGTGGCCAATGTCGAGAACGGGGTTGCCATCCCTGTCGACCTGGTGGAAGGCGTAATCGCGGAACAGCTTCAGGAGGTAGCGCCCTCCATTCTCCGACCACGACTGATCGCCGTTAAAGTCTGGCCGTTCGTTGATGGCGGCCAGCTTGAGCAGCAGGCGCGCCGTCCGCCCGTTCTCGACGGCCTGGAGGAGGACGGAGTTAGTTTCGTCCGACTTTTGTTGTTCTTCCTCGTAACACGAAGCGAGGCGTATGGCTATGCCGCGCAAAAACTCCTCTATGCCTTTTTGCTGAGGGGGTTGCTGCGGGGTGAGCAGCCAGATTATGCTGTCTCGTAGCTCGGCAGAGTATGTCCTGTTCAACTGGTCAAGCGCTGTCTGGAGGTTGTTCAGGTGCGCGGGGTGGGTGTTGGTGGCGAGGCCGAGCATCAGGCGGCCAAAGTTGATGAGGTCCTCCTGCTGCAGTTCCTGGACGGGACGTCGCGCCTCATACTGCACCACGTCGAGGATGGAGCAGGCGCTGAGTCGGAGGTGGCCCTTGTCCGTGACCAGAATCTTGGACACGTCCAGGCAGCGCGCGGCAAGGTTGTTACCGTGGATCTCCTTGAGGGTCGAGGCGATCTGGCTTATGTAGGACCATAGCAGCGACTCGACAATGGGCGCCTTTTGTTGAAAGCGGTTGCCCTGGACGGGGCTAGGCGCTAGGTGGACCTCAGCCAGGGTCTTGGCCAGGGGGTGAAAGTCCTGGACAAAGATGAGGGAGCTGTCGCCAAAAGCCCTTGTGGTAAAGGCGTCATGTATCATGACGACATTGGTGTTGACGACACGTCTCCATTCCTTGACAGACCTGATGGAGTTTTCGTTGGACAGACGGTAGCCTTCGAGTCTTCGGAGGGAGTAGGCGCGCCCGTTCTTGACAGAGAAAGCTTTGTAAATCCAGCTGGTGTAGCCGAAAACGCTCGGGTTCTTCCTATGTGTCGTATCGAGGGGCACGAGTGAGTGAAAGTTGTCCAGCTGCGGTAGCTGCGAGTTGGGCATGGTCTGGTTGGTCGCCTCCAGCTTCTTCACCAGCTCCTGGCGCAGCTCCTCGGGCATGAAGAAGTCGGACGTGGTCCGCTGGTACGGGTGGAGATCGTCCCTGCGGCCGGTTGAAGGGGCGTATAGATGGTGCTGGAGGGGCTGGAGGGGGCCGGTAAAGGCGCTCTGAGGCTGAAAGAAGCTGGTGGAGTGGGCGGCGCCGGCCATTCCGCTGTGGTCCTCCGCATAAGGGTTGTACTGAGGGGTAGGCAGAGCGCTTCCAACATTGGCCATGACGAAGGCGTCGGAGTACACAGTCCCATCTTGGGCAGCACCGTTGGGGGAAGCAACCTATAAGTCGAATCAGCGGGACAAGTCTTTCGGCAGAGGAAAGGCAGGGGCAGGGGAGTCACGTACGGCAGAGTGTAGATCAAAACTAGGGGTGAATTCGCGGATGGCGGCAGGGTTGAAAATCGATGGATCGGGCTCTTGAGCAGAGCCGGTAGATACCCCGGTAGGAGTTGCGGCTGGCAGCATTTAGTGTAAGTAACAGAACTAAATGTAGGCCAAGGTGAATGGCATGCTCATGCAATGCTCATGCAATGGGGTAGAACTTACCTCCTAGGCCGCGAGGGGTAAAAGAGGGGGCATTGGCCGCTTGGGTAGGAATCGTGGCTTTCTTGGTTGAGGAAACTTGTGTCGCTGGGGTAAAAGATGGTGATTCGACATTCAATGTCTTTCTAGACCTGGGCGAGAGGGGAGGAGAGTCAGCCATAGGTTTGGAAGGATAGGGGATACATGGGCGTGGGAAACGAATGTTTGAGTGTGTCGAGGAGATGAAGAGGAGCCAAGCAGACTGAGGCGTATTTGTGTGCGGTGATCTGCTTCCAGTAACACAGAGCAAGGGCAGGTGCGTCCCGGGACACTTACACCGGGTGCTCCTGCCGCCAGCGACATTTGGAAGGGTAATAAACCAACTTCAAGTCCTTGTGTGTTCACAACAAACGTCGCTCTAGCACATCAACAGAGTCGCATGTCTCCGAATCATGGTGCCGAACTGAGTTGGCCATCCCGTTTGTGTATGTATATATAATTCTAGCCAGTGTCACTTACATATCTGGTTGGGCAGGTTTCCCCCGGTTCTGGTCGTGGTTGAATGTGCACCCTTGGTCTTCGTATCGACAGTGACCATATATTAAGACGTTCCGGCATAGGGTTTCTTTATTTTCTAGACACAGGTAGAAACAAAACAGTCAGCAAGTCTGTTGATGTGGTGGTGGGGGATCTTGGTACGTCTCGTCTTTCTTTGTTTCGTAGTCGGGGAGGAGGTTCATACCACGCCCTTTCGGCCTCGGCGAACCGACCTGGATTGTACGGTTAGTTCTAGCTCAACAACTTGTTGGTGCGACAATGCGCGTGCCGCCGCCTTGGCGAGAGCAACTATATGATAGTAGTCCGGGCAAAAACAAAAAAAAAGACCAAAGAGGAAGCGGAGGGGTCAGCGAGTAACGAAGAGCACACAAGCAGCCACTGGGCAGGTATGGTCGGTCGAAAGAAGAAAAAAAAGGAAGGGAAGTTGAAAAATGAAAAATGAATCACGTATGTTACGATGAAGGAATATAGGGCATTGCACAAGAAGGTCACGAGGGTTGTGGGCGTCATTAAAACGCAAAAGGTAGTTGCTTTTGGTGGTGGTGGTGGTGGTGGTGGTGGTGGTGGTGGCTTACCTGGCTCTTGCTCTCATTTCCCATAACTCAATTGACGGAGGCGTCCTCTCGCCCATGGATCGCGACGTGTTCAAGAGCTCGGCCAGTAAGTGGCCAGGAGCAAGCGTTTAACCAAAGGCGGACGCGCCGGGTGGTGCGTGCGGAACGGACAAGGACGGGACAGGTTGGGCTGGGAGTGGTGATTGTGAGGGAGGAGTCGACGAACGGACTGGTGGGGGAGGGATGAGCCTCTCTCGCGACCACGGCCGACGGGGCTTTCCTTCCTAGACAAGTTGAAGATTGTATCTTCTCCCCAGAATTTGGTGCATGGGTACTTGTGAGACCAGGACAATGACGACTGCTAAAGACGGCAGTCCGAGGACGTGAGTCGTATCGTGCTGATATGCATTTATAGAGGAGTTCTGGTGTCGGGGATGAGGGGGATTGCACAAAGCGGGGCGCAATGGAGACATCTAGAAGATCATTTGGGAGTGTACATTTCTACGTTTGCCTTGTCATTATGTTCTATAATGCGGACGAGAAGAACGATGGCCATCAGAGGATCAATAATCGAGACAATCCGTTACATATCCTTGGTGTCCCCTTTGCATGTGCAAACGCATTACCACGAACTCTTTTCCATCCATTATCCTACCGCGATACATGAATATCCCTGTTACATGCTCACCCGTTTTATGCATGATACACATGCTACACAACAGCTGCAGCTCCAGTGAAGCATTTTACTTTGTTCCAGGTTACGTGACAGTAATAATTGGGCCCAAGTTCTAGCTGCGGAACGTCATCGGCATCTCCAAGCTCCTCCGACGAACCACGCGACACTATCTCGTCTCCAACTGACAGTTCCTTCGAACTATTTCTCTCGTTCATTACTCTCCAATTTACCGTGGTCTTTTTTCTTCTTATTTTTTTTTTCTTTCCTTTTTTGTATTGCACCCGACTGAACCGACAATCCTTCCGCTTCTCCTACCACATATTACCAAAAGGCGAGAGGTGACGCCCCTCCAACATTGTTGACACGGTTTACATACACACATCGACCACTTCGCCAGGTCTAAGACCGGCAGCCGCGGTGCCTTTTTCTCTCTCGACTACAGCTAAGCTAGACTGAGGGTGGCTAGAGAGAGGGAGGAGAACGGTGAAGATGGCCGACGTGGATATCGAGCAGCTGTCTCCGACGCAGCGGGAGGCCCTGGAGCAGTACATGCAGGTGACGAACCAGGAGGTCAAGGATGCAGTACCACTGCTGGAAAGGTCACAATGGAACGTGCAGGTGCGGTTTCCTCCTATGAAGAGAGTGGTAGATGCAGGAGAAGAGTGCTGACGACGGTTGCAGATTGGCATTGCCAAATTCTTCGACGGCGAGGGACCCGACCCAGTAGCCGAAGCCATGTCAGCGCGCGAGATACCTAGGGCAGCGGCACGACACGAGAACCTCCAGGAGAGTCTGTGGGAGGCAGCAGCACAACCTTCACGAACTTCCCGGAGGGACCGGACGGACGCAGCACCGCGGATAGTCCCACGGCAACCGGAGACACGACGCCCGCCGTGGCTGGTAGGACTGCTCCTGGCACCGTTCGGATGGGGATGGACGGCGGCGACGGCCCTCTTCCGGACGGTGGCGTATATACTTTCGTTTCTGCCGGCGTCAGTACGGCCGCGTATCCTGGCCAACAGTGCCGGGGCGCGGGGGATACGCAATAACAGTGGGCGGCGGATGCTCATGCCGCGCGACACGGCCGCGCGGTTCAAACGCGAATTCGAGGAGGAGTACGGGACGGGCGAGAACCAGCAGCACCAGCTGCCCTTTTACGAGGGGGGAATCGCGCAGGCGCACGATCAGGCGAAGAAGGACCTCAAGTTCCTGCTGGTGGTGCTCATTTCACCGGAGCATGACGAGACAGACACGTTTGTGCGGGAGACGCTACTGGACGACTCAGTTGCCAGCTTCATCCGCGACCCGTCATCCAACATTGTGCTGTGGGGCGGCAACGTTCTCGACTCGGAGGCGTACCAGGCGGCCACGGAGTACAGCTGCACCAAGTTCCCCTTCTCGGCGCTGGTGTGCCTGACGCCGCGCGAGGGGAGCAGCACACGCATGGGCATCGTCAAGAGGCTGACAGGCCCCATGCCGGCCGAGACGTACCTGTCTGAGCTCCAAAACGCCATGGACAAGTACGGCGGCGAGCTGGCGGCGGTCCGCGCCGACAGGTCTGCTCAGGAGGTGTCTAGGAGCCTACGGACGGAGCAGGACTCGGCGTACGAGCGGTCCCTGGCCATAGACCGAGAGAGGGCGCGACAGCGGAAGGAAGCGGCCGAGGCGGCGGCCCGTGCCGAGAGGCTCGCGGCCCAGCAGGCGGAAGAGGCTGCCAGGCTGGAGGAGAAGAGGGCCCAGTGGAGACGGTGGAGGCAGGGCAGGCTTCTCGCCGAGCCGCCGGCGGGTGACAAGGACGTCGTGCGCGTGGCGCTCATGATGCCCGGTACGGGCAGGAGGGTTGTCAGACGCTTCCCCAGCGACGCCCCGCTCGAAGAGCTCTACGCTTTCGTCGAGTGCTACGGTACGGAAGAGGGGCAGGCAGAGAAGCCAGAAGACGGATACGAGCACGAGTACAGGTTCCGCATATCGTCTACACTGCCCAGAGAGGTGTACGAGCCTAGTAAGGAGGTGACGATGGGTCAGAAGATTGGGCGCTCCGGGAATCTTGTTGTTGAGGAGGCGGGGGATGATGATGATGATGAAGAGGATGAGGATGAGGAAGAGGATGGCGAGGATGAGGAGTAGTATTACTAGTATTAGCAGAACTAACTATACGTACAGGTGGTGGTGGTTCCTGTTCTTGGATTTGCTTTGCAGTAATAATACTACTGGCAGTATTAATAATGTCATGTCACGTGACGATGGAGAATCCAGAATGTCTACAACCTACATCATGTACATGCGCCTCTTTTGCGTAGGAGATGCGTGGCCCGGGGGATGACGAGTTGTGGCTTGGTCTTGTTTATGTGAGGAATCATGTGCTTCTCTCTTGTCGAGTGTATGAGTGTGAGTAATCTGTACATGGGACAAATGTGAATTACGCAGCTTGGATGTGATGAAGAAGAGGGGGATGATTGCGTAGGGGTCGAGGCTGTGCAAGATGCCGAATGACGCTAGTTGCTTGTAGGGGGGGTACATGGGATGTCGGAGAACGACATAGTAGAAGTTTTGTAGTCTACATGAATGTTTCACTTCCATCTTGCTTTTATATTTACATCTTTCATCCCACAGTACATGGAGAGATGCTAATGTATGACTGGGCAGTGTACTGGTACATGCAATTGGGGTAGCAGTATAGCAGTGGTGACAGAGCAATAGAGTATTATATGTAAGCAAAGCTGGCGTAGATCCTCTCCCCCACGACGTCATTTTTTTTTAAGGTATATATTAATCTACAGCACAGAGGAGCCGACAGAAGACGGGGAGAAGATCAAAATAGAATGAAAGGGAATAATACAGGGAATGAAAAAGAATGAAGACCGATGGAGCATTTCTCATCATCTGACAGTCGTTTCCTCCTGCTTCTTCATCCCTACTCCTATGCAGTTCCAAGGAGTACTATTAGTAGTAGTAAATATATGTACGATCATCATTAGTCGTAGTAATATTCGTAGTCCCTACCCCTAAATAGACCGTCAGCGCCACAGACAGTGCGGAGCGGACGAGACAAGGGTCCTCCTCGGCATGTCTGCTGCGTAAGTCACTTGCAATTCTCACGCATGAATAAAACGCTCGAGCGACCTGGATGGTTTTAGAGCCTCGTGTCCTTCTAGTGTATCTCTTTTTTTGGGTTTGTTTTTTTTTGGCTCTCTCACTCTCACTCTCTCCCTCTCTAGAGTATCTCGTTTGCCCTCATCATCCATACAACCTTGTGCATCCATCACTCCTTTGTTATCCAAATCAGCACAGGGCGCCTTTCGTCATCATCATCGCTAATCCCTCTCTCCTACCCCCCATCACCGCCACCACCCAAAACGCGACAACACGTCCATCTGGGTGTCCCCGCAATCGGCCCAAGATGAAGGTCATGAAGAAGAACTTGTTTGTGAACAAGGTCATCGGAAGTCTTAGGAAGAGAGGTATGTTTGGCAGTATGGAAGGAACTAGTATTCTGTGGTACTGGACGCAACGCGCGCTGACTTTGGTTATCCCATCTTCTCCCAGGTTCCTCCCCGCGCGCATCGGACGCTGCATCTGATGATGGCGCACCACCTGCTGCTGCTGTATCGAATCCCGGACAGACACCCGAGTCATCTGCGCGGGACAGTGTGGTGGGTTCTCTCCCGACCCGACGAAAGAAGGATATATATTACCTACCCGGCGCAGCGCAAACTTACCCTCTGATTAGAAAGCATTTTGCCAATCCGGTGAGAATGTCCAGGTATGCTTGCTACCCTCTACCTCACTCGATGTATCCAAAGCAAAAAAAGAAGAGGAAAAAAAAGCATGTCTTGACCGAGGTAAACACAGGGCGACGAAATCCTCTTCCTGCCACCCATCGTCGACGCGGCCGAATCGTCGCCAGCCGCCGCAGCCGAGTGCGCTCGCGTCATCGGCAAGTTTCTCGACAAGTCATACAACAACCGTCCATCATGGCAGTACAACGCGCTCATACTCATGCGCATCTTGACGGATAACCCGGGTGAGACGTTCACACGAAACCTCGGCAACAGCGGCAGCAGGATTGGCGTCGTAGGCCACAATGATGTCGACTTCCCCGAGAGGTGCCGCAAGCTGCTCAAGCACGGCAAAGATCAGAGGGTGCAGCGCATGACTATGGAGACGCTCGATCACTTTGAACGCACCAGGTCGTGGGACGAGAACCTCGCGCCTCTGATTGAGATGTGGAAGGGGCAGAAGGAGACGGCGTACAAGGACTATGCAAATGTGAGATTCCCGCCCCCTCCCCCCCTCGCGCGCGCCTTCCTCTCTCTCCCTATATCAGTGTATCAGTGACATGCATTCCTTCTCCTCTGAAGGCTCCTCTGCTAATACTTGCTGTTCTCTCACCCTCCAGGCCCACGGTCACATTCCTCCCCAACAACGATTCCCAACGACATCGGCCAACTCTCCGTTCCCGACCAACCCCTATCCGCAACACTATTTTGCCAGCGACGGGCAGAGCCACAACGGCCCCAACAGCAACGCGATGCCCGGGGCAAGATCTCTGCCCGACCCGCTCGAGCTCTCTAGCCGTCTGGAGGAGGCCCGCACGTCGGCTAAGCTCCTCGAGCAGGTCGTCATCAACACCCCGCCCTCCGAGGTCCTCGACAACGAGCTCATCCGCGAGTTCGCCGAACGCTGCCAGGGCGCGTCCCGCAACATCCAGAGGTATATGCAGTCCGACGACCCCGTTCCCGACAATGACACGATGGAGTCCCTCATCGACACGAACGAGCAGCTCCAGACGGCCCTCAACCAGCATCAGCGCACCGTCCTCAACGCCCGGAAACAGCTTGGCCTCAACGAGCGCGGCGGGGACGAATCGCCTAACAACAGCAACAGCAACATGGTCAGCGGGGCGCACGGCTCCGGCTCAGGTGCCGCACCCTCCGACTCGGTGTCTAGTATCCACGAATGGCCTGGTGCGTCGTCCCAGCAGCAGCAGCAAGAACGGATTGGTGACCTGCAGTCTCCCCCTACTCCTGAACTCTCTTCGTCATACTCTGGGAATGGGAAGGGGAAGCAGACGAACAATGACAACGGCAACGGCGACGCGGATGGCGTATATGCCGGCTACGCGTCCGGCTACGCATCCGGCTACGCATCCGGTCCATCTGGTTCCTCTGCGGCGGGGGCGGGGGCGGCAGCGCAACTTCAGTCGGACGATAAGGATCCCTTCCGCGATCCGCAACCCAACGGGCCGCGCACGAATTACGACCCTTTTGACAGGCCGTTTGCTCCTGCTTCAGTTGGAGACGGCGGCGCAGACAAGATTACTGTCGATCCTCCTTATGGTGGCAGCAAGGAGCCGATGTATCGGTACTGAAATTTGTTTGACAATGATGTTTGATCCCCCCCCCCCCCCTCCCATTTTATCTCCCTTTTCTCGTTCTCTTGCTCCTGGCACTATATAACCCACGGCCTCTCCTCATTGTAACTGGATTTTGTTTTGTTTTCTTATCATGTTTCAATCCTTACGTTATTGGTCTTTTTGCTGGTCTTTTTATTCTCTCTCGCTCTCTTGCTCCTTCTTGCTTTGTGCTTGAGAACGTCTTGTTATCTAATCATAGCGCACACTCTGATATCATGTAGTTTGGATTCCCCCCCCCCTATTTGACTGTACGAATTTCATTATTGCGCAAAGAAATATTAGGAAAAAAAACACCCCCCCCCC